TAATCGCTATACAGTGGAAATACCGAGGAACTTATATGGGCAGACATCTTAATACTTTATATTTTTTGAGGGAGAAGACACATGTGATGTTGAAAATCATCATTATCCTATCGAAGCTTAACCTCTCTAAGAATTAGAAAAAGAAGAAAAATGTACGAACGAAAGAGCTAAGTTGTTAGCACTCTCCGAACTTGAGAGGGGATCAGCTTAAGGACGTAAAGTTACCTTTTTCCTATGGTAACGGAATTAAGCCTCTTGACTCGTCGGGGAGAGTAGCCGAAGCGTTTAAACTATGATGGAAGGGAAAAACGATCGAGTTGTGTTTCAGTTGATGTAAAAGTTGACAGCAAATTCTTGAATTTCAAGGGTTTTTTTGCGGTTCCCTTTCTTAGCCCCGCGACTTCGATGTTTAAACAGGTTATATTACATTAAAATGTAGAGAACGTTTACTCAGCTCATTTTGGTCACATTTGCATCAGATGCTTTTAAAAGAAAAGTGATTCTACATTATAAATCAAAATAACTTCAAAACAATCTTGGTAGTTACAAAGATAAGAGTCTTACACCCAATTCACACTGACGCTTAAACATGTTTTAAAGCTGCTTTGTTAAACGTGGTTTCAAACTGTCCTATTCATAGAACCTGCTTGGACCAATGTTTGTCGACTTCAAATTTAGCGATTACTACTTGAATCCCATGGGTAATTCAATGAGTTTTTCAGTTGTCTGTCTCTGATTTTTATTTGGCGAAACCCAGGATGACTAAAGATGTCTTGCTGGTGTGAATGGGGTATTAGACATTTTACTACTAATTTGTCTATCACATTTTGCAAAGTGCCGCCTTTCATAACGAATTTTATTTTCACGATCGCGATAGCTCTTTGCTCCGAGTTTGGATTTAATAAAAAAGAATCATTTCAAAACCTCTTCAATTCATTGTTATTCAATTATTATCTCTAAACCGCTATTGTGTTGAAGTTTTTATTACAAAGACGAATGTAACGGTCCAGCTACTTAATCCACAGATTGAGGGAGTAGCTGTAGGAGTAGCTGCAGTCATCACCAAAGTCTCTATCGCAGCTTCCCGGGTATGAGATGAACCTCGCAGAATTTTCCTCTGTGATAGCAATCCCATGATCTGCCCTATTGCAATAATCTCCTCCTCCACCGATCATCATCACAGCTCCATCACCACTACTCCAGTCACACCAGAATCCCAAGTAACGACTACTTTGAAGATTGCTGCTGCAGTGCATTTGACTGAAACCCACTGTAGATGAATAGCTGCCACCATAGCTGGAGATATAACATCTTTTGCGACACGCGTTGCTGTTCCAGATAGTACCGCTTCTGAAGTTACCATAACTTGTTATGAAACTTCTGAAGGTCCTCCCTCTAATGCAGCTGCTGGTTTGTAATAAGGCTGTGTTGGAGCTGTCATCACTTCGGGTTATTTTGATGTAATTGCCTTTGACTAGCCAGAATGCGGGTGATATCATGTCGTAGTTGCTTGAAGTGCTGGTAACGCTGCCATAAGAAGATGTACGGTCATACCACCAGTCCGCGCTGTATTGCATCCAGTTTTTGCTATCAGCATTAGAGAAACGTGAGATGAGCGTCCAACCGCCACTGTTGGACATGTCACAATATACCTAAATTAGCGTAAAATGTGCTCAGCATTTCCATTAGGGTGGAAGCTATAGTTCATGCTAAGTTACTTTAAATTAATTACAGACAAGGAATACAAAACCTAGAGACTTAATTGTAAACTGATGATCTATTTGATGTGATCAACAATTTATTCTATACATATAGATAGTGCTTCTCGTTTGCTAATTGGCTACTACGTTTACTTTCGAGCAGGACGGTGACTTTGGGGGTGGATTTGATCGAAAATGTCAAGTTTTGCAATACTTAAACGTAAACTCTTCTTTGTTGTGTCGTAAAGCTAAATTTTAATTTTCCGAAAGCTCTCCAATTTTATTTCACTTTATTCTATTTGATTTTTATAATTCCCCTAAACTTCTCAAACTTCCAACAAACTTCTTTGTTTCACACCAAAACAAGCAATTCTCATGCATGAAAATCGGCCTGCATTTTATTACCTCTGAGTCGGTGAGTTTATTGTTCATCAAAATGAATTCGAGCTAAATTCTCCTTACTTTTTTGTTTTAATGCGAATATTCTTCAGACAGATGGCCCAATCTTCATCGCTCGAAATTGCCCACAACTATGCAGCAAAATGCTTCTTTAGATTTGGAGTCTCCTAGAGTTACAGAACTTCTTTCGGTTGAAACGCAGTAACTCCTGAGAAGGGACATTTCCAGACTCAATCATGTTAGGAAGCCGAGGGAATACCATGAAGCGTGTTCTTCTTTTAAATAGATTTCTACTGCTTTTTCGCTCATTTTACTCCTCTAAATCCTTCAACTCATTTGATATCTAGCGTATCGAAAGAGCACTAGAGACCATTTTATTTTTATTTGCAAAGAACAACTGAAGCCTGCACTCCTCTTCAGCGGTTGCTACCATTGCTTATTTAACCGATTCTCTCTATTTTTTGATGCCTTTTGAAAAAGTTAATTAAACAAATCAACTGAAAACGGGTTTTCCCAATAGAGCACGAAAAATTGCAACCAACAGACAGAACACGAACATTGTTCCAGTCGAGTCGTGTTGAGAAAGTTTAAGTGAGAGACGTCATTTACCAGCGAGTTCAACTTTACCATGTGTGATCAAAGCTTTTTACGTATACACGGTAAACTCGTTAGTCAACAACGTCACATTATTTCTTGATACAATTCGTCAGGAACGTAATCTGGTAACGAAGGACAGTTAAAACAATAAATATCGCAAATGAAATGACTTAGAGAGAGAGACAATGTATAGTTCCCTGAAATTCACGTGCATCTGTAGATCTTACGCGTAGTCAGGATGGTATGTTAAACGGTATGTTAAGGTAACCGCAGAATAGGGGAGAAGTTTTTTGAAACATGGAATATAAACGAAAACAAGTGGAGAAGTATGCTATATTTAGAGGTGACTGTCTGACGTGAAATAAAAAAAGTAATTTGCTTAACTCCAATCGACAGAATTAATACTATTATCATTTTACCTGAAAAGAATTGCTATTGACTTTCAAAGAGTACGATCCACTTGAGGTATAACCAGCATCCAGGAGAATTTTGCACGATGTTCTTGTAGCAGCTTTGAAGACAAATGACAAGATAAAGGCTAATATATAGCATTACTGTGGCAAATTTTTGTGCTTGAAAATTTACGTATCGATGAGAGGCATCCAACCATGATCAATGTTCCTAATTTGTGATAATTTAATTTGCAGTTATTTATTTTTGTACTAGCATTTGGCAAGAACATTGGAAAAATTATCGAAGCGATATCTTTGAAGAAAAGATGTCCTTGTATTGACCCTGAGAAGCCTACTATAACTTCCACTTTCTGTTCCCTCTAAGTGGTTTAAGCAATCAATCATAAAAGTCAACACTGCTGAAATATCAGTTATATAATACCAAATGCGGTCCAAAGAAATTAGATAAAGCAGGTTTGAGAACAGCTGGAATAGAGAAGACGGCAATGGAATAAAGGTAAGGAGGTTAAACACGTTACATTTCTCACGTTTATTATCATTTTTTTTCTTTTATGTTTTTATACAGTACACTCGAAGAATTAAAATTCAATCTAAATTTATCCCACGTGCAATCGTGCAATATTCAGGGAATAACGACTTCCATAAATTAAAGAGTGATTTGATATCAATGGACAAAGGGATAGACTTCATGCCGAGGACATTTTAGCTTGTACTACTTCAGTTAGTACACATATTCAGCATGTTTGATATTCCTGTTTATGACCTATAAACCCCGAAATCACACACGGTACTACACCTTCACAACGCCATCCATTGAACCCGCTTGGGCAAACACAAGTAAAGTTGTAAACTCCATCCACACATGTTCCACCGTTGAGACATGGATTGGACTTACATTCATCCGTTTCTGAAAATATAGAGTTATAGAGTTTGTCCTTCTTTATTTTGTGCAGAACATGAGCATGAGATGGGTTCGTATGCCGTGTTATATCCTTTCCTGGAAAATCTTATTGTGTGTTAATTAATTTTGTCGATAAAGACTTATTGGAAACATGAATCGATGGTTCTGCTACGGGAATTTATGAAATTATTTATTATCAATTAAGAAAAGAAAATCTCCTTCTGTTTTCATAACTGCCTGAATTTCAATCGGTGAAATTACTTATTTACTCGTTTACTTGCGTGAAATGCTGACGAAAAGAGTAAAGAAAGGAGTGTGTACCTTAAGAAGAGAAACTCTCTTAGGAAAAGAGAAAAAAAAATCAGTTTTAAGATTGAGCTCGTTTTCCCTCAACATTTTAGCCCACATCCTTAGTCCTGTACTTTTCCGCAATGTTTAAAAAAAGGTGTATACTTATGTGTTTGTCAGTAGATGTCAAACGTACCCTGACATCGACGTCCGAAAAACGGAGAAGGACAGGAACACGTGTAATTGTTAATCCCGTCAGTGCAGGTTCCACCGTTTAGACAGGGACTACTGGAACATTCGTCAAACTCTTCAAAGCAAGAAAATATAATTTAAGAGTGAGGAACATGCAGATCAATTCAAGGCGAATTAAACCTTTTTTTTTCCACAATCGAGAACAACATTATGAAAGAACATTCCCCAATTAGAGCTTTTCCCAAAACTATCCTTTCCAACAGGGAAAAGTTTTGCAAGGTTATTGAACTTTAACTTGGAAATCTTGTTGTGGCTCTGATTTCGTATGCAAGGCATATCACGCCACAGGATTTTCAAAGATTTGTATTTTCCACTTATCAACAGTTAATTCTTAGCTCTCCAGACTCCTACTTCATTCTCCCATCTTCCAAAGAATATCTTCTTTATGCTATACGTTCTGTTCAAAATACCAGACTTAATTTTGTTATTCAAGAAACGATAAAAGTTATTTCATTTTTTTCCATCTATTCTCATATTACCATCACATGATCTTCCTTTGTGAGTGCGAGGGCAGATACAGGTAAAATTTCTCTTCTTGTTAACGCAAGTTCCACCATTCAAACATGGCGTGCTGCTGCATTCATCATAATCTGCCAATATCAAATTAATTTCAAAGGCATTTGTCAACGAGAAAAGAAAAAGTAGCATTAGAGTGTTACTCATGACGATCACCGAACTTATTAAGAATTACGAGAAGCTAAACTAAACGGTTTTAAGCTTATTATAAATGTCGCTATGATAACCTCGAACGTCAAAAAATAATCATAAATTGTAAAGAGTTGATTGGGTGTTCTGTTTAAAACACCATTTCCAAAGAAACAAATGAAAAATTTGAGTAGTATGGATCCATTGAAGAATGGGCCTTTTAAAATGTGAAAACCATCGAGGTTATTGTCGCATAGGGCAAACAGAAAAATAAAATGGGAGTCAATAATTTCCTCGCCTCAAGGCTAGGGAAGTGTGCTGCTAAAACATGCACGTAATAACTTATCTTCCAACCTTTTTTACATGTATATTGGTGACAAGTCGAGCACTCCACGTCATTCCACATGTATCCATGACTAGGACCAAGAGTGTGTACGCAGTCCTCCCCCTGAAAGTCATTAGGTTGACTCTCCGCCCAGTAACGGAACTTATCTGGACACCCATCCACCCAAGTGAACAATCCCTCTGTAGCAATGTCATTCAAACCGATCCAGGCCTTGTCGCCATTGTGTCTGTGTTGAATATAGACATTCTCCTCCTGACTTTCGATAGCGGGCAAGTTAGCACCCATGCCTCTACAGATTGCACTAGCTTTGGACCATGTCTTACAAGTATCACTAGTGTAGTAACATGAACCATTGTAGAAACTCCAACCTGGCTCACACACATCTGAGTTAGGTAGAGAAACAACGAAAGTTCCGTTTGAACTTGAAAATTGTAACAACTAGTTAGCTTGAACTTTGTTCAAAAATATTATCGTATGAAAGAGTGTTTGTTGTTCATTGTGGTTATGAAATTATAGGGTAATTGTTTGTTCGTTCGTTACAACATGATCTCACTCTTGATAGTAGGCGTTTCATCAACATATTGATGGTGACATTCTGAGACAAGCCATCAAACGTCCATTTATTGGTATACTATATTCATACATCAGTTTATACCTTCCTTTCTTTTGAGTAACAATTCATGTTTCGGCAAAGTCTAAATCAAATTAATCACAAAACGATTTGTTGTATGCAATCTGTAGCTTGCTTTGTATAAAACGTGATATACCTAACCTGGCATAACTGCATACGAAACTGATAGAGGATCATGCTGGTTCACAAATAACTCCTTCACGCATGCTCTGAAGCCAGTCTTGTTGATATACTAAAAAGGCAAAGAGGAATGCAACGGCTGAGAAGACCACAGTTAGATAGCAATAGAAAGCAAGACGTTATATAGAAAAAAAAGCGAATTGTTGAGAGAGTACAGTTGATAAAGTCAACTTCCAAAATTTATATCCTTTTACACTCACGTAACAGTGAGGATATGTTCATTTTGAGCACTACTTGAGCAAAGATCAGACATCACTTGCCTCAACCCAGGCTGATACGGAGTTATACAATGGAGTAAGGTTTCCTCCATTTGTTGAGTGGTTAGCAGATACCAGAATAGCTGGAGAGTCGTTGTAGGGCTTCTTAAATGCTACGTCCTGATCAAAACGATAAAATAAAAGAAAACTATAACAAAATCTATATAACACAAAATGGCTAAGAATACACCCTACAATACCTTTATGTTTATGAAAGATTATTTTCTTAATTTAGAAGAAGATGTGAATAATCGCAGGAAATTACATGAAAACTGTAATTTAACGTCTTTCCTGCGGCATTTATTCTGTATATGGGGTAGATGGCTTTCATGAACTCCAGAGAAAATAAAAAACCTAAGTGATACCATGTGGGTTGGTAGGTGTGTTTTTTATGTATGTGTGTGTGTAAGTGGCAAATAAAAATAGCGACTCAGCGACTGAGTGCCCGAATGACTGAGTGACTGAGTGACTAAGTGACTGAGTGACTGAGTGACTGAGTGACTGAGTGACTGAGTGACGGAGTGACTAAGTGACTGAGTGACTGAATGACTGAGTGACTGAGCGACTGAGCGACTGACTGAGTGACTGAGTGACTGAGTGACTGAGTGACTGAGTGACTGAGTGAATGAGCGACTGAGTGACTGAGCGACTGAGCGACTGATGGACCGAGAGACTAAGTGACTGAGTGGCTGAGCGACTGAGCGACTGAGTGACTGAGTGACCAAGGGACTGAGTGACCGTGGTACTGAGGGACTGAGGGACTGAGTGACTGAGTGACTGAGTGACTGTGTGACTGTGTGACTGTCACTGTGTGACTGTATGACCGAGTGACTGTATGACTGAGTGACTGAGCGACTGAGTGACTGAGTGACAGAGAGACTGAGGGACTGTATGACTGTGTGATTGAGTGACTGTGATTGACTGTCTGAGTGACAAAGCGACCGAGTGACTGAGGAACTGAGCAACCTAGTGACTGAGAGACTGAGCGACTGAGTGACTGAGAGACTAAGTGACTGTGATTGAGTGACTGAGCGACAAAGCGACTGAGGGACTGAGCAACCTAGTGACTGAGGGACTGAGCGACTGAGTGACTGAGATACTAAGTGACTGAGTAACTGAGGGACTGAGTGACTGAGTGACTGAGTGACTGAGTGACTGAGTGGCTGAGCGACTGAGTGACTGAGTGACTGAGTGACTGAGCGACTGAGCGACTGAGCGACTGAGTGACTGAGTGACTGAGTGACTGAGTGACTGAGTGACTGAGTGACTGAGTGACTAAGGGATTGAGTGACCGTGGGACTGAGGGACTGAGGGAATGAGTGGCTGTGCCACTGTGTCACTGTGTGAATGAATGACCGAGTGACTGTATCACTGAGCGACTGAGCGACTGAGCGACTGAGCGACTGAGCGACTGAGCGACTGAGCGACTGAGCGACTGAGCGACTGAGCGACTGAGCGACTGAGAGACTGAGGGACTGAGCGACTGAGTGACTGTGTGACTGTGTGATTGAGTGACTGTGATTGAGTGACTGAGTGACAAAGCGACTGAGTGACTGAGGGACTGAGCAACCTAGTGACTGAGGGACTGAGCGACTGAGTGACTGAGAGACTAAGTGACTGAGTAACTGAGTAACTGAGTAACTGAGTAACTGAGAGACTGAGTGACTGAGTGACTGAGTGACTGAGTGACTGAGTGACTGAGAGACTGAGTGACTGAGTGACTGAGTGACTGAGTGACTGAGTGACTGAGTGACTGAGTGACTGAGTGACTGAGTGACTGAGTGACTGAGTGACTGAGTGACTGAGTGACTGAGTGACTGAGTGACTGAGTGACTGAGTGACTGAGTGACTGAGTGACTGAGTGACTGAGTGACTGAGAGACTAAGTGACTGAGTGACTGGGTGACTGAGTGACTGGGCGACTGGGCGACTGAGTGACCGAGTGACTGAGCGTCTGAGTGAATGAGTGACTGAGCGACTGAGCGACTGAGCGACCGAGCGACTGAGTGACTGAGCGACTGAGCGACTGAGCGACTGAGCGACTGAGCGACTGAGCGACTGAGCGACTGAGCGACTGAGTGAATGAGTGACTGAGTGACTGAGCGACTGAGCGACCGAGCGACCGAGCGACCGAGTGACTAAGCGACTGAGTGAATGAGTGACTTAGTGACTGAGCGACTGAGTGAATGAGTGACTGAGCGACTGAGCGACTGAGTGACTGAGTGACTGAGTGACTGAGTGACTGAGTGACTGAGTGACTGAGTGACTGAGTGACGAGTGACTAAGAGACTAAGTGACTGAGTGACTGGGTGACTGAGTGACTGGGCGACTGAGTGACCGAGTGACTGAGCGTCTGAGTGAATGAGTGACTGAGCGACTGAGCGACTGAGCGACCGAGCGACTGAGCGACTGAGCGACTGAGCGACTGAGCGACTGAGTGAATGAGTGACTGAGTGACTGAGTGACTGAGTGACTGAGTGACTGAGCGACTGAGCGACCGAGCGACCGAGCACCGAGCGACCGAGTGACTAAGCGACTGAGTGAATGAGTGACTTAGTGACTGAGCGACCGAGTGACTGAGCGACTGAGCGACTGAGCGACTGAGCGACTGAGCGACTGAGCGACTGAGCGACTGAGCGACTGAGCGACTGAGTGACTGAGCGACTGAGAGACTGAGTGACTGAGTGACTGAGTTCAAGTGAACGCGCGAGTGATTGAGTGATCGAGTGAATGATTCAGCAAGCTAGGTGAGTTCACAATTGTGCGGGTGGATGTGTAAATCGTGTGTGAGTGCATTATACTGTTGAGAGAGTACAATTGAAAAAGTGTCAATACACGTCATATGAACCAAACATACCTCACAAAAAGCATAGTTAAATTCTTTGGATGGTTTTTTCCCGTTTGCAAAGTACAATGAGCCATGCTCCATAAACAAGGGCTGATGAAGCTCTTCAAATGCCATCCAGTCCTTTTACAAAAACAAAGGCAAGATAGGATGAAAAATAAACAAATTCATCTTTGATTTAGGAATAAATACAATGAAGAGAAAAAAAGCAGAAAATGAGCTCGCCATCGTGATTAAAGAAATTTTCAACAAACTTCAAAGAGGAAAATAGCTGAAAAAAAGGCTTTCTTAAAATTATGAAAGATTTTGCAACTTTGTGAAAAGCTTAAAACTGCTTACTACATGAATGCTTTGGTGAGCTCCATCAAAGTTCTGTAACTCCCTGACACAGATCTTAAAGGAAGTTGTCGTCAAATCTTCCACCCAAACAGAAGACGCATCATGCTTCACTCCCCGCCTTTCATGCTGAGCCGACACAAAGACGGTGGGAACTGACTGAAACTTTTTCTGCAGAAACATTGATTCAGGATTAACACGTATAAAGGTACATACAAAGGAACCAACGGCCCTAAGGCTAAGAATTTCTTTGGCTCTTTTAGTTGTCTCGCGGTGATTATAAATTTTACCAACTAAAACTTTATGTTTTAAGGCAATGTCTTGCTATTTGTGCATCATATTTGATCGACATTCAATTCTACAGGGCAGACGCCCACACATATGCTCATTTAGTCGTAGTAACTGACAGATTGCTTTTTTATGTGACATCTTCTCAACACAAATTTGTCTGATTGTTTGTTTTTCTTTCGTATTTTATCAGCGCACATCACTACGGGTTCCGGATAGAGCATTTAATTCAGAAGTTAGTTTCAAATTTGACAGAATGTAGGCCAGTTAATATTATTTTGGGATACAGTCTCAGATTCTACAACTAGATCGTTGTTAACAATGCGATTCTGAATGGTCAAGGAAAAGGCGACAATAGACAGTTGAGAGAAAACACATTATTGCAAGAAGTAGCCAACGAACCGGAGGCAACGAAACTGTGCGACAGCTCGTTCCAGTCCACCATGTCGGCATGTCCATTTCACCTGACACTCCCCCGTCAGGGGCCCCCTGATATGCTAACCAATCAACCATAGCGAATGTTTTTCCATTTTTCTTCTCATTCCTCCCAGCTTGAGTGACACAAATTGTAAAATTGTTTTCCCTTAAATCCTCGACCCAGGCCACAGCAGCCTCGTGGACATAGGAGGGATCCGAGAAGTTGACGTGATTAACAGATACTTGTACGTGAACAGGTTTGTCAGGATAGAAGACATAAGGAACCAGTGGAACCTGTTCACAAACTGCCTCAGCCCAATTTGGGTGGTGATGAAGACGATGACGACCTTTCTGTGAAGGGAATCCTGTGGCCGGGAAAGAAATTACGATAATTTTCAACATCTTGCCGTATTCAAGGACATAAAAAACGGGCCAAGAGAATAAAAAGTTGGTTAGCTTGAGGACAGAATCTTTAGAACGTTTTTGCCTACGATATTTGACTACCAAAATATTTGTTAACTGTTTTGAAACCTTCAGTTTTATTAACTACTGTCAATTTTTTTTACTTTTGCTATTAGTATGGGCTCTGATGTTTCTCTCAGTTTTGTCGCTTTAAAATCTGCTTTCAAATGGACACTTTGTCTTCGCTTCAACCCGAATTACCTGTACAATCACCCGGGTGATAAAGGGTAAAATTAGCCTTCAAGTGGCACATTTCTCTTTGAAACATACACTCGTTGTCGTAGGTGGTTCCGTTGGATGAACACACAGGTTCGTCGTACGATGGACAATTATCCACGCATATGCACCTGGCGTCTTTGGGTCCAAATGCCTTGCAGACAGCAAAATAATTACAGGAAACATTGATGCAAGGATCAAAATCTACAAAATACAAACATCAACAAGATTTGAACTTTATGAGTACTAGAGGCCCCAGGTAAGCGGATCCCACAGCTGTGTTGTTCTTGCAAACACTTGACATAATGCAGGCCTTTTCTTTTCGTTGGTGTACATTTTGAAAATTACCTGCAAGAACTGACATCAATGCTCACCTAAGACGACGTAAAGAACTACTGATTTTGTAAAAGTAGAAAAATCTGAGTTCGTTCAGTTGTTACTTCCTTTATTTGACTAAGCACTGTTCTTTTAGTCGTGTTAAGCATTGTACCATAACTAAAAGAAGCGCACGGGGTTAAAATGGAATTTCGCAAGTAGCAAAGTCTGGTGAGCGGTGGTAAGCGGAGAACAAGCTGTATTGTAAGTACCCCACGTTAAGTGTTATGACTATTCATTGTGTTAAATTAAAAATAGGCAGTTATAGTTCCTCTTAAAACATTAAAAAAAGAAACCGCTTAGTCGAAATATTTATCGGCTTTTCTCTCCTACCTACGCACAAGTTATTAAAGTAAAATAAATGTCAATGCTGTTGGTAACACCTTAGCATTGCCTGAATGACTTATCTTTACCTCCAATAACGGCGTAATCAACGGTAGCAGGATCGTGTTGACTTTCCATTCCTGCCAAGTCTTTTACACACACACGGAACGATGAGATCGTTATTTCCTGTTGTAAAGAAACAGCAATCAGATTAATTAAATTGTGACAGCGGAAGATATCAGAAATTGAAGTAAACAAAGTTTGGTTGAGTCAATAGAAAACATTAGGTTCTTTGTTAAACGAGGCGCCAATGATAAGCACTTGATATATTGTGATTTTTTAGCATTTAAATAGTGGACCGTTTCAGGTGTGTATCTCAGGTAAGGTCCGAGGTTCAAACTTTGAGTGTCAAAGATTTCTGCAGTGAAAAGAGGTCTTAATGATCCAAAAAGAAGTTCCATTCATAGAGGCATAGGTTATAACACTTAATTTACCTCAATCCAAGTATTAAGAACATTGTTCTCTGGCTTGATGGAATATACATTCTTGCTATCGTAGAGATGATTTACAGTTACTATGACTACAGGGGGTGAATAGAATTCTTCGGTAAAGTTGTGTACCTGTAAAGTTAAAAGTTGACATCAATAGAATTGAGTATTACAGATCAGAGCGAATATCAAAAACTGATGTTACATAGTTTAAATTGCTTTCTCTGGGTCACTTAGTTGGTGTTCTTGTGTTACTCTAAAGGAAATCGAGCCTTCGACTTACCTTACAAAAGGCGAAATTGTCTTGTTCCCGAGGAGCTCCGCCATTTTCAAGCAACAATTTTCCTTGAAATGTAAGTTGAACACCTCCTTGTGTAAATGCCAGCCAATCCTAACGATTGAATAGCATTTTTTTTTAAAAACAATTCGGCTGAAAACAACCGGTCAAAAGTGAAAAGTGCTCTTATTCAGAGTAACAGAAGTTTGAAGACCCTGACACACTTATCTCTCAATCCGGCTAAAAATTCCTGAATCCTTTTACTTCAGAATTTGTCGAGAGAAAACCATGCAATGAACAAAACCAAAGTATTTCTACATATGTTTCTATGAACTAGAACCATTCTAGTCAAACTTGCCACTTTTAAATTCTGGTGCTTTCCATCGAAAGTTTTCACTTCCCTAAGGCACACTCTGAAATAATCCGCCTTGAGTTCTTCAACCCAGACATTCATAGCGTCCTGTGACTTGTTGCTGACAGAATGACGTACTGTAGCCAGCACTTTTGGGATAGATGCAAATCGCTGCAAAGAGGATAGAGGAGAAAAAGTTGTCTTGAACTCGGACTTGCATGATACAAATCACGTTTAGATTTGACCTTACGAACTGTCAGCAATCTATTAAGTTAAGCACTCTCAACTTGTTGCAAACCTTTGAGTGCTAAGAAAACAAACTTATGAAATTAAATGACACGGATTTACATTAAAGTTCCGCGAGTATAATGAAGACAGTAACAGATACCAGACCACTTACTTTTAAAACCAGGTTACGCCTCTCCCTTCAGTTTCATATCAGTTTGATACGTCTATGTTCCGCTTATTTTCCGCTAATCTCCTCTTTGTTTCAAGTAATGATACTCTTTTCTAAGAAACTCTCTTTTAAAACATTTGAACCGTGACAATAGTATAATTGATTACAAACGAGATACAATTCATGAAGCAGTTGACTACACGTTACACGAAGAAATATTTGTAGTTTTGGTGGTTCTGCTCTTGTTTTTGTTGTTGCGAAGAAGACTAAAGGGAAAATTGCGATCCAGTTTTTGTATATATCATAAAAGCTAAATAGGTCACGCGCGTACCTGAACAAAGGTAACTCTCTCACATTTTGTTCCACTGGTAAATGCGCTGAAGGAGGCGGTGCCATCCAACATTCCAGAGGGGGCACTTCGAAATGCAATCCAGTTCACGACGGCGGATCCATTTGTGCCAAGTCCCGACTCCAATGCACATACGCGAAAACTACTCTGTGTTACGTCTGACGTCCACACAACAGCCGAGTCGTGTACGCTGCGAGTATTGGACTCATACCCGATGGACGCTATCACCCTTACATTTCTCGAGCTGGAGAATGCACGAGGGAACTGTACGTTTGTGCAGTAAAGCAAGTCAGGATATGACGCAGTGAAATTGATCTTTCCGTCTTGGACCAGAGTTTGTCCTAAATAATAAATGAAACAATATAATTTAAAGTGAATTTGGTGAATGGCGGAAATCTCTTCGCAAATGCAAATCTCATCTAATTCTCAGCGCTTGCATGTCAATCTGATCTTCACTTTCGATCCAATCCGTCGATCGCTCATCCCGCTAGAAAATAATTGAGAGAATCTAATAACCTTAAAAGAAGTTCCTCTTACCTTCAACCATCAAGGCAATTTTGCATTTTGCATTCAGCGCTTGCATGTCAATCTGATCTTCACTTTCGATCCAATCCGTCGATCGCTCATCCCGCTAGAAAATAATTGAGAGAATCTAATAACCTTAAAAGAAGTTCCTCTTACCTTCAACCATCAAGGCAATTTTGCATTTTGCATTCAGCGCTTGCATGTCAATCTGATCTTCACTTTCGATCCAATCCGTCGATCGTTCATCCCGCTAGAAAATAATTGAGAGAATCTAATAACCTTAAAAGCAGTTCCTCTTACCTTCAACCATCAAGGCAATTTTGCATACAACGAAAAGTACCGCCAATAAGTGAGTTCCTGGAAACACCCTCATTTTGCGGATAAACAACAGACCATGAAAGGAGCAGCGTTTAAGCTCGTGCACTTCACGAACCTTTTGTGCTTCTAACAAATATTTCACATTACCTTTATATTCAATCTACCATCTGTCGTGGTAACAATTTCTCCATACTTCTTTCCGCGTAAAAGTTTGGGAGAAAATAATTTTTAATCGAAGGAATAATTAAGGAAAAAAGAGGATCAGCACACTTTGAATTTTTGTGCTTCACCTGAGAGTCTCTGTTTTGATCAGCAAAGGTAGAGAAAGTGGCGTGTTTAATTTCTGAGAATAATGAAGTATCAGGTATATCTTCCAAGAGGATTAACCCTATGAAAGCCTTGGTAGAACCTTGAAGGTTATCCGCAAAAATGTCCAAGTCAGCAGGTCACGTATCGCACGTGTTTGGCCTGATTAGGAATTTTCTATAGTGGATTTTTGCCAGCATTTAGCAAGGACTTGATGTGATGATCATCTTACATTCAACTTCATGTTCCGCTTTCTCACTTTCAACATATAAAGTAACAGTAATGTGTGTACGATTGTTTTATTCTACCATAGGTGTGGGGAAATAATATCAAATCGTAAAGGAGCTCAGACCAATATCATCCAAAACTGTACTGCTTCACCTCATTGAATTATGTCACCTTCAGAATTTCGGGTCCAGTCTGTGTTTTTTAAACTGATTGACATAACCTAAATCCCTAATATGATTTTCTTCCAGTGAGTGCTTTCCTTGAGCTGGAATAATTAATTTTGCTTCTAAATCGTGCTTATATTTCCCAGTTTGTTTTTGAGGACAACAAACAGAAGTCAAAAGTTCATTCAATTTTTTAAATCCATCGCCTCGACTTGAAAAGGGCCACTTTGAACACACAACAAAGAAACAAAATCATGTATTCGCAATTTACCAGCTCAAACAATGTAGGACTATCACTAGTCTGATAGACTGCGTTTAGTCGAAAAGCCTTTTTCTTGCACAACCTGTCAATCAAGTTCAGCCACTCACTCTTTGTACTGAAATGTCCCATCCTACTCATCGCCATGATGTGAATGCCACGGAAATCCAGATGTAAACCAGTTTTGTTAACATTATGCTCCGTACCTCTTGCTTCAGGGTTGCAACTGTTAACAATAATAAATTTGCCATGTGCAGCAAGGACTTGACGACAGTTTTCCAAAACTTTTACCATCCCATCTTCTGTAAAAATTAAAAGGAAATTTTTCGCAATGATTGGATCTACCTCTTTGCTCTTCGGAATTCCATCCAGGATGTCTCCTTTTAGCAATGTCACTCTGTGATCTGGTACATTTTCTTTGGCTAGGAACAATTTGGCACGCTCGACTACATCGGGAAAGTCAAGTATTACTCCTTTAATATGTTCACAGCCCCTAGAATAAAAACTTACCCTCTCCTCTCCCGATGTCCATGATTCGATCGCACTCGACCCAGGGGTACACTGTAAACTGCAGGGGTACACTGCTAAGTTGGCTACGCGTTGTCCAAATCCATCTGGGACAACATGCTCATTGCACGATCGTAACTGATTGCGAATTCTGATCTGTTTCGTACCCATGTCAGAGGCCATATCTCCTGATCTCGCGGGAGCAGAATACTCCATTTACTCAGCTCTGTACATGTAGTTATACAGATTCATTCCATGAGCACGTTCAAACGCTGTATCGCCGCTATCTTTGACTGCCTCTGGAAAAGCCAACATGGCGGCCCAGACTTCATCGCTCGCGTACCATATGGCCAAGACTCGGTCCTTTGTATCACGTCAGCAACTCCATGGCTCGATTGGCCTTAAAGTGTTTCTGGCTTAATTCCTCCCCAATTCCCCACCGAGCCATGGTTCTCAAACCTTGTAAACCTTTTCGTCTGTGTGGCAGCCAGTTTGCTTGGCGATCTCTTGAATACTGACAGGAGTGACTGAGTTACACAGCAATTCTGGGACACCTAATGATACCAGAACACTAAGTAGCGGCTTTTCCATATTCCTAAGAACATGAATGAAATAAGTTTCTCTTCTGTGAAAGTTCCTTTGGCCATATTCTTTACGTCGGAGTCCTGTATTTAGAGCACCGTCCAGCGGATTTCGATTTGAGCTCGTCACGCAACACTCACTGGGAGGGGGTTCCAAGGGAACGTGTTGTGTGACGTTCACACTATAAATTTGATCAGTATGTTTCATATTCCCAAACTGAAATGAGAGCGGGGCATACATGTTCAACTAACGGAAAAAAATAACAAATTGCCAGGTTTGCACGCAGAATCCAAATGGATCTGAAAATTTCCTCAACAAAAGGGCATATTATGATTCAAGCAACTTTGGATTCCGTGGTGTGTTGCGCACAATTTTTTTTCCTTCAAATTGTAAAAAACAAACAAACAAAAACAACAACCACAAGAGTCGAGAGATACACAAGTGGTGACATAGATGGTTTCCCGGCGTTTTTGTGTCAATTATCCAACGGTCCATTTCATTCGATTTCTGTCCCCGGTTTCCCGTTAAATCGATCATTCGGTGTAACTTCTATAAAACTGGTTAGCAAACACGTGTAAGAACTGAACTGAACTGAAACCTAATGAACTCGATATATGAAACGATTAAAAGTGTCAATTACATTATTTGTGATCGTTGTCAATCATTAATAATATTTTGTCACCGTAACATGTTCATATCAGAGTATCCAATACCGATCCCTTTAAAATTCTTACATATCTGCTATAGTACTTAGTCTCGCAAAAATAATGCGCTTTTCTTTGTAAGGTTAAGTGTATGATCATAAGCCACACTTATTACAGTACCTTAGCAGTTTTTTGGTAGTTTTTTTTTTATTTGTCTTAATGTTCGACTGAACATCATTTCATCAATATATCATTCACAGCACATAAATATTTAAACTGAAGAAATATAGCCAAAGGGTTCTCTGACTCTTTCTTATGAGTAAAGCCAGAGGGAAGTGGAGTTAAGAGGTAAATGAGGCCAGGTGTTTTCAAATAGAGAAGAATACCATTCAATGTGGAAATCAAAGAGCACAGCCGGCCGGAAGGAAAAAACAGAGGGAAGACACATGAAAATCAATTCATGGGTAGTGTCAAGGGAACCCTTGTGAAACTTTTTTAAACTTTTCCCTCGAGTCCTGATATGCGAGGAAAAACAAAACTAACTAGTCTTTGAGGGACCATACATTAAGTGCTTTGTTATATATTTAGACTTTCTCTGAAGCAATCACATGGCAAAAACGTGCTGATGCATTCGGTGCGCGGGCAACAACTGCGCAATTGTATTCTGGTCGGGATACATTTGAATTTGATCAGGGGCACGTGACCAAGAATCAACCAATCACAGTGTTCGTTTTGTTGAGTGAAAGTCTAAGTAAATAACAATAGGCTTTGTTAAATAATTAAAAATGACCGTATACAGTCAATTTGGAACAATGGCGGAAACAGTTTTAAAATACACGCGGAATTTTTAAAAATCTCCGTCTATTATACGAGCTGCAAATTTAAACCTTCGGCAAAACTGACGGAAAGACAAATCCTCCCCGTGGGGAGTGATACTGGTAGAAGTTTTTAGGATGCAAATAGTCGTGGGGTGCGTGGATGGTGGGGCGACTGTCTTGAAGACACTATATGCAATAAAACAAACAAGGAACTTGCGTTTAACTGAAAAAAGATGATCAAATTTAATTAAGCTACGGTAAGTAAAATAAACGTTTTTGCTCAAAATAATTACAAAATATGGCTCTGACTGGGTAAAATCTGCTTTACCTTGCTTCTGTTTCGTAGCCACGAGTTAATAATTAGTCCTGGATTTTAACGTAGATAAAAAAAAATTAAAGCAGGTAACCAGCGTTGCAACATCGTCCGGGAACCGAACCTCTTAATTGTTGCATAGTTAATCATTTTTGTTAGTCTAAAATCAGAAGATCTAACTTTCCATCGTGTAATTATCCAGATAAAAAAAGTCTACCTCAAATCACCTACAATACTGTTACAACTCAAATGTTCGTTTATATTCAGGCACGACAGAGGGTTTCGGTTACTCAGGTATCCAAAGTCTTTTACTTAGGTATATTGCATTTTCGTATCGCAATACAAGTGTAAATTCTCTTGTTTTTCATGTACTTTTGGTATATGATATATAGACATGAGTGATCAACTTTAGGCAATTTTTAAGTATTTATATGCGTCTTACAATTTTAAGGTAGACTAGAATTCCACTGGAAAAACTGAGTATGTCTGCTTTAGTAAATGAGGTCTTGGTGTGTAACGATAATATCTCGAGAAAAATCACATCAAAACACGTTTTCCCTTCCCCTCCCATCCACATACCAACCGTTGCATGGGCTCAGATGCAAAAGCGGCCCCAACCCCATGGCACTGACAGCTGTTAGCCTATCAGTTTCCTGGGTGGAAAATTTAAAAAAACAATTATTCCATTCACGCATGTTGGATATAAGATTAATTATAACCAGCTCGGCGTTACGCGCCTCCCTAGCTATTTACCATACGCGCGCTCATGGAGTAATTGTTAGAAAATCAGAGAGGAATGAGCCTTGTTAGTATGCGGCTAAGGTTCCCGTTCTATTTTAACAAGCTAAAAATGGCCTTGGAAGAAACAGCCTGTTGCCTGTTTTTTTTTTTTTTTTTCGTCTAGAGATGGATTAAATCAGCAATGAATGTTCCTCTTCTAACGAATCCATAAATTCAAGGCGTAAGAAGTAGTGGGAGAGTTGTTGGCTTCATTTCCAAAATCAAGCTCCCCACTATCACTCCATTCTTCAAATCCCCCGTAGTTGTTCTCAGTGATCCCAATACCATGATCCGCTCGGTTGCATCCACTTCCTCCTCCTCCAAACATCATAACTGAACCATCACCTGTACTCCACTGACACCAGAATCCAATGCGGTAGCTTCCTTGAATATTGCCACTGCAGTGCGCTTGACTAAAGCCAACAGTGGTCTGGTACAATCCACCATAATACACTGGGCAGCTACCGAGACACTGATCATTGGACCAAACGTTACGGTAACTAAACTTTCCATAAGCGGACATGAATCCTCTGTATGTTTTTCCACCAAAGCAGTTATAATATGTACGAAGAAGAGCAGAGTGTGAACTATCGTCACTGCGCGTGATTTTAATCTCGCTTCCCTGCACCTTCCAGAATGCTTCTGATATCATGTCAGAGTTACTGGATGTGCTTGTAGGGGACCCCTGCGAAGACTGGATATCGTACCACCAGTAAGCGTCATCTCTCATCCAATTTTTCCCATCAGCGTTTGAAAACCGCGCAATGAGTGTCCATCCACCTGAGTTTCCCAACATGTCGCAATAAACCTGGAAGTAAGCGAAAGGATATAACTTCAGGATGTGGATTATTAGGATGTCTTCTTCTTCGAAAGTCGTATAATTTATTAATCATATATAAGGATATATTCAGCTATCAGCTTATGGCCCTACAGATATTTGATTTTCAACATATGATGGGAAACAGAAGAGCTGAAAATCATTAAAATACTGTTTTTCAGGAAATATGTTTGATATGCGATAAAATGACAACTGCAAATTGTTGTGGGTAACTTTACCCAGTTCTAATTACAAGGATCGCTTTAGGATATAGTTTTATGGTTAGGAATTTCTTTTGGAATTTGTGCGTGAATCAATGCTCTAAACCATTTAAAGGCATACTTGTAAAACCTAAACAAAACAAAACCAAAAAAAAAAGGCATTAATCGCAAACGCAACTGAAACCTCTTCTACGATGCTAAAACAATGAATATATTACCTACTCGGTATATCATAATTTGAAAGCAATCGAAAGAGAGTGAAAATGAAAGTTTTACTGGGAAAGAAGGAATCCAAAAACACTTCGAATATAGAGCGGCACAACGCAGGTCAGGATAATAGACCTCATGTCCGTTTTGCCATTTCATCTTAAATTTGCGTTCGGTGATAGTAACTGCTTGTAGAAAGACAGACTTCTTAGCATCTCAAAATGTTTGCTGCGTTTACCATAAACTATTCCCCTTTGACGTAGACAAAAAAACACATTTCTTCTGTTTTGATGACACTTCCAGCAAAATGTAAGTTCAAAAATAAGTCAAACGATTTGAACTTCAAATGTAAGCTTTATAAAAGTCGCCGCTGATCTATCGCTGACGATCGTGTTCGTGAAGTGTCGAAAGATTTTTGTCAAACTCTTCCGTTTACAGTTCTTGCTTGAGGGATATGATGATCTTAACCCATTTAAGCCTGTGCTGGTACTAGTCACGCTCGTCATTTCATCGGTTCACGCCAAACATTTTGCACGTGGTACTTGGAAGCAAACTCAGGGTTTTTAAAGTAACGCTTGAACGCTTGAAAATGCACTTCATTGGGTAGAAAGTCTCGAGCACATGGAAAAATGAAATATATAACCTTGGGAAAATCACCCAGTTTTAAACTATTCAGACTCTGAACGTTCTTCGTAAATTTCCTTTTAAGGTCATAATTTTAATCCTCGGAGAACCTAATTTTTAGCTAAATCTTTTTTTTTCTTCCGGTGATTATTATATTTTTAATTTTTGTATTTTCAAGGGAATAACTTATAATACCACAATTATGCGAAAAAAATGTAGGTCACTGTGCTCATTCAAGAGCAATTTAAGACCACTGCATCAGTTAACCTCGTCTATCGGCCAAAAAGAAAAACAATTCACCATGTTCTCGGAAATCGGGGATATCTACTTTCTATTGTTCTTTAATACGAAAAGTTATAAACAAAAAACATTTCCCAGGTGATTACTATAGGGGGAGGAGTTAGCAGTTACTGCAAGGTTTAAGTTGACGTTCGTTTTGATGGAAAAGTTGTAAAGAAACTGCAGACCTTAAGGGAAAACAAGAATGTTGTAATAGATAGGATAAAGAGTTACCTGGAAAGTATACCCTGATACACTTAAGTAATAAGTTCCACTTGAGGTCCTTCCCACTGCATAGTGACTTTTGCAGGATGTGGCGGTTGCAACTTAATAAGATTCCATCATCAATTGTAAAACGCATGGAGGAAAAATAAAGAAAACATACAGGTGTATTGATTTTTTTACGTTATGTACAGCAGCTTGGTTCATTGAAACTTGAGTTTTTCGCTCGACTATTATTTCAATTCATAACTTATGCCATTTATCTGCCCTTTTTGTACTCATCCCTTTTTCTATTTATCCCAAAAGTTTTCAAAAAGGAATTGACATTCCAACGTCCTAATAAAAGCCATATGAAAGTTGCCTTAGAAAAAACACCAATTAGCATACCTTCACATCGTGATCCTGAATGATAGCTGGAACACGCACAAGTAAAGTTATATACGCCATCTATGCAAGTTCCACCGTTTTGGCAGGGATTGGACTGACATTCATCCGTTTCTAAGTGAAAAAATAAATGACACTTTATACATTTTATACACCAAGATCTATTAAACATAAGTCTTTATATATTCATGCATTGTTCCTGAGATGTTAGAGGAATCTAGCTCTAAATGAAACATTTTAAAGTCAAAACTTCTGATTCAGTCTACTCTTTCCGTGATGTGGAAATTAGTTTTATAGGTTTTTCAGTCAGGAGGTCGTGTTAAATCCTGACCGTGATTTGCATCGAGTAACCCAGCTTCACCTTGACGTTGTCCTCTGCTAAAACACTCTTAAGCCACCAATCTTGTTAAAGATTTCATGATGTGTTAATTTACCATATGCAACGTCCTTTATCTATAATGTTGGACAGTTGGAGTTAACTAACTTGAGCAACTCGCGCAAAATACGGGAGTCTGCTCAGGAACTTTGTTTCACTCTCTGAGACTCAGAATCTCTTCTAATAATTCAGCTCCTAAGTACACACTCTTCAATACCCCATCGGTAGGCATATTTGGGCCTACGAGATAACTGACCTTGGCAAAATAAACATATTTTTAGAGCGCCAACCAGAACAATCTCACAAGACAGTCGATATGACCAACAAAGAACTTAACAATAACCAATCTTCGAGAACTAAAAAGCTAAACAAAACTCCCCGTTGAGGACTCTAAGCAAGGCCAAAGACAAACCTAAATACGACTAATGATGACAATTATCGTACGAGAATTAAGTCCTACTACAACGGTCAAGGACACATCACTAAGGTAAGAATAGATCAAGCCTCACAAGATTGGCATGAGGATTTCAAGGTAATCTAACAGGCCAAAGAAATTACCAAACACTTAGTCAAAACATTCCTAATTTTAGAAGTTCCCTAACACTTTAATTTTAGTAGTTCATAACAATAAAATTCTATTTGAGGTATCATATCACCTTGACATCTATGTCCAAAATACGGCGATGGGCAGGAACATGTAAAATTGTTGACTCCATCAGTACAAGTACCACCATTTAAACAGGGGCTGCTGGAGCACTCATCAATCTCTGTGTAAGAATAAAAATATATAACTAAAGAGTTAAACCAGAAACGAGGTTCAAGCAAAATCGTGTCACCTGTGAGGTAGTACTCACTTTTAACTTCGAGCACCGTGGAAGGGAATCGAAAATGCTTAAAGAAGTATCACGCTCCAAACAGTTATGATAAACCTAAGCAATTATGAATTTTTGTCTTTGTGACTTCATAATGATCAAAAAGAAATTACAGATATGATGCTTGCCTTCACATAGGTCTCCCTTGTGTGTTGCAGGACAAATACAACTAAACTTTCTTTTACCATTGACACATGTACCTCCGTTTAAACATGGGTTGCTAGTACATTCATCATAATCTGTTGATAGGTATTTGAGTATTGAAATTGTTAATACACAACATCAAACATCACCGATATTGAAGGAATGGTGGACGAAATAACTATATATGTAACTATGAAAGCAAAGTGATAACCGCAACGACGCTAATTCATTTATAACATACCAGGAAATTGGTGGTAAGTCTCCTTTTAACAAATAGTTCAAGTAAATAAGGCTCTAAAGGATCCCGAGTTTCAAAGACGGACACCGCTGTCCGGCGACTAAATCAAAATATGAGTCATCAAAAATAAATAAATAAACAATCATTTCACACCCTTTTTGCATGTATATTGATGACATGCAGTACAATCCACATCATTCCACATGTAACCGTGCCCGGGACCAAGAGTGTGTACGCAGTCCTCCCCCCGAAAGTCATTTGGTTGACTCTCTGCCCAGTAGCGGAATTTATCAGGACATCCATCCACCCAGGTGAATAATCCCTCGATAGCAATGTCATTCAAACCGATCCAGGCCTTTTCACCATTGTGTCTGTGTTGAATGTAGACATTCTCTTCCTGACTTTCAATAGCGGGTAAGTTAGCCCCCATTCTTCTGCAGATTGTACTGGCGTTGGACCATGACTCACAGGTATCACTCGTGTAGAAACAGAAGCCATTGTAGAAACTCCAACCTGGCTCACATACATCTGAGTTAGATAGAGAAACAACAAAAGTCTCATTTAAACTTGAATCTATTTAACAACTAGCAAAACTTTGTTCAAAAATATTATCGTATCAAATAGTGCTTGTCTTTCATTATGGGGTAATTATAAGTTTGTTCGTTACATTCACGATAATGTCATTATCGATAGCAGTCGTTTCATTCAACAAAATTTTGAGACAAGCTATCAAACGTTTATTTCTCGGTATTATTTAACAACTAGAGAAGCATTGACTTTGCTCTGTACTTTTGTAGAGCACACAGGAAGGTGTCAGAACACTGAAGAAGTCCGGGAAATGGTCGGAATTGTACAAAATGGCAGATGGCATGACAGCTTTAGCTCCGTGTTTTACACTCTGATAAAACACGCTCTTTCAACTCATGAGAGCGCGCGCTATATCCGAACTTTATTATGATTCGTTTCATACACCAGTTTACACCTTCCTTTCTTTCGGGTAACAACTCACTTTTTTAGTCCAAACCTAAGTCGAGATGATTGGCAAATATTTCTGAACAACCATCGTTTCTCTCTATGTACCAAACATGATATATCTAACCTGGCATAACTGCATATGAAACTGATAGAGGATCATGCTGGTTCACAAATAACTCCTTCACGCATGCTCTGAAGCCAGTCTTGTTGATGTACTACAAAGACAAAGAGAAATACAATCTAACGGCTGAGAGGATCACAGTTAAGTATCAGTAAAGAGCTAAGATCTCTAGTACCTTGTACGTTGTACAATGCTGAATACTTACATAATAATAATAATAATAATAATAATAATAATAATAATAGCAATAATAATTATTATAATTGCAAAAGCACTACTTCAGCACAGATACCAGATATCACTAACCTCAACCCAGGCTGATACGGAGTTATACAGTGGATTAAGGTTTCCTCCATTTGTTGAGTGGTTAGCAGATACCAAAATTGCTGGAGAGTCGTTGTAGGGCTTTTTGAAAACAACATCCTATTGAAACAAATAAAAAACAACAAATCCGTGAAACAGGAAGTAGCTGAGAGTGCATCTAGCAATATCTTTAAGATTCCAAAACATCCTTTTCAGGTCTTTGAAAGAAGAGATGAATTATCCTAAGAGAATACATATGAAAACTAGAGCGAGGAAATCCGCTAGGTTGGTCTTTAAATTAATGGACTGTCCTGCGGCTTTTATTTTCATGGCGGGTGGATGGCTTACATAAACTTCAGACGGAAAAAAGTCTAAGTGATAGAGTCAATATGTAATAACGCGGGTTGATGAGTAAGTTTCACGTGAATTTCAGTAAAAAAGCTCATGGAAAGGCGGTAAAAGCTTAAAGAGTGAGTGATTAACCGAGTGACAGAGTGAGTCAGTGAGAAATTCAATGAGTTATCAAGAAAATGCGTGTGGGATTTAGTAAGTGAGGGATTCAGTGATTCACTGGGTGCATGGTGCATGTGTGCATCGCGAGTGAGTGGGTGAGTGAGTGAATCAAAAATCCTCAATACACGCACTGTGAAACAAACATACCTCGCAAAAAGCATAGTTAAATTCTTCGGATGGTTGTTTCCCGTTGGCAAAGTATAAGGAGCCATGTTCTCTAAACAAGGGTTGATGAAGTTCTTCGAATGCCATCCAATCCTTTCATAAAAACAAAGGTTAAACCATATGAAAAGTATATTCAACTCTATTCTGGTAGGAGTAAGAAAAAGACGGAAAATGAGCTTATCATCGTCGTTAAAACTTTACAGTGAATAAGACTTTCCTTAAATTATGAAACATTACTCAACCTTGTGAAAAACTAAAACCTTAAAAACTGCTTACCACATGGATGCTTTGGTGAGCCCCATCAAAGTTCTGCAGTTCTCTGATACAGATCTTGAAAGAAGTTGTGGTCAAATCTTCCACCCAGACAGAAGACGCATCATGCTTCACTCCCCGCCTTTCATGCTCGGCCGATACGAGGACAGTAGGAAGTGATTTGAACTTTTTCTGCAGCAGCATTAACTCAGAATTAACAGATAGGCACCAACAGCTCTAAGGCTAAGAACGGCTGCTCCTTAAGCCTTGGGAATGTAGTCCAACCTCTACGTTGATATAATATCTCCACAACATAAATAGTCTTATTCTTCCACATTTTATCACCATACATACATACATACATAAAAGCATACATACATACATACATACATATATATATAAAACAATGAATATAGAGGATAAATTTTGAATTTTACAGAAGACTGACTAGTTACTATTTTCTTTGATAGAATGTCAGATTCCCCACCTTTATTATCGTTAACAGCGCGATTATAAGTAATTAATGGAATGGCGACTTGGAATACTAGAAGAAAAAAAAAATATATATATATATATATACATTATTGAAGGGTGTGGCCAACTAACCGGAGGAAAGGAAACTGTGCGGCAGTTCGTTCCAGTCCACCATGTCGGCATGTCCATTTCACCTGACACTCCCCCGTCAGGGGCCCCCTGATATGCTAACCAATCAACCATAGCGAATGTTTTTCCATTTTTCTTTTCATTCCTGCCAGCTTGAGTGACACAAATTGTAAAATTGTTTTCCCTTAAATCCTCGACCCAGGCCACAGCAGCCTCGTGGACATAGGAGGGATCCGAGAAGTTGACGTGATTAACAGATACCTGTACGTGAACAGGTTTGTCAGGATAGAAGACATAAGGAACCAGTGGAACCTGTTCACAAACTGCTTCAGCCCAGTTTGGGTGGTGATGAAGACGATGACGACCTTTCTGTGAAGGGAATCCTGCAGAAAAAGAACGCAAAAATCTCTACCTGTTTCTAATATTCAAGGACGAGTACCATATGCAAGCAACTAGCATGGACGAAGCTAGACTCTTTGAACCCTGCCCAAAATGCGTCTGCATTAAGGCATTCTAAGATTTGCCGTCCCAGCTTTTCGTAGCATTAGAAACCATGACATCGTTTTTCGTTTCTAACATGTGTAGATTAGTACTCTTTATTCTGCCATTTCCACCTTATAATCTGCATCAAACTAAAAACTTTCTTTTGCACTACTTTGTTTTCTTCAGTAAACTCGGAATCTAATAAAGTGTCAAAATAAAGCTTCAAAAGGAAGACACTCTTGTAGTTTCCTGTTATAGATTGAATCAAGAAAAATATTTTTAAGATTTCTGTAACCCTCCGAACTCTAATTCAAATTACCTGTACAATCACCCGGGTGATACAGAGTAAAATTGGCCTTCAAGTGGCACATTTCCCTCTGGAAGATGCACTCGTTGTCGTATGTGGTTCCATTTGATGAACACACAGGCTCGTCGTACGATGGACAATTGTCTACGCATATGCATCTGGCATCTTTGGGTCCAAATGCCTTACAGACGGCAAAATAATTACAAGAAACATTGATGCAAGGATCACGATCTGCGAATTTAAAATATCAACACAAATAGAATCCTTATGAAAACTGAGTAGTACAAAGTAATCTTATCTTATCAGTTGTGTTACACTTAAAAATTTCTCAAATATCGTTAAAAATCAAAACACTTACCTAAGACGACTTTAGGAACTCTTTATTTTCTAGGTGCAAGGACTTTGAGCTGGTCTCTGATAATTGTTTTTTTTTTTTTTTTTTTAAGTGGTAGTGTCGTTAGTTTTTTTTTTTTTTAATAATTACTTCCTTTGATAGCTTTTATCAGCTAAAAGCTAAGAGGAACTTCACTTGAAAGGACCCAGAGAGAACTGCCACAACTAGAGTCATGTTCATGGTCGGTGTCCTGCGCCTCCCAACAGGAGTGAAGATGGCTTGATCTAATCTTAGCTTTGTTTGACTAAGTAGTATTCTGCTAAACGCGTTTAGTATTGTGACATTACTGTAAGAACTGCGCTAAGTTTGAGTAGAATTTTCCAAATAAAAAAAAAAATCCTTTAGAGTGGTGAAAAAATTTCTCGGAAGTATCTTTACGTTAAGCGCTGTAATTATGCATTGGGTCATAGGCAGTCGTAGTTCTACTTGAAACATTAAAAAATGATTCTAATGAAATATAAAAAAAAAACTGCTTGGTCGAGATATTTTAATGCCTTTCTCTCCCATCTACGCGATAAACCCATTCCACCGACTAATAAAAGTAAACGAACGGAAAATGCTGTTGGTAATACCTTAGCATAAGCTACAAGACCTGACCAATCTATCTACCTCCAATAACAACGTAATCCAAAGTAACAGGGTCGTGTTGACTTTCCATTCCTGCTAAGTCTTTTACACACACACGGAAGGATGAGATCGTTATTTCCTGTTGAAAAAAAAACCAGCAACCGGATTAGTTTAATTGTGATAATGCAAAGTATTTTAATATCTGTGATTCTCTGAGATATCAAAAACTGAAGTAAAGAAGTTTCCCTGAGTTCATCGATAGCAAGAGCCTGAGGAAAAGTATTTTCTATTAATAGGCTTGTGGAGATGTGCCACTGGGTGGGACCGCATTTTCACGACTGGATTGACTGTAATGGAGGTTGCATTTCCAGGATTTTGTAAGGAAGTAAATTCTGGTAAGTAAGGCTTTTAAAATGGGAGAATTCACCGTCAAACGAGTCAATTCATTTTAGGATGACTTTCTTAAAGGCTTTATAAGGTAGATACATGAACTGAAAGTGACTAAATTGGGATTGTGAAAATGACACTCGCCCAAAAGTGACTAACTAAGGATGGGGTGTAAATGAAATATAATGAGGTAGAGGTATCGACTCAAGGACACCCCCACCCCCTCCCCGCCCTCCACCCCCACCACCGGGAATAAAAGGTTCTTTTTTTAAAGAGGTGACAATGGTAAGCTCTTTATATATTTTCGAGCATTTAAAAGTGATGTCTTTTGAAAAGGCTTGAATCCCAGGTAAGGTGTGGGTTTAAATTCTGAGCCACAAAGATTTCTATGGAGAAAAAAAACGTTATTAGTGATCCAAAAGGAAGTTATATTCACAGAGGCACGAGTTATAACACTTTACCTCAATCCAAGTATTAAGAACATTGTTCTCTGGCTTGATGGAATATACATTCTTGCTAACGTACAGATGATTTACCGTAACTATGACTACAGGGGGTGCATAAAATTCATCGGTAAAGTTGTGTATCTATAGATAAAAAGTTGACATCAGTAGAATTGAGTATTACAGAACAGAGAAAATATTAACTACACACTTATATTACTTGGCTTAAATCACTTTCTCCGGTTTACTTGAAAGGTGTTCTTGTGTTACTCTAAAGAAAATCGAGTCTTCGACTTACCTTGCAAAAAGCGAAATTGTCCTTTTCCCGAGGAGCTCCGCCATTTTCAAACAACAATTTTCCGTGAAATGTAAGTTGAATACCTCCGTGTGTAAATGCCAGCCAATCCTAAGAGTCAAATGGCATTTTTTTTAAACAATTCGGCCAAAAACAACCCGTCAAAAGTGAAAAGAGCTCTTATTCGGATTAATATAACTGTGAAGAACCTGACACACTTATCTCATAATCCGGAATCATTTTACTTCACCATTTGTTCAGAGGAAACCATTCAATGAACAAACCAAAATATTTCTACATATGCTTCTATGAACTAGAATTATTCTAGTCAAACTTGCCACTTTTAAATTTTGATGCTTTCCATCAAATGTTTTCACTTCCCTCAGGCACACTCTGAAATAATCCGCCTTGAGTTCTTCAACCCAGACATTCATAGCGTCCTGTGGCTTGTTGCTGACAGAATGACGTACTGTAGCCAGCACTTTAGGAATTGACGCAAATCGCTGCAAATAGGATAAAGGAGAAATAATTGTCTTGAACTCGGACTTGCATGATACAAATCACGTTTAGATTTGACCTTACGAACTGTCAGCAATCTATTAAGTTAAGCACTCTCAACTCGTTGCAAACCTTTGATTGCTAAGAAAACAAACTTATGAAATTAAATGACACGGATTTACATTAAAGTTCCGCGAGTATAATGAAGACAGTAACAGATACCAGACCACTTACTTTTAAAACCAGGCTACGCCCCTCCCTTCAGTTTCATATCAGTTTAATACGTCTATGTTCCGCTCATTTTCCGCAAATCTTCTCTTTGTTTCAAGTAATGATACTCTTTTCTAGGAAACTCTCTTTTAAAGCATTTGAACGATGACATTGGAACAGTTGACTGAAAACGTGACACAATTCATGAAGCAGTTGACTACACGCTATACGAAGAAATATTTGTGGTATTGTTGTTTCTGTTGTAGTTTTTGTTGTTGTAAAGAAGAGTAAGAGGAAAATCGGCATTGAATTTTTTTTGGTACCGTAAAGGCTACATAGGTCATAGGAGTACCTGAACAAAGGTAACTCTTTCACATTTTGTTCCGCTGGTAAATACACTGAAGGAGGCGGTGCCATCCAACATTCCAGAAGGGGCACCTCGAAATGCAATCCAGTTCACGACGGCGGATCCATTTGTTCCAAGTCCCGACTCCAACGCACATACGCGAAAACTGTTCTGTGTTACGTCCGACGTCCACACAACAGCCGAGTCGTGTACGCTGCGAGTATTGGACTCATACCCGATGGACGCTATCACCCTTACATTTCTCGAGCTGGAGAATGCACGAGGGAACTGCACGTTCGTGCAGTAAAGCAAGTCAGGATATGACGCAGTGAAGTTGATCTTTCCATCTTGGACCAGAGTTTGTCCTAAATAATAAATAAAACGATAAAATTTAAAGCGAATTTAGAGAATAACGGGGATCTCTTTGCAAATGCAACGATATCTCATCTAATTCTCACCGCTTGCATGCCAATCTTCTCTTTCGATCCAATCTATCGATCGTTTATCTCGCAGGAAAATGATTGCAGAATCTAATAACTTTAAAAGCAATTCCTCTCACCTTCAACCATTAAGGCACTTTTGCATACAACGAAAAGCACCGCCAATAAGTGAGTTCCTGGTAACACCCTCATTTTGCGGATAAACAACAGACCATGAAAGGAGCAGCGTTCAAGCTCGTACGCTCCACGAACCTTTTGTGCTTCTAGAAAATGTTTCATGTTACCTTTATATTCATTCTATCGTCTGTTGTGGTAACAATTTCTCCATACTTGTTTCTACGTAAATGCTTGGGAGAGAATAATTTTTAATCGAAGGAATAAATAAAGAAAAAAAGAGGATCAGCACACTTTGATTTTTTGTGCTTCCCCTGAGAATCTCTGTTTTGATCAGCAAAGATTAGAGAAAGGAACATGTTTAATATCTGAGAATTATCAAGTATCGGGTATATCCACCTATGAAGATTAAGCCTATAAAAGCCTTGGTAGAACCTTGAAGGTTATCCGCAAAAATGTCCAAGTCAGCAGGTCACGTATCGCACGTGCTTCGCCCGATTAAGAATTTACTATGGTGGACCTCTGCCAGTATTTAGCGAGGACTCGAGGTAATAAACATCTTACATTCAACTTCATGTTCCGCTTTCTCATTTGCAACATATACAGTTACAGTAATGTTTGTAAAATTGTTTTATTTTTCTGTAGGCGTGGCGATATAATATTTAATCAAAAAGAAGCTCAGACCAATGTCTTCCAAATTGTACTGCTTCACCTCAATTAATTCTGTCACCTTCAGAATTTCCAGTCCAATTTGTGTTTTTTAAATTGATTGACATAATCCTAAATCTCTAATTTGATTTCCTTCTAGTAAGTGTTTTCTTTCAGCTGGAGTAATTAATTTTGCTTCTAAATCGTGCTCATATTTCTCAGCTTGTGTTGAAGGACAGCAAACAGAAAGTCAAAAGTTCATTCAATTTTTTAAATCCATCGCCTCGAAATGAAAAGGCCCACTTTGAACACACACTCAAAAAAAAACCATCTATTCGCAATTTAGCAGCTCAAATAATGTAGGACCATCACCAGTCTCATAGACTGCGTTTAGTCGAAAGGCCACTTTCTTGCATAACCTGTCAATCAAGTTCAGCCACTCACTCTTCGTTCTGAAATGTCCCATCATACTCATTGCCATGATATGAATGCCACGAAAATCCAGATGTAAACCAGTTTTGTTAACATTATGCTCCGTATCTTTCGCTTCAGGGTTGCAACTGTTAACAATAATAAATTTGCGATGTGCAGCAAGAACTTGACGACAGTTTTCCAAAACTTTTACCATCCCATCTTCTGTAAAAATTACAAATAAATTTTTCGCAATGATTGTATCTACCTCTTTGCCTTTCGGAATTCCATCCAGGATGTCTCCTTTCAGCAATGTCACTCTGTGATCTGGTACATTCCTTTGGCTAGGAACAATTTGGCACGCTCGACTACATCGGGAAAGTCAATTAATACTCCTTTAATATGTTCACAGTCTCTGCGATAAAAACTGACTCTTTCTTCCCCCAATGTCCATGATTCGATCGCTCTTGACCCAGGGATACACTATAAACAAAGTTGGCTGCGCGCTGTCCAAATCCATCTTGGACAATGTGATCATTGCACGATTGTAATTGTGTACGAATTCTGATCTCCTCTGTTTCATACCCATGTCAGAAACCATATCTCCTGACCTCGTGGGAGCAAAATACTCCATTTCCTCAGCTCTGTAAATGTAGTCATACAGATTCAATCCATAAGCACGTTCAAACGCTGTACCACCGCTATCTTTGACCGCCTTTCGAAAAGCCAACATGGCGGCCCAAAGTTCATCGCTCGCGTAGTATCCAACCATTTGGCCAAGACTCGGTCCTTTGTCTTTCCTCAGCAACTCCATGGCTCAATTGGCCTTAAAGTGTTTCTCGCTTAATTCCTCCCCAATTCCCCTCTGAGGCATAGTTCTTAAAACCTTGTAGATCTTTTCGTCTGTGTGGCAGGCGGTTCGCTGAGCGATCTCTTGAATCCTGACAGGAGTGACCGAGTTACACAGCAATTCTGGGACAGCAGCGGCTCTTCCATATTCCTGACAGCATGGATGAAATAAGTTTCACTTCTTTCCTTCAGCCATATCTTTACGTGGGAGTCCTGTATTTAGAGCACCGTCCAACCTATTTCGAGTTGAGCTCGTCACGCAACACTCACTGGGAGAGGGTTCCAAGGAAACGTGTTGTGTGACATGTCCACACTATGAATTTGCTCAGTATATTTCATATTCCCAAACTGAAATGAGAGAAATGAGAGCGGGACATACATGTACAACTATCGGTAAAAAATTACAATTGCCAGTTTTGCGCGCAGAATCCAAATTTCCTCAACAAAGGTGCATATTATGATTCAAGCAACTTTGGATTCCGTGGTGTGTCGCGCACAATTTTTTTGCCTTCAAATCGTAAAAAACAAAACAAAAAACAAACAAAAACAACAAAGAACAACAACCACAAGAGTCGAGAGATACACAAGTCGTGACAAAGTTCATTTCAGAGCATTCCATCGATCCCTTAAATTCTTACATATCTGCTATAATGCTTAGTTCCGCGAAAATAATGCGCTTCTCTCATTAAGTGCTTTGTTATATATTTAGACTTTCTCTTAAACAACTATATGGCAAAAACATGCTGTTGCATTTGGCGCGCGGGCAACAACTGCGCAATTGTATCTCGGTCGGGATACATTAGAATTTAATCATGGGCACGTGACGAAGAATCAACCAATCACAGCGCTAGTTTTGTTGAGTGAAAGTCTAGGTGCATAACAGTAGGCTTCGTAAAATGATTAAAAATGACCGTATATGGCCACTTTGGAACAATGGCGGAAACAGTTTAAAATACACGTGGAATTTTTCAAAATTTCCGTTTATCATACGAGCGGCAAATTTAAATCATCGGCAAAATTGACGAAAAGACGAATCCTTCCCATGGGGCGTGATACTGGTGGAAGTTTTTAGGATACAAATAGTCAGAGTGGGGTGGATGGTGGGGCGACTGTCTTGAGGACACTATGTACAATACAACAAACAAGGAACTTGCCTTTAAATAAAAAGGGAAGATCCAATTTAATTAAGCTACGGCAATTCTAAGAAAAATAAACGTTTTTGCTTAAAATAATTACAAAATATGGCTCCGACTGGGTAAAATCTACTTTACATTGCTTCTGTTTCGTAACTACGAGTTAATAATTAGTCCTGGATTTTGACGTAGATAAAAAATCAAAGCAGGTAACCAGCATTGCTATATCGTCCGGGAACCGAACCTCTTAATTGTTGCCTAGTTAATCGTTTTTGTTAGTCTAAAATCAGAAGATCTTACTTTCCATCATGTAATTATCCAGATGGAAAAGAGTTTACATTAAATCACCTATAATACTGTTACAAATCGACTGTTCGTTTATATTCAGGCACGGCCAGAGGATTTCGGTTACTCAGGAATCAGAGGTCTTTTTTACTTATGTATATTGCATTTTCGTATCGCATGTTTTTCATGTACTTTTGTAATGTGATATATAGACATGAGTCATCAACTCGAGCAATTTCAGGTATTTATATCCGTCTTAGAATTTTATGGTAGATTAGAATTCGTTTGGAAAAATTGAGGATATCTGCTTTAGTAAATGAGATCTTGGTGTGCAACGACAATATCTCGTGAAAAAATACATCAAAGCACGTCTCCCCTCCCCCTTCCATTCACATACTAACCGTTGGATAGTTGACAACCATGGCATTGACAACTGTTAACCTATTTCCCAAGGTGGAAAATTGAATAAAGCAATTATTCCCTTCGCGCATGTTGGATATGAGATTAATTATAACCAGCTCGGCGTTACGCGCCTCCCTGACTATTTAACATCTCGTGTTCAACGCATGCTCATGGAATAATTGTTCGACAATCAGAGAGGAAAGAGCTTTCTAAGTCTACGGCTATGGTTCCCTTTCTTCTTTAACAAGCTTAAAAAAGGCTTTGGAAGACACAGCCTGATCTTTTTTTTGTACACAAGATGTCATCATACGTGGATTAAATTAGCAATGAATGTTTCTCGTTCTAACGAATCCATAAATTCAAGGCGTAAGAAGTAGTAGGAGAGTTGTAGTTGTTGGCTTCATTTCCAAAATCAATCTCCCCTCTACCGCTCCATTCTTCAAATCCTCCGTAGTCATTCTCAGTGATCCCAATACCATGATCCGCTCGACTGCATCCACTTCCTCCTCCTCCAAACATCATAACTGAACCATCACCTGCGTCCCACTGACACCAGAATCCAATGCGGTAGCTTCCTTGAATATTGCCACTGCAGTGCGCTTGACTAAAGCCAACAGTGGTCTGGTACAATCCACCATAATATACTGGGCAGGTACCAAGACACTGATCATTGGACCAAACGTTACGGTAACTAAACTTTCCATAAGCGGACATGAATCCTCTGCATGTTTTTCCACCGAAGCAGTTATTATATGTACGAAGAAGAGCAGAGTTTGAACTATCGTCACTGCGCGTGATTTTAATCTCGCTTCCCTGCACCTTCCAGAATGCTTCTGATATCATGTCAGAGTTACTGGATGTGCTTGTAGGGGACCCCTGCGAAGACTGGATATCGTACCACCAGTAAGCGTCATCTCTCATCCAATTTTTCCCATCAGCGTTTGAAAACCGCGCAATGAGTGTCCATCCACCTGAGTTTCCCGACATGTCGCAATAAACCTGGAAGTAAGCGAAAGGATATAACTTCAGGATGTGGATTATTAGGATGTCTTCTTCTTCGAAAGTCGTATAATTTATTAATCATATATAAGGATACATTCAGCTACCAGCTTATGGCCCTACAGATATTTGATTTTCAACATATGATGGGAAACAGAAGAGCTGAAAATCATTAAAATACTGTTTTTCAGGAAATATGTTTGATATGCGATAAAATGACAACTGCAAATTGTTGTGGGTAACTTTACCCAGTTCTAATTACAAGGATCGCTTTAGGATATAGTTTTATGGTTAGGAATTTCTTTTGGAATTTGTGCGTGAATCAATGCTCTAAACCATTTAAAGGCATACTTGTAAAACCTAAACAAAACAAAACCAAAAAAAAAAAAGACATTAATCGCAAACGCAACTGAAACCTCTTCTACGATGCTAAAACAATGAATATATTACCTACTCGGTATATCATAATTTGAAAGCAAATCGAAAGAGAGTGAAAATGAAAGTTTTACTGGGAAAGAAGGAATCCAAAAACACTTGGAATGTAGAGCGGCTTATGGTAGTGTCGTGCACAAGAAAGAGAGGACTCAAAAACCCTAGAGCGTCCTACCCGACCTCATACTGGCCAAAACGTTTGCCTTATATTTCTATTCTCATTCCTACTATCTATCGTTATGACAAAAATGTGTTTTGGTAGATAGATAGCCTTAGGCGACCAAAATATACCAATTCTAATTAAACACCGTGTCATACAAAGCGGTCGACGAAAGGAACCAGAGGAACTGAACATCTTCACTTAACAAGGGGAAGCTGAGTATTGGAAAACATGTGTCTCGAACATCACACAACTTAAAGATGTGGCGCCTGAATTATCCGGAAACACTCTCGGCACAACGCAGGTCAGAATAATGGACCTCATGTCCGTTTTGCCATTTCATCTTAAATTTGCGTTGGGTGATAGTAACTGCTTGCAGAAAGACAGACTTCTTAGCATCTCAAATGTTTGCTGCGTTTATCATAAACTATTCCCCATTGACGTAGACAAAAAACACATTTCTTCTGTTTTTATGACAATTCCAGCAAAATGTAAGTTCAAAAATAGGTCAAACGATTTGAACTTCAAATGTAAGCTTTATACAAGTCGCCGCTGATCTATCGCTGACGATCGTGTTCGTGAAGTGCCGAAAGATTTTTGTCAAACTCTTCCGTTTACCGTTCTTACTTGAGGGATATGATGATCTTAACCCATTTAAGCCTGTGCTGGTACTAGTCACGCTCGTTATTTCATCGGTTCACGCCAAACATTTTGCACGTGGTACTTGGAAGCAAACTCAGGGATTTTAAAGTAACGCTTGAATGCTTGAAAATGCACTTCATTGGGTAGAAAGTCTCGAGCACATGGAAAAATGAAATATATAACCTTGGGAAAATCACCCAGTTTTAAACTATTCAGACTCTGAACGTTCTTCGTAAATTTCCTTTTAAGGTCATAATTTCAATCCTCGGAGAACGGATCTCGCTATCATTTTTAGATAAATCTTTTTTATTCTTCCGGTGATTATTATATTTTTAATTTTTGTATTTATAGGGAATAACTCTTAATACCACAATTATGCGAAAAAAAATGTAGGTCACTGTGCTCATTCAAGAGCAATTTAAGACCACTGCATCAGTTAACCTCGTCTATCGGCCAAAAAGAAAAACAATTCACCATGTTCTCGGAAATCGGGGATGTCTACTTTCTATTGTTCTTTAATACGAAAAGTTATAAACAAAAAACATTTCCTAGGTGATTACTACGGGGGGAGGAGTTAGCGGTTACTGCAAGGTTTAAGTTGACGTTCCTTTTAATGGGAAAAGTTGTAAAGAAACTGCAGACCTTAGGGGAAAACAAGAATGTTGTCTTAGATAGGATAAAGAATTACCTGGAAAGTGTACCCTGATACACTTAAGTAATAAGTTCCACTTGAGGTCCTTCCCACTGCATAGTGACTCTTGCAGGATGTGGCGGTTGCAACTTAATAAGATTCCATTATCAATTGTAAAACGCACGGAGGAAAAATAAAGAAAACATACAGGTGTATTGATTTTTTTACGTTACGTACAGCAGTTAGGTTCATTGAAACTTGAGTTTTTCGCTTGACTATTATTTCAATTCATAACTTACGCCATTTATCTGCCCTTTTTGTGCTCATCCCTTTTTCTATTTATCCCAAAAGTTTTCAAAAAGGAATTAACATTCCAACGTCCTAATTAAAGCCATATGAAAGTTTCCTTAGAAAAAACACCAATTAGCATACCTTCACATCGTGATCCTGAATGATAGCTGGAACACGCACAAGTAAAGTTATATACGCCATCTATGCAAGTTCCACCGTTTTGGCAGGGATTGGACTGACATTCATCCGTTTCTAAGTGACGAAATAAATGACACTTTATACATTTTATACACCAAGATCTATTAAACATAAGTCTTTATATATTCATGCATTGTTCCTGAGATGTTAGAGGAATCTAGCTCTAAATGAAACATTTTAAAGTCAAAACTTCTGATTCAGTCTACTCTTTCCGTGATGTGGAAATTAGTTTTATAGGTTTTTCAATCAGGAGGTCGTGTTAAATCCTGACCGTGATTTGCATCGAGTAACCCAGCTTCACCTTGACGTTTTCCTCTGCTAAAATACTCTTAAGCCACCAATCTTGTTAAAGATTTCATGATGTGTTAATTTACCATATGCAACGTCCTTTATCTATAATGTTGGACAGTTGGAGTTAACTAACTTGAGCAACTCGCGCAAAGTACGGGAGTCTGCTCAGGAACTTTGTTTCACTCTCTGAGACTCAGAATCTCTTCTAATAATTCAGCTCCTAAGTACACACTCTTCAATACCCCATCGGTAGGCATATTTGGGCCTACGAGATAACTGACCTTGGCAAAATAAACATATTTTTAGAGCGCCAACCAGAACAATCTCACAAGACAGTCGATATGAACAACAAAGAACTTAACAATAACCAATCTTCGAGAACTAAAAAGCTAAACAAAACTCCCCGTTGAGGACTCAAAGCAAGGCCAAAGACAAACCTAAATACGACTAATGATGACGATTATCGTACGAGAATTAAGTCCTACTACAACGGTCAAGGACACATCACTAAAAAGGTAAGAATAGATCAAGCCTCACAAGATTGGCATGAGGATTTCAAGATAATCTAACAGGCCTAAGAAATTACCATACACTTAGTCAAAACATTCCTAATTTTAGAAGTTCCCTAACACTTTAATTTTAGTAGTTCATAACAATAAAATTCTATTTGAGGTATCATATCACCTTGACATCTATGTCCAAAATACGGCGATGGGCAGGAACATGTAAAATTGTTGACTCCATCAGTACAAGTACCACCATTTAAACAGGGGCTGCTGGAGCACTCATCAATCTCTGTGTAAGAATAAAAATATATAACTAAAGAGTTAAACCAGAAACGAGGTTCAAGCAAAATCGTGTCACCTGTGAGGTAGTACTCACTTTTAACTTCGAGCACCGTGGAAGGGAATCGAAAATGCTTAAAGAAGTATCACGCTCCAAACAGTTATGATAAACCTAAGCAATTATGAATTTTTGTCTTTGTGACTTCATAATGATCAAAAAGAAATTACAGATATGATGCTTGCCTTCACATAGGTCTCCCTTGTGTGTTGCAGGACAAATACAACTAAACTTTCTTTTACCATTGACACATGTACCTCCGTTTAAACATGGGTTGCTAGTACATTCATCATAATCTGTTGATAGGTATTTGAGTATTGAAATTGTTAATACACAACATCAAACATCACCGATATTGAAGGAATGGTGGACGAAATAACTATGTATGTAACTATGAAAGCAAAGTGATAACCGCAACGACGCTAATTCATTTACAACATACCAAGAAATTGGTGGTAAGTCTCCTTTTAACAAATAGTTCAAGTAAATAAGGCTCCAAAACATCTCGAGTTCCAAAGACGGACACCGCTGTCCGGCGACTAAATCAAAATATGAGTCATCAAAAATAAATAAATAAACAATCATTTCACACCCTTTTTGCATGTATATTGATGACAAGCAGTACAATCCACATCATTCCACATGTAACCGTGCCCGGGACCAAGAGTGTGTACGCAGTCCTCCCCCCGAAAGTCATTTGGTTGACTCTCTGCCCAGTAGCGGAATTTATCAGGACATCCATCCACCCAGCTGAATAATCCCTCGATAGCAATGTCATTCAAACCGATCCAGGCCTTTTCACCATTGTGTCTGTGTTGAATGTAGACATTTTCTTCCTGACTTTCAATAGCGGGTAAGTTAGCCCCCATTTTTCTGCAGATTGTACTAGCGTTGGACCATGACTCACAGGTATCACTCGTGTAGAAACAGGAGCCATTGTAGAAACTCCAACCTGGCTCACATACATCTGAGTTTGGTAGAGAAACAACAAAAGTCTCATTTAAACTTGAATCTATTTAACAACTAGCAAAACTTTGTTCAAAAATATTATCGTATCAAATAGTGCTTGTCTTTCATTATGGGGTAATTATAAGTTTGTTCGTTACATTCACGATAATGTCGTTATCGATAGCAGTCGTTTCATTCAACAAATTTTGAGACAAGCTATCATACGTTTATTTCTCGGTATTATTTAACAACTAAAGAAGCATTGACTTTGCTCTGTACTTTTGTAGAGCACACAGGAAGGTGTCAGAACACTGAAGAAGTCCGGGAAATGGTCGGAATTGTACAAAATGGCAGATGGCATGACAGCTTTAGCTCCGTGTTTTACACTCTGATAAAACACGCTCTTTCAACTCATGAGAGCGCGCGCTATATCCGAACTTTATTATGATTCGTTTCATACACCAGTTTACACCTTCCTTTCTTTCGGGTAACAACTCACTTTTTTAGTCCAAACCTAAGTCAAGATGATTGGCAAATATTTCTGAACAACCATCGTTTCTCTCTATGTGCCCAACGCGATATATCTAACCTGGCATAACTGCATATGAAACTGATAGAGGATCATGCTGGTTCACAAATAACTCCTTCACGCATGCTCTGAAGCCAGTCTTGTTGATGTACTACAAAGACAAAGAGAAATACAATCTAACGGCTGAGAGGATCACAGTTAAGTATCAGTAAAGAGCTAAGTATCTCTAGTACCTTGTACGTTGTACAATGCTGAATACTTACATAATAATAATAATAATAGCAATAATAATTATTATAATTGCAAAAGCACTATTTCAGCACAGATACCAGGTATCACTAACCTCAACCCACGCTGATACGGAGTTATACAGTGGATTAAGGTTTCCTCCATTTGTTGAGTGGTTAGCAGATACCAAAATTGCTGGAGAGTCGTTGTAGGGCTTTTTGAAAACAACATCCTATTGAAACAAATAAAAAACAACAAATCCGTGAAACAGGAAGTAGCTGAGAGTGCATCTAGCAATATCTTTAAGATTCCAAAACATCCTTTTCAGGTCTTTGAAAGAAGAGATGAATTATTCAAAGAGAATACATATGAAAACTAGAGCGAGGAAATCCGCTAGGTTGGTCTTTAAATTAGTGGACTGCCCTGCGGCTCTTATTTTCATGGCGGGTGGATGGCTTACATAAACTTCAGACGGAAAAAAAGTCTAAGTGATAGGGTCAATATGTAATAACGCGGGTTGATGAGTAAGTTTCACGTGAATTTCAGTAAAAAAGCTCATGGAAAGGCGGTAAAAGCTTAATGAGTGAGTGATTAATCGAGTGACAGAGTGAGTCAGTGAGAAATTTAATGAGTTATCAAGAAAATGCGTGTGGGATTTAGTAAGTGAGGGATTCAGTGATTCACTGGGTGCATGGTGCATGTGTGCATCGCGAGTGAGTGGGTGAGTGAGTGAATCAAAAATCCTCAATACACGCACTGTGAAACAAACATACCTCGCAAAAAGCATAGTTAAATTCTTCGGATGGTTGTTTCCCGTTGGCAAAGTATAAGGAGCCATGTTCTCTAAACAAGGGTTGATGAAGTTCTTCGAATGCCATCCAATCCTTTCATAAAAACAAAGGTTAAACCATATGAAAAGTATATTCAACTCTATTCTGGTTGGAGTAAGAAAAAGACGGAAAATGAGCTTATCATCGTCGTTAAAACTTTAGAGAGAATAAGACTTTCCTTAAATTATGAAACATTACTCAACCTTGTGAAAAACTAAAACCTTAAAAACTGCTTACCACATGGATGCTTTGGTGAGCCCCGTCAAAGTTCTGCAGTTCTCTGATACAGATCTTGAAAGAAGTTGTGGTCAAATCTTCCACCCAGACAGAAGACGCATCATGCTTCACTCCCCGCCTTTCATGCTCGGCCGATACGAGGACAGTAGGAAGTGATTTGAACTTTTTCTGCAGCAGCATTAACTCAGAATTAACAGATAGGCACCAACAGCTCTAAGGCTAAGAACGGCTGCTCCTTAAGTCTTGGGAATGTAGTCCAACCTCTACGTTGATATAATATCTCCACAACATAAATAGTCTTATTCTTCCACATTTTATCACCATAAATACATACATACATAAAAGCATACATACATACATACATACATACATACATACATACATATATATATAAAACAATGAATATAGAGGATAAATTTTGAATTTTACAGAAGACTGACTAGTTACTATTTTCTTTGATAGAATGTCAGATTCCCCACCTTTATTATCGTTAACAGCGCGATTATAAGTAACTAATGGACTGGCGACTTGGAATACTAGAAGAAAAAAAAAAAATATATATATATATATACATTATTGAAGGGTGTGGCCAACTAACCGGAGGAAAGGAAACTGTGCGGCAGTTCGTTCCAGTCCACCATGTCGGCATGTCCATTTCACCTGACACTCCCCCGTCAGGGGCCCCCTGATATGCTAACCAATCAACCATAGCGAATGTTTTTCCATTTTTCTTCTCATTCCTCCCAGCTTGAGTGACACAAATTGTAAAATTGTTTTCCCTTAAATCCTCGACCCAGGCCACAGCAGCCTCGTGGACATAGGAGGGATCCGAGAAGTTGACGTGATTAACAGATACCTGTACGTGAACAGGTTTGTCAGGATAGAAGACATAAGGAACCAGTGGAATCTGTTCACAAACTGCTTCAGCCCAGTTTGGGTGGTGATGAAGACGATGACGACCTTTCTGTGAAGGGAATCCTGCAGAAAAAGAACGCAAAAATCTCTACCTGTTTCTAACATTCAAGGACGAGTACCATATGCAAGCAACTAGCACAGACGAAGCTAGACTCTTTGAACCCTGCCCAAAATGCGTCTGCATTAAGGCATTCTAAGATTTGCCGTCCCAGCTTTTCGTAGCATTAGAAACCATGACATCGTTTTTCGTTTCTAACATGTGTAGATTAGTACTCTTTATTCTGCCATTTCCACCTTATAATCTGCATCAAACTAAAAACTTTCTTTACACTACTTTGTTTTCTTCAGTAAACTCGGAATCTAATAAAGTGTCAAAATAAAGCTTCAAAAGGAAGACATTCTTGTAGTTTCCTGTTATAGATTGAATCAAGCAAAATATTTTTAAGATTTCTGTAACCCTCCGAACTCTCATTCAAATTACCTGTACAATCACCCGGGTGATACAGAGTAAAATTGGCCTTCAAGTGGCACATTTCCCTCTGGAAGATGCACTCGTTGTCGTATGTGGTTCCATTTGATGAACACACAGGCTCGTCGTACGATGGACAATTGTCTACGCATATGCATCTGGCATCTTTGGGTCCAAATGCCTTACAGACGGCAAAATAATTACAAGAAACATTGATGCAAGGATCACGATCTGCGAATTTAAAATATCAACACAAATAGAATCCTTATGAAAACTGAGTAGTACAAAGTAATCTTATCTTATCAGTTGTGTTACACTTAAAAATTTCTCAAATATCGTTAAAAATCAAAACACTTACCTAAGACGACTTTAGGAACTCTTTATTTTCTAGGTGCAAGGACTTTGAGCTGGTCTCTGATAATTGTTTTTTTTTTTAAGTGGTAGTGTCGTTAGTTTTTTTTAATAACTACTTCCTTTGATAGCTTTTATCAGCTAAAAGCTAAGAGGAACTTCACTTGAAAGGACCCAGAGAGAACTGCCACAACTAGAGTCATGTTCATGGTCGGTGTCCTGCGCCTCCCAACAGGAGTGAAGATGGCTTGATCTAATCTTAGCTTTGTTTGACTAAGTAGTATTCTGCTAAACGCGTTTAGTATTGTGACATTACTGTAAGAACTGCGCTAAGTTTGAGTAGAATTTTCCAAATAAAAAAATCCTTTAGAGTGGTGAAAAAATTTCTCGGAAGTATCTTTACGTTAAGCGCTGTAATTATGCATTGGGTCATAGGCAGTCGTAGTTCTACTTGAAACATTAAAAAATGATTCTAATGAAATATAAAAAAAAACTGCTTGGTCGAGATATTTTAATGCCTTTCTCTCCCATCTACGCGATAAACCCATTCCACCGACTAATAAAAGTAAACGAACGGAAAATGCTGTTGGTAATACCTTAGCATAAGCTACAAGACCTGACCAATCTATCTACCTCCAATAACAACGTAATCCAAAGTAACAGGGTCGTGTTGACTTTCCATTCCTGCTAAGTCTTTTACACACACACGGAAGGATGAGATCGTTATTTCCTGTTGAAAAAAAAACCAGCAACCGGACTAGTTTAATTGTGATAATGCAAAGTATTTTAATATCTGTGATTCTCTGAGATATCAAAAACTGAAGTAAAGAAGTTTCCCTGAGTTCATCGATAGTAAGAGCCTGAGGAAAAGTGTTTTCTATTAATAGGCTCGTGGAGATGTGCCACTGGGTGGGACCACATTTTCACGACTGGATTGACTGTAATGGAGGTTGCATTTCCGGGATTTTGTGGGGAAGTAAATTCTGGTAAGTAAGGATTTTAAAATGGGAGAATTCACCGTCAAACGAGTCAATTCATTTTAGGATGACTTTCTTAAAGGCTTTATAAGGTAGATACTTGAACTGAAAGTGACTAAATTGGGATTGTGGAAATGATATTCGCCCAAAAGTGACTAACTAAGGATGGGGTGTAAATAAAATATAATGAGGTAGAGGTATCGACTCAAGAACACCCCCACCCACCCCCCCACCCCCACCACCGGGAATAAGAGGTTCTTTTTTTTTAAAGAGGTGACAATGGTAAGCTCTTTATATATTTTCGAGCATTTAAAAGTGATGTTTTTTGAAAAGGCTTGAATCTCAGGTAAGGTGTGGGTTTAAATTCTGAGCCACAAAGATTTCTATGGAGAAAAAACGTTATTAGTGATCCAAAAGGAAGTTATATTCACAGAGGCACGAGTTATAACACTTTACCTCAATCCAAGTATTAAGAACATTGTTCTCTGGCTTGATGGAATATACATTCTTGCTAACGTACAGATGATTTACCGTAACTATGACTACAGGAGGTGCATAAAATTCATCGGTAAAATTGTGTACCTATAAAGAAAAAGTTGACATCAGTACAATTGAGTATTACAGAACAGAGTAAATATTAACTACACACTTATATTACTTGGCTTAAATCACTTTCTCCGGTTTACTTGAAAGGTGTTCTTGTGTTACTTTAAAGAAAATCGAGTCTTCGACTTACCTTGCAGAAAGCGAAATTGTCCTTTTCCCGAGGAGCTCCGCCATTTTCAAACAACAATTTTCCGTGAAATGTAAGTTGAATACCTCCGTGTGTAAATGCCAGCCAATCCTAACAATTGAATGGCATTTTTTTTAAACAATTCGGCTGAAAACAACCGGTCAAAAGTGAAAAGTGCTCTTATTCAGAGTAACAAAAGTTTGAAGACCCTGACACACTTATCTCATAATCCGGCTAAAACTTCCTGAATCCTTTTACTTCAGAATTTGTCGAGGAACCCGTCAAAAGTGAAAAGAGCTCTTATTCGGATTAATATAACTGTGAAGAACCTGACACACTTATCTCATAATCTGGAATCATTTTACTTCACCATTTGTTCAGAGGAAACCATTCAATGAACAAACCAAAATATTTCTACATATGCTTCTATGAACTAGAATTATTCTAGTCAAACTTGCCACTTTTAAATTTTGATGCTTTCCATCAAATGTTTTCACTTCCCTCAGGCACACTCTGAAATAATCCGCCTTGAGTTCTTCAACCCAGACATTCATAGCGTCCTGTGGCTTGTTGCTGACAGAATGACGTACTGTAGCCAGCACTTTAGGAATTGACGCAAATCGCTGCAAATAGGATAAAGGAGAAATAATTGTCTTGAACTCAGACTTGCATGATACAAATCACGTTTATATTTGACCTTACGAACTGCCAGCAATCTATTAAGTTAAGCACTCTCAACTCGTTTCAAACCTTTGAGTGCTAAGAAAACAAACTTATGAAATTAAATGACACGGATTTACATTAAAGTTCCGCGAGTATAATGAAGACAGTAACAGATACCAGACCACTTACTTTTCAAACCAGGTTACGCCCCTCCCTTCAGTTTCATATCAGTTTAATACGTCTATGTTCCGCTCATTTTCCGCAAATCTTCTCTTTGTTTCAAGTAATGATACTCTTTTCTAGGAAACTCTCTTTTAAAGCATTTGAACGATGACATTGGAACAGTTGACTGAAAACGTGACATAATTCATGAAGCAGTTGACTACACGCTATACGAAGAAATATTTGTGGTATTGTTGTTCTGTTATAGTTTTTGTTGTTGTAAAGATGAGTAAGAGGAAAATCGGCATTGAATTTTTTTTGGTACCGTAAAGGCTAAATAGGTCATAGGAGTACCTGAACAAAGGTAACTCTTTCACATTTTGTTCCACTGGTAAATGCACTGAAGGAGGCGGTGCCATCCAACATTCCAGAAGGGGCACCTCGAAATGCAATCCAGTTCACGACGGCGGATCCATTTGTTCCAAGTCCCGACTCCAACGCACATACGCGAAAACTGTTCTGTGTTACGTCCGACGTCCACACAACAGCCGAGTCGTGTACACTGCGAGTATTGGACTCATACGCGATGGACGCTATCACCCTTACATTTCTCGAGCTGGAGAATGCACGAGGGAACTGCACGTTCGTGCAGTAAAGCAAGTCAGGATATGACGCAGTGAAGTTGATCTTTCCATCTTGGACCAGAGTTTGTCCTAAATAATAAATAAAACGATAGTATTTAAAGCGAATTTAGAGAATAACGGGGATCTCTTTGCAAATGCAACGATATCTCATCTAATTCTCACCGCTTGCATGCCAATCTTCTCTTTCGATCCAATCTATCGATCGTTTATCTCGCCGGAAAATGATTGCAGAATCTAATAACTTTAAAAGCAATTCCTCTCACCTTCAACCATTAAGGCACTTTTGCATACAACGAAAAGCACCGCCAATAAGTGAGTTCCTGGTAACACCCTCATTTTGCGGATAAACAACAGACCATGAAAGGAGCAGCGTTCAAGCTCGTACGCTCCACGAACCTTTTGTGCTTCTAGAAATGTGTCATGTTACCTTTATATTCATTCTATCGTCTGTTGTGGTAACAATTTCTCCATACTTGTTTCTACGTAAATGTTTGGGAGAGAATAATTTTTAATCGAAGGAATAAATAAAGAAAAAAAGAGGATCAGCACACTTTGATTTTTTGTGCTTCCCCTGAGAATCTCTGTTTTGATCAGCAAAGATTAAAGAAAGGGACATGTTTAATATCTGAGATTTATCAAGTATCAGGTATATCCACCTATGAAGATTAACCCTATAGAACCTTGAAGGTTATCCGCAAAAATGTCCAAGTCAGCAGGTCACGTATTGCACGTGCTTCGCCTGATTAAGAGTTTACTATGGTGGACTTCTACCAGCATTTAGCGAGGACTCGAGGTAATGAACATCTTACATTCAACTTCATGTTCCGCTTTCTCATTTGCAACATATACAGTTACAGTAATGTCTGTAAAATTGTTTTATTTTTCTGTAGGCGTGGGGATATAATATTTAATCAAAAAGAAGCTCAGACTAATGTCTTCCAAATTGTACTGCTTCACCTCAATTAATTCTGTCACCTTCAGAAGGTCGGGTCCAATTTGTGTTTTTTAAATTGATTGACATAACCCTAAATCTCTAATTTGATTTCCTTCCAGTAAGTGCTTTCTTTCAGCTGGAGTAATTAATTTTTCTTCTAAATCGTGCTCATATATCTCAGCTTGTGTTGAAGGACAGCAAACAGAAGTCAAAAGTTCATTCAATTTTTTAAATCCATCGCCTCCAAATGAAAAGGCCCACTTTGAACACACAAGAAAGAAAAAAACCATCTATTCGCAATTTAGCAGCTCAAACAATGTAGGACCATCACCAGTCTCATAGACTGCGTTTAGTCGAAAAGCCACTTTCTTGCATAACCTGTCAATCAAGTTCAGCCACTCACTCTTCGTTCTAAAATGTCCCATCTTACTCATTGCCATGATATGAATGCCACGAAAACCCAGCTGTAAACCAGTTTTGGTAACATTATGCTCCGTATCTCTCGCTTCAGGGTTGCAACTGTTAACAATAATAAATTTGCCATGTGCAGCAAGAACTTGACGACAGTTTTCCAAAACTTTTACCATCTCATCTTCTGTAAAAATTACAAATAAATTTTTCACAATGATTGTATCTACCTCTTTGCACTTCGGTATTCCATCCAGGATGTCTCCTTTCAGCAATGTCACTCTGTGATCTGGTACATTTTCTTTGGCTAGGAACAATTTAGCACGCTCGACTACATCGGGAAAGTCAAATAATACTCCTTTAATATGTTCACAGCCTGGCAGTTTAAGAATCTGCGATAAAAACTGACCCTCCCCTCCCCCGATGTCCATGATTCGTTCGCACTTGACCCAGGGGTATACTGTAAACAAAGTTGGCTGCGCGCTGTCCAACTCCATCTGGGACAACATGCTCATTGCGCGATCGTAATTGTGTGCGAATTCCGATCTCCTCTGTTTCGTACCCATGTCAGAAGCTATATCTTCTGACTTCGTGGGAGGAGAATACTCCAGTTCCTCAGCTCTGTACATGTAGTCATACAGATTCATCGCATGAGCAAGTTCAAACGCTGTATCGCCGCCATCCTTGACTGCCTGTGGAAAAGCCAACATGGCGGCCCAAACTTCATCGCTTGCGTAGTATCCAACCATATGGCCAAGACTCGGTCCTTTGTCTCTCCTCAGCAACTCCATGGCTCGATTGGCCTTAAAGTGTTTCTCGATTAATTCCTCCCCAATTCCCCACTGAGCCATGGTTCTCAAAACCTTGTAGATCTTTTCACCTGTGTGGCAGCCAGTTCGCTCAGCGATCTCTTGAATACTGACAGGAGTGACCGAGTTACACAGCAATTCTGGGACACCTAATGACACCAGAACACTCAAGCAGCGGCTCTTCCATATTCCTGAGAACATGGATGAAATAAGTTTCTCTTCTGAGAAAGTTCCTTCGGCCATGTTCTTTACGTCGGAATCCTGTATTTAGATCACCGTCCAGCGGATGTCGATTTAGGCTCGTCACGCAACACTCACCAGGAGAGGGTTCCAAGGTAACGTGTTGTGTGACATGTCCTCACAATGAATTCGCACGGTATATTTCATAATCCCAAAGTGAAATGAGAGCGGGGCATACCTGTACGATTAACGAAAAAATTGCCAGTTTTGCACGCAGAATTTAAATCGATCTGAAACTTTCCTCAACAAAGAGGCATATTATGATTCAAGCAACTTCACGAATCTGACGGTATGACGTGCACAATTTTTTCACTTTCGAATTGGTAAAAAAAAAAACAGCAACAACTACAGGAGTCGAGAGATACACAAGTCGTGACATAGTTCATTTCAGAGAATTCAATTACCGATCCCCTAAAATTTTTACATATCTGTTAAAATACCTAGTCCCGCGAAAATAACGCGCTTCTCTTTGAGAGGTTGAGTGTATGAACCACACTTGTTACGGATTTTCGACTGAAAATCATTTCACCAACACATCAATTACTCCCTCATGGTAAGAGGGAAACGTTCCATCGGTGTTGAGCGAGAAAATCTAATTTCTCCCATAACTGGACGAATTGTAGAGTGGAGATCTACAAATAATTGAATGTACACAGAAAAAAGACACAAAATGCATAACTTGTGGCGTTAGGACTTTATTTAGCCTTGATAACAGCTTTTCCTGTTGCAACAAAGCGATCATCTCATATGAGTCGTAGGCATAACCACTTGCACAACTGTTCCTGTCGTATGTTAACATCTACGTCAACAACGGTGGAAAAAAAATTGGCCGCCAATAGCCGTCATTTCGACCATCACGCCTTTCCTTTCCGCGAAGAGTTCTTTCACTTGGTCAAGTTCAAATCACCTTAGCTTTGCCTGATAACGTACATCGCAGAACGAGTCACAAACCGACTTACTCTAAAAGCCTAGTGAATCACACGATTCTGTTGGACTTCTCTCCGGTTGGTTTGAATCTTGTGTTTGATATGCAACAGCAATGGATGGGTAAGATTCCAACTGACAAATACAGCGGAATCAAGAATCAAATTTTTCTCTGCAGATGTTCTTTCCGTGTTCGTCATACTCGGCTTTGGTCACGCACATCTTGCCAACAAACACGTCCGTCTTTGACAGAGCTGCTCCACCCTCCCAAGCATGTGTCACAGGCCTGAAAGAAACGAAAAGCAAACGGTTTTGCAAAACCGGGTAACCTTCAAACCTTAGTTTGGCATTGCTTTGTTTTTAACTACTTCTCTTCAAATAATGAGAGGGAAGTAGCCGGCTGTGTTAATTTCTCTTCTCGCTTTCGTAATAATTTTTAAGTAAATATCTGTAGATTTCACCGTTGCCGTAAGAAAATGTAACAAAATCGCAGGATTTTAACATACACTGTGCTAAGCCTTACCTTGACGGGCAATGAACCGCAACGTCTACATCATAAGGAGCAAGTGATCGAACCTCAGAGAAGCTATAACAAAAAAAAAGAAATTCGAACTTCATTATCACATAGTGGCTCGAAATCTGTCTAACAATCTTGATTCTGATCTTAACTGTAAGTTAACTTGGTCAATATTTCACAATTTTAGATAGTGTCACATATAATTGGTGTGAAACTGCTAGGTCCATAGACAACTGAATACATTTTTTATTTTAAAGTCACTGACATTTTTACAAAACCATAGAGAGTTGATCATGACAAACACGAATTGCTAAGAAGCACACACACAAAAAAGATCATTTGGCCACAACTGCACATTTTCAAGTCAAACCAAAATTTCCATATTACACTCTTTCTTTCATTCCTGGGAACAGTGAACATCCTCCAGTCAAAAGTATGTTCATATAACAGTGAGGCTGCATTTCTGAAAGTAATTCAGAGAACAAAAAAGAAACTTAATTATACCTCGCAGAGATGTGATTTACAAGCCATTCTGTAAGCAAACTAACAGACATGAAAGCCTGTGGTGTAACAGATGTGATTTGACTAAAATGTCCATGCAACAATATCTTCAGGGAGCTAAATTTTATACCAACAAACTAAGAGTACATTTAAACAGGGCAAAAAATTAAAAACAAAAAACAGTGGTTTAGATCAGTAACGATTTTTAACCATGTAGGCAAACTTCCATGTAATGATTAGTCAGGCTCACATGACTGCTCCTGAGGGGGGGGGCATTGTCTTTAAAATATATCAAAATTATTGTTGAGTAAAGGTTGAGTTCCTTTCTTTGACTTGTACATAATTATAATTTGGATCTGTAACTGAGTGAGACTATAAATTAATACAAAAGGTTCATATCAGCTTGTCAGCTACCTCAACCAGCTAAACTGTTTCAAAAGATCACTCAACTGATGTTTTTATGAGTAAATTGTTGAATGACAAAGAAATTTAGAGTGTAATTGACTGATTCATTGATTGACTGAGTGAATGATCACCTACACAAGGGAGAATGAGGTGCAATGAAAACCTTCTCTCCTTGTCTGAACCACTGCTAGAACAGCATAAAACTGTATTTGTTTAAATGATTGTGATAACAACTTACTTACCTACTGGCAACTGTTCTATGGAATGAATAATTGCCTCTGGTATTCCCATTTCCTGGATTCCTTAATAGAAACAACATATGGTTATCAAATGTTTAAGTGCCACTAAACCCCCAAAGAAAAAAAAAATTTATTCTTTTCAATAAAAGAAATTTCCTTGTTTTACTGATTATTGTCAAGTCCAATTGATGAGAAAGTGCTCATTACAAATTGCTTAATTCTTGAGCCACAATTATTTTATACACCAATGGCAAACTACAAGTGCAAGATTAGTTTTTCAAAATTACATGTTAAAACTAATATCTGTAAATTCACCTACACCTGCTATAAAATTTTTTCTCAAATAGAAAGTATAAACATGTTCATAATACATTCAAGCAAGAATCTGAAGATGTTTTTACTATCTGCATATGGACCTATGCATGAGACATCTTTGAAGACGAAGCTTCATTGATAACATTGATAGAGAGCTCAAAATAAGCAACCATTCTAGTTTGAACAACCAACATTAGGATATCAATATTCTAACTCATCCTACCAATATCAGATGGATGAAACAACAGCTCTGGAACAGCAAATCTTTCATTGTTCATTCGTAAGATCTACAATTAAAGCATAAAATAAAAGCATAGAGGGATTCAATTAAATTTAAGGTGACTCAACTTTCTGATATGAAAACAGATAATTCTTCAGAATTATAGTTATGAAAACCTGTTCATTTTCTTTCTTTGTTCCAAGCCACATCTCTGTTGCTGACTGAAACAATAAGAGAAATTTCTTCAATAAATGTACAAGATGTTCCCTGCTAACTGTTTTATGTGCAGTCCATACAATCCTTGCCAAGACTAACAAATGAGAGGACCATTTTGAGAGCTGCAAAGTGCTGAAAAATGGGTAGCAGATAGACAGAACTAACTAGAGATGAGTTAGGTTTTAGGTCAATACATTTAACATGTATTTTCACTCATGAACCTCAAACTATACTGTACCAAGTTAACACAGGATACATTGTTTACAATTATAGATACTGATGGGAATAATTAAGCTGGGGAGTAAACAAGATATTCCAGTCAGAGGTTCTACACTTCCCTCCTACATATACCTATATTTGAGGGCATGCCAGGTATCAGTTTTTTGGACAAAAAAGAGGGTCGAATGTACCCCTAGCCACCTTGGCCACAAGTTTGCAAGTGATGAGCAATACCTCAAGTTCAATGTTACCTTATTTTTAAAGAACAAGATGATAAACTGACCTTAACATAACCTCGCTTCAAATGGGTGTAGTCAGGCAACACATAATCCCTCACAACTGTGTTCTTGGCACCTTTTAGCCTACAGGAAACACAGAAATGGAAAGAAAGTGAAAGATTCCTTTACCAATATACCATTAGAAATATCAATCTTAGAGAGAAAATAAATAAAAATTCCTTAAAACTGGTTTACATATTGGCAGTAGTACTGTTCAGAAAACCATCTATGGATAATTCACTATAAGAACTAACTGGTTTATCCAGTCTAAACCTAAAAGAGAGTACTGGCTTAACATTGAATGACAAAAGAAAACCCATTACAAATTGTACTTTTTTCATCTTCAAACTAATGGTTAAATCCCTATATTTTAAAAACAAAGCATGTAACATTTTTAACAAAGGTTAAAACTGAACAGCAACGCAATCTAAACTGTATGTCAGTAGCTGTGCAACATCCAAAAAAAAAATAAGAATTTATTCATTCATATTCATTTATTTGATTCCAATTTTTCAAAGTAACTCAAAGAGTACCTAGCAATACTCATATCTCTGTAAAAGTCATCTGATACATAACAAGTGTCCTCTTTAACCTGTCAAAGGAAAAAACAACAGTTACAAGGTGTGGAAGCCGGCTAATTTCTTTATCATAATTTACATATGACAGATCACATGAAAAGCAATGGCCAATGATCACCTGGCTGTAGGTTGAGCATTACCCTAAGAGCTACTAAAAGTTAATAAATAGATCCCAAATACAGTTCAGTTACACAAAATATTTTTCTCCAGCTACACTTTTGACAATCAATATCAAAAATATGACATCTACTTTAAAGTTAAGTACCTACCTGATTAATGACATATGTTTCATCTAACACATGAAGTTGCCTGTTAGTTAAAAATACATGTTAAGAAAAGGTTATAACCTTGAGCAAGATCTACATGTATTATGTATGTTTATGCAAAGTGAGTGACTTGTATCACATAGGTAGAGATATATAAAAATCCAGGAAACCTCAAACAACTTCTTGTGTACATGCTGCAGATTTTTGAAGTTTGCTGATCTCACTAGTAAGTCATGCATAAAAAAGTTAACTAAAATCAGCTACAGTTACAGTTGGAATGAGGTCTTTGCAATCAGATCAGTTAAAATGTTAGTTTTTTGTCAGCTCTAAAAATTTAGTTTATTGTCACTTTGTCGGGCAATGTAGCGCATTTTGCAGGCTAAAATGGAGAATTTGGCAGACTAAAATAAACCAATGACAAGTGAGAATCAAACAATCTATGCATCACCAGTTGATTTGGGACAAAGCCAGACTGTTTGATTACAACAAATAACCCATGTTTAAATGTCATATCTGATAATCATTCCACCCAAGAAGGATGCCTGGTTGACATGAGGTGACAACAGATGTTTATTTCAGGTAAACATGATACTCAATCACCAACTCAAACAAAAATCATCCTTAGAAAAGTGAAACTTTCACAGGAAATATCCATAAGGTGCCTATGAAGATTCAAGTCCTGTTAAAGTAAATTCTATGATCTGTTATTTACCTGTAAGATAAGATTTCCTTTAGATGGTTAGTCAACAACTTTCCCCCAACATTAATCCTAGAACAAAGAGCAGAGTTGTGAATACATGTTACTAAAATAAAGTATCAGTTTCCACAAGAAAAAAGATGTCAGCAAGGGAAATATTTTTCCTTGCACTTTATACATGTTTGTTACAGTGACTCTTTTGTCACAAATCAAGCATGGAGCTAACCCTTGAAAAGTCAACTCAAGTTTGCATAACTTATACTAGCCAAGGTCATTTTAATATTACTGTCATTTTAAGTAATAAGGCAAGACACAAACTCTGCTAAAACGAAAAAAATTTTTGTTACCTTTTTATCCCTTTCTTCAATATTTTGCCATTAAAAACAGGCACAATGTGTGTGAAGGAATATCCAGCATCTACAACCAGGGATATCAGACGTTTGTCCACTTCTTCTTTGTGACATTTGAAAGCACTCAATTGGGCAGCTTGGAATAAAGAACAGATAAAGTTAGCAAAGATGAAAAAACAACAATAACACCTGCCCTGAGGCTTTTTTAAATCTGTCCATGCCATGATTATTAATTATCTATGAAGACATATTGACCATTGTGTTGTGCAGATATACCCATCTAAATGAAATGTATACATTCGACTAAATGTTCTCAATTCTGTAATAATATTCTTTTAATGCATCCTGAGGTCCTGAATGCAAACACAAGAAAACAAATTGCAGTCCTATATATGAAAGAAATTACTATATATTTTTTTATTGCATCAATTAAATGAATGTTAATTTCATCAAAACAGGTGTATTAAGAATAAGATTATTTCAAGCAATGATGACAACAAATGTGATGTGACTACACCATTCTGTAAAAAGTGACTCACCTGATATTCGGCAAAGGGCTTTGAAATTATATTCTTCAAACAAAATTTCATCTGTAGCATCCTAACATTAGTGAACAAAACATGTTACATTCATGCACATGACCATACATTTCCAAATCAAGGTTTTCAAGATAGTAAATCTTAGCAAATGGCTAAGTAGACACATCTTCATCCCCCAGGCATTTTTTTTTTCAATTGTCACTTGCATTACCTGCAATCATGGTTGGTACAAGCTTTTCAGTCAAAACTGAACCAAAAATTCATGCTATTTTAGAGTCACATGATAATGCCAGGGTGTTAATTTTTAATTTAAGGTTTCTATTTTTTAGAGACTCTACACAGAATATGGTGACATAACATTCACTACTGTGATCTGAGAATGCTTGAAAACTAATTACAAAGAACCCTCATTGAGAGTCCTAAACTTACTACAACTTTTTCTCCGCAATATTATTATTTAAAAAAGCATAGTACTACACAAACAAGAAAAGTGGAAGGCCACGAATAAATAACTTTTTTCAGCCTTCTCTTGTATTGTAATTGAACCCACCTTGATAGAGGTAAAGTTAAAGTGTGGTTCAGTCATCAAAATGGTTGTTTCAGGAAAGTCAACCTAAAGAATGACATTAAGTTAAAAAAAAAACCCTTACCAAGTGCCAATAACAAAGCAGTAAAAACAATGATTACTTTATTGGTATTCGTTCAAGCTACAAGTCATTTGTAACATTTGGTTCTGAAAAGTTCGGTGCACTGAATTCCTTTAAGAGCATTATCAAATCAAAAACAAGCTTAATTTACAGATCAAATTTACGACAAACTACCTTCATAACTTCTTTGCCAAACATGTAATCCCATATCTGCTTCTCTACATCCCAGTTCACTAGGAATCCCTTTTGAAAAGGGAGGAGGTAAAATAATCCGGAATAATCTTTACACTCTTCGAGTTGATCGCCAATAAACAACTTTCGGCGTTCGCTCTTCGCTTTGAAAATACAGTTCGGTATAAGCCTGAAGAGGGAAACCAAGCCCCGTTAAGTTTTTAGAAGCAAGTTTAAATCTTCTCTTAATGTATTTGTGCTATTGATTCCTTACCTTGGACTATCAGTTGTATTAAATCCGACTTTAGCTAAACTGGCGCCATTATCTAGCACTAAAGCCACCATCTTGGATTTCCTGCCTTCTCTTCAGGGCTCCACGGATGGAGACCACCGAGTAACACTGGGTATGAATTATGAGATTTTCTTAGTATGGATCAGTCTTGCACGAGTCGTGAATGAGATACCACAGAGTATTAGAAACTCTCAAAAACAAGTAATCATGAAAAAAGACTCATAGCAATAGAATTTTCTTTGAGATAGGAAAAAAAACAAATAGGGAAACTCCTACCTTGGCATGGCAGCTGTAACCTGTAAACTAATATTAGCCTGAAATAATATTAAAAAAGTTGAAAACGGAGTTGAAGTAAACATTTAAGTGACTCTCAGGCTTAAACCTGTCCAGGGCTCCTTTTCTGGAAAGTCCTGGTAAATCAACAGGCCCAAAGCTATATTTTATTAATATCAAATTTTAAAAAATAGAAAAGCAGGTTCTGGCTCCCTGACCATTCCATTTTTTTTTCTTTGGCTGAAAGTGTTATTGTATGATTTTCTAAACTTTTAAAACCTTCATCTTCAATGAAAACAGAACAGCTTTACAGGAACAATAAGCAACTGGGACCTTCAAGAAACTGACCCCAGATCTTTCATCAACAAAATATACTGTTGATTCCACAAAAATTTCAAAAATTCATACCTAAAGCTGATTAGTGATGATGATCAAGACAAACTAATGGGAAATAAAATCAGCAGGGACACTTTATATCCTCTCTGGCCCAGCACACATTGCACTTCTGGGTCAACTCTTACCCTTAATAGTTAGGTACCTGAACATCAAAAGAAAACAAAAAGGGAGAGAAAGAGAAAACCCTCCCCAAGCACTTCTCATCAATAACACAATGGCTCACGTTTGATATGAGTGGACATGTGTCACTTAAGTTTAGTTCACAAAGTCAAAGTTGACAGGCGACATTCCAGGCTGAATGAAAAATGCTTGAAATAGTGGTTTAAGTATTCTGGACCATTCACACAGCAAAGTAAAGCAAAACCAAAGTCATACTTTCCACACTCAATTGGAAATTGCTCAACAGTGAAACAATAAAAGCAACATGTACGAACTATCATTTTGTTCTTTTCATGCCATAAAGAAACTTTTTCTGGTGGAAACTTTTGAAAGTAAAAGAAAAGCAAGACAGGTGGATGAAGGGACTGATGCTGGCCAATTTACATTATGAACTCAATTGGTAACATTGAATTATCTTCTAATACCTGCCACTGACTCAACACCACACTTACTCCCTTTAATCATTAGGCAACAGAAAAAGTTGTTTGCTTTTTGTAATTCATTTTCTATGGAAAAGCTTTAGGTAGGCCTCAACTAGATATAGCAACCCACTTTTTCCAACTCTGAACATAATGAACCTGCCCCATAATAAGCCTATTCTCTCTTGAACAACAGGCTAATAGTACCATTAGAAAAACATAGACTACAAATGGGCTGGGACGGGCAGAGGATCATAACTTCCCAAAAAATCTACAGAGAAGAAATAACTGTACAGCAGTAGAGTATTTCCTTAAAAAAAAAAAGAAGAAAAAATATATCAGAGAAAAAGAGGGAGAGCATTTATTGAATAATGAACCACACATGCTAGACAAAGAAAGTTCTCATCTGTTTAATTTCTTCAGTTCCATTTCTAGATTACCACCAAGTTATCAGCAAAATTACCTCTTTTGTGACTTCACCACTTGCAAAGCAATAACATCTAGCTAAGATCCTAACCAAAAGTTATTTGAATCTGAGCTGTCATAAGCAAGACAATGAAAATCACCAAGGTTAACTTTCCAATTTTCTGTCACTTTCATCCTCTTAACAAACTAATTTTCATAAAAAATTATTCCTTATGGGGACTCTGAATTTTTTTCCTTTGTCCCATGCTCGTGACAAGATGAAAAACATTTTTCCCCAATACATAACTATGTTCATAGTCACAAGATTTTGAAGGAAAAGACAACAGTTGTATTTCACAAAATCACCCTAGTTGATTAGCTATACAGTACAATAAAATTATCTGGTTCACCAAATAGGATGGTAGAGGGGAAGTTTAAAAAGGAAAAAAAAAGTAAAAGTAAGAAAGTATAAACAGAAATGGTAGCTTTTTACCTCACAAAGATATGATCCCAATTGACTGATCAAAAAAGGATATCCTTCTAGTTGTTTTCACATAAATATATTAAAAAATTATTTTCTTATTGGACAGTTCCATTCCTATGACTAGTTACTTGATTTTATTTTCAAAACTGCATCTCTAACAGCTTGAAGGTCAACTTTATCACCAAACTCTTTTTCTTTATGATCAAGTAATATGCCTTGCTCTCCAGGTCCTACAACAAAGACACCACCCAAGAGGCGTCCCTCTCCTTTAAGGTTGCCCTCAATTCCCTTGCCTCTGGCTCGAAATGCTGACTTCCACACACTTGGTCGTAACAATCCTGAAAAATATAAATGAAAAGTTATAGAGGAAGATGTTTCTTGTCTTGTCATGACAGTGGGACAAAGAGGAAATTCTTCGTCCCCACGAGGAATCCAACCTCAGAACTTTGGATTTTTCTGCTCCTTAAATCTTTACCGAGTACAAAACTTACCATCTGTCTTATTTTAATAACAAACAATATTCTATTGACATCACTGATCCTAGCAATATGCTGGATGCATGTTATATATGAACTTTGTAACAGGCCCTGCTCACCATGGAGTCTCTGTGGCTCAGTGGTTAAGCATCAGAGCACGAAAAAATCCAGAGGTCTGAGGTCATGGGGACCCAGAAATGTTCTTTACCAAGCTCAAAACTTAAAATCTATCTTATTCTATTTACAAACATTATGCTGTTGACATCGCTGATCCTAGCAATATGCTGGATACGTGTTATTTATGAACTTTGTAATGGGCCTTGCTCACCATGGATGTCTCTGTGGCTCAGTGGAAGAGCATCAGAGCATGATAAAATCCAAAGGTCTGAGGCCATGGGGACCCAGAAATTTTTCTTTGTTTGACACTCGTGACAAGACAAAAAACATCTTTCTCCATTTCTTTACCGAACTCAAAAACTTACCATCTTTCTTATTCTATAAAAAGTTATCTTGGCAAAACTGTAACTAAAAGTGACTGATAAAATTTTTAGTCTTTAAACAAAAAAAATGCGCACTTTCAATAAATGCTACATAATTACATATATTAACCCTTTCTCTTCCAATAACTCAAGGTGAAAATTATCCTCATCGTCTTTCATACAATTCTTGTAAAGTTTGTTCTGAGCTTTTGGTGTTTGATCAAATGATAATTCCCTTGTTAACATTTGTTGTTATTCTCATTACTTGGCTGCTTGAAATTGTATTCATACAGTAGGGAGAAATAATGTCTTGGTGTGAATGGGTTAAATAATAAATTTAACAAAACACATTGAAAATGCCTGTTTTCTATAAGATTTCAGGTTAATTTAGATCAATTTTAATTATTCAAATGTGTACTGGTCATTTCGTGCAGTAGATCTCCTAAAACTTAGTAAATGAAAACACTCCTCATCTGGTTGTAAGCCAGGCATAGCAAGCAAACTTACCAGTAAGAAACATCCACTGTTGTTCAGGACCATAAAACTTTTTCTGAGGTAAGAACAATAAGATACCATTTTAAGAATTGGTTAACTCAACTGCCAAAGCAATTAATTATTTCAAATTTAGCTGCAGACATAGAAATTTGATGTAAAATTCTTCACCTGTAAGTAGAATATACCAAGTCAAAACTTTTTTTTCAAAGTAAAATTTTAGAACAGAAAAATAGCTGATTATTTTTAGGAAAAGCTCAGCTAGATCTGAATAGATACCTGAAAGAATTTTTAGTCTGTAATTCTTCATAAATTAATCTCATGAACTTCTTTCACCCTCATAAACCAACATGCACATTATTTTTAACTGGTGAGACACAGAAGGTACATGAAAAGAAAAGTCATTAAAAGTCCATGACATTCATTTCACAGATACGGGTTTAATGCTCTTATTTTACCTCTTCATCAAGGTAAATTGTAGAATTAAGATATGGCTGAAACTCTTTCACTCCCATTTCTTCATGAACCACACCCACAAGGTTTACACCCCTCTGGTCCAGTTCGGGTTTCAGAGAGGACAGCTCTGAAGCTTCCTAAAGAAAGATTAATAATGATACTAGCTGACATGAATAAGCAACACTCAAGTGCAAGATACCTCTTATTAGCAAGTATTGTATATCATTGGAGAGTTTTTAATTGCTCAATGTTAGTTCATAAACCTTTCTTTTTTCAAAATAACCCAAATAAAAAGCCCAAATTTCAAGCATCAAATTAAAGGGCATTTTATAAAGCTGGAGGACCTTGCCTCTCAACACATGTATAATACTACTATAATATGTATAAAACATTTTGAACAGAAGCATATTTTACCTCTCTGCACAAGTTTCATCCTGGTCGTCGCACCACCATTATGACTGCTCCACTATTTTGCCAAAGGTCAGATGCCATCAGTTCTCTTCCCAATCCATCTAAAGTCTTGAGTTTAATGGCTTTCAAGTAAGCTAAATCAGGCCTTGCACTGTTCTTGTACCAGTCCCAGTTTGAATAAACATAACTTGCAACAACTGCTATTCCACTAGCACCAAGAAGCCAAGCCATCTTGGTAGCTATGCGGCCTGTAAATGAACAAAGGTTTTTAAATTTCCCACATTAATTTTGATCAAAAGAATGGTCATGGTGTATTTTCATTTGAACATTTTCTTGGAAACACAGCCTTCCAAAATACCCATGATAGCACTGGAACTTTTGGGGGATGGGGGTGGGGAAGGTTTCTTGACTGACAAACTCTCCACACCAAAAGGGGCAGGGGCTTGTTTCTTGAAAATCTTGATAAATTTATTGGGCTAAATACACATTTCACAGTCTAAATCTAAGGTCTTCCCTTAAGATCCATTCTGTTTCATTCCCTGATATCTCAACTGTTTGAATTTCAAAGCTATTTATATCTTGATCTTGAATGAAAACACAACTGAAATCAGCTTTTAGGAATTGGTATTACCAGGACTTTGAGAATCAAGTGGATTTTACCAAACTAGCTAGTGACTCATAAGATGACAAGGTATGGGAACTAGCAGCTGAAAGAACAAGGCAAAAAGGCTTGACACTCAACTCAAGTAAAGAAATGTCTGACAGAGAGCCAGAGTGAAACCACATCTCAAGCACTCAGCTAATTATCCATGTCATTGCAGAGTTTAGGACAAGAAGATGTCAGCTGCTGAGTCTAAAGGAAATTTGCTGGTCTAACTCTACAGCTTTAAGTCTATTGTTACTATTGCATATCTGTGGAGTGCAATGGTGCTTCTTTTCAGCTAAACAACTGAGAAATTCTCAAAATATCGTGTCCAGCATAGGCTAGGGTCACAATTCACCGTCTGCTAGACAACCATGCAAATCACTTTAATAAAGAAAAAATAAAGTTAGCTCACTATATCCAGTTGGCCTATTTTTCAAGCAAGCAGGACTACCGGCCTCCAGGCTCCCCCCAGCCTTGGCTAGCTTACGTAAGATATAACCCTTCTAGACTGCCCCAAACACAAACAACCACACCCCCTCGAATTAGTTCCATGAGAATAAAACAAATTGACAAAGATTTCCTTTGATCGACAATGCTGTTATGGTAGAATTAATAATTGCAAAAATAAGAGTGCGATAACGATGACGTCTGAGCACTACCACATGTGGAAGACTTCATATTACTTAAAACATAATAAGTTATGAATCTGTGCTTTTAAATTGCTCCTTCCAGCAGAATTACTTGACATAAATAACAAAAAATTACACAAGATCACTAAATACCTTTGAAGAATCTTATGGTTTTAGCCAGTGTGCATGTCAGGATCTAATTCGTCGGTAAATTTCGGATGATTTTAATCTTCCCCCTGCATCACCTTTAGGTCGACCGCCATTAATTTAAGCGTCTTAAATCGACAGTCCTACGAAATTCCTTCGTGAACAAAGAACCAATAAAAACGTCTAAAATCCTGAACTATGATCTTTTTGCCCAATCAGCGCGCACTTATCCCCGATGCATTATGGGATGATTTTCTTTAGCTGGCAAAAGCGCGTGATTTTGAACAACAAGATGTCCGTGAACTGGTGTAAGTTGAGTCACTTTTCTACGTTGTTTTCATGGGATTTTGGCTTGCAAAGGAGGCTTGTTTTGGACGCTGTTTAAGATCGATGCATCTTACAGGTAATTAGTGGTTATTCAGGGGTCATATCTCTCGAAGGACTGTCCATCACGAAAGAATAGGCAGTGTTTCTCTTAGCGACCGTGGCCGGTGGAAGATCTCTTGCGTTTCTTTCCACGATCATGAAGTTAGAATTCTGCCCTTAACTTTAAACTCACCTTTTTATCTTAATTTAGATTTTATATTAACCGCTTTAATGTTTGCGTAAATTTCAAGTGTCAAGGAGCCTCCTACAACGCCGCAAAAATTCATGTTTTAATTGTAAACTTTTAAGCCTGCAATTGACTATTCTCATTCCCTTTTGTGGTGGGTTCTTTCGATTGCAGTTTCTGTCCGTCTTCCCGTTGCGTCCTTAAATGCAATAAAATCATCCCATGGCCAATTTTTCGAAGAGAGGTATTATTGATAAGTATGGGTATCAAACACGTCGATTGTTTGCTAAAATTATATGGGAATCGAACGGAAACTTTCGATTTTCGCATGGTGGGTTTTTAAAGAATGAAATGTCTCCCATTCTTTAAATGCTGCCGTAAATTACGGACTATTTCAATTTAAAACTTTGTGATGTGCCTAAATTGTTTCTAAGCACTACTACAAAAGTGGAAAACTACATGAAATGGCTAATTTTAAAGAATGATATAGATAGTGTAATAGTAGTTGATATTTTGCCCCGTATTCAGTAAACAATCGTAAGCTTTCGATTAATTTGTAGTTTGTACGCGTTAGGGCTTTATTCGAATGAGTGCGATAATGTCTGCATGTTTTGCATCTCAAACTTGCCCTGTACTTTAAAAACGAAAAAGAAATCTGATTTTCCACGATGTGCAAACTCTAGCTAATGTACGTCGGGGATAGGTAGTTCATCGAAGGTCAAAAGACGAACTTAAATCATTCGCCACAACCACCTTTGTCTATATTTTAGGTAAACACTGTAACTCGATAGATTACCTTATTCATGCCGAAATGAACACTTCTCTATTAGTCTAGTAGTGAATGATGATACAGACTTTCCTATGCCTAATCCATATTTGGTTAGGATCAGCTCGGATATTATTATTAAATTTCTTAAGAAACCTTATCTAACGTGGGTCTCTTTCCTAAGCTTATTTATGGACATCTTGTTAATCTTTATGACTTTTGTAGTTATTAGAGGTAGCGCTTCTTTGTGTAATTTCTGCAAACAGCAAACGATTCCCAACAAATGTAGTTTTATGTCTGTAATGTGGAATTTCAAGAGTCTTTTGTACATATTATATATTATTTGCAAACTGAATAAGAAAACAAAACAGAAAACTTAACAGTTCTGAAAGTATCTCTCAGTATAACTGGGTAATTAATTTTGGTAGTGCTCATTCATTAATTTTCATTTCACTTGAGCTAGTCTAATAATTTTCTTGAAATCTTCTTCAAACAACAAATAAACATGTGAATACTAATTGTTTTCTGAATAGGGGAATTTCATCTTTTATGGAGAAAATAATTACAGTTAAGCAAGAACCTATTGATGATGCATATCCAACACCACTATCAACCACAACAACAACAAAAACAACAGCATCAACTACCAGTATCACAACAGCAGCACAGAATGTAACCACAAAAACCACAGCTGTTGTCACCATACCTTCAGGAACGGTGGTAACAGGAACAGCACCTGTAACAACTGTGCCTGCATCAGAACCTCAAATATTTTTCATACAGCCCAAATCAGAAGTTCAGAAACAGCAATGTGCTGGTACACAAGGTGAGAGTGATATGTCAGAGGGCAATGCAAATTTCTGTCAAAATTACAATGGCCTATGTATGTCACAATGATCCAAGCTTGAAAAACAGGAGCAAGCTCTATTGGTAATTAAAAGAAGAGCAAACAAACAACCAAAGTAGTTTCTTTAGGTTTAGCTTGAAGAATTTGTTCTGCTTTTTATCTAAAAATTTTATCCAAAAAAAAAAATTCAAATTTGTTAGTTTAAGGAGGGGGAAAGAAGGAGAAGAGGAGGGAAATTAAAATTTAAAAATTACTTCACAGTACCTCTCCTAGGAAAAGGAAGTTTCCCTGTAAGCCTCAACATTGTGCAGAAGACCCTGTATTGCTGGCTCACTCATGAGTGGATCCAACCGAAATAGGCATTAAATACACTTTACAGAGAAAATTTCTGAAAACTCTAGTAGCAAACTGATAAAAAGGGATCAATGACAAAAACATAACAATAATTTAAAGGTAATTTTTGGTGTCATTTCTTTGATCATCAAGAGTACTGACAATGGGGATTGTGGCAATCTTTTAAATAGAATGAAGGGGATCCTATGAACTATACAGTGTGTGTTGTGGTTGTGGTCTTTATTTGTCATCCCCTCACATTCATCATCAAAACTTAAAACAAGGAGAAATCTAAATCAAATTTGATAAAGTTATGGTGTAGTTACTTGTCTATTGGATTGGCTTTTTTTCACAGCTACTTCTATCGCAACAACAGTGGCAAGGACGATTACAACAGCTGCCCAGTCAAAGCCTCCCTTAGTAGTCATTTCTGGTAGTCCCATTAAGCTGACACCCTTATCAAGGGGAGGTGCAGCTCTTACAGGTGCACAGACAAACTCCAGTTCTACTGGCAATATAACATGCACTTTAGTTCATGTACAGCCATTTACAAATAAACAGCACATTGCTCCTAAAACAGGAAGTTCTCCAAGCAAGCAAACTATTCCAGTGCAGCTCCAAAAATTGGTCCCCATTAGCGTTGCAACTTCATCTTTGACAAAGGTACAAACAGGCACGGCCCCTCAATTCACAATAGCTGCACCTGCTGGGTCTGTCTCTGGCATGCGGCACATTGCTCCCAAAGTGAACCTTGTATCAGCAGTTCCAACAGGACAGGCTGTTCAATTAACAACACCTACAGTGCAAGTCAGAAACATTGCTCCTGCTGTGGAGAAGACTGCTCAAGTTCCTCAGCAGGTAGGTCATATATACTTAGTCAATGAAAAGGTTGTAGTCTGGGTTACTATGACAGAGTATATTAAAAGCTTGTTAAAGCAAAAATATTGTGCCTTTATCAAAGTAATGGTGCATATATAAAAAATATTTTCACATGGTTCCATTTCTAAGTCATTGTCAATTTTTGCATTTTTTGAGTCATTCATTCTAGCTTTTCTGTGCAATTTTAAGAGAAACAGATGGACAATACATACACATTTTAAGCCTAGATGTGATAAAAGGATACTGACCATTTGTAGATGAGTAAGGTCATATGTGGTCAATATGATTATATTTGTGAGTGCTGTTTGCTTGCTTTTTCCCCATTAGCTGGCACCAAAGCCAGTCCAGACTCAAGTAGCCAGCGGTGGTCAGCAACAAAGACTCATTGTCCCAGCCTTACCTTCTTCATTACCTCAGATAGCAACAACAGGAGCTTCAGGCAGCCTTCAGTTTCCCCATGGTGTAATTAGTGGTGGGGTAGTTTATCTCCCTCAGGTTTGTGACACAGAAAGGCTTGTTCATACAGATAATTATCTGCCTCACTTAAGGTATTGAGTCAAGCTCTGGCAAGTTTATGGTGCTTTGTCTGTGGGTTAAACGCTTAATTTTCACAAGGAGTGACCAAGGCAGAATTTTACCTAGTATTATCGATACAATTTCATGCAGAAAAGCAGTGAGAATAAGGAAAACATCAATTATAGAAACTATTAACTGATCCAATGACAAATTCTGCAAGCTACTATCATAACAATTGTGTGGCAGACGATAAGGAGATGTAATAGTAAGATCTTGGGAGTGGACGATGTTAAGGAAGAAGTGAAATCACTCCCTGCCATGGAATGAAGACTTGCATGGTAGAGGACTCTCTTCTTCTAACTGCTGTTGTGCTTTTTTTCTTTTTGACCTTCAGCAAGCTCTTGCTTCTGGAGGTTTTCCTATTGCAGTACCTTTACAGGCTAATGCCATTAATACTCAAGCACAAGGAGGAATGACTGTTAATGGGTAAGTGTGTTAACTGTTGGTTTGAATTGTATCAACCGCTGGGTTTTTGTTAAGTCAGTGTACAGTTGAAGTGAGCAATAGCCCTGACTTTGTAATGCATTGATTCAGACATTTTGACTCAAGGAAGTTGTTTGTCATGAATAGCTGTGAAATGTCACTTGAATCACAGTGTTTGCCTTTATTTACTCATAGCAGTTCTCCTGAATCATCACCTCCCAACAGACCTCGGAAGCCTTGTAACTGCACAAAGTCACAATGTCTTAAATTGTAAGTGCAATACTGGTAATACTTTATTGTATGATTCCAATGTAGAGTCCGTTCTGACATGTATTAATAAAATTGGAAGAACTAGTAGAAAGTATTGGATGTACATGAAGTCCTGGATTCCTGTATGTGAGTGAACAATGCCATGACATGATATCTGTGATTTGCAAGAAGTCCCAACAAAAACTTACCATCTTCTTCTACCAGAAGGTCTTGCCTCCAGGTTACAATTAATTATAGAATATTTATTTATGTGTACAACTGAGAACTGACCCAATAGATACCAAAGTTCATGCTTTCTATGCTCTGTGTCTGATTCTGTTAGGTACTGTGATTGTTTTGCAAATGGAGAATTCTGTAGCAATTGTAATTGTGTCAATTGCTCTAACAATATGGACCATGAAAAGGAGAGGAGCAAGGCCATTAAGGTTTGTGCAAGCATCTACCTCAACCCTATCCTACAGTCACACACAGAACCCATCATTCTCCACTCTACTCTAGGAAGAACTGATGCTAAAAACATCAAATAAAATACAGCAGCTTCATAATGTACTTTACTATTCTCAAATATGTGAGGGACAAAGTGCTACATATGCCTGCTGATGCAGCATAAAAGGTGTACTAGAAAGTGTTATTGGAATTAGTTTTTAAAGAAATTGTTGATCTTGCCATTTCATTGTATTGAGGTGCACAGGGAAAGTAGGCGATTCAAGCTTTACTCCTTTTTTTTTACTTTTTTTTTTTCCTGTCCCTTTTTTTTTTCAAAAACTGGCATACCCTTTAACACATGCTAACTAACTTGAAACATGATATATATTTCAGGCTTGTTTGGAGAGGAATCCTCAAGCTTTTCACCCTAAAATTGGTAAAGGAAGGGTAAGGGCTGCATTCCTTATGTTTAATGTACAAAGTTGAGGATACAAGGTCCACATCTGTGTTGGAAGTGTAATCTTTGAGTAATGATTTTTTTCATCAATAATCTGGGATGACTCGTGGTTGGTGGAGACATAAATGGCCATATCTAGTTCAAAAAGCTCTCTATATCAAAGTGGGGTCAAGTGTAAAAAGGTTCTCTTGAAAATGAGTTTTATTTTCTTGAAACAATACCATTCTTGGAATTGAGCTGTTTTACTTAGAAATGTATACACCCTTTGAGATGTTTTTGTGTTTTGATGAGCCAGCAGAGGAGGTCAATATACACACAAGGTGTAAAAATGAGTAAAAATACTCAGCAATACGACACATGTAAAAAGTTGTTTATTATCCAACCGCTTTTATGCATTTCTTTTAGGGTGGGAAAAGGGAAGCAAATAGAGAAGCAGTTAAACAGCTTATTTGTGACTTGTCTTGTGCAATGCATCTGTACGATTTCAATACAAAATAACCATTTGTTCAAACAATCATATCATGTTGTGGGATATTTGTACTTAATTCACATGATATTTGTACTCTACTTAGTGCTTTATGATAAGAGTTCAAAGCTACAGTCCTGCATGCATCAACCAGTGTGCTTTTCCAAGACAAGTCTTCTTAATTGCATATAATCTCTTTAATTTTTAGGGTGATTCTGATAGGCGGCATAACAAAGGTGAGATGGTATTACCAGGGTCATTGACTTGTTGTTATGAGTGATTCTTATGGTTATCTGATGAACTTAATTGTCTCAAACAGGTTGTCATTGTAAGCGTTCAGGATGCCTCAAGAACTACTGTGAATGTTATGAGGTATGTAAATTTTTTGCTTAAGAGAGATCTTCTTTAAAAGTCTACACCTCCATATGTACAAAGTTGTAAAGAGGGTGCCAATTTTTTCATTTGAGAAGCAGTTTTGTCAATTTTAAGATTTTTTTTTCTTTAGGAATCACAATACAACTATTTAAGTTGTTAATTTGACTCTTTTCTGTTGATATTTACAGGCCAAGATTTTATGTACAAATCTTTGTAAATGCACAGGATGTAAGAATTTTGAGGAAAGTCCCGAGAGGAAAACTCTCATGCACTTAGCAGATGCTGCAGGTGAGAAACCCTTCTCACATTTATGGGGCTTGCAATTCTAACAGCTGTTACCCTGATTAAGTATTCTTAATATTTAATGAGAGGAAGTTATTTTTATTGCTGATTAACTTTGCAAGTTTTGGTCTGAAAATACCATGCTTTTCAGTTTCATGTTTTTTTCAAGAACGGCATCCCTTTGGTAGATAGCTGTTTTTGAAATCATGTTACTGAAATTTTCACAAGTGGTATTGCCTCAATTACCAAAGGGCATGAAAAGGATTGAATCAAGAACATTTTATAGAGATGACAGTAGGGAAATAAAAACAACTTTCCACTGAATTTGGACTAACTGATATTTCATATGGGTACACGTACAAGTTCTGTTTCTACTCTTCACAGACGGTTAGAGACCTAGGCAAGTCCTTCATAGGCAACTCAGATAAGCGTAGACTAGGGGAAAGTATGGCGGAAAATTTTACAGGAATACTGGCATGTGATTTATTTTAGCATTACCCAGGTTTACTCTGTGATCCAACGTGCAAATGAAACAAAAAACGCATACAAACACCTTTTGAAGGAAGCTATTTGTATGGATGTTTTTAAAGGCTGGTTTAGTTTCTTTTATACACACGAATAACGAAGTTAACTGCCTTTTGCACTTTGGGTTTTTCCAGAGGTTCGTGTAAAGCAACAGAATGCTGCCCGGACCAAGTTGGAATCTCAAATAGAAGACCTCCCATCCCGCCCAACTTTCTTAACAAACTCTGGAGAAAGGTCAGTTCTAGGTTTAATTTGAGTGTGCTCGAGGATGTAGTGTATCTCCTGAAAGCAGAGCCACCCAATCAAAGGGCAGTACTGTAACAACAGATTCTAATATTTTCAAATTCAGCCTATCAACTGTCGGGTAATCTAAACTTGCTCGTTAACCGGTGATGTCTACGCCATTATGGTATCGGTTACCTTTAAGTTGAAGGCGTCAGTTTGTTAGAACTTCCACGTGCTTACTGCTAGTGGAAGTAAAAAGTGAAATAATTTTAGGTTGAACTTGTTTTCTATTGAGAAAAAAATCATGTTAAAAAAATCTACAGAATCAAAGGAAGTGGAGAAGAGTCTCACTCCTACATTAAGTTCACGCGAGGTGTCAACGGAATCCTCTCAAATTTTCTCGTGTGGTTGGCCTAGTTTTTTCATACACTGTAATGTTGTATGAAGTGTAAATTTAATTTTTAAGAGAAATCCAAGGAAGTTGTCCTCTCTGGTGGGAATTTCATGTGTTTCTCTTGTTGTTTTATTTTCAGACTTCCCTTCTCGTTTGTAACAGATGAAGTAGTACAAGCAACCTGTCAGTGTCTCCTGGAGCAAGCCTCAGAGGCAGAAAATGTATGTTTACCGCCGGCGTTCTTTATTTTCATGTTCTCATTTAAGAGTGAAATTGTAACCGTTTGTAAAAACGTTTTCCAAGTGGAGTATGGTGCCATTGTTTTAGTCAATGATGGATGTGCATCGGGACGTCTAGCTCCTTTTAGTATACGATAAAAATGGTTTCTGAACTAAAAGAGAAATTTTTCCTTGCGAAAAGAGGTGGAAAATAACACGGATACAACGAAACTCGTTGTAGAGAATCTATTCTCTATATAAAGGTCGTGTGAGGCTTTGTAAACACAGCCTTCCATTGCTTTTATAAAGTATTTCTTAGAAAGTTCAGAAAAGATGAAGTCAACCAAGTTTACGTTCTTTTATGCAAACACACTTATCGACCTAAAGGGGCGCGCGTGCGATCTTAGATATTTTGTAAAAATGTTTCTGTAGTAACCTCATCGAGTACAGGACCATGGCTCAGACAAATCTTTAGGCAACACGAAAGGAAGTTCGAAACTCACCTTTTACACCTTTTGCTGTTCCTTATGAGAAATACGCATTTATTTGCGTGAAAAGGTGAACAATTGCGTGAAGATGCATTTATTAGGGACAAAAGTAACAAAAAAAACCCATCATTTGCGCGTGAATCAGATTTTTGCATTTTAATCAGCATTCACTAACAATTTTGGACATTCATATGCGTCATTCGTCATAAAAGAGAAGAATATGCTTTCATTTGCGCTAACCTTCAAGTCATTAACACAGAGACAATACACAAACAATATAGTGCAGAAACCATAAAATTTTTATCACACTGTTTGCAATTCAACAGCATTCCTGGACAACATTAGGGCGAATAAGATAATCACTAAAGCGCTTGTACAAACAATTGAGTGTCTTTTTGCATTCAAAATGCAATAATCGATTTTCAATCGAACACCTATTTTGTCTTATTTAAAAAAGTTAGTAAATTTCTTCAAGTTCATTCGCCTCGTGATCGTCATCTGGCCGCTAGCAAAGAAAGCAACCACGAAGAAACCAAATACCACTCGAACACAGAGAGAACAGTAAGATGATTCTAGGACCAGGAGGAAGACTATCTTGTCGTCGCAGACACGCTCGGAGTGAACCGATCAACGGCAATAGACATCGTGGCGCCTTACATCAGAGAGGGCAGGATTCAGGGAAGACCACGAGGTGGTAGAAACAACGTGCGCGTGGACGATGAGATGAGAGATTGCCAAGAGGAAATCATCAACGAAAACTGTCTACTCACACGTGCTCGGATAAACAGTGAACTGAGGAGACGGCTACCACTCAAACCCGAGATTCACGACCGCACCGTGGCAAGGACATTGGACGGGATGCTGTATGGAGTGAAACTGGCAAGGCCCCTCTGTGCTGACAGAAACAGACCTGATGTGCTGAACAAGCGAGTAGATTACGCAACTTTGTTTATGAATATTGAATGTAAAATACGCTCAATAGTTTGTAAATGATCGGTTTTTGTCGCAAATGAATGTAACTTCACGCAATTGTTCGACTTTTCACGCAAATGAATTTGTACTTTCTCGTACTGAACAGCAAAAGGTGTACAAACATCATAAGGGAGAAACAAACCAGTAAAAACACATATTTCTCCTCAAAGGCATTTTATATGAAGTTATCATTGATTTCGGAAATCCCAGGAAGTGTTCTTAACAATCATTTTTAAACAACCCGCGAAATACTTGTGTTGAGGCCTTTTTGCATCAGTCTCTCCACTTCATCCTCTCTTGACTCATTGGAGGCCCCTCTCTATAACCTCCCTCTGAGTAATTGAAGAACCTTTGTGTCTTAACCATCAGCTGGGACAGTCCCAGGCAGAGATAGAAAAAATGATTCTAGAAGAATTTGGCCGGTGCTTGCTGCAGATTATCCACACGGCGAATGGGACGAAAGGTGAGTTTTTTTTTTGTATCGCACTACTTTCGATTTGAGAAACGTTTAACTAAGGTGATGCTTATGGTGTCGTTCTGTTATTACATTTTGATTGTTGTTCCCTGTGCTCATTTTTCTTGACAGAATGATTCCTGTTCTTGGCCTCCAGCCAATCCTGCGTGCAGGGACTGCGTTTAAGTTATCACCCATTTGCGGATTTTATTACGTCTTTTTTCCGGTTCTGGAAACTAGACATCGTCGTCTGAATTTTTAACTCGTACCTATAGTAGTGTAAATAGAAAGTTTGCAACATTTTCGCCTGTTAACAATTTTGAACGCTCAGTGTAAATATAGTGCTGTGTTGACTAAACTTGCTATCCTTGTGGTGCGCATGTTGCGCGAGACACCCGAGGGCCCTCTGAGGAAAACCCGCGGACGCAAGAATCACTAGGAAACGTCTGGGACGTTAAAGAATTTTTATGGGATAGGCGTATGTGAGTTCTTGTAACTGATCTTCTCTGTACGTCATGTGTATTTCAACTCAATTCACTGTTGTTTGTTGTTGTCTATCCAGGAATAAAAGTCTGTTAATATATATATATATAGCACACCTCTTCTTTCTTTTCTTTTTTTCTGAGTTCCCTGACCTCACTTTTCCCGCGCAAGTAGTATAGTAGAGCGGTTGCTGAAGATCATTCCCGCGCGTACAACCGCCCGTGATTTTTTCCAGCCTGTCCTCGCGCGCTCGCTGTGGTGCGTGGAAACTGAGTAGTGGGGTTTGGCAAGCTTTTCGTTATCTCGCTAGCAAACAGTCGTGTAGTTATTTTTTGTCGATCCAAGTGTGTCGCCGTGTTGCTTGCCAAGAGATTATGCAAACTTACAGCTTCCTCTCGCGATTGCCCATCAGGACGTGGTAGCCTGTAGTGGTAGTCCAATTACTAATTCCTTGAGCATGTCCCTGATCCCTTAGGAGTCACCTCTAAGGCAAGGAGGACGCGCATTAGGATTCTAGGTTAACTTTGAAGCAAAAATGCGAACAACTTGGAGAAGACTGAGATTTTGAATTGAATATTGAAATAAAAATATAATCACAGTTATGTCTGCAATGTTGCGATAACGGAGTAGTATTAATTCCTATAAATGTTGGCGACGAAACCTACCCACACTCCCTTTTAGCTCATTCCCCAGCCAAGATAGTTTTAAGTCAGACACTACGCAAATTTATGGCAGGCGTGACGTGTTGGCGCTCGAAGCGCAATCTTGTGATCCGCCCGCGTCTCCGCTGCAAATTCTCATGAAAAAAAAAAAAGAATTAACAACTGAAGTACGTCAACACCGCAGTTTAATTAAAAAACTTGCAACTTCCATGCTTGAAAATAGTGTCCTTCAGTTTCCGTGCTACAAAAATATTTCATAAATTACTTGTACAATCAATATGACCACTCGCAAGTCGTTTGAAGTGTCTTGAGATCTTCTCTCAGGGCATTTCAGTCGCACTTGAAATAACAGTGCACCAAAATCCAAAATATATCTCTAAGGTTGAATAAATGCCTTTGTTCGACAGAAAAACATCTAGATTCTCCAAAGAGCAATACGCCACATGTCACGCAAAATTTATACAACATTTGTATACTAATTGGAATCCTCAAGCCGAAATTTACAAAATGCCGATGTTATAAATAGAAAAAATAATCATTTCTCATTTCTCAATTACAAAAAAGGAATCGTTTCAAAACAACTATTTTTGTACAAAATTTGACCTTGACATTTTTAGATCTTCTGATAGTAGCTAATTTTCGATGACAAGCTTGATTCAGTTTCAGTGAAAGTGTTCATTAGTTTTGTTTATCTTGTTTGTCATCGCTTTCATCTCATCATATTACAAATGAGAAATTTCAATTTTGTTCCAATTATCCAGAGAGGTAACTATTAAATGTCGTCTTTCTCGCAGTCTGTTGATGTGTTAGTTCTTTTTTTCTGTTTTGCCCGCGGAAGTCAAATTTGAGAGGTATTCCTATTGAGCAGAGATTCATTAATCAGCAAAATGTCAGTGAAAATTGGGGATATGAGACATGATGAAGTGAAATTTTCCAAAATTAGTCCTTTTGACCTTCTGGTCGTCTAGTCAGCACTAGCTGTGGTGACCGGTGATGAGTTGGCCTCTAAAGCTAGTTGAGGAAAACAAACATGAAACTGCCTGGGATGGGTCCTCTTCATGACACTTACACGACTCTGGATCATGCTTGATCTGCCAGCTTGGAAATTTTTTAGTCTTTCAAACATTGGTCTGATCAAGCTTTGAGAACGACGATTCTTCCTCTTCGAGCAGTGAAAGAAACTCCGAGGGGTTTTCGGGATCTCGATCAAGGTCTTTATCGTGAGATTTTTTCTTCTTTCCATTTGTCAAGCCTGGCTGCCAAGAATGTTCTGAGCCTTCCCCTTTTTCTTCTTCTCGCTGCACGACATTTCCGTTCCGTTTGTCATCATTCATTTCGTTTTCCAAATAGTCGATCTCGTTTAGAGTCTGGAGCTCGATTCCACGCGAGTCTCGAATATCCGAGTTGTTCATGACAGCTTCCGACGTTTTCCGAGAACCGAACATTACACTCAATTTTCTGGATTTGCTGTCGTCGTCTGCATCTTGCAAACCTTGCTGCTTCAACTTCCGATTGCGGTACTTTTTATAAATGGCGTCGAAATTCGAGACAATTACTGGCACAGGTAGAGCAATCGCAAGCACACCGCAGAGTGCACAACCAGATCCAACAAGCTTTCCCCACACTGACTTAGGATACATATCTCCATAACCTACAGTTGTCATGGTAACAAGAGCCCACCAGAAGGCATCCGGGATACTTCGGAAGAATGTTTCTTCATCACCACTCTCTGCATAGTAAATCATACTTGAGAATATTACGACACCGATTACTAAGAAAAATATCAGGAGTCCAAGCTCTCGCAGACTCTTCCGCAACGTTAGTCCGAGAATTTGGAGTCCGCTAGAATGACGCGAAAGCTTAAATATACGGAACACTCGAACAAGTCTTAAAATTCGGAGAAAGGCGAGTGAAAATGTCTGCTCGCTGCTGTTTTTAAGTCCCAGTTCCACGTAAAACGGCAGTATAGCGAGTAAATCGATCACATTTAGAAAGGAACGTACGAACATCCATTTCTGTGGACTAGCCATTAATCGTACTAAATACTCAAATGTAAACCAGCTAATGAATGCAATTTCAAGCTGCCCAAACACGTTCTTTACCGATGTCGCCAACTTGTTGTGTTCCCTAATTTCTTGTAACTTTGCCGTATCATTTGCGTCAACCCCTTCAGTTGACAGAACGATGAACTCGGGAAGTGTTTCTATACACAATACCACTATCGATGCCACGATTACTGAAACAGACAACAGCGCTAACACACGAGCCGCTTTGCTGGAATCGGGATACTCGAACAGTCGCCATATTGTCTTTTGCGCTCTGTTCTCTGGCATTATTATTGCTTTCTCTGGTGGTTCATCTTCGTTCAGAATATCCTTAACCGCATTAACAGCTTGCTCTCCAAGTTCGAAAAACTCTACCTCTTCCAATAAAATCTCCGGAGCCAACTCTGGAGGGCAGACCAATCGGCCATTAGACTGATAGAAATACAAAATTAATTCGAACACTTGAATGTTCCGATCAAAGAAGTATTCATCGCGTTCTTCGTCGTAATATTGTTTCCTTTTCTCTATATTTCCCAGAAGGGTGGTAGGAAACCTTTCCAATGTTTTGGCGTAAGTCATGTATCGGAATCCTGACACGTTCAGCACGATTCGACGATGTTTGGACGGCGAGTCATGTTTTCCATGGCCAGAAGAATTTTTAACTCCGCTACCCTCCCCAGAGACTTCTTCATCGCTGATTTCAGAGCCTTTTCCAGGGGCAGCTTGAGTTGTTATGTCTCTCTTCTTTAATCGTAACGTGATTGCTCCATGTGTACTCAAGCTTGCTCCCATTTCTCCTGTAAACAAAATAAATCGTACGCCATGAACATGAATAGCCAACACCGTTCCTCAATGTAAAGCAACAGGTTTCTTGGGTATATATTTACCACTAGACGCCCATACCTAGTTGGATATTGGCATTGTGCATTACTGTCTATCGGCGTGCACAGAAAATCCACTATTCAACCACAGACGATACATATTACTCACCGCCGCATGCACTGATCAAGAATCAAGCACTCATGCGTTAATCAGAAGGAATTTGTTATCATTCCGATAACATGCACCGATTCAGCCAAGTTGACACAAACAGCACAGTTTAAATATTAACTCAGAATCTGATAATTTTACTGGCTTAGTGTGCTGTCCATTTCTTTAAGTGACAGTTGGGTACTTATTTACAAGCGGATATAGATTCCGGCTCGAAGGCCAGGCCACTTGTCATAAAAGGCCAGTCAATTAAATGCATTTGGAATAAATAACGAAAACAAAGCCAGCCATTCAAGAAAGTTAAATTATTGGCTAGACGATTTAAGAAGAATACTGCTTTTATTTGATTCACGAAAGTTCGGCTTTTTCCCACTGGCCAACTAAGTCACCTCTTGCTTTGCCATCGGGTATTAAAATTCTTAACTCCTCTTCATTACTTTCAGATTTTGACATCAATCTGATGGTTACGAAAGATTCGAGACACGTAAGGTCATTTAACAGTGGAAAGGAATGCTCTCCTATTTTCAGCGGAAACGAATGCTCTCTTTTAAATTGTGTGTTCTGGAGCGTCAATCGTTTCTTTTAGCGCTAGTAGAGATATTTTGGAAACAGAGGTCGATATGCGACCACGTTCTTTGTAGCATTATTTTGTATTCGGGTTGACAAAGGAAATCGGCTGGATAATCTTTCTGTTCGCAGGCTCTCGAAGTGAGAGTTGATGCTGAAATTTTAATTATCTTTTCAAAAACGTCAATCCAATTTGTTTTGTGCATGGTTTGATTAACCATGGTTAAGTTTGGATTCCTGGACTAATTGGCCTTAAAATCGATTATTGTTGTCCTTGCAGACTCTTCCGTCCTAAGACCAAGAAAACAACATATCTCGACATTATTTTCATGAATTCACAAGTGATAAGAACTTTGGAACAACAAAGACATTATCGAAAAATACTCTTGTTTCAGCGATCACGAATTAATTAATTCATTGATTGCTCACGTACGCGTCATCGAATGACAATTAACTTTCCAAATTTAAAGGATTAAATTCGTTTTTCTTTGTGCTAAGGAGGAATACTAAAGAAATCTTGGAACACAGTTATACATTTTTTTCTCGCATTATTTGCAGTATAAGGGTTATTTCTACTGATCTTAAAACGATGAAATACCATAAAAAACTAAAAGTTAATTACCCTATAACTTTATGCTACTGATATGTGTTTATTTTTCCTATTAAAACGATAATCAGTTCGCGGTGACCAAAACTGCTCATAAGCAACAAATTGATTCGTACGTTCCACAAAATCAAAGAAGTTGTGCATGCATCTCCAAAACACAAAACAATTTATAGAAAATTTTTAGCCGCTCCCTGAAGGCCGTAAGATATTGATTGAGTTTTATATGAAACAAGAAATAAAAAACTCGCGTTCACGGAATCGTTCCTCAACTGAACGACATCGAAGTCCATATAAGCGTACCACTCTTTTGAAAACGAAATTTAATTGGAAAACGGCAAATGTGATTCTTTCTAGCCTGCTCGCTGTACAGTAAGCATGTTGTGCTGCAAGTACCTTACTTGCATGTCCAATTGCTCAGTAAGCAAATGCTTTTAAGACCTCCTACTAGCTCTAAGTACTTCTCGGTTTTAACAAAAAACATTTTCTGTTCGATTCTGCGAAGACATAACATACATTCATTGCGATTTAACACTAAACTGGAAAGAGTTATTTTTTATTTATCGACTTCAGTCGCTCGACTATCCGATTAGATTTCATGTGATGAATGCCTTCTTTATCAATATCAAACCTAGAGCACGATGCGCATCGCTGCAAATTCCTTCTAGAATTTTCGATCGCATAAAACACAAAAGATTATAACCTACGACACTTTGAGTGTTACGGCTCACTGCTCACGTACATTCGCAGCTTGATAAATTCTAAATAGGTGTTCCTGATTGTTACCTTTTCAGAGAATTATTTTTTGAACACGGTCTGAGAAGAAAGAACTGTGGGACCGAGAGACATTTTCATTTCGTTCGATATAAAAATAAAGGCTTAAACCAAATGAATGGACACTTTTCGTGTCTGACAGTTTTGTTACTGTTAAAAACATAATGTCAGGCCATCAATCACTGAATTCTTGAACTGTGAAAGTTATTTATTTTTCGCTTTTATTATTACAAAAAAGATTAAAACGATCATACAATGAAGAAGTTCGCTCGCTTGTATTTGTTTATGAAGTGAAGTGTTGTTTACGAGTTTTTCTATAATCAGCCAATTTCAATTATCTCTCCAATTGAAAAGATTTACTTACAGGATACAGATCAGTCTTCAACCGGTGTCCGATGCAGAATGAAAATATGCTTTGTACCGTGTGGTGGAAAAATCCTACCTTAGACTCGAGATGTTGAGAAGATGCGACTTATTTAGGTTGATCACTTCTGAAATATGGCAATTAGTTCAGAGGGCAAACTAATAGAACAGTCCTTGACAGAAACATGTTTCAGAAAACGTCACCCAGAATGTCTACTTTCCAATCCGCTTTGCACATAGTGGGTGGGCATTTGCCTGCATGATCTGTTTAGGACTACAGCGAAGTGTGATCTATGAGAATATCTTCAAAGCCGAAGCTTTCTCCGGCCCGATCTCACTAGTAATGATTAAATAGCTTCACACTAGTAATTTATACTCTGATGTTAGGCTCCAGGATAAAGTCCACAAAACAAACAGCTACCGGCAGACAGTCACTGAGGGCTCATGAAAATTCTCAAATCTACCAACCTTGGTTCAAGTAACACTGCATACCAACAAATAAGAAGGAACTGGCGTTTGACGCTTCTCGGGTTATCGCTTGAATTCATACAGACCAACAGAACATTTCAACTAGATGTCACTGATGTTTCTTTTCACGCCCCACTTGCTCTATGACAGTACGTGCAGAGTTGAGACATAAAACTTCAACTTGTCTTTAAATGCAATGACTTTTGGGTAGTAACTGTTGCATTGATTGAAAAATTTTAATTATTGCAAACATGTTTCGAAAACAAAATTCCTTGCAGTCGGAAAAATAAAGTAAACGTTGTCGGCGACTGCCTCAATCTAAACAGAAAACACCGGAAATCTAACTAGCAGATATCAAAAATCGATTGCACACAAATCTTATCTTGAATTGACATTGCATTTCGCAAACCCCGTTAACATGTTTCGATACGGTTTTGAATTACTTATTGACTTCAGTTAATGGTTTCATCAACTCTTTTAAATCCGTAGACAAAGTCGGAAACATGTCAAGATAGCCCGCGTCGTGTAACACAGCGAATCACTCAGAAAGGCCGCCGAATGTGATGATATAGAAACACTAATGCGAACGAATGACTTTGTGTAGCTAGATTCCAAGCTATAAATCGTCCAGCACCCTGAAGAGAGGGGAGAGGGGAGTGCGATTAGGGGGTTCTTATCCAAATATTCTTGGAAAAATTGCAGATTCAGCAGTAAAAGCTTTCAATGCCTCAAAAAGACAAACGATTTGGTGAAACAATCAAGCAGTTTTGTTCGTTTGAGACCAATAATTTCCGAAGTCTTGGTCGTCTTGTAAGGCTAGAGGCTATCTGACCGTGGAATGCCTAATTCGTTTTCTCTTTTTTTTTCTTTTTTCTAACTATAGTGTCCAAGGCCCTTTAGATAACTGCCTCAGACTTAATTCTTTGCTTCAGCCCTTGGAATAAGGAAAAATACATGCGTCATTTATCAATTGGCGACTTGCCGAGGCTCCTTGAGTCATTGACACCCCTAGATTACCTACAGGATAAACATTACAGCGCATTAGGTTCATTGTCTTTCTAAATTCGGCAGTGGCGTTCAAATCTGGCGAAAGTAAATTACCTAAGGCTGAATTTATCAGCCACGCTGAGGGATAAGTTTAAATGCAAGCTTGACTGTCTTGACTGTATGATCTTCGGAAAGCTTTTTATTTGGGATATCAAGCCTTCGTTAAACACCCAGACTGACTGGATTCGCGCCAAACTATTTACATGACACTTAGTCGTTATTTGACCTTTGGGTATTGTACCCACGGGAATAAAACACTTTTTCCCTAATTGTTTTATTCACTTTTTTAATTTCATTTTTAATCAGTTTTTCACTTTTGACTTGATAATGACGTGAAGTAACGACTAAACGTAGTCAAAACATTTTGCGAACAGTTTTCAAAAGTTGTTGGAGTTTTATGTACTTTAAAAACATTCCATAGAGATAAACGTTGTCATAAAAGACTGAAAAAAGAAACGAAATAACTTGTTGTCAAATCGAAATTTATATCCCCTCGCAAATATTTTCATTTCTTCCAGTGACTTTTATGCTTGAAAAGCTTTTACATGATATTGTCAAAAGAAATAATTTTCAGCGTTTCTGTCTGAGAGTAAAAGGATTATCTATCACTCCTTTGAAAACACGATTTGAAAAACTAAACACTGGTCATTAAAATCGTTTGAAATTAAGGGATTAAGCCTTCTAATCCAATCAATCACGTGCTATTTTTCCATGCATCGTAAGAAGAAAGTGTCGTGTTATTTTGACGAAATATCTGCAGGCTGAAATAGACAACCGACCCTTGTCTGGTATTTTAGCTTGTATATTGAAAGCCATCAGCAAATTATTTGTTGTTCAGTGTAGTTTGTTTGCTTCTTTGAAACAAGATTGACATCAGTTGAAAAGCTAAAGGCTGCGATAGTTATATCTTGCTTGAGTCTGCTTACGCACAAAATTTATCCCATGCAAGTTTTCCAGTGTAATTTCTTAGCCTTTTTATCCGTTTCTTTACGAAATCAGTAGGTCAGCGAGGTATTCCACCCATCAGGGCCGCTTTTTTTTCTCAATTGGAAGCAAATTATACAGTTAGCACTGCAAAAGGCTCTAGAATTTACGCATTTAATCATGATCGCGCACTTTCACGACAAAAGTTTTCTATTAAAAATATTTCCCTTTTCTTTTTCGTTCACAAGATCTTTGCAGTGGAGCAGGAGACTAGATAATCTTATACGAATGACCCCTCATCCGCGAGAGGGTTACGCCCGACAACAGATTCCAATTAACATCACTAGTTTCTCGGCGGTAGGTAACGATCTGAATGTCAAGGTGTAATATTTGTCCCAGACCAAATAGGCATTTGGCAATTTGTAATGAGAAATTTAAGGCGCTCTGACTCACGCTGGAACGCGACATCGAAAACTGTTGCATTGACAACAGCTAACGCTTAAGCTCTTAAGCCGGCTCTAAACTCTTTTCAACTGCAGATTTTAGATTACACTATGATGTAGTGTTTTGATTAGAAGCATGCAACCTTAAATAGTATCAAACCGATTTCGATCCATGGTGGCCATGGAAAGCGATGGACTTCGAAAAGGTTAGAATCTCTACTGTTTTTTCTCGAACTGAAAACTGTTTTCAGTACTCACCAGGACTTACAAGGACTCGCGAAAGCTTTCGACGAGGTGCTTCATTTTCACTGAAATCTTGAGTACTTGGGCTGTGAACTAAGCGAATAGCAGATGCGATCTCAGCTTCTTGCATGGGCGTCAAGAACTAATGAGCCTAGGAGGGACGCACAAAATGTTTAGAACTTCACGCAGTTAATTGCAAGACCGTTCTGTCCTTTATTGCAGAGAGCTTTATTGAGCCGAATTCCAATAGCTATGTCTCTATGGAATTCTTTTGAGACCCTAGTGGACTTATTTGTTGTAGAAAGATTGAATAGGCCTTTTGTGAGTCTGTGCATGTAGTTATTGTTGTCTTCGCAGCAGTTGGTTGTTATCTTGCCGTTACGGTTGGGTTTTTGGGTCGTCTTGTGAAACCTCTCGAAAGAAGAATACATTTAACTAACTAGTATTTAATTCAAACTGTTTATGTGAAGCCGTGAATGAAGCAAATGCCTCTCGAAAAATCAAAGGACATGACTATGTCCGGTCAATCCTTTGTTTTAAACCAAGACAAGGTTTTAATAGCTTTGTTTTACGTATGTTGAGAACTTGTTCCTGCACATGTTCATCACATGAGACTTAACGGTCGCAAGGTCAATTAATTTTCACTATTCTTCTTCACATTTCTTCTGCTGTGTTAACAGCAATCCAAACACAGATAACTTATCCCCATCTCTTGCATGCAATGTCTATATCCCGTTTCGGAATATTGATTCTACAAGCAATAGGCTTATCATAATGAAGTCCTAATTGCGGTAAACGCAATCTAAGGCCACCAAATGAAAGAACGGAACCGCATCTCAGCTGTCCCAAAAATACGCTGAATGTAAAAATCAAAGACAAGAAATCTGTAACTTTATGAGTTTCAAAATTTTTTTCAGGATCAAGAAACAAGCACACTACGAGTAAACAAAGATACCGGCTTTTGTTTCATCAATTGAGCACTTGATAATGCAGTGCAGCCATGCCGAACGATAAGAAAACATGGCATTAGGCAGTCTTTGCTTCAGCAAGTATCTCGTGGTTAGTTTTCCCTTTCAATGTTATGGTCTATAGGCAATTTTTTTCAATTAAGAGACTAATCAAACAAACACTTCAGTGTCTTGGGCAAAATTTATCAGAGTTTAATGTCTAAACTTTCATTTCAACAAATTTTCCTGGCGCAGACAAGCTTTCTTTCAGTAAACCGGCTCTCACAATTAATCTCTCCTGCTTAATATGTTGTAGTGAATAAGTTTGCCCTGACAAATACCTACTGGAAAAAAACTCGCCAGAATAGGGGGCTTTGCTCTCTGCACGCGAGGCGGGCTCCAACACATGCTATGTCTTTTTACAGAGCGTGGTTATTCGCTACTCATTCCAGGCAGAACAAGATTAACATCTTTGCAGCGTCTAATCAAGATGCAAACGGCTACTCGTTACAAAACATGATATGGCTGAAGGAACAAATCTCGTACTTCTGAATGGAACACAAAAATTGAAGGCCTCGCTTTAGGTTCGCATTCAAAACTTACATGTTTATACATAACATTGATTAGTAACAGTGATCGCTTAGGCATTCAAAAGGGTGTCAGCGTCAAGGGAAACTAATCAATTACCAAATTCTCTCTACTGCTCTACCATGAAGAAAAATAATAACGTTTGCAAATGATCAAAGAGATAGAAAGGGGATTGATTCTTCATTCTAGAAAACTGAACTGTATATAAAGAAATAAATGACATAAAAAGGACAAGCTTGAAAAAGGACGACAGCCTTCAGAGTTGCGAAACTCGAAACAAAATCATGGCGATCAGCCGCATGTGAGAATTTTGTTTTCCTTGCAAATCTACGTCTGGTCGATGAAAAGAGCGATCTGATGAGATGAGAGTACGCAGTATTAACAAGCCACCATCGGCACCTTACAAGAGACGAAACAGCCTTCTGTACCTTGTCTCACTCGCTTACAGATTCCCCGGACGATGAGAATGACTCAATGTGGTCACTTTTCTGTCAGTCGGACCGGCTTTATATCTTATCGCTTCGGAACCAAATTAGGTGATCCTTAGATGAAGAGAGACCCGTAGAAACGAAATGTCTTTTTTTAGATCATAACAGAGTAACCACTGAAAGACTCGACTGATTTTACAACATTTTTTAATATTTCCAAGGATCAATTAAAAACACTCCTCTTTACCTTAACGTGCGTATCAGCTTTGTACCCAAAATGTTTCGTGATAACGAAAACCACTGATTTCCACGTTGTTTGTAACTTAATTTTGAACAGTTCCTAGCGCATTACTACAACTCAGGTGACCTTAGACTCTCCGCAGAAGGCTTTACCATGCCGAGTCATCCGTACGATTTGATTAGCGCCATCGAAAACTCATCAGCCTCCCTTAACAGGACAACTCGAAACACGAGAACAGATGGAGTTTTATACGTGTATATGCTTTGAGACCCCATTGGTTTAAACAATCATGCATGCTTAGAGATTGATCACTTCGAGGCGGCAATAGATGGAATCATACGTCTTACCGATTACGCTTGCAATTCGTCCGTCTGTTTGTGACATCTTTCTCTTGTGGCGGACGTACGTGCGGGAAAACATCGCAACGTTTAAACGCACAGCGATAAAATAATTCACTTGAGTGATGAGCCTATGCCCTGAATGTGTTACCCGTTAACCTCACGCAGTCCTGTTTTCTAATAATAAACAAACAAGACTGAAACAAATTTTGTGCGAGTTGTGACGGACAACCCACTCATTAAGGTCACTAAAAATCTGTCAGTCATCATTCTCTATCAAATCAACCGGCCAGCAGGTTTCTTTGCGGGACGCCAGCTCACATGTGGGATGCACAGAAACTTGCCTTGCCACCAAATCACTTGGAAAACCACGAACGTTACATGATGTCAATTGGTGAGATATCTTTGTCGGCTTAAGTAAATTAAACTTGAAACTTTCTTAGTGGAAGGTGTTATTCACAGACATAAACATCTGAGGAAGATGATTAGATATTGCATGAGGGCCGGATTATATAATGCATTTCAATCAAGTTTCTGGGTCATAAGGCGCAACTCATTCATAACAAATCCAGCCTTGTCCATTCAATAGCACTGCAATTTGCTTGTTTGAAAACTCCTAGTGAAATAAAAGGATGTCTGATCTCCGGAGGTGAAAAACAATTAGTATCTCAAGCGACAACAAAGGATCGATGTAGCGAGCCACAGGAATTATTGTACCTAGAGGTTTTAATAAACAAATCTACTTCCACTTGGTTGATTGCCCAGAGATAATAATAAGGTTTCGCTCGACAACTTCAGTTTAGCAACCATAAAATGATCATTTTCTGGAACTTTTTTGGTCACATACACGGAACATTTTACTGACCCTTCAAGTTATGCTTCAGTTCCTAACAAAAGTTTCAACAAATGCCTGGAGCGACACGTGGGCGGGTCAGTATAAATTTCTGAGTGCGGCGCTAGTGTGGGATGCGGTAGATTATTAGTCTTTGCTCTTTTGTCTGCAGTGTAGGTATAAATAGTAAAATCCACTAATGAATAATCTAATCAGACTATTGTTAGAATGATCGCGTGTAGTTACGTAACGACAACTTGTATATTTACCGAGCTATCATTCGTTAGAAATAAATCTCTTTGATTGATAGCATCGTGTACCACTCGGACAAGAGAGGATGATCTAATAGACCAGAAACAGAAAATTGATAGCGTTTGATACAGTTCCTACAGGATTTTATTGGTTTTCATGGACCAGACTTCAATTATTCAACACACAAAGAAGTACTTGATAATGACTTCCGCTCAAGTTAGCGATACGTTAGTTGCTGTTACCAGCAGTAGTCCGGATTACTGTCGCCCAGACGATCACACCACACAATTAACTCTGAACCATACACTGACCCCTCTCTCACTAGGAGAGCGCGGATGCTGACAGGACGGTTGGAAGAAGCATGGGTTAACAGGTGTCTAGATGTTTCAACGCTCAGAACAAGCTCACCTAAAAATTATCTTTCTCACCCCACAAGAACGGAAAAGAACCATTTCAGACGACAAACATAACATAGAGCCAAACAAGGCGAGCTCAAAATCATTACCACTTTGGTTTTAGCAGCTCCACTTATGTCCAGAAATGCACACATTAACGTAAATGGCAGATTTGACGAAATTTGTCAAACCAAGTGAATGTTCGTGGCTTTGACGATTTTGGCGAATTTCAGTCAAATTCTTCAGAGCGAAATCAGCCTGACGGAATTGACAGTTTTGACTAGTTTTAGTCAAAATGGACGATTTTTAGCGATTTTTCGCCATTTTCGTCACTGCATGCATTTCTGGACATAAACAGAGAAAAATGTCGGTAACAATGATTTTTAGTCTACAAGTAGCTTAATTATGCTACTGGTTAGTGTCACGAGGATCATTCCTCAACAAAACTTTATAACTTTCAGAGGCAGGCATGGTACTTCAAGCTACTCACTTGTTTTCACTCCTCCCCAACCAATATTTGAACACTTTTACTAAAAAAGTTTGAGATTCACTTTAAGATCACTTTTCTTCTGACACGGCCGAGATGGGCTTCACATAAGTTTTTATGACTCAAAAGAGAGAGCCAATCAACGACTTCCTTGAGGGAAAATGTTCTCAAGTAAATATGCAGCATATTTAATGAATCCTTTAGGCCCCTGAGAGTGACTAACTTCTAATTTCTCATTACAAAATCACCCTTGAATCAAATGTTTATGTCTCATTAAGAGTAAAGGAAAAGAAGCTCTTGATTGTTTAACAGTTCTCCACATTGCTGTGGTAAGTTCAATACAATAAAATTTGCTAGGGCAGTCTATTTAACCAAATAGGCTGACTACGTATGTTTCGTTTCTGCTCAGGCACTCAACAGGAAATTTTTTGCTGATTACTCAAACTTCTTTGGTGACTGAGAAGCTTTAGGAAAAACAAGGTCTCTTGCAACCATTGTTTTGATGTTGGCGGAACTTCAGATACCTTGTTTGATAAGTAAACTTAAAGTTCAGTCCCTTGACAAACAAACTCCTAAACTTTTTACAGAATTTTTTTACCATTCAGTAAATAACGAAAGACCAGTTCGAGACTCAACCAAGAGCAAACTAGAAGCGAGGAGACGGTTAGAAAAGAATTGCATCTCAGGCTAACAACAAAATAATCACACATGGAGATCATCTGTTATATGGCCTGAATAGGTTCACCTTAACAACTCCTATCTCGACGCTTTTATTTCATTTGATAAACAACGTTAGTTAACTCCTCTTCGCTGTTCCTAAGAACACCACTTATTTCTTCGAATCACCTTCAAAGTTTGCCATGCAAGTACATTGTGTTACTGTTTCTGTGCCATGTGCATCTGTGTTTCTCAGTGTTGTTTGGTACTCAAATCAGCTCTAGATCTTAGCTTTAGAAAAAGAATAATGTGCTGAGGAGTTCTACATATGATTTCCTAACGTGACTGACAGTCGGGTCGAGAGAGACAAATATTATATACTTCCTCAAAGTCTCTACGTTTTAGTGCAAAATCGCCTGATTTGAGAAGAACAAGCGTAGTTCTACCTTACAGTTGTGTCACTTTTAATTTTTGTTTACAATACGTCCCAAAAAGGAAATGTCCGTTGTCTAAAGCAATTGCACTTAAGCTTTTAAACTCGTTTATTTTGCCCATTGCAAGATTTAATGACGCAAGTGAGGAAATAGTTTCGTTTACCTGTTTAGATGCGCTGAATGCACGAATCCACTTCCAAACGGTACTCGTTACTTTTCTAATCAGACTACTAACGTTGTAAACAAACTAATCTTGTTTTTTTACTTGCTATCGCAACTATAACATCCGGACCTAAACGTTATCGATCAAATTGTAATCTACAGGCATGATAAACCCGAGTTTGAGACGGCACCCGCGAAAACACATGTAGACAATGCGTGGGATTTGCCTTCGTAGGAAAATATGGCAAATTGTTACTTAATGGATCTCTGACTGATACTAGCTTTTAGTAATTCACCTCTATTAGGACAATCCAAACAAATAACAATAAAAACGACTGCTGGACGACTTATGGTCTCTAAAGATTGCAATTAAAAAGCAACTTACGTATCACTTCTGATGTCCCAAAAGACCTTCAAGAAAAAGTGAAAATTTCTTTGAGTTTATCGTTTCGCACTATTTGCTAACTAGAATTCTCAGCATGCTCCACAAATGTTACGTTTCCCTTAAACCTTTTCACGCGTTTGTATGTGCATTTTTCACTCAAGTACTCCGTACAGTTCCACTAGTCATGGTATTGAAATCAGAGCGTTCATAATTCATAGTAATTCCACACCAACTTTAATTGTCTTTCGTGAACATGATGAAAATTGAGATAGAATTGAAAGCCCATTCTGCTCTCAAGGCAAAGGTGACAAAATTAAATAATCATCGTGGCGCATCGATTTAGGAACATTTCAGCGGAGTACTCATCGCCACGTCACTAGCAAAGTGAAGATGGATGATTGCGGGAATTCCGCTGATACTTTTACGCATTGCACGGCCAAAGATTGTCCCATAGTGTTTGTTCCATTACTGACTCGTTTTGGTTCCCAGAGCTTGATCCTACTGGAAACGTGCCAGAGTTGATAACTACAGCGATACATTCCTATTATTTCATTTATCATCAAAATGCAATTACATCTCGCCACTTTAGGAGTAGACTCTCTGCTTTATTCGGTGCTCTACGGTGGCTATTCCTTTGGTTTAGCAGTCCTTGCCTGTAAATCTAACGCCTCCCTTAAAATTCATTAACCTGATAATACTCATGGCGATTGGCGCTCAAACTCTATTCTTATTTTGCGTGCCTTACAAATTTCAAAAATTCCTGCACACTCTTCAACACCGATTCACCATCATCACTTTTGCATGCACTATTCCAACCAAGGCGTTATGTCAGTTGAGCAATTACATTTAATCATCAGATTGAAAAAAAGCAAGTGCAATTCTTATCAACTACGATTCCAATCCAAAGTTCCAAAGGCAAATGTCCGCTACACCGGACAAATTAAACAATTAATCATTTCCGATCTTCAAAATGAAATCATTTTTTTCTTACAAAAAAAATTTGTAGGCAACAACGTGCAAAGACAATGATTTTAATTGTTGTTCATGAACTCCAATACAAGCAGCACTCGCCCAACACTTTTTTCCGTGGTTAAGAATTTTTTTTTTTACCCATGGAAACTTTTAAATCAGGCACGAAAGATATTTATGGTATCGAGAGTCTTCTATGATAAAACATTTCCGCCCAAAACAAGCCAGCTTAATTTTCCCTTAGGTCAGACACAAATGAAGTTTAATCACTAAAGAATAGATTTGCTTAAAGTATGTACGTCCACTTTAATCGCTTTTAGCAAGACGGCTCAATAAGCTCTCAACAATGTGTTCTGTCTGAATTTTTTCTCCGTAATTGTTATCTAGACTTTTGACAAAGGGTCGACCTCATAACTCCCTTTTCAAGATGAATGTTCAATGTCTCTGTTTTATTTGTTCACATGTAGTGATAGTTAGCCTACATCTTGAATAAAGTATGTATACATGTACGCGGTATTTATCTTACCTTTCACTTCCATATACTCTTCACTTCCTGTTTATCAACCTTTTAACTCGATAGGGAGGCAGAGTAATAAGTCTTGATAGCTTTCGACCCACTTGGCCGTCAACAATAATCTCTCTTAACTGTTTGTCCTTCGTGAGCAAGTAAGGGTTACAGAAATTCGTGGGAAGCTAAGGTGGCAGTTAGCTGAGGGAATGAACGTACTTGCCACTCTTAGGAATCAGGACGTGTTTTCGAACTGCTCCCCTCCAATTATTAACTCACTCAGTTCCTTAGTCTCGAAGATTACTTCCTCTTCTAAAAACTTTAAGCGTCCAAAGCTACCTCAAGACTTTTCAATTTGAAAAACCTCTCCATTTATCGGTATTAATGCTCTAACAGCCAATGGCCATGTTGTCTACACTTTTGAAGATGTCGGTTTGTCACTCCGGCAGACCCAAGATCACACATCGTTGTTAGCACTTCAGGGAATGTCACATTAACGTAATTACCATATCGAGATAATTGGATTAGCTGCTGCACCCATTTCCTAGGTAGATTTTAAAGTTTCTATTGAATGTGTGTCTCGTTCGTGCGGAGAGCTTTCATATAAAATTAGCTTCCTTAGAAAGCCTCTCGGAAATCAAACGGAACGCTCGCTAAGAACATGATTAGTTATTTCCCTCGTAATTTCATTTATGCCAGGATATGAAATTTAAGGGTAGGGGAACAAGATCTGAATTTGTTTTTATCAAATGAGTTGATAATGTAAATTGGCCACCAAAGAGAGTTTCTAAAGTTGACGTTTTGAGGGTCAGCCCTTCGTCAGAGCGAAGGCTAAATAACATTACAATAAAGCTCGGATATAACACGTACTGTCATTGGTTGAAAGAGCGTGCTCTATGAGAGTATAGAGCATAGAACTGAGCTAAAGCTGTCACGCCATCTGCCAAATCGTACTATGTCCGACCTTTTCCGGGACTTCTTTCTAGCTTTTCTTTCGTTAATAAAAGTGAAATTTCGGAACAAGCAAGCAAAGGTTTGCAAAAATGCCAGGCGCAGTAATTTACGTTACTGTAACGCGAGCAGAGACAAAAATCCTCAAAGATAAAACAAGATAGACAGTCCGAGTTTTTTTAACGGTTTTCACGCTCAGTTAGATTGCGAGTTTACGTACGGTAATAAAAATCAAACACAGCTAACACTTGTATAGTGTATAAAGTTTCGATTTCAAATAGAAAAAAACAGGAATTATGAAAAATACAACCTGGCATAACTGTTAAAATTCATACTAATCATGACGGTGTCAAAGACTTAAGGTCTATCGCGGCTAGCTAATCATGGCGATCTTCGGTCATCGCAGTGGAGCAAGCCTCAGGAACTAAATCGACTACCCTTCAAGTGAAAAAATAAGAGCTTGTCCTGATTACCTTTCCGATGCGTTGAGTGGAAGGCCAGATCAGTCACTGCAACCGAGTTTTACGGCGCTGTCATTCCGAGCGATCTTTTTGTCTTAGTGAATTCGGCTGTTGTTCATTCATAATACACTCGCCTTGAACAGTTTGTTTTCTACTTGTAATGTGAAATAACTTGCGTATTTTTGTGAGCCACGATTGGGCCGAATTTCACTGAACATTTCACTTTCAGATCCTCTATTAGAAACTAAAAAACTTCAGGCAAAAGTGTTAAATTCGACATGCCGAGCTATTTTAGTTTGTAAACTATTGCAGAATATGAACTTTGATGGTTTATGAACTTTGATGGTTTGACATTTTTGACAGCTTTAGTCTTGTACAGCCAATCAGATTATTTGAACCATTCTAACAGGAATTCTGATTGGCTTATTGTAGCGTGCTTTATGAGAGTATAGAGCATGCTGACGACACTGTTGTTCGCTTTGGAAATAAGATTTGTTTTGAAAATTGAAAGTAATTCTTGGGGAATTTAACGGATTCTTTATTATAAAACAAATAGAGAAGCCTTGACTGTGCTCTGTTCTGTTGTAACGCACTTAGGAAGCGGCTAGAGCACTCAAGAAGTAGGGAGAAACACTCGACTACGTCTCGTGTTTCCCCCTACACTTCTTTCGTGCTCTAGCCGCTTCCTGCGTGCTTTACAACAGAACAGAGCACAGTCAAGGCTTCTCTATTTGTTAATTATCAACACATTTGTTAAAAACCAAATTATCTTGTAATACCCCTCACCGACGCAGCACCACAGTTTCTTACCCCTCTATTCAAGAGGAACAACCCATACGATGCTTGGAGGATACAAAGAAGCGAAGAGGGGAATTTTCCTTCCAGGGGTTGTTTGGATGTTGATATTAATGATAGGGATTAATTTTTAGTTTTGTTTTCCACGATTAGGTAGAGGTCTGAAAGAATTGTGATGGAAATGAAATACTGCCGAAATACGTAGTGTTTTTATTTGGTGTGATGTTCTGAATTCGCGAACTTCTTTTTCATTTTTGGGAGAGGGGGCGTACTCAAATGGATTAGGGCGAAGTCTTAGACGAGGAACTTGCAATGAAGCGAAACCACATGTTAACCTGATATAATAGTTTTTCAAGGCTCTCTTCAAAGACTTAAACGATCCTCAATTACTTACGTTCAACATTAGAAAAAGTAATCTGCCATAGAGTTTTTACTTAGTCATTAAAGGCAAGCTATAAACCTTTCCTGGTCTTGCATAACATCTGCAGAAAATTACATTCGTGCATGTGTAAGGAAAGTCTTAATTTTGTTGTCAGAGCAGAAGAAGCAATGTTTCAAACAAGCACGCGCATTCGAACGCAACGTATACATCATAGTTGCCCTCGCGTCACTTACAATGTTGCGTAAACAATGCTGAATAGCATCCGCCTTCATCTTCAACCTTAAGCTTCAAGCGTCCACTTATAAATTTTCCAGATGTTTTGAATTTCGTGTTTATTGTTGAAGCTGTTTACCATTTACCCAACGAAAAGAGCAAGTGGTAAGAGCCCCACAAGAACTTACAGGATAACATAAAAAGTAAACGCTGTACACTGCTGTCTTGAAAATTCCTGGATGTACAATGACAGTTATATCTAAATCTAAGATTCTTCCATGGGCCGACGTTTTCCCGCAGATCGAAGAAATCGTCTCAAACCAAACTGACACGCCCTTCTGTGTAAGCATCCCTTATGGACTCCAACTACAGAAGCATCTCTGGAATCCTGAGCGCTTGCGAGTTGTAAGACACGTTAAAAGCGGTACTGGACACAGCTTTATATCTCATCACGGTGTCGGAAAGAATAACGAAATAAACATCTGGAACTTTTCGAAGGAAAAACAGCCCGGAAATTTAGCAGCTGGCATCCAATCAGTCTCCACAGATCTTATGTTTCTGCATATTTTGTTTTCCCAGAGAAGATGGGTTTATATCACATATTGCAATGATATGTCCATGAGAGTTTTTAGCGCTAAATTTCATCTGGTGTCTACCACATCGGTAAAAAAAACAGTTCTCAGCTTAGCGTACAATGAAATAAGAGATGAAATCATCACTGGAATCGCCGGCGGAATAATGACATGGAAGTTCTCTGTTGGTCAACAAGATCCCTTAATTCCCGGCCAGTTGATAAGCTGTTCTTTCGAGCCGTTTGACTGGGTTATGTCACTGACAATTGATAATAGGTCCCAGCAGATATTGGCAATATCTGATGTGAGGATATCCATGATATATCTCCACAGTAACCAAGAGAGATGCTTTTTTCAAAAGAAATGTGACTTTTCCTTCACCACCTGTGCGTTTTACAACCCTGCCAGTTACTTCATCACAGGTAAGACAAAGGCATGACGGAAAACCGCCTTCATTAACACATTAGCTCGTTACAAATGCATGCTAATCAGCTGCTTTTCGAAAGACCACCTTCGAATCTGGTTACCAAAGAGGTCGATTAGACTCCTGACATTTCTTTCTTTAATTGATCTTAATATCCTGGTTGGTGTCGTCAGAGATCACTGAACACTTTGCTTTGGTATCACTCAATTCGAGTTTCTATTACGGTTCAGTTTGTTTCTAAAAGTTATTTTACTCTATTATGCAGAAAGATTTAAATGTTGGAGTGCTCTTAATACATCGAGCAAAGATTGATTTTCTACACATCTCGGTGAACTTTTTCTTATGTAGCGTAACGACTTGTATTGTCTCTCCACAAGGGAAGATGAGGTAGCTTGCGATCTTTCACTCTCTATCATCAACGATATTTTTATTTAGGTGACAAAAATGGATCAATTCGAGCCTGGAGCACGAGTGTTAACAGTTTTCCTATGGTAACTCAATTTCTAGGTGAGTTAAAATCACAAACGACGTCCATTTGTTGTAATGTAATAACAGAAGATCCACTGTTACTCTTTTAATCACAATTCTATAATGACCCACTCTTCCCGTTAATCTTGATTTTCGAGGAGACGCTATTAGCGCTAGTATTAGATTAAAAAATTATCCATGTTACCATGTAGGACACACATCTGAGATCACAAAGCTCCTGGTTCATCCAGAAGAACCACTCCTAGTGTCCAGTTCCTTGGACAAAACCATCAGGATATGGAACTTCGATACGTGCGCACAGACTTTCAAATTGGAAACAGGTGAAGAGGTGATCAGTATGAGCCTACTCAGTGACGACCTATTGTACTATCACTCGGATCATCACATCAAAATATGGAGTCTTAACTTATTTCACAGTCTTTTTACTGCTCTGAGTTCGAAGATTAGAATATGCATCAGAGTGAAATCCCCAGGGTACCCCTGTCGGGTATTGGTTCTTGCTGAGGACGGTGGGGTGCGGCTGGTGTCTCCAGTTCATGGATACGTGCTGACAACTCTCCTGCCCATCACAACCATGACGACTGATGTAATGGACGTGGCTCATGATCCCAGACAAGAGAAGATTTACCTGGTGCTAGGAACCAGAGAAGTTTTGGTGTTCGCGAGTGACACAAACCCGTGTTGGTAAGGCACCCACCAATGAGATTGTTAGTATTGAGAAACCACATCATTAAGCGCCGCAGCAAAACGTCTTAATGCTTGAAAGAAAACTTCTACACAAAAAGTGAAAAAAAGTTGGTCATGAAAATCACCTGAAATGCCTGATTAACAAAAAAAAAAAAAAAACAAAAAGGAAAACTATGAATTACTTGATTGACTTATTGATACCCTTTAAAAAACGCAAGGGACATTACGAAGGACACAAGGGTGAGTTCTTCGTCTCCAACCGAAAATTGCCATGTTTAAAATATATACAATTCAGAACAAAATAGAAGAGTATTCACATAGTATGCGTCGGCCGGGAATCGAACCCGGGTCAACTGCTTGGAAGGCAGCTATGCTCACCACTATACCACCGACGCTCACACCTCAGAACTATATGTGTATGAAATTAAACTGTGGGTCGTTATGCGAACCGACCGAATTTACCAAAACATGTTAAGCAGATTGAGCACAAATGAAGAGAGATTTGAAGGCTGTGCCTGACCTATCCATATCCGGAATATAACCAAAGCTTCAGAAGCGTCGACTCTTTTCAGTCAGCATATGCAGTTAAATTATTTTAAATTGCAAAATAGCGGAACAAATTTGATTCTAAACAAATACAAGATGTTTTAAAGCATCAGCGAAGCCTTATTTAAGTTTTATCGACAAATCGTGCCAGGGAAAAGGGTAGATAAAAAAAAATAAGAGGAAAGCTTATATGTTAATCATAGATCCCAGGTCCCACCGAGATTTGAACTCGGATCGCTGGATTCAGAGTCCAGAGTGCTAACCATTACACCATGGGACCTACCTGTCTTCTGCTAATCATAATCATAATCAAAATAGATTGAATACTTCACGCTTTGTGATCGGTTGTTGCCACTTTCAAAGCCCTTTCAGAGCCCACCTCATGTCAATTAATTTTTTCCTCCTTATTTTGTCGAACATGGTGCTCAGGGTTGAAAATGCTTGAGAAATTTTCCGGATTAAGAAAGTGAGAAAAGTCCGGCCAAGATGAGAGAATTGTAGGAAAAGAGTTCTTAGCAACCCACGTTGATACAGGAACAAAGTTTTCCATTCAACTCATTTTCATTGCTTTTCATGGCATAAAACATAAGATTCACATTTACATGAGTCATAAAATGATCTCGAGTTTCATTTTGTATGAAAAAGCACGATTATATTTTTTAGACTAACAGGAAAGAAAAACTCATTAATTCCTTTTGTTCCAAAGAACACGAGAAACCGTGTAACTACATCTTAAGAATAGACATGAAAAAGGGTAGAATGACAGTCAAACAGATGAAATTTTAACAGCGCGCTCTGTTACTTGACGGTCCAACAGAAGACTTATAGTATGAAGGTAGTTAAACGAGGGCCGTTTCTCTCCCCAGTGCACATCAGTTGTGGGTGCCAGATAGCCCTGATGAAGGGGTTTGCAGCCTAGCTCTGGTTAATGCTGAGTTTGCCCTTCATGAAAATGAACTACCTTTGCAGTCAGGGCTACTCTTTGCAGGACATTACGATGGACAGATATCACTCATAAGCGGCAAAGGTAAAACAGTACTCAAAACATGAAGAAGTGTGAATTGGAATAATTTGATCGTCGCTCAAAATATTTGACCTGTTCATTACCTTTATGTTGATTAATTCCTTAGGAAAGGAATATTGCGAATGTAATAATCGTTTTCAATCAGTTCGCAGATTAAGTGTGTGTTAATAACAGATTTGAATCATCTTTTGTTGTCACCGAGTAACCTTGCCATCTAATATATTTTTGTAAAGCTTGCCTCTTTACCCTCATATCGAGAATAATAATGAATAGTTATTCGTCGGTGTAATTGTGTGATGCTTCTCTTTCGTGTCTGTTAGATATTTACATGAGAGAGAACATCCAAGCCCACCAAGGCCAGGTTACTTTCTTGAGAGTTTCTGCCTCTTGCTCGGAGTCACGCGACAGTCTTGCGTCCCGTGATCACCTGATTTCATGCGGTACAGACTGCACGGTTAGAATATGGCGGCTTATCCACTCCGAAAGAAATCAAGTATCTATTCTTCAAGTTGCACTCGTGAAATTGCTTCGGGCCCCAAGAGATCTGGCCATGGCAGGCAACACCTTATGCATGGCAATGGCTGACAACAACGTTATTATGTGCAGGTTTATTTTCCTATGTTTTTTGGGACTGGTGTAGAGGGAAATTATGCATTGAAACTCTGAAATTACTTTAAAACACAAGGTGTAAAGTGATACTTAGAACAAAACGAATATTGTATTTTTTGTCAAAAGCCTCTTTCCTTTAAGAATGTAGACAGATATTGTAAAGACGGTGACTCAAGCTCAAAACAAAATTTCCCATTTATTTAAAATTGCAAAACAGCAGAACAAATTTGATTCTAAACAAATACAAGATGTTTTAAAGCATCAGCGAAGCCTTATTTAAGTTTTATCGACGAATCGTGCCAGGGAAAAGGGCAGATAAAAAAAAAAATAAGAGGAACCAGGTCCCACCGAGATTTGAACTCGGATCGCTGGATTCAAAGTCCAGAGTGCTAACCATTACACCATGGGACCTACCTGTCTTCTGCTAATCATACAAATGTTTTTTTTTAAATAGATTGAATACTTCACGCTTTGTGATCGGTTGTTGCCACTTTCAATTTCCCACCTCAGATTAAACAAAGAATTTGGTGAGAAAGTTTACTTTAACGAGAGATGATAACAACTTGTGGATGGTTTTTTTTCTGGTTATCTCTCCAGAGTGCAGGCAGACAGAAAAAGTAACACCAACAATGGTGACGCTGTCAAAAATTCCCATGAATTCCTAATGCATTCCAAAGATGAAGGACACTCTGCAGTCATCAATGGGGTAAGACATAATGATGAATTTAACGATACGAATTGATAGGAATTTGGGCTCATTTCGCAGTAGAAATGCCAATACTAAAACGGAAGGCAGCGTTTCCAAGGCAAAGATACTGCGCTCTTTAGTTCAATTCGCCTTTCACCCTGTCTTCTGAGTCAGCAGCTTCAGCTTAGCGCGACATGATTAAGAATTCCGAACCGAACCTGGTGTTTTGTATTCTTGTGAGCATTACTGGCTCTTATTATCCAACTGCACAAAGTTCAGTACAGTACAAATAAAGTGCTAATAGAAATAAAATATCCTGCGATATTGTACGGTTATTTGGAAAGTTGGTTATTTTGTACTGTAAAAAAAGCCTGTTTAACCAGTCGGCCGCGCGCGCTACGCTTCTCTATCCGCTTTGTTTTTCCCGCCCTATAAGAAATGTGCAAAAAGACTCAGCAGAGAAAAAAAGCAGTTGGATAAAATGTAAACAACGAGTAAAAAAATACTCAGCAATACTACACACCAAAACGTCTAATAAGACTTTTTATTTAATGGCTGCCAAGGTTCTTTGTTCAGTTTTACAATGCTGTAGACACAAGGAGTAGCTTAGGATGACCCAAAATCCCATCCAAAGGGTACTTGTGGCAGTAACTAGTTTATTAATGTCCAACTGCATAAAGTAGAGAACAAATATCCTGCGATATTGTACTGTTGGTTACTTTGTACTGTCAAAAAACCGGTTTTACTGGTCGGCTGTGCGCGCTACAGATCTCCATCTGCTTTTCTTTTCCTGCCTTAGCAAAAATCAGCATAAAATAAAGTAGTCGGATGATAAATAACTTATTAGACATTTTGGTGTGTAGTATCGCTTACTACATACCAAAACGTCTGGTAAGATATATTTCTTCCACTTGAATTTAGAACTCACCCTCTCGCTCAAATAAGTCCCTTTCTCGGAGCGGTGTTTGCTCTATGTTTAATTGACCCACAGAATCAAACACATGCATAAATAATGAGGTTGTTGAAGCTAAATGGCTTTCGTCGACTCTTAAAACTAAACCACGTTACTGACATATGTACATGTCTTTTTTTCCAAAAGCTATCATGTTGTTCGACGCTGGGTTTATTTGCAACATCAAGCGAGGATCAAAGCGTCAAGATTTGGAACACCGACAATCAACTAGTACGAGAAATGTGTTTTGACGAATCTCTATGCGGGGTTTGCTTTGCAAACTCACGAGGTGACATACTAGTGGGTTTTCAGTCTCATATCAGCCTGGTTACCATCTTGAACTATTTGCCACTCTCATATTTAAAAATCTTGTCCAGAAAGAGCATCGAAAATGACCCTTTTGAGGATTACGTGCAGTTCAATGATCTGTTGAAATCTTGGTACGATCCCCAACGTGTTCCACGAATGCCTCTCAAAGCCGACAAACGACGGCCACTAGAACTTACAGAAATAAAGAAACCGAAGAAACGGAAGAAGGTACAAGTTGGTTGAATTCTTTACTATAAGGTTCTCTATTACTTTAGGAGGATTTTCTCCTATTCGATCCATAATCATTTTTTTACGGTGTAAATGACTCCGACAACATGTCAGATTTTACTGAAATTTCTAATGAAACTAAAACACCAAAATGGAATGATGGAGAAATTCATAACTTTTTTAAGATGGTTTCCCGTACTTCTGCGGGGATTCGCCGATCCATCCACGATTCTTATTTTTGCGGAGAAATCACCGATCTTCTGTGATTTCCTCCGACAAATATAACAATCCCCAGCAAAACAGATACTTACAGCAGACCAAGACAGTGGAACAAAAGTATAAATATATGGCGTGAGTTCTTTTTGACGTTGTCTTTAACGCAGTAATGTTTTTACAAAATGCGACCAATGGTAAGGAGGAAATGTTTCGAACTTCTTATAGAAAGAGCCCGTGATTGAAAAAGCAAAACAAGAGGATGGGGAGGGACAGGATCTGTTTCAGAAGAGGAGGCAGTCTAGAAAGCTGTCCACTCAGGTAAGGGAATTCTACGAGAAGCAGAAAATGATTCAAGGTAAGTGTTCACTATGCTTTGCATTTTTGACAAAACTCCACATAGAGTTTTGGTAAACGAGTATTCTGATAAAGCGTTTTTTAACCTTTTGATCTCTTGTGATTACCCCAAGAAAAATTCTATAAATATCTTCTTTGTTTAACAACAGGCAGTCTTAACTCAAAATGATACGAATGAAACCTGTTACAAACCTGTTTCGAATAAAGCTGATTCGTAGCTGACGTTATCTCTAAGAAGTCGGCCGAGGATGGTATTTGATTTACTCTCATAGAGCATTTGCTCTGTTTAACTTCCTGAAGACATTAATATTAATCCAAGATAATCATCCTATATAATACTGATCTGCTGATCTAACCGGTCCAACCGAGTACATTATTCCTTTGGTTGTGGTTGCTAGTACCTCAAATACATGTTACAGTTTGTTCTGATCTCGAAAATAAAAAACGCCTAAATGATCAAGTTATCCGCTTCTATCTGCTCCATCCTTAACCGATATCAGTCGTTCTCAGTTTCAATTAATTCTGTTCCTCTGTTCGTTGTAGATATTTCCAAACCAATATTATGAAGATGTTACCTCACATTTGGGCTGAACTTACACGTCGAAGAAAAAAAGGCCTTAAAGTATGTCTCAAATGTTTTTGTTCTTTTTTTAAGATTCACGTGATGATGGCTCTAAGGCGGTTTTCCAAAAATTCTTCAAAAAAATCACTGGCGGAAATGGTGAACGGCATTCTGGTAAGTGTAAAGCTTAATCCTAAATAAGTACGTTTTTTCTAAGTGTGAATGTAGCTTCATGAAAGTGTCCTCTGTGGTGCTAAAGTCACGGTTCTCTTTTTACGGTCACGGCATCAACGTAGGCGGTGTGATGTATGCCTAAGTTTGGGTTAGAACTGACAAGGAAGTACTTTTGCAAGTTAAATGTGTCAGAAAAAGCTTAAAAAATTATCTGGAAAATCTTAATTTTCAAATACTGCTTCCTGTAAATGCCGATGCATTCATTGGTCCAAAAGTCTGGCGGCCCCGTACCAGTTAATCAGATTGAAAACTAAAACCAGCTCTTGAAGGTATTCGCTTGTACTCAGTTTGTAGTTTTCATAGGCTTTTTGTGATCAGGTTTCTCTTTGTTCTGATTAGCCTTCGTGGTAATCTTTGGCGTAAAAGGTGACTGTAAAACTGTTTTTAGAGCAGTTTCCGACAGCACAGTCAAGAGTTCCGCGATAAAGTTCTAAGTCAAACTTTTTATCACGTTTTGATGTTACCGTAATGATCCTCAACAATGACGAAGAGGGAAAGAAGGTCGAATTCCTTAGCCGCAATACAGAAACTTTTCAAAATGTCACAATGCTTAATTCTCGAGAAGTCTGAGACGCGACTCGACTTGAACTCCATTGAAAGGCTTTGAAACGCAAATCTGTGAAGATCGTCTGCGGATACAAAGGGAGATTCCGGAAATTTCACGCGGAACGATTTATTTTACATCTATCTTCTCTAAAAGGATAGACAGAAACAATGTGGTGGATTCAATGAATGCAGCTCTTTTTCATTACAGGAAAAGCAAGATGAGTCAGCCAAAATGGAGGATAGTCAAAATTGGCAAACTCCATTGCCATTACCTGATGAGAAAGAGACCCCTAAAAAATATTGGCCGTGTGCTCCTGACGGCTATATCCCAAACTCCGTTATTCGCAAATTCATCAAACCGAAGCCTTTTCCTGATCATGAAAGGCTGATTTCGAGACACAAACGCCATGTAACAAGTAATGCGAAGGTGAAAGAGGAGGAAGATGAGGAAACAGATGAGGACCTTAGAATCACCGGTGAGACAGTATCAATGCTTACTTTATCTGTGGCATATACTCCGCGTACCTTTGGCAGGTGTTAATGTGATATGATGTATTATTTAGGCACTCTAAAGGTAACCATGAAGTTTAAAAGAATAACCATATTGCAATGAAGCGAAGAGGGAGAAAATACTATATAACTGACGAGTCACGCCTTCAAGAAGTCATAAGAGTCGCTTTAGAATAGTTTGAAGACGAATTATCTAATATTTGATACTCTCTAGGGACTCGACTTTTAAAAAATAATATCGTAACCAAGGGTAATTTTTCTATGAATATTCCTCCTGAAGACTTTTGGACCCTCTGGAAAGCATTACAAACATCTCTTGTCAAACATAAAGCGCTCGAAGAAGGATTTAAGAGGGACGAAGATGAGCGAGGCAAGGCAAAAAGACGGAGAGTGTCAAAAAGAAATGAATCTAAGTTAGGACGTCGTTTGCCTTCAAGGCCTCAAGCCGGAACATCAACCAGGTATTTTTAGTTCTCCGACATCATGGGCCCCACACTCAGTTATAATTAAAGGCAGCTAAGCCACTTCCTCTATCTCCGTTTCTTCTTTGCAACTACTGACCGAAGAGCATCAATGTACACCATCATGCATATCAACCTGACAATTCTATCACCGGTCTATCACACACTATCATTTAGCAAGAGAATACAAATATCTTGCTTTTAGGACTTAACTATTATATTCATCCTTTAAATTGTTGCTTGACGATGAACTTTCTCAGATCTCGTTCGTCAATAAGTTGCTGTTAAGTTTGTTAGATTGTAAGTTCCTGGGTTCAAAGTCAAAAGCTGAAACTGAAAAAAGTTTCCGACAACTTCAATAACATGTGTAAAAGTACGCTACGGTAAGACATAAGTATAAGTTATAACATGATTTCGAGTGAAATTTAGTGTTAATAAGCACAATTAAATTTTTCAAAGACGACAAAATTGCGGGCGAGTGCAATTTGTAGTCTTCGAAATATTTGCAAGTGCATAAGTACACCAAATTGTACTCGAAATCATGTTGTGGCTTATTGATAATGTATACTTAGGAAACATCACAGAAAGTCAAGACAGACGAAATTTCGACAGTACGAGCGCGCTATTTTTAATTTGCACCTGTGTTACAATATATGAAAAATGTACTCGTTTTTAGCCAATCAGACGCGAGTAATTTTTTCATGTATATTATTATTCCGAAAAATATAATAGCTCTACGACACTCAGGTCTTGTTCCATTGAACTCAACCGTTTTAGGTTGATTTCAATTTCTCATGTTTTATTGAGATTAAACCGTGATCGGTTGATCATCTTTGTCATGCATATGCCATCAAGTTGAAAAGACTGAAAAAGCATGAATATAAATCGTGATAATCGTATTTGGTAGTAAATGAAAGATAACGATCATCTAGGGACAATAATGGAAATATTAGCGCCCTGCATTTCCAAAGAACACGCTAATAGCAACTGGCTCTCGACACCTCAATGTTTTTACCCTGAGTATGTCCCTCTACAGTAGTTGCATTTCGGAAGGAAACTCGTCTAAAGCGATCAGTTTTGTGGCTTGTTCTTTCTAATTACAGATATAATTTATCCACGTTAATGCAATAACTTTTCCGCTTCGGCTCTCAGTTCTCTTGAATAGAAAAGTGCTTTTTTTCAGAATGATTATCGTAAGTTGGCAGAGTAGAAATGTTGTAGTTTTTCCATTTTTTTCCAAGCTTGAAGGCTGTTCCACGTTTCCTCAAATACGAACAGAAAGTGTCTTTTGTTTCATCTGTAGACTCAACACTGTCTTCTCTTTAACGCTTCGGAGGTAGGAACAGCATATCACGATAAAAAACAGATAGCGCGGATACGTTCAGTCATAACTAATCCAAGGATATAGCACGATATTTTTTCATGTTTTATGAAATGCGGAATCAACCCTACAGAACCTTTCAAAGCTTTACAAATTATGTCGTTCAGTTCATATCCTTGACTCTCGTTTTACGCTGCTAGTAAAGAGCCGCTGGCAAACGTTGAAGAGGACCACGGAGAGGAGGAAATGGAAGAGGAAGAACTAGATGAAGAAGAACAAGAACAAGAACAAAAGGAAGAAGAAGAAATGGAAAAGGTCGAAGAAGAAGAGGAAGTGGCAGAACAGGAAGAATCCAACAAGTCGAGTCCAAAGAGCACTTCAGAAAGCAGTACTATGTGCTCACCTATGGAGATTCAAGAATCACCAGAACTTTTTTTTGAGGAGAGTGACGAAGAGGAAACTGACATAGATGTATTCCGTTCTCCTTTCAGCGATACTGATAGCGTGGATAGCGTCATGAGGGTAAGGAGTCAACTAAAAAATAATTTTTTTTTAGTACAAAAATTCTTTCCTTATGTTTTGATGTTGTCATATCATTCTGTTGTTCAAGTTAACTGTCGTTCAAACTAGTGATGAGAATTAGTAATTGGCGTCGTCTTAGCGCCATAGTCAAGAAGACTATGCAAATTGTGATTTAAGTTTTTCTGTTCACTCGGTATTCTCCACTCATCTAAACCCATTCCCTTACCTGTCCTTGCTCCTTGCTGATGATCTCCCCACCCTTTCACCTTCCAAACCCTTGTAGTCAACGACATAACTGATAATAAACATTATTATTTGAATTCCCTCCTCCAGCTTGAGATCAAACCCTATACGAATTTGCTTTCCCGCATTAAAGGCAAGGATTGGTATCCAACGTTGCAGAAAAAGACACTTCCCACTGTAGATACAGTTTTAGACGACATGGTGAGCGCTTTGAAAACAGAGAATTGTGGAGAGTACATTAAGGACATCTGTGAGAGTTTTAAGAATATTGAGAGGTAAGGGCGACAAGATGATGAAGATCTCTGTGGCAGCGACAAGATTTGAAAAGATCGCGTCGATAATCGTTACAATTTTACAGCCATCATTTGCCAAGTGACGCTATTCATCACATTTTCTGCCCACAGAGAGTTTGGAATTCCTGATGAAAAGATGAACGAAATACAGAAACAGTTCATTAGGATGACTTCTAGTGAGAACCCATCGATCCGTTGGGCAGCAGTGTGGGCTCTAGGTCAATTAAACGTTCACCGCAATGATGCGTATCTTTCCTTAGTGCGCAGGCTCGTAGATGATGACAAGAACACCCGAAAACAGGCAACAAAAGTTCTTAAAGATCTTACAGGTATTTCAAGGTAGAACGAAAGCAGCGATCGCCATTAAAATGAAACATAACATTTGTATGCTAGTGTCTACTGTAGGCTTTATTTTCAACCCAGCATGTTCGAGTGTTTTTCTCTAAAGTTTTGGTGCTTCGAAAACCTTTGTTGTTTGGCAGATAATTGAAGATGTGGAAGCAATGTTTCGCGCGTGGAGGCCGTTCTGTAGTAGAGGTTTTTTTTTTTTTTTAGGATTTAAACTTCGGGAACAAAGAGTTCTGACCCGTTCTGGTTACCACTTGTCTTCGCAGTTCATGATGTCTATTTAAATAGTTTAAAGAGAGACACAGAGAGAGCAAGATTCTATCTCGCCAAATTTTCCGGCCAAGGCTCGAACCCAAACCTTTCGGTGCTGAATCTAGCGCTGTTTTATACCCACTGAGGCCACAGAGGCAAAAGAGGTTCAACAGCAATGAGATTATTCTATAACGGGCAGTTCACGGAAGGCATCTTCCTTCTGATCCTCTGCAGGTGTGGACACAAAGGAAGGCCTTTGTCGCCTATTAATAAACACGGGAGTAGTTAATACCTACCTACCGTGCAACGACAACGCCGTGTTGCTTGAACTGGCAGAAAGACTGAGAAGCAAATACGGGCAAAAGGCAAACGTAACAGTTGTAGAGGAAGACGATGAAGAAGTCCCTCCCCCCAGTGATCTCAGGAACACAGATCTCAGGAACACATTAAAGAGAAAACCTTTTAAGGCCAACTTCGAGCAACCAATAACCATGGTAAGTAACTTTTGGCTCATTTGTTGGCGTTGATAAGTTGTGGTCTGTCTGTTTCAGCTGATTATAAATTATAAATTGATAAAGGTAGAGAAACAACCGTAGATAATTTGAAAAGCTAAAGTCTTGAGTGAAAGTCTTTAGTCTAAGTAAAGCCTGTCTTTTTCTATCTGTCAATCTGTGCACCTGTAAAGTAATTTTCTGGAAGGAATTTGAACTATAAATTATCCATACACGTAAAACAACCTATAAGTGTTGGTCAGTATAGTGTGTATTATTTTATCATTGTTGCATCGATGCTAAATCATCTATTTTTTTCCTAAATAAAAACTGTTTTAATTGCTTCACACTCCTCACAGAAAAAGCGACCAAGAGAAGTTCCTGTCGAGTTTCGCAAGCACTCCATATTCGAAAGACCACCGTCTTTGGCGGATACAGACAAATTCAAGGCTATTTTAGCGGAATCGCATTTGGGATGTAAGTTGTTACAGAACATGGAGCCATCTAGACGTGGCACCATCCACAGCCAAACACTAATAAGAGCGAAAGATGTAAAGGACTCATTGAAGGTTGGGGTAGGTATCATGTGCCTAATATATGGCTCGAGGCGTCAGTGATCGTTTGGTCCAGTTTCCAGATAAACATCCCGATCGCTTGAATAGGAAACAAGACGATTGCTTCACTTTTGTGATGTAGTCTTGCTGTTTATTAAAGATACCTCTTTAAACTTGTCGGTCTATTGAGGATTTAAGATCAAAAGAAAACGAAATGCACGTTATCATAGCGAGACGAAATGGAATTAACTCTCATCTCCAACCATGCCTATTCAATATGTGTTGCGATTGAAACGCTAACGATTATGCAAATGAGAAAAAAGGAGAATGTTCATATGTACATATACTCCATTAGACGTGTGAAAGAACGGGCAAACGATAAAGGTCGTCGTGGTTGTCAAGGAAAACGACTATGGATCGCATTTTTTCTCTGCCTGGGAACTGTCATTTTTTCACACGCCCTCTTCTTTACTCGTTCTCGTTTTGCTGGTACAGACAATAAGGTTACCTTCTCTTAGGTTTGTCCTTGACCGGTGCAATCGGTCATCATTCTTTCTTATGATCTCGTAAAAAACGAAAGGCAATAACAGGGCAAGAATATTTTGTCAACTTTACTAATCATTAGTAGCTGAACGACTGGGTTCCTCCCAGAGATTATTTTTATGTGTTTCCAATATTTTCTTTAAGGATTGAAAAAATAAAGCCCTAAGTTGATTTATATTACTTTAAGAACGTAATTAATTGCGCGCTGGTTTCATATAGATTCATTCATTCTTCCTGTGCTATAAGTTATATAAAATATCGGTCTGGTTCTTTTCTTTATTTTTTTCGCTAGGGAGCCAGTGTTTCATCACCAGAACTAGATCAAGAATTGCGCAGGAATGGTGACGAAATGCAGAGAGGTATTGTTGAATTAAGTATATTGAGTTATTTTCGGTCTAATGATGAGTTTATCACACCGAGCATTCTGGGTCTATTACTTTGCTATTACTTATCCACCGGATAAGTAATAGCAAAACGTATAGCGTTATCCACCGGATAGAGTTCTATCCAGTAGATAGAGTTATCCAACCTTCGATCAACCGGGGCCTGATAAGTTGACGGAGAGACTGTCTTCCGCTAGGCGTTACTTTCAACCATACAAAACAAAGGTAGACAAATACTCTCCTCAAACGTAACATCGTTTACGAGCTTCAGAAGGTTGTTTTCGCTTTTTGCTTCATAAGCCAATTGGGTTTTTAGAGGTCTGATGTGAATTGGTGGAGTCTATTATCAATTAAAACTACGGTGTTATATTAAAGAAATAAAAAACGCGCCGAGTGCATTGTTGAGTTATATAAGCACGCGGAAATTTTTAAGAACACAAGAAGCACGAGCCCAAGGAGAGTACTTCTCGCACTTAATTCTCGAGAGTTCTTAAAAATTCTTAAATGCTTATATCACTCAACAATGCTCGAGGAACAAGTTTTTTTATTTCTTTTATAAAAAGTATCGTGAATTGCACGCGCTCGTACCGATGACGTAGGCTGCGTGTATTATATCTCAACAGTGCACTAGTGTGACGTAAGGCGCGTATTTATGGAAATATAATCAACTCGTTCTGACCAATCACGGTGCGCATTTCTCTGTACATTCTATAAAAGGATTCCCAGCCCTGAGAAAAGCCATAACAACAAACGTGGAAAAATTCGATATTTTCACGTGTGTTTGATATCGCCAATCAGCTGCTGAACGTCACTCGCCTTTCGCGCCACTCAGTCAGGTTGATGAATGAACGGCAAAGCCCTCATGATTTTCCGTACAAGGTAGTTTTTCGGAACTTCCTCGGATTATGGCGGCTAAAACACTTAAAAAATCCGTATCGCTCACAGACAGTGACGTTCAAACTTTCTTAGAAGGGGAAGAAAACCAATATACGAAAAGAAAAACCGAAAGTTACGTATTCAGTGGCTTCGGTGTTGGCATGTCTCGCGGCTGAGAATGAAAATTGACAACTGGAAGATTTACCCTTGGCCGATTTCGGCCGTTTACCTGAAAGACTTCTTCTGTCGGTAAGGACAAAGTCAATAAATGAGAATTTTGTAAATTGAAAATTACGCCCATTGTTGTTTTTATAATCAAGATTCAACGCATTTTTCCATCTTCCTAAGAGTTAGCGCCAACGCACTGTACGATTGTTATTCAGGGATTGTCGATTAATTTATTTTCATTCATTAATGAAGTCGGCTTTTTTTGTATGTGAAGGGCTATTGTGTTTATATGATAAATACAATAATTAGGCCGTATTTTTTAGTCAGTGTCTTTTTCGGGGTGGGGAGAGGGAGGGGATTCTGCTCATTTGCATTTTAACAATTCATATTCGTATTCCAGCTACTACAAGCCGGAGATTCAGCCACAAAGAAACATTATATCGGATCACGTCAACGAGTAAGACTGGAAATAAATTTTTCATATCAAAGCTTACGTATTTCTAAAGCCGAAATGAGTCAGCATTATTTATACGTTTTTCTTTAGTTCCGGAGTACAGGCTAACCCCTATCACAGTGTCAATCGCTTCAAGGTCGTCAGTGTCATCTTCAGCTGTTTGGACGCCCACTGATTTAGGTATGAACAACTGGAACGCCTTTTTTACGTGTCCTTGTACGAATTGAGAACTATCAATGTATTTTCGAAATTTAAGTATATAGAATGAACACTGCATTTCTTTCGTTGTCTTTTAAAACACAGGTAAACCATGCAAGTCCACAACCCCTGAAGAGGAAACTGTAAAAGCCTCGAAGAAATCGCGAGAAAAAATTCGAAGTCCAGGTAATGTTTATCAGATCCAGCTTCCTTAAAGTGATATACTTGAAATTTCAGTGAGATATTGGCGAACTGAATAAATTTTAATTTGCGGTTGGAAGTAATACCTAACTCTGATACTCTAGAGAGAAAACAATTTTACTTTCCAAGATGAATGACAGAGAAAACCGCTCTAATTTCTCGGGATAGCTGTTTCTTTGAGCAGATACGAAAAGAAGTGCTACCCCTTGTAAACAGTGGGTGGGTTTTACATACCAATTGAATAAAAATGATAATAAATAGATAGGTGAATGGACCTAAAAGTAATAAAATTGCATAGGTAAAAATTTTCCGGATTCTTCTTATTTTATATGATGCCTTTTGTCAGCTATTAATATATAGGAAAACCTTGCTTCTCTATAAACCCAACATAAGCTCTGAAGAAATCGCGAGAAAAATCTCCGGGGATAATTTTATGAGTCGAAATGACACTTCTGTCATGAAATATCACGAAAAGGAAAAACGGCCCTTTATGGTTTATTCAGCTACATATTTACTCAACTTTCAAACGTTGAATTTGGTTTTTTTGATCTACCCATCAGTGACACCAGGAAGTAATATGCAAATAAATCACAAGGCACAGAACACAACACCATCTCAGGGACTGAGTCACAAAACACAGAGCATACATACAACACCTTCTCGGGCAATGAGTCAGCACACTACTTCACCGGAACCAAGAATGGAACCTAAGGATAGAAGCTCTTACAAAAGACAAACCTCTATTTATCGGAAAGGCCATAAACAACACTTCACTCTAGGAGAGATCCTTAGTATCATGGGTCAGACTGCGGGAATAAATCAGCCTAGCGCTAAATTGCTTTTACTCAAGACGAAGAGGACAAAACCGACCATAGAAAAACAGATTTCAGTGGACGACGATGAAATCCAACCAAATTACAATATTGGTGACTTACTGGAGACCTGTTGTAATTTGCCTCCATTGGGGAATAGTCTGACCACTTTAGCAAGTAAGGCGTCAAAAACTAAACAAGAAATGGTGATGAGCATGCGACGACTCTTTCAGTCCGAACTATTGAGCTCTAAGCAGAAAGGAGACTATGTCTTCATCGATGGCCTGGGAAGACTGCCCGCTAAATACCATGACAGTCTACAAGAAACTAGGCGAAAGATATTTGAACTAGTGAAAAAGTGCTCAGAAAATGATGAGTTGTTTTCCTCAAGTAGAGTTGAGATAGCGCAGCCATTTACTAGTCTGCTTGAGAATTTACTGCAGTTTTGCGCCATCCTGGGGCCCGAGAAAGAAGTGCATGAAACAACTCACACATCTAGAAGAGAAACATCTAATCTACTGGTGGATAAGACAATCTCACGGATCCAACAGATAAGCTTCGCTAGAAAGGTGAGTTTCCATAGCTCCATTAGGACACTGAAATTTACAGCCAGTAGTTGCATGCCAAATTGCAGTTATTGAGCCAAAGAGAAAAAAAAAAAACTCGTTCGTTACATCTAATGTAGAGTTTTTGTTTGATTGCTCTTCTTTTTTTGTCGCTGAAGAGGAGTCAACCTGAGGATATTGTAAAAGCACGGCCATTCAGTTTAAACCACCACCCCACCAGTCGAGCACATTTGGAATTTATTAAATTTCTTTCATATGATTGTGGCTGACAAATCTTCCGCAAACCATTGTAATACTAAGGGCCAGAAATAACAACCATGAGAAAATCAAACCTTCTGTGTTACAGGAGTGTAATGTAATATTGGGAAGAACATATTTCGACTGAGTATCCTGAAATCAAAACCAAACACTGAAGCGTAGTGACCAATGAAAGGTGCAATTAGTTTTAGATTTAATTTTGAATGGTCGAGTCAGACTGCTTTCAGAAAATAAACTTATTTTGAGAAAGGAGAGTAACACATTGAATTATCATTCATTAGAAAACAGATGTGCAGGCTCAACCGATATTTGAACAGACATCACTTCATCATTGTTTGGGTCCAGACACTTGTGGACAGCGACTACTCAACTCCACACTGATAAAGTCCAAAACATTGAGTGATTCACATCTTCGGACCTCAAGGGAAACACAAGAGTTTTTAGTGATGTCCCTACCTCACAGGTTATCTGTTCATACTGGTAAGTTGTCCTTTTGTGGTGTCATTTATCTAAATTTTTGCCGCTGAGGTGGTTGGTTTTGATTACATTCTTAAATCTACAATTCCGAGACGAGTTTTAACTCCATGTTCGGTCGAAGGCACGACCATACAATTCACTAGCTAAATCTCATTACCTATTCGGATGATATCGTTTGAAAATACTGAGATAAAACTTAAAACGCCAAACTGTTTTCAATTATATACCCTTCTGGTAAGTTTGTGCCATATAAGGGTAGGTTCCCTTGGATGTTTACTTTACAAACTTCCTCCCAGGCCTACTTAGGTCAGCTAGGCATTGAAGCCAAATGATCGGTGTACTGGAAAAAGGTGCAAGAATTTCGTATTAATCTTCCCTTTGCCCAGCACGTTAAACTGGGACATCCCACTAAATTGATTCCGAAACTTGAGCAAAAAATGATCTTCAACATTCTGCGTCATCCATTTTCAGGAATGAAAAGGGAGGGAAAAAGTCATTTTGGAATAATGGAATTGACATGGCGGGCTGGAACGCCAATACCATCATCGGAAAGTGAGGAATGCCAAAAAGAAAGAGCTAGTGGTCTTTCTGAACTATCCGGTAAACCGATAGAACTTAAGGAACACCACTGGCTGAAAGAGCCAAAGCAGAGATCAAAATTCAACATTCCAAAATCGAAAAGTGTTCCTCCACTTTCGCATCGCAAGGTGAAGCCGTTTGCCGAAAAGCAACTTACTTTATTTCAAGCCCTGAACAGTTTGAACAGTAAGGACTCCCTGGCAGGACTCGTCGAATACATTAACAACAAAAATATCATCAAAAAACAATTCCTGGGTGAAAATGGAAACTTGTGTGGAAGTTTTACTGGTGTTCCGCAGCCTCCTCATACAGCCACTCCTTTGTCTGTCCTTGCCTCGCCCGCTTTGAGAACGAAAAATAATGACTCTATGTCGTCAGTGAAATCGGGCGAAAGCTCTGGAAGGCGTTCGACATTTCACGATCAGACACATGATCTAACGCGTGAAAGCCTCGTGCGCAATCTTGATGAATTTCATCATCCTCCAGTTTGGGGATTTGGAGGACGTCCTCGAAGGCTCTAACTTCTATTTACATGTAACGAGAGATCAAAGAGCATCTTATTCGATACTATGGTTTCAATAAAGTTTGATAAAAAAGTGAAACAGTGGTCACTGACTGAATTACGTACAGAGAGAGATAAAGGACTTTAGAAGCTCCATCCTTGTTTTGAACTTAAAAATAGCCAGGAGTAAATTGCAAACCGTGTTAGTTAGAAAAGAACCCCATGATTCACAAATCCCACCTGCAATTATGCTATCCTCGTTTTTCTTCTCAACTATGGTTTTAGGTTTGACTCGTAGCCTCACTGAACTTTCATGTAAGAGAGTTTCTTACACCCTGGGCGAGTGAATTATGTGAAAAAAAAATATCAAAATTTCAGAGCATTAACCAGGCTATTTCAATACGGTATTCAAATTAATGTTTGTGCCAGTCTGAACTTGTGACTACATTTATTCACATGAAGACTTTAGAAAACGCAGCCTCTTGCTGACACTCCATGTAACTGTCCTTTGATATATTCTTATATCAGCTGCTTTTGAAACCAAGATAGTCCTTTGTACGCTTTACGTGCCTGTCAATCTTTGTCAAGGACAATAATTCCAGCCCTTTTCAACAATTTTTGTAACCATAACTACGAAAACCGCATCCAATTTTATGGCTTAAACTTTTTGCTGGTATTAAACATTACATAAATAGCCCATGAAGGTTTCATTAGTAGCAGAGGCAGGGTTAATCTCTTTGCTTAATTGCTTCTTTGTTGAAACCTTAAAACCTCGTCGTGCATAAAATTGAAACCTCAAAATGCAAACTACGTTTATTACATAGATGGCTTATAAATCTCATAATCGACCGTCCGCAAAAATTGACAGCGAGGTCGTTAGTTGGAAAATGTTACGCCACGAGAAAAGAACCAGGAACTAATTGAACAAAAAAAGGAACTTGAAACGCTGATTTCCATCAAATGCGGGATAATTAACAAAAGAATTGGCTCTCTTTTGTTAGGTTGCTTTTAAAGACTTCAATGAGTTTTATTGTTCGACATGTCGATATTGAGGCAAACACCAGGGTTATGATAATTACGGGATTTGTTGACAATTTTCTCATTGTTTTAAGATATGCCCGAGGGCCAAAGCCGATTAAAAACTGTTTAAATGAACCATACATCATTTCTGCCGGTTGAGGTTTTTGAAAAGCCTATCTGGACTGTCCTATCGAGTCGCTTATCAAGTTATAAGCTTGACCTTAAATACTTTTTATTTGAAAGGTCATCTCAGAAGTTTCGTGAAGTGACGCACAATAGATTTGTTTGCTGTTACTGATCGTGTGTGACATCGAAGCTTCCTTTGACATGACAGATCAGTAGCCAACATTTATTATGTCAACTAAAGGTCATGTGCGTGATCGCAGCAAAGTTGAGCATTGTTTGAGATGGCCACAACAGGCGAAGTAGTTCTGTTGAACAGCTGACTTGTACGTGGTCATGTAACGATGATCCGTCTGGTTTGCATGGACTTGTTGATCGAACATGACTCGTGAAGCTCCACACGGATTCCCAGCAGCACAAGTTTTGGTTGAACTCGCGGTTAATCAGCCTTTCCGAACGGACAATAGAAGCAGCCATGGCAGTTTACACGTCTGCTTCGATAAGAAGATAAAACAGACGGCTTTTAACAACTTTTTGTTGAGTCATACGCCTTATAGATGTTCTCTAGGAAGACAGAAAGAGTCCAGATCAGATACAAAACAAAGAGCAAAACCAAACAACAGAGATCGACCTCCAGACACTTCCTCGGGCTTGTGTCTTCCTAGGATACCTGTGGCTTCTGTCGAGTCTCTTACCGGACAGATGTTCTTACAAGAGGAGAACTTAAACAAGCGAGCCGATAAATGTTTTATTGACTTCTACAGCGGAGACGAGGAGCCTATCGATTTTCTGTCGTGTAAATCTATCTCAGAAAATCGAAACAATGAAACAAGCACTTCACGACCATCGTTGAAATCTAAGGAGAGAGGACTAACGCGTTTACCACAAATCTCAAAGAAAGGGGATTGCTCCTCTTTTCTGAAGACTCGTGATAAACATCATGATTCGTTTCATCATGAAGAACTGTCGAATGCGCAGAATTATAACGCAAAGACTAAAAGCATCGCCATTACTCGAAAGCGGAACAATCCATCGCATGATCAAGAAGTTACTAAGGTGATGAAAGACGGGGCTCGCATTACAGTTTATCAACGGAGACTTTCTATCGAAGTTTTTATGCCAAGGACTTCGTAACCAACAAATTAAGGGATTAAGCGAATATTTACGTCAAAATTTAAATAATCTATTCGAGTGAAATGCGTGAGCAATTTAGGAGGATGAGTCAAGGAGAACAGAAAGCCAATTAAATGCTGATTTGTTTCCGTACCTAAAACTTAGCTAATTACAGGCGGAGTAAAAAATAATGACTCATTTACACCTTCAAGGCAGGGTGCATTTAACGATAGCGGCGTTAAAAAGACGAACAATAAAGCAGTGAAGTTTGATTCTGAGCCACGTGTAACTGCAGAAGGAACAAAACTGAAAACATCAGACAGTCATAATGGTGATATGATCTCTAACACTTGTCATTAGAGTGGAACCTCGATTTAACGAAATACCAAAACACTGGGGAAATTGGTTCGTTATATTGAGTGTTCGTTATATCGAAATCCTCGATTTAACGAATCTGCAGGGAAACAATTAAATTGTTCGTTTTATCGAGGGCTCATTAATAATTAAATTTTAATTTTGTATTATTATTCTTTTTGTGTGTGTGGTGTGACGTCGCGCTACCCTGCATTTAGAATCGGAACAATTATATTGTAGATAATATTTGTGCTTTAATGTCTATATGAAGCTACAGTGCAGTGTTTAGGTCTGTACATAGCTACAGCACCTTGTTTTGAAGCACGGAGGACAAATTTCAGTGAAATTCACTGGTGAACCGAGAAACAAGGGCACTGGACTGGAAATGTCTGCCTCTCATACTTTTTACCACACGAAGCTTTCAAAAATAAAGAGGTTAAATTCAACTTAATAGAACTAATGAGAGACAAAGAGGATAAAGCGGATCTGTAGATGTGTTGTCGATATTGTCAGGGTGGGCATTTATAATGAGATTAACTGTGAAGTTGTTCTATTATCACGTAACTGATGGATGTTGATTTGTTGGTCTGCTCGTATTTGTCTTTTGTTACATGTGGTCATTTGTTCGTTACGTCGGGGTTTATTACACGTTGGGGCTTCTGGACTGTGCTCGTTACGACGAGGATTTCGTTATATCGAGGTTCTTTCCCATACATTTTACTGTTACTTTGGCAGGGCTAAAGAGTATCGTTCGTCATACCGAGGACTTCGTTATATAGAGGTTCGTTAAATCGGGGTTCCACTGTATTTGACTATAACTTAAAAAAGCTCACCCGTATTCAGGAACTGAGTGGAAACTCGATAAGTGGTTCTCCTTGAAGAGCGCCTCACTAAACTGATTTCTACTTTTGTCTCTAGAAATGATTAATTCAGACAATTTGCTATGTGTAAATACTTGTAGGTATGTTTCCTTTATTCATTGTCAATCACTAATTAAGACAGAGGCAAGTCTTGTTCCACAAGCCGGCTCTTGGCGTCGCCTTCAGAGGTATTTTTACTCTGTCTTCTCTTAAATCTTGTTTTTTTTTCATCGCCCAATGGTCAGTGATCCTTAAAAATGGTGATACAGTTCACAATTTACTGTAGCTCCTCAAAAATTGGATTTCAACTACACCTGTGCCTTGCTGCATACCTACTGCTACATACAAGCTGTGTATCTTAATTAGGTAATGTCCGCTCAATTGACGAGGCGCACAACTTGCACAACTGAAAATTTCAAAATTTTTTTCTGTCAAAAGTGTTGTTCCCAACCTAAACTTCACACTCGCTGAAACCACATGGTTAACAAAAATATCAGCTAATCAAGAACAACTCAGATTCATCACATTCTTAGCAAAATTTTTAGTTTCTAAATTAGTAAAAGTATTGTTATTATCCATCTAACGATATGTGATATTTACAACAAATTGTTTGACTGTAAAGAAAAACTTCAAGACAATAAGTAATACATACCAAATTAACAACAAACAATTGTTGTCAGTATAATAACATTGTTCCTCAACAGAACAATGATAAATATTTAAGAGCAGCTGTAAATGTAATATACTTCAAGATATATGTTTAAAATTCAAATGTAAATACCATCAAGAAAGCAGATTCTATTTTGTATGTACTTATAACCGGGAAAATTAAACAATAGAGCTGTATCATGAAGTAAAGTTTACAGTGATTGCTTTCTTTTTCCTTTTTCTGCTTGTCAATTTATAAGAAGCTGAGTCAAACATCTGAGAATCAGCTTTAGTCATCTGGTTCTTCAACAGTATAACCTTCTTCTTGAACTCTTGGTTTGTTTGGATTGTTCACCACTAACCAATCTGCCAACCAAATCTATCAATAAACAAGGCAAGCGTCAAGTTATTTAAACTGTTTTCCAAGTCACAAAGCCAAACAGCTGTATAATACCAGCAACTGACAGAATGTAAAATGGAAGGCTATGAATCCCTGATTTGAGAGTGAAAGGCAAAAAAAGTGGACATTTACATCCAAACCACACCAAGAACTTGCATGTTGGGAGTATCTCTCCCTAATACCTTTCCTCTCTTTGACAGTAGCTTCAGCCTTTCTGCAAGACTTTGTTGGACCAAACACAAATGTAAAAGCTTACTATTGGTTCAGCAGGCTTCATCTTGCATAATTCTGTGAGTCCTTTGAGTAAAGTTGGAGTTACTGTTCTTGTGAGGTAGTCTTTGGCTGCTTGCCCAGTTGAAACTGGTTCCACAACACCTATGATGTTTAACAACCAGGAAATTGATTCAACACAGTAACCAAGGGTGATTTAAGAAGGAGAAAAAAGAGTGATTTTAAAGGAGTTTATAGTGTTAGGTTTTTTAAGACTAAATTTCTATTCACTTACTATCAGGAAAGAAAAAATGTATTTCTCTTTCTGCACTTGAGTAGCTGTCACTTCCATGAAGAGCATTTTTGGTGCTGTCTGTACCATAGACTGCTCTCAAACTAGAGATAAAAATAATGTCCTTATTATATGAAAATTTGTCTTGAAAGTCTGTATGAATAAATTCAAAAAGAGTTTCCTTTTAAATTCATGTCCAGTACCAAAAGGCTTGAACTCAAATGTCACTACTATGTTAAATATTCTACAAGTAATTTTCATAATCCCAAAGGTAACAACCTTTAAAATGCAAATCTTACCATTTTTCAATCCTTCCTTACCAGAAATTTATTACTCAAACTATCCCGAAAATTTGCAGCCTTACTCTAGTAACCCCACTATTGTCAATCTAGTTGTGAAAAATCAACCCATCCAGCAGCACATCCCCATAAGCCTATCATATGTAAGTACCTCTGGGGCTGATTGTGTACAACTGTTGGTTTCTTTGTTCACACATTGGGACTAAATAAATAAATGGGAAGTTTCAATTGATGAGTTTGTTCAAAACAATGGAGAGGCCAGAGAAATTTGCATATGGTTGACCATACCAAAAATTAAACAGCCTCCCTATTGTTCTTGGGGCTTGAGTCCAAACATTCTCTCAAAAACATAAGAATAACAACATTTAAGTGCTTACCAAAATGAGAAAACCATTTCGTAAAAAAGCCCTTCAATTGGCTGGTATGTTGGCTGATAATGTCAACAGCTAAGAGATTGTCCTAAAAATGGATATTTGGCCAAAAAGTGAAGCTTCCAGGGAAAATTTGAAATTTGAGGACAATCTGTCAGCCAAGGACATAATCAGCTGAAAATTACCAGCAAGCCAGAAGGGTTTTTTCTTTTTTTAATATCCTTACCATTTATTTTAATATCACATATTGACAGCAACTTTTGTTGCATTATTTTCTTTTCAGAACTATATTTGAGATCAGCTTATTTATTTCACTACCACTAAGCTCTACAAAATGAGTTTATTTTTCCTACATGTAAAGTAAAAAAAAATGAAAAAGTAAAACCCTTGAGTTTGCTTCTTTCCACTAGCTTTTTTTATTTTCAACATAATCAGAGGACAAATATTGATGTATATAGGGGTAATTGTGTGATACTACTTGGTGATTTTGTACCATGTGACAATAAGTAGCCAGTAGAGTTGCACAAAATTAATGGGTGGGTCATTTGCTATTATTGCTTGGAAGCTGCATATTTACATGTAATGTTTAGGTCCTTGGATTCTAAGGGATGTTCTCTGACCATTTAAAAACCAATCAGTGCCAAAAAATAGCATCCATGCACTAGGATTGAAACCCTGGAAGTACAAGGGAAATTGAAAAGTCTGTCACCTTTCTGGTGCCTGATCTCTTGCTTTTTGCGTGTTTGTTGGTCCAATCAGCTGTCTCCAGTAAGTAATTGCTGATTTCCTTGCTAAGACAAGAGCAAAAATTGGCCCACTGCTCATGTAAGCCACAAGGCTTGGGAAGAACATTTTACCATAGTGTTCGGCGTAGAAATCACTTGTCTGTTCTGGTGTCATATGCACTCTTCTTTTCTGTTTGGTATCCAAAAAAAATTAGATAGGGTATTTGACTAGATACAGTTCTGCTCAGAGGTAATCATAATTTAACTAATGTAGGGAAGCATCCTCACACATTCCTTCGGGTTCGAAGAGTATCAAGCTCACAAAGTCACAGTTACTCATAATTGTTGGCCTATCACAATTAACAAGAAAATAGAAAACACGGTTGATTCATTAGTACCTGCAAAATGGTGAAACCATGTTGAAGTATAATTTCTTCGATTTCATCGCTCTTGTGAACTGCGTCTGGCTTAAATAACGCTAACGTTCGCTCTATGTGTATTGCAGGAGCAGGAGGTATCACGGGCTTTTCACCGTCTGGCATGTTTAAGGGAAAAAATTGGAAAGTGCGCGCTCTAGATTTGCCCGCTAGGTCAAAAAAAGCAAAATGGCCGCAAAAGTTATAGTGCTGTCATGGTTACCATCAAACATGATACCGCTGACCTGATGAACTCCGTGTCCGGTTCTTGCTTCCATTTCTCTTCGACCCTCTCATTTCCCTTCCGTTGCTTTAGCTGCAAATAATTTGTTTTGTATAAAAAGGGTACACATTGTTCATTATGCTTTTTGTTGGCTTTTGAGGATAGTACCATTTTCCTATCTGAGGCGGCCATATTCGCAAATTTCATCCAATATCTTGAGGAAAACACTACCTAAAAGTAAGCCTTTTCTGCTGCAATGCTCATCTAAAATCATGTTTCAGCGTTCTAATCTAGAACGTTTACTTTTATCAAAGACAGAAATGTAAAGTGATATGTTTAATCCCTCAAATTCCAAAAATAAAGAAGCAAAAATGAGAGCAAAGCAATCATTTTTGCGCATCCCTCCTTTCAAAAATCAAAATATTATTGTAGCAGTTTTTAAACGATGCAAAAGACAGTGAAGAGAAAAGTTGTGTCCATAGATCCAAATAATGTTTCTGACAGTTGGCTCAGAGTAAATGTGTTTGTTTTCGTGTGAATAATAGCGCCCGACGTTCAACTGCATTTCCATGGCGGGGGATGGATTAATGAGCCTTAACGTTTTCAAAAGAAACAAAGCAAATCATCAACGCTTTATTCTTTAAATCTAGACGGAAAATAAATCTTGACTGGCAAAATTATATCAAGAGCGCTGTTCAAACCCTTCATTTTATTTACACCGAAATCAATAGGAATGTTCTGACTGCGGCTGGTATTATTAGCGTGCTTCGCAGTCTCCTTGACATTTCTTGCTCGAAAATGAACTGATATCACTTTCAAATCTTGTCACGCGGCAATCGCCTAATTATTCCAATCAGAACTATCACATAGGTAGACAATAATGACGTCAGTACATTGCCTCCTAATTACGTTTCGCGTTCGACATCGCGAGCCCGACTGGAGTTTGCGATTGTGAGCATCGATTGCGCAGCGACGGAGAAAAAGGAAGGGTTAGATTTGCCAGCGAAACATTTTATTGGATCCGATCGCATTGAAAGCCTTACGTGCTGGGTATAATGCCTAATACTGGACAGTTATTTGGACAGAGCTGGAAGTGCGAAAAATGCCGAAAGGACTTCAAGGCCGTCTGGTTGCCAACCAACGTTTGTTGTCGAATCGCTTCATGGGATCAGCAGCCTGGTATTCTCACACAAGCTCCTTACTCGCGGCATGTTTCTGACGCCCTGAAAGAGGCAGCTTCGAAATCGTTCGCCAGTTCAACCACCGAGTACTCGACAAAGTCCAGGAACGGACGACACACGCAAAAAATACCTGGTATTCCAGTTCAAAGTCTAGCCGAGCCCTGGATGAGACATGTAAACAGGTTAGCGCCTTTCAGTACCAGTGGCAAAAGCACGTGCGGATATTACTTTTCAAGAGATACCGATAACAACAAGCGAAAAACAGGGATTCCTCCATCAGATCTGGTGGCATGGCGATCTAACATCTCTTAACGTGAGTGAAGTGAAATTAGCGCGGACTAAGTAATCTTACGTCGTTACAAAAGTTTTAAACGGAAAACGAAAAGGGAAGATGCTTCAAAGGTCTCCGCGAATCACAAGCCAAGAATGTTCCCTTAATCTAAGTTTCTGTTTGTGAGTTGTCTTTGGCAATGCGTGGAATAGAATAAAGCCACGTTATACTGTGGACCTGGGTGACATATCTAATTAGCACATCAGTGACTACGATTTAAAAGCTTGTTGGCGACTTATAACTAGTATTGCACCTCAATGTGATTGAGCGCGGTTTAATTTTGTTGTTTGCTTAATAAAAACGCGTGAAGTACCGTAAATTGTTTTAATAGACGTGCGAGTTTAAATATCTGTATGTTATCTCTTTCTGTAGATAGAGCACAGTGGCAGCGATAAAAAAATACCTCACTAAAACTATTGGATAAACACGCGGGAAGCTTCCCAAACACACTTTTTATAAAAGCCCTAATTGTTCTTTCCGAGGCATTAAGATGAGGGCTCCCTTATCAAAAGGGTTGATAATTTCATTTCAATATCTTGAGAAAAGGTTTTGGTTATGCAACCAGGCTAGTTGTTAAATTTTCCGACTTGTGTTTTGCAAAGCTACGAGTCATGTGTAAAAAAAGTTTCTTGGAAGTATCTTGCCCAATACAAATGCAATGGGAAACAGAAACGAAGGCAAGCTACAAATATCTCACTGCCCTTTATATGTAGACGTCAGATGTCACAGTTAAGAGCTTTCAGCTTTCGAACAACTACTGTTGTTTGGCATTCGGAGCGTTAAAATGAAGAAAACTTCACATAAAATTTTTTTTTTTTTCTGAGCGTGAGTAAAACGATGAACTTTACAAATGAGACTGAAGCAGGTTGAGACATATGGCATGGAAAAAAGACACATCATTACATTTCACTGGTTGAAAACAAATGTCGAGAGACTTCTACATTTTGGGTGTGAATGGTCGATTGTGCGGAACTACATAGCTACAGTTACTCATAATCAAATACAAATGTCACGCCCTGTACGTACAAAAGTTACATTTAAAGTTCTTAACAAAGGTTACAAGCCCTTTCAGTAGTGTTACTAGGTTTCACGGCTAAAAGAAATATCAAATCTGTTCCAAAAAGCATTTCTCTTGATCTTCAGCTCAATACATGCATGGATGATGCATTAATCAGCTGGCTTCTGTATTCATGAGGAGGGTAATATTGTCTCCTTTCAACAATATCCTTCCTAAGAAGAACACAAGACAAAAAAAAAGACAGCAAATTTAACTTATTTCCCTATTTCACCAGATGGAAAATAGTCATTCAGATTTTTGGGGGGTCATTGAAATTTAAGGTGATTCCTTAGAAAAAAGGGTTGTTTTATTTTTCATCTCCTTAAATGTTCCCTACCAATGTCTATTTTGAAAAATACAATAAAAAAGATAGGTCACTGTGCTTGTTAAAGAGATATGTTGGGCCAAATTCACTAATCATGCGCATCATTTCAAGGGTTCATGGCACATTTTGCAGTAGCTAGAAGCAAAGGTTTTTCCATAAGTGATACTTACCAAAAACTTCAAGGTAGTATCCAGAAAGTGTGGAACAATTTGATACATAATTTCTAGAAAATTCACACGATTTTAGACAATGACTCAAAACGTTCCTTGAGTCATTGCTTTCAAGGTCATAATTTGCTTCCTTAAGTAATGGCTTCATGCACACCTTTTAGTGTAAATCTTTTTCTCCTTTCGATTAATCTTTTTTTATTTCTTCAATTTAAAGGGGGTAATCTGTACACTAAAATTACACCAAACAAAACATAGGTCAGTGTGCTCATTTTAGAGCTAAGGACTATCTAACCACTTTAACTGGTCAATAAGTTGAAAAACAATAAAGTGATCTCAAACTACGTGCAAGCTTATATGGCTGATTACATAATTTTTATGCCCAGTGTAGGATGCACAGAGCAATACTGAGGAATCACCTTAAAGGAGGTGGGGTGGAATGTAAAGGGCAATACGTTCCACGGTGGTGCATAAATAAGCAAAACTTCACTTCCATGCAAGAGTTGAATATAAATGGAAATACCACCAAGACTTTGATTTGATTCTAACAACCTCAAAACCACAAACTAATAACCCTTATTATTTGAGATTTGAAGTTTCCTAACATCTGATTGAATTATTTTTTGAAACACAACAACATTCCATCCCTTTTACATTTGTGTCATTTTACAGTAACTCAATTCTATACATATTTTAGAAATAAAGTCCATACCAAGAGGTCTCCTTTTCTTGGTTTTGAGATGTACTTCTTCTGCATCATCCAAAACAAGATTCATATACTCATCAAAACCCTGTAAAAAATATATCAAAAAAATATTACTCCTTTTCTTTTTGTGATTCCTCTGGACTTACAAAGATAAAGTACTGATTGGTTTCTTTTAATTGCAGTTCATGAAGATGGTTATGAGTTTCTTGCATAAAGATACTATTCTCAGTACAATGAGTAACACAAAAGTAACCAAACAAAGAAATTGGCAAAAAAAGAAACCAGATTTCCAAAAGATTCTTGCTTCTACAATGTTGCAGATAAGAAAATAAGAAAATTGGTTTGGTCCATTACAAAACATAAGATACAGCAACTGGGAAAATAAAACCATTTCTCATACACTGATTTGTGAAATAATAATAAGAGCATCATGCAAAAAATATATCTTATCCATAGAATATCAAATTATAGAAATTTGTTAACTAGAAACTTACAATAATATGGCCCTCAATCCTCATGTTCACTTGCTCATACAGCCAAATCTGAATTCTTGATCTCTGATGAATAACAGGAAACATAAAAAAGACATCAAATAAAATAAAAACATAAAAATAAAAATATCATGACTCAATTAATTATCAATACCCCAAACCATAAATTTTTCAGCATTTTAAGAACTACTATTTGAAAAATTGCTTTTTAAGTACAGTGCAATTCATAAATGACACACAAAAACACACACAAAAAAAATAATACTTACATTTTGCAAATACCTAAATATCAAGTTCTGTTTGGGTAAAAAGTTAAGGAAAATACCAAGAAATTCAAATTCAAAATTTGAGAAAGCCTATTAAATGTATTTTGCCAGAATATTAGCAATGTACACATCAATCAACATTCTTACAGAGTGTACGGGGAAAACACAGCAAAGAGGTAACAATATCATCTCCTATTAGCACAAATTAGTAAATTATCCAGACAATACTGATCATTCACATTAACCACCATTTTGGGAATGTGATGCCAGGACTGAATAATTCACAAAAAAAACTACACACATTTTATTTTGTTCCCTGTTTTCCTGATTTCAAAGGGTAAGGTCAGGGGTCTTTAAAATAAGCAAAGGACTTATCCCTGTTTCCAAGGCATGATCTACCCAGGATTACTATTCCACCCTGGATGGGATTCTAATCCATTAACGTGAACTTCATGTAGATGCTGTAGTAGGAACCCTGTAGTGTAAAATTTTCCCACAGCCCCATACTACATTATGCATTCAGTTCTCGGATAGAGAAAACAATGACAAAAACAACACATTGCCACTGGGAAACAGATTTGTTTTACAATGGTATGGGTCTGTGCGGAAATTTTACCGCCCTGTATTATATGTGAGTGATACTGTAGGAAAATAGAAGCACTGCAGGAGTGACATGTCTAACTCAAGAACAGGGCTCTATGATCAGCAACTACAGAATATAGGGTCACCGAGTTCTACCTGACGAGAGTCTTACGCTCTAAACGTTAGCTTTGAAACTCTTTAAGGTGGCCAATTTGAATTATAGACTCAGGTGATGAAACCAAATTGTCTTGATATACTCCCCTACCAACGCCGTAGAGCAGTTTCTTTCGAAACTTACCCCCTTTATTCAATCGAAGACACCTCACATTACGTAGCATGTGCCTTCGAACCTGTAATAGTTACAGTTACGTCATAAAATAATCACCCTGCTTCACGCATACAACTATAAATCGCAAAGGATCGAAACTTCTTAGATCTTGGCATGACCGTTCGAGACAAATAAAGCTACTTAATGTCAAATGGGAGCACGTGCTACGATCTTTCGCCAGTTCATCACTTCACATGATCAATATGTGAGTATTTTCGTTACAATTAAGAGGATACAATAGGTTGTACCATGACTTTCTGTACTTTCTGTCCTTTGTACGCCATTTTGGGTCGTTTCGGTGAAGAAAACTTCAAACAGACGGCAGTAAAGACGCGCAAGATGGCGGAGAAGTTCACTGCAAAGAGTTCTGGGTGATCGTTGAGAAACGTCTCTCCTCTTCACCAGGGTTGCTCGATATTTTTCTTTCAAGATTGTGATCAGTGCTGGGTAACCGAAGCCTGGAATCCTGACCACATTTTTCTTTGATGTTTTTTATGTGTTTGAACTTTTACGAATCTTCTTCATTTCTAATAAATTAATAATGAATAAAGTAACAGGGAAAGTGCAGTACTGCGTGGATTTGGTGGCGAAACTGGATGAGTTTAGACAACAGAAAGTGCTTTGCGATATCACTCTCGTCACGGCTGAGAGAGCCTTTCCTGCTCACCGAAACGTCCTTGCTGCTGGCTGTCCTTACTTTTGTAAACTGTTCACAAGTGACATGAAGGAGAAGTGGACTGATTGCGTAGATTTATCGCAGATGGAAGTCACAGCGAACGCACTGGGTCCGTTACTAACTTACTTTTACACTGGTACCATTGAAGTCACACAATCCAATGCTGAAGAACTTTTCATTTCAGCTGATTATTTCTTTATCCCAGAGGTGAAGTTGGCAACATCAGCATGGTTAGTTGCTAATATCAATGTGTCCAATTGTTTATATTACTGTGACTTAGCTGAACGTTATAATTGCGCAAAACTCTCTAAAGCGTGCCGTGTATTCATTGACAAACATTTTTATGAAGTCACGCAATCCCAGGATTTCCTTCGACTTGGTATTGAAGAGATCACATATATGATATCTAGTGATGATATTTGTGTTGAAAACGAAGAAGCAGTGTACGAGAGTCTCATGAATTGGATCAGTTACAATCAAGGTGAACGAGAAGTTTATTTTCCTAAATTACTGGCATGCATTCGAATTGGCTCAATGTCACATGAGTACCTTCAGTTACAGGTAATCACAAATTCACTCGTTCAAAGAGATTCTTCTTGCATAAAACTAGTTGAGAGTGCCATGAAAAGGGATCATTCATCTAGTTGTTTGTCACCTCAAAATCCAAGAAAATGTCTGCAGCCAGAAACCGATGTTGTTGTTGTTATTAGTGGTTTGATAAGGAGCAGCGAGACTCAATCAACTTCAGTCCGTTGTTATGTACCAGAAGAAGACAACTGGTTTGAAATGGAACATTTTCCAAACCAGATTAACTGGCATGGATTTGCTGCATATGAAACAGAGCTGTATACAGTTGGAGGAGAAAGAAATGGCATGGTGTCAAAAGCTCTTGAAAAGTTTGATCTGGAGACAAACAGATGGGAAACTATGTCCTCGATGTTGAAAGAGGTTTTATTTCCAGCAGTTGCATTCCTCGGAAAGTGTCTCTATGTTATTGGTGCTTCGAGGGGCCACAGAGGAACACTACAAATTTACATCCCTTCCATGAACGTCTGGACTCTGGGAACAGACTTAAATGTCCCACGAGAAGTCACTTGTGCTATAGGTAATGGGCAGTTCCTGTATGCTATTGGTGGGATGAGAGCAGGGAATGGTGAGTATCTAAACTCAGCAGAGAAGTATGACCCAGAGCAAGACACATGGACAAGTATTGCTCCCATGACCCACCCAAGGGGTGGAACATGTGCTGTGTCATACAAATCATCAATTTTTGTCATGGGTGGGGAGTATAATGTGCGTGTTGCCCTTTCAACTTGTGAAGTTTACTCCACAACATCTGACCAGTGGCAATCTATTGCTTCAATGCATGTCCCAAGGTACTTTGCTGGGGCTACCATGGTAGGAAAGAAAATTTATGTTTTTGGAGGTGTTGGTGGATCCAACGTGGACTTAGAACAAAGAAAAATTGTTGACAGGTATGACATTGAACAGGGTGTGTGGAATTCAGACATTATTATTCCTTGGGAAGCAAAATATTTGCAATGCTGCTCCCTTCGTGTTAAAAGAGACTTTTTGCAAGGTTTGCAGATGGTTGCTAGTTGAAATGACAAGAACTGATTAAAAAAAAACTGAGGTCCCAAGATACCTTTAACATCTTGGAAAGTATGGTTCCCCTTAATGCGAAGTGTAGACCCACCACTAAAAGTTACTTTGAGTCTTGAAATTTCTTTGTTGCTCTTAATTGATTGACTAAAAAGGCCATTTACATCCAGCTTAAAACTTGCCTTGCAGCAATTTTTTTTCTCATTAATCATGATCCACAATCTTTGATTTCTAGAGCACTTTCTGATTGAGTGTTCAATTATGCAGACTAAGTGCATCTGGAGTTTGCAATGAGACCTGATAGTAAGAGCAGTTTTTAATTGAGCATGAAAAATAATCTGACCTTTCATTGGTTTTGCTTCTCTTGAGTGTTCAATTATGCAGACTAAGTGCATCTGGAGTTTGCAATGAGACCTGATAGTAAGAGCAGTTTTTAATTGAGCATGAAAAATAATCTGACCTTTCATTGGTTTTGCTTCTCTAGACTGTTTATGTCCAGAAAACCTCTGCTGTCTTCTAAGTTACTCATTGAACCAGACCAATTTCTTGCCACTTGCCAAAAAATAAATTTGAATACTGACAATACATTAAGGAAAGGACCTTGATATTAGTGAGGCTACAGAGATGAAATGTGCTGATAGTATTGCCTCTTAAGGGGATTTTAAAATATCCATGCCTTTATTATCATTTTTATTATTAACGTTATTATTAAGAGTATAATTGATAGTATTATTATTACAATCTTCGTTATTATTTTTACTGCTCCTATTATTGTATTTGTTTAGTTTAACACAACCAGTGCATTATCAGCTTAGGACTGGTGTATCTTTCTTGAGAATATACCTTTGGATTTATTTGTTAGTTTAATTTGTCACAATAAAATTACCTATAATACTGTTCCAGGTCTTATAATATATTGCTTGTAAATTTATGAAAGCTTTATCTTCAGAAATGCCAACATCTTAGAATAGGGAAAAAATATATATTGGTTTGAGAAATGTTATACCTAGCAAGAAAAAAAAGGAAAAATTATCTACTTCTGCTACTTAAAGTTTAAGATTTTTTCAAATCAACGAACTCCTCAGTAACTCCTGATTTCTTATTTACAATGGTCCCTTTTAAGTGCATATCCTCTAACTCTTTGACCTCCAAGAGTGACCAGCATCTTATTTCTCCTTACGATATCACCCCTGAATCAAACATTAGGGTCACAAGAATATAGGAAATGATCACAAGTTGAAGAAGCTCTTGATTTGTCAACACATTCTCCTTGTCAGCACCTTAGAAAAAGTATAGAGAACAGTATGGAGAATATGCATATTGCTATTTGGGGGTAAAGGGTGTTTCCTCATGTTACTCCATCATTCAGTTTACTACACTTGGAATGGATATATTTTAATCTGCGTGCACAAATACCACTGGATAATTATTCCTAATGACTTAGTTAATGAATTTCACAATACCAGTTCATTAGTGGTAATTTCTTCATGCAGATCCCACATTTCAGCATTAATTGTAACAAAGGGTTAACATTAGTTTAAAAATCTGATTTTGTTAATATCACTTGAAAGAATTTCCTGTTGCTGGCCAATTTATTTCCTCTGAATCATAGCCCGACTGCTAAGTACTGCATCCAAATTGTGGGAAGAATTAAGTAACGAGTTCATAAGTTATGGGACTTTAAGTACCACTGGGTAACTGTTAGGGGTTAGTCAGTTTGATTTACTTTTATGGAACAAAGGTAGTCTAATTGGACCTCATTGTTTTCTCTCAGATGAGTTAAACTGGAAAAGACAAATTTGTAGAGTATGGACATTGTAACGAAAGAGGAACACTGTGTCGTGTGTCTGGTTTGTTTTAGCTCTTGAACTAACAACAATGACAACTTTATTTGTACCCTACATTAATTTACATGATACAAAAAAATATATTTGTATATATTATAAGAGAAATGGAGAGGGTACAGGCTGCTCATAATAACCAGTGAGAGCTAAAAAGATAAGGCAGCCTTACTTAGGTTTTTAATAAATGATTATTTTGAAGGGTCAGGTACCACACACTACACAAAATGCAAAAAGAAAAAAAAAGTGTCTAGACAGCTACTTGTACGGTATCTAGTAACACCTTCCAAGCGGGCTTAACTGTGTTTTGTGGCACGACTCGGAAGGAATACAGGATAAAGGAGCTACTTATTCTTAAGAGACAAGATGACTTTTAACAGGATAAAGTAATTAACGATTTTAGTGGCAAAAATGTTAATCAGTTAACCTGTCAAACCCAACTGAAAATATGCAGATACTACTCCAGTTTCAGCGTTCCAACTCAAACATTGACTTCAATTTATTTCCTGTTCCCGTAAGAAATACGGCAAAATTCGTTTATCTCTAATAAACATGACGAATCGTATGACTTGTTAGCTTGTCTCACGGAATTCTAACAATACTGCGAGGTACCTCATTTTACATCCAACAACATTGCTACTCCGTGGTTTTGTGATAACACTTGTACCTTAGAAACGAGTTTGTCCCAAGGTACCAAGCAGGGGCCACAAGGCACGAAAAAAAAAACCATCAATCCCACATATAACGGATTTAAAATGTCACAAGGTAAATCAGAGCCGGTTTTGTAGAAGGTCACCCAAATTCGTTTTGCAGCCAATAGAAAGCGGCCTCAAGCTATTTCGTATTTGAAGGAGTTGTGAAAGGATTTTTCGCGGAGAAGGTATAGCATAAATGACATGAGCAGGATTTGGAGCTGATTTCATTAGAAGAATCAGAAAATGTTCTATAAATCAATTTTTTTTGATGAGGGTGGTTCTCCTGATTACTGTCATGATGAGTTCATCATACGTGCTCTTGACATGCATATAACTAGGGTTCTCTACACATTTGAAAATGACTGAAACTTACACTTTCAATGCATACCAGCGGATCTTACCCAAGTAGTGGTTATTTTCCGCATAATATTGACCAATTTTGTATGCGAATGTCCCATGCTTTTCACGGAGCGAAATAAATAGCTTCGATGCCTATAGTCATGAGTTGTGTTGCACATGAGTCTTACGGCTTCCTTTCAGCGCTGCCTTGTATTTACTGCTGAATGTTCGTTATTGAAGTATGAAATATCAGCAATCCTTCACAATATTTTACCGCTTCAAAGCACTCTTTTCCTCGTTGATAAATCTTAAAAGGCAACTCAGTTCTTTACCTCAGTTCTTTACCTTCTTTACCTTACAGTTCCTTACCTTACAGTTCTTTTCTTTAAGGAAGGAATTAGTTGTACTGAGCCCGGCAAAGAAAAGTAGGAAGGAATAATTTTTAATCTTTGAGTTAAAGCAGTACAACCATACATCTGTATAACTTAAATTCTCGTTGAAGGGGATAAGTTTCTAAAGAAACTGTGGTGCTGGGTCGGTGGAAGGTATTGCAAGATACAACTTGGTTTTATTAACTGAGTTGATAATGCAAATTGGCCACCGCTAGGAGTTTCTAACGCTGAAGTTTCGAGTGGTACGTCACTTCTCTCTCCAAACTATCTCAATTCTCCTTGGTTGAGTCGCAACTTATCAACTCATTAAATATATAGCTTTTAAGGAAATTTTACAGGCTGATTTCGCGAAGACTCCATTTGAAAGGCGAATGTGATTTATATGCCTATTTGATACAGAAAATATCCAAATACCCTCCTTCCTCACTGTACGAAGGATGAATCAGTACTAATACAGAAGGATTCTTTCATCACTTGATATTTATCTGCAGGAACCTTTCTAGGTTATCTTTTACTACAACTACATGAAAAGGAAAAAATGGACAGATTTTTTAACTGGAAAAGATCTTCAATTGAATAATTCACTTTACTTGCTACATAAAGTAATAAGGGGAAAAAAGAAGTTAGCTGCTGTTTATGAAGAGAACTTAGAAAGTCACAGAGTAAAGATGATGAATTGAAAATTTCTTGTACCTCAACTTTAACTTAAACGTGTATTACCAGGTATCAAAGTTACTCAGTAACGACTGTAACAGATATTGAAAGAATGAAAGACTTCATGCGACCAGAGACATTTCCCAAATGGAAGATCCCTGAGCTATCTTTTGTATTTTACGAGAGGTCTGTAGCTTTCCTCACGAATAACCTTTGAATTTTCGAAATAGATCTCGCTTATTCCCACCTCTGCTATTTATTTATCTATATATTTTTTCAATTTATATCAGTATGTGCTGATTCTCGTGGGACAAACTTGAGAAGGCTTGTTTTCTCTTCATGGATAACTCTCTGTCCCATGCCACAGGTTGATCTAAATCCTTATTTGATATTTTCAGCCATTATAAACCAAATGTTACCTGTGTTACTGCCTTCATTAATCCACGCAGTTTCTCTGTGGAAAGAAATCATATCAAAGTCATTTAATAGATGAATAAGTTAACGACTTCGAGCTTTGCCGGTAAGAATGGTTTAAGGACTCTTAAGTTAGCAGGGTAGTTAACTACCCTGAATTATGAGTTCCTTAACCAGTGAAAAGCAAAACATGCAGGAATCACACACGAATCACAGACGAAATCACCCACAAGAGGACGAGTTCATTAAAAAATCAACCAACGATGAGTTACTCATTGATAAGGGGAAACAATGTAAAATGTTCGATACTATAATGAAATTTTCACCGTTAACACTTTAATTTTAATTTAATAGTATAAGCAAATGTTGGCAAATGCTGTATTTACTTAATCCCCGGCGGTAATTTCCAGGATGAAGTTGTTGTTACGCAATAAATTAACTGGGCGAACAATGCCTCTATTATTCCAATCTGTTACATTATACCTGAAAAGATATTTCCAGCCGATGAAAGCTTTAATTTGAGGCTGCAAGAATAATCTGATTTTTTAAGAGAGATTTTCACTATTGGATTTGGGAAATTAAAGAAGATAAAAAAATTCCTTACCAATTTAGGTAATGTAGGCTTCCACTTTACTTAATTAGGACGTTTACCATTCCACTTGTTATACATTTTTTTCATCTTTGGTCAAAATTTTCAATGAAAGTAAAGTAATGCCGAAAAAAAAACACCCTTTACCCTTTTAATTGTCGTTCACCAGAATGGAAAAGCGCTAATTCTCTCTTTGCATCGATGACAAATAACATGTGACTCTATGGGCCTTCTCACGTAAACTGGATTATCATCCAGGTATTTTGAAACTTTTCCAAACGGACTTGATAGACAAAATTTTCTGGAGGTAGAACAAAGGTTGGGATTAAAAAGCCGTACACGCCAATACATATCAGGCCACTGAGCCACCTATTTTTAAACATGTCTTAGCCAATCGTTAAACGAAAAGCATACCTCATCGATCTGCAGACACACCTTGTTAAATTTATATTTCTTGAGTGCACCCTTTTTAAAACATTGTAACGTGGAGTGGACTTCATTTTACTGCAAGGATTCTATAGAACTCTAGATGTCCGTGTCCAGGCGAGCAGTGCTTTTGAGACTTGTAGCTCTACTTGTTTCAGCGGTGAGTCACCATAAATTCAATTTTTTTTGTGGGAGTAAGCGTCTTGTGCATGATCAAGTCATTTGACATTTTGCAGAAAATTTGTACAACAGGGTACATGTTGCTGGTAGATGTAGATTTTAGATACAAGCTATCAAAATTTCTTTTTCAGCTAACCATCCGATGCTGATAGAATTTTATCTCTTTCTTCATCCGAACAAATGGCGCGAGTTAACTCATCTCTTAAGATTTTGGAAAGATTGAGCTGTAAAATCCTCAAGGATGAGGTTGATCTTATTGGAAAGGGATTACAAAATGTTTTAAGAGACCAACGTGGTGGGGAACATGCATTTCCTTGTTTACCTGGTCATGAGAACTTGTTTTATGTTTCTTAATTCTAAATGAAAACTGAAAACGAATAGCAGTTTTCCAAAGAAAACAACGATAAATTCAAGTAAAAACGCTAGCGTAGAAGGAACCTCCAGGGGGTATTTTTGTCATAATCGGATGTTGGCTCTTCTTTGCCATTACTGGTTATGCCGTAACAGAAAAAAACTTTTGCTTTCATCTTTTACGAACATCAAAGGAACTTCGCGAAAGCTAGGCTATGAAATTGTTGATACCACTCCATAATCAAAACGTTGAAATATATGAGGACCGCTTAAGACCGAAGTGAATATTGACGAAAATCGTAAGAGGGTCTGATTTCACGAATTTTTTGTCAGCTTTTTCAATTTTTCGGAGTTACTAATTGGAAAAATTGAATTCATAGTGAGATGACTGTTCGATTCCCCTCATTTTTGACAGAGACCTCATCAAAGGCGGTGATCCTAACATGCAACTCTGTCACATAAGTTTACCCTTTAAAGCTGTGCTTGTACCGATTCTTCCCGAGTGGTTTTCTAAATGAATAGCGGGATCATCATTCATTATGGAGTATGGCAAGCAATTTTGCAAAGATGTTTTATCTAAACTCTAAACCTTTTCGCAGACAAGCTTGAATTATGACTTAAACTAGGGCAAAGGGACATTTTCGTGATATTGTCGAAGTAAATGCACCTCATGACTAGGGCAGAACAAAATGACTGTCAGCCTAATCACTGCTGATCTATATTTTTTCGCTGTTTAGCTTGTCGCTCTAAGTAGAAATGATATTGTTAAAAGCTCTCAACATTATATGAAAGATACTGAGGACAGTCGAAAGACTAAAGTTATCGTTGCGTATCTACTTGACTTTTTTTTCTTTTTTTCAACTATATTCCATGCTAAGGTATCTTGAAAATTTAACTTCTTTTCGACTATTAACAATTAAAGATTTCATAACTCTGCGAAAGGATTTAAACCACCAAATACAAACATGACATACAAGGAGTAATCAATGGCAGTACATGGGTATGACATTGGTGAGATATCCGCTATAGTCCATAATACTAACCACAGTTGATTAAACACTCTATTATGATATCATTGCATGCCTAGACATGTAAAAGCGAATAACGTGAGTGGCCATCAAATAAAAAAAATAGATAACTCGAGAAATAACGAAACCGTAGGCTTGGAAGATTATATAAATTTACAAACCTCAGATGAGAAAGGTCTGTGTCCCTAATCCATTTTAACGATGTATCGACACAAACATGCATTGACAATTCCTAGTAAAGGTAATGAGAGTAACCTGGAGATGTCTGATGTAGTTCGCTTTCGAAAAAACTGCTTATTTTGCAATGAAAATACGCTGATTTAAGTAAATGCGAGTCCTCTTTCAGCACTTGTCTTAGTATAGTGATTCATGACATCAGTTGTTATATTTGTAGTGTCTTCCTCTTTGACTGTGCGTTGAGTTGGAAAGTCTGAAACATCAGTCGGTCTTGCTGATTTCAGTCAAAACGGATCCAGAAATGTCACGTTCAGATCATAGACGTAAATAAATAGCATCACTTCCTTTCATCGTGACTGAAGATGATCCCTTTGGTCGTGACTTCCGGTAACGCTTGAGCATCCAAAATGTTTGGGCCGTCTCTCTGTAATTAGATTACATGACATAAGTGTTTATTAAAAAGTGTTCCATTTTCCTCCTTAGGTGTTGCATGCATCAGAAAGCAGAGGCGATGGGTCCACAAATGGTAAATGAATAAATGGCAGATTTTCATTTAGTTGTCTTCGTAATTATAAGAATTTTGATCAAACAGTACTTATTTTTTTACGAATTTTAACGTACACTGTTAATAGTAACCGATGAATTAGTGCCAAATGAACTTTAAGTGGACAGGTTAGAATTTCAAAGTCTTACCAGGATAATGTACGTCATATCTGAATGTTTTTCAAGCCTGCAGAGCCATAGAAAGAAATAAAGTCCTGTGAGGCGCTATCTTACAAGAGCTATTATTTAAGTGAAATTTTCACGATGAGCCCTTACTATAAAAGGTTAATGGAAAACAAAAACATAATGACCACAAAAACTATTCAGAGCAAAGCTCAACATGAAGGAGTCACAAGACGTGGTAAACTAAAACTAATGCAATCTTGAATAAAAGCGTAAGTTTTTTAAGAAATTGTGGTGTTGCCTCGGTGCGGAAGTATAAAAAAGGATAAGTTAGTTTTATCAACTGGGTTAATTATGTAAATTAGTCACCGTAAAGAGTTTCAAAGCTGATGTTTCGAACGTTAGCGGCCTTCGTCAGAGCGTCAGATGCGATCTTGCATTACTTTAAACATTGAATAGATTGCTCTTATACAAAACATATTTTCGCAAATAACGCTGAACAATGAACATTAAGAGAATCTTTATAATTGCATATGCTCATTTTGTAGCCCGATTGCATACAGCACTCAGAGAGTTGACTAACCCTGGCTGATAAAATGTTACAATTGAAGCTTCACGTTTTATTTCGTTGGTTGATGAACTAAATGTTATCTCGTTCTTCGTTGATGATTTCCCGCTTTGAGATTTAACTAGTTTTAATTTTTAGCGAGTTCGTGTGCGCAGACTTTCTGCAGAAAGGGAAAGATGTGTGTTGAAAGTAAGATCGGCGAAGTGATCACCGCAGAGTGTACGTGTCCAGTGAACTGCTCAAATGTACATCGCCCTGTTTGCAGCGTTTACCATGTGGAATTTCCAAACATCTGTGAGTTACATAAGTTTGCCTGTGCAAATGAAATGCATATTCAAGTAAAGCATCAAGGGAACTGCAGCGAACAAGGTACACAAAGGTTAAATAGCTTTCTGTCTTTATTTTGATGATTTTTATGTAGTGTGAAGTTTTTGTTATAGCCTTGCTTTAAATTATCTCATTTCATATGGCATCCCCCGGCCTGAAAAGATCTTAATATTCTCAGTGTGATATAAACACATCTAAGGAAAAACTGGTGAAGTTTGGATCTAAGCTACCAATATCGAGCCCCATTATGTGGGGCACGGGATTCCAGTGTATCGACTATTTTTCAGTTCCCTGGTCTCACTTTTATAATAAAGTATCTTGCCCAAGACACCTATATCAGTTAGCTAGCTCAAAGGGCAGAGCACCACACTGTCAACCAGAGTAGAGGGATCGAGCCATGAACTGTGTCAACACACAGGGTCTTGAAACAGCTGAGAAAGCCGGATATGCTGCCGTTTAGAGTGTGATTTTGAACAAGTATACATTGTAGTTATCTTGGTTAATCATGAACCATAAACCTCACTCCCAATCTTTTGTATCCGTAAGGTGGTTAAAGGTAATAGATCCACGATTACCGTCACAAACATAGGACAAGGTTAGCTTTGTATCATTCAGTAAATCAACAGCACACTTTAAAGAAGAAATCATGTGAATGGGTTTGTTCGTTCATGACTCCCAGGTACAGTATATTCATATTAAATAACGTAAGTGCCAATTATTGATCTTCCAGAGGCTTCATCAGCTTGCCGCAAATCACAAATAATAAATTTTCAAGACAAGTGGTTGCAAAGAATTTTCCCAGTATACCAGGAGAGCAGGGTATTTTCTGTGGTTGAAAGACTCCTACTTGCAAAGGTAAGGATAAACCGAGGCTTGTGCCAATCTTGCAACTGATAAATTGACAGTGCGTCACACGCTGACGGGTTAAACATTTTTTTTTTCACAGTACAAAATAACCAAATGTACAATATCGCAAGTCATTTGTACTCTATTCGTGCGTTTTTTGCTCTCTACTTTATGCAGTTGGATAATAAAACTGAGTACTGTTTACCCTTCGAAAATGAATGAAATATAAACAAAAGCACTCTTCATTACTTGTGTTGTCCATTAGGGCAAATTTCATGTGTTCGCCTCGTCATTGAGTCTTTTGAGCTTTTCTGGTTACTCTTGTCTTCTCGGAAGGCATCAAAATGTGTAAATGCCACAGGTTTGTGCCTCCTCCTGTTTCAATTTCGTTTTCAATTAAATTGCCTTAACTACTTGTTCTCTTACAGTTTAAAAACTGTATCCTTCAGTGGTATTCTAGCAATTCACCCGAAGATCTAAGTACATTATTTCTCCTTAACAGATTTTAGCCTTTGTTTACTATTTTTAGGTTGTAGATCAAAACGTTTGTTATTTTTTATTTTAAATATTCAAGGTTTATAAAGATGCTATGGCGTTATCATTAATAAATCAGATAAATGCTTCACTCTTGACAGATAAGGTTAATGTAAATGCAAAGTAAAACACAGGTATTTTTTTTTCAGCGTAATTTTGACCGGTACTGGGACAAAGATAAAAACGGTTTGCTCAGCGAGGACGAAATATCAAGAATTTTCCACGAGAGGACATTTTTAAACTCTGCATGCATTGTAGGGCTCATTAGATCATGTGATACTGACAGGACCCCAGGGATAAACAGACAAGAATGGTACACTTGCCTCAAAACCGAAGGTATCAGTCATATTCCTTTCACTTCTCTCTTCTAAAGTTCGGATATAACGAGCGCTGTCATTGGTTGAAAGAACGTGCTCTATGAGAGTATAGAGCATAGAGCTGAGCTAAAGCTGTCACGCCATCTGTCAATTTTACTATGTTCGACCTTTTCCGGGACTTCTTTTTCGCTTTTTTCCGATAATTGAAAGTGAAATTTCGGAACTGAGGCGAGCCGGCAAGTAGCGACAGAAGAACCAAACAAAGGTTTGTAAACATACCAGGCGCCGTAATTTACGTTATTAAAACGTGAGCAGATACGAAGATCCTCAAAGGAAAAACAAAATAGACACTCCGAGTTTTAAAAATTTTCACGCTCAGTTAGATTGCAAGCTTACGTACGGTAATAAAAATCAAACACAGCTAACACTCGTATAATATATAAAGTTCAGTGTTCAAAAACAAAACAGAAAAAAACAGAATTGATGAAAAATATAACCAAACTGGCATAATTGTTAAAATTCATACTAATCATGACGGTTTCTAAGCGAATATGATCATGCTGAAGTTCATCGCGGCTCGCTCATTATGGCGATCTCCGGTCATCACAGTAAAGCAAGCCTCAGAAACTACATCGGCCGCCCTTCGAGTGAAAAATAAGAGCTTGCTCTGATATCCTTTCCGATACGTTGAGTGGAAAGTCAATTCAGTCACTGCAGCCGAGTTTTGCGGCGCTGTCATCCCGAGCGATCTTCATGTTCCGGTGAATTAGGCTGTCGTTCATTCAACAAACATTCGCCTTGAACAGTTTGTTTTCTACCTTGTCATGTGAAAAAACTCACGTGTTTTTATGAGCCATAATTCGGCTGAAGTTCACTGAACATTTCACTTCAAGATTCTGTATTAGAGACTTAAAAACTTCAAGCAAAGTGTTAAATTCGACTTGCCGAACTATTTTAGTTTGTAAACTATCGTAGAATGTGAACTTTGATGGTTTGACACTTTTGACAGCTTTAGTCTTGTACAGCCAATCAGATTATTTGAACCATTCTAACAGGGATTCTGATTGGCTTATTGTAGCGTGCTTTATGAGAGTATAGAGCATGCTGACGACACTGTTGTTCGCTTTGGAAATAAAGTTTGTTTTGAAAATTGAAAGTAATGCTTGGGTAATTTAACGGATTCTTTATTATAAAACAAATAGAGAAGCCTTGACTGTGCTCTGTTCTGTTCTAAAAGCACTTAGGAAGCGGCTAAAGCACGAAAGAAGTGTAGGGAGTAACACGAGACGTAGTCGAGTGTTTCTTCCCACTTGAGAGCACAATCAAGGCTTCTCTATTTGTTAAGTATATTCCACAAATACAGATTCCACGTTGCCATGCACCTGTTCAAGTTATGCGTTACAGATCACGTCAAAATATGTCAAGAACACAAAAGTGACACACGGGGCGCAGCACAGTGTTTCACTGATGTAGCGAAGTCATGCCGCGCATTTATCCCCCGATAGATCATAAGTAAAACTAACAAGGAGCGTATGTAATCAAGCTTATCATTACCATGAAATTATAACACTGACCCTATTTTGAGGTTCCAAAGAATAGTATCTCAGCCATTCGCGTCTTTAAAAGTGCGTATTCGACTATGAACTAGATTATTCCGTACACTAGAGGAAATTGATCCATTTTCCTTAAAAAGTTTTTACGAATCCAGCAAGATATATCGTGAATGATCCTGAAAGTTCATTAAATTGAGTGTTGCTGTCTACAACTCTGTTTTTGCGATATTGAACTTTTACCAGGAGGAGAGTGGCGTTGGTCTCCCTGGACTGACTGCTCAGTTACATGTGGAGGTGGTCGGCAAAGACGAATAGGGACTTGTATTTTACCCAGTACAGGACAGAGACTACGACGAAAGCTTTGTGTTGGGAAACATCATCAAATGAAATATTGTTCCAACGGAGTGTGTCCAGGCCAGTGGCGTTGGTCAACCTGGACTGACTGCTCAGTTACATGTGGAGGTGGTCGGCAAAGACGAACAGGCACTTGTATTTTACCTAGCACAGGACAGAAACTACAACGAGAGCGGTGTGTTGGGAATGATTATGAAATAAAAAATTGTTCCAATGAAGTGTGTCCAGGCCAGTGGCGTTGGTCTCCTTGGACTGATTGCTCAGTCACATGTGGAGCTGGTCGGCAAAGACGAACAGGAACCTGTATTTTACCCAGTACAGGACAGAAACTACAACGAGAGCGGTGTGTTGGGAATGATTATCAAATAAGAAATTGTTCCAATGGAGTGTGTCCAGGCCAGTGGCGTTGGTCTCCCTGGACTGACTGCTCAGTCACATGTGGAGGTGGTCGGCAAAGACGAACAGGAACCTGTATTTTACCCAGTACAGGACAGAAACTACAACGAGAACGGTGTGTTGGGAACCATCATCAAACAAGAAAGTGTGTTAATGGAGAATGTCCAGGTACAGAAATTTTACCGATAAAGAAGATTATAATTAGTAAAACCAGAGAAAATATGCTCGAAACAATTAGTGGTTACAAGTTTTTTTCTAGATAGACTCGAAAAAACTAGTGATAACAAGTTCTTCGTCTTGTAAATTTAGTGTTTTGTTTACACGAAGTCTTTTAACTGTTTTTGTTTCTCTAATTTTTTTTTTTACTGACCAACGTCACCTTCACAGACTGGATGGTGTCCATTGATACTGGTGAGTAGCATTTATCATTTTTTATTCATTTTATTAAAACGCCGGAAATGTGACGTGTGACCAAAGTAGCCACTTATCCAGGTCAACCTCGTATTATTGACATTCTAACACCATTTGTTGCCAAGAGAACGAGGAATGAGAGTGAGAAACTATTATCATTATGACCAACAAGACCACGAATGGCTTGGAAGAAATTTTCATTGATTTTAGTTTATTTCTGTAAATATTTAACTGAATATCACTCATTTTCCCTCTACCAATGCAGCATAAATCAAGTACCTTTAAGCATGTAGTCTGTGACATAAGAAGTTTTCTTTTCTTCTTAGATGGTAAATGGAGTCGCTGGTCATCGTGGACTGATTGCTCGCGTTCTTGTGGAAAGGGTCGACAGAGTCGAACTCGTGTGTGTACAAACAAAGCCACTGGAAAGCTTCTAAAAAACGGCTGGTGTGCCGGGAAACCTCGACAGGAAGACATATGCGCGGACTGGAAGTGCCCAGGTATGAGATTCCTTGATCAATTTTTTTCAGCCAGCTAAGTCATTTATTTCAAAGTCTAGAAGTTCTTGCCTGTTTTTTCGTGAATAGGTATAAAATCGGTTGTTAGCTTTACACCAAAACCATTTTAACTCTGGACGTATTTAAAGGTCATCATTCAGTCATCCTTGCATTTTTAATACATTCACTTTTAATTGATTTCATACTTTTTGAAATGTTGTTCGCCGGCCCAGTCGCAAGCTTTACAAATAATTGATTCTACAGAATTACCACATTTTTCCAATTGCGTTACTTACAGGCCTAAGGGACCACTATGAATAGCTAGTTCCCTTTGATAGAAAATAGTTAAAAATAACTGCGAAAATATTGAATATTGCAGATAAAAGGAAAAGAAAGTGTCCACTAGATAGAGAAGGTACTCTAAAGGGACGAGTATTAACAAAACGTGACGCACCTCTGGCTGGAGCTAATGTATCGCTTGCCGAGTCTCCATATAAGATATTGAGTCGTACTCAAGAAAATGGCTTCTTCGAAGTCAATGCATTCTGCTTCGACAAAGAAAAAGTCATTTTGATTATCAAGCGTGGATACGTCCCCCAGACTTTTCGCATAACGGACTCGAAATCCACCTTTAAATTCAAGATGGAAAACGCAGGTAATTCTTTTGTTATTCAAAGGAGATTCACGTTGCTGAAATATCTATGGTTTTCTTATGGTCATAATGATTGAATATTGGCTTGACAGAAATAAAAAGACAATTAAGGAACACCTTAAGCAGTAAATTTGCAACAGAAGATCTAAGCTCTTGGGCAGTTATTTTGATTGATAACTTAAAATAGGGCCGTTAAGCCAAGGTTCCACTTCGGCCTTGCAAACAATATCTTTGAAATTTTATTTACTTGCTTGAACGAAACGCTAGATTGAGTGTATATAAATTGCTTCATTTGTGCCGAGAAGGAAATCCAGCGTATTATTTTCTCCTCATGTTGTTAATCTTGGCGTACTTTATCAATCAGTTCACCCGACAGTAACAGCTCACCCAGAAGACAGAAGACGTTTTGCTGGACAAGATGTCATATTTTGTTGCCAGGTGGAAGGAAATCCACCTCCAGTCATAGAATGGTAAGCACTGCACTCGCAAGAACGCGGTTTGTGGTTAAGAAATTTGCAAATGGTAACCACAAGGATGCAACGCCGGGTCACTTCTTAAGAAATTTTCTCTTTTGTCGTTAGCTGTGATTTTAGGTCTTTTGGGACATTAAGAGGTCCCCTATGTGCGCGTCAACAGACATCACACCTGGCCTCTACTTGGAGAATATTTCGCTTTTGAAACATCAAATAGTTTGCATCTTTGATAAATTTTCCTTCTCACAAATTAGAGCTACATGTAGTTGAACTAACTGAAATCCGCCCAAAGCCTATGCCGTTAAGTAGGTGACATACCAATTGACTGATTTAAGACGCGAGTTTCCTTTGGAAATGACAAAACAGTACAGGAGGTTTTACGAAACAGTTAAAAATTGATTTATTCGGTATAGACGATTTATTTATTTTTATTGGATTCGTAGGTTTCGAAATGAAAACATCTTAGACTCAGACGAATTTAGTAATAAAGAAACGTTACTGTTGCGAAAGGTGGAAAAGAACATGGCTGGAAATTTTAGATGCCGTGCAGTAAATCAATTCGGCGCAGAATTTTCTGAGTCTGCGACATTAACTGTTCTCGGTAAGTGTGCTTTACATTTGGATTATTGTTATTACTGATGTTAGCTTTGTCGAGTTCGCTCCAGGCGCTGCTTGTATCTCTCTCTCTCTCTTTTTTTGCTCAATAAGACGTTTCTACAGGATCTAAGCGCCACTCAGATTTCGACCGAGTTATCACTTCCTAAAAACGGTTAATGTTACTTAGTATGTGCAAGTGAAGTTCCCTAAACAAGTTAACTAACACTCTTCAAAACTGAAGTTATCATACTCAGAAAAAAATAAATTTGTCCAACACAACCGACTCAGTTTTGACACTAGCTTAATGGGAATTTTGTGGAGCCACTTCTTCTTAAGGATTCAACTTGATAACAACTTTCTTGGCATGCACAACTTCAGTAATCTGTCTATTCGCAGTCGTCTATACACCACTTCATGGGTTCATTTGGAACCAACATAATGACCAGCTCCCAGTTGGCTTGTTAGCTCAGTTGGTAGAGCACTGCACCGCTATCGCAGAGGTTATGGGTTTACATCCTGTACAGGCCTGAATTTTTTTTAGGCCTTATTTTTACTACTGCTCAAGTAGTGTTCATTACTACGAAGATCGCTTTCATATTCACAACGATGTGCCGTTTGTTGGAATCTAATTTAAAGGTCATTTCCAATTCAGTTCTTAGGGTCATTTTCATTGATTGTTTTTACATTAGACCCAGTTTTGAACTCATGCAACTCTACACCATCTGATCATTACATAAACCTTCCCGATGGATGTACAGATCTCACAGGTAAAAGCAAGGTAAACATCGGAAAGTGCGATAATAGCCCTTGTATACGGGCTGATGTGGCCCCCAAACAGTCCTGTGAGGAAGAAGAGCGCTGTTGCCAGGCTGGAGCTGTGAGTGAAACCACTGTTCGCTGTGGTCAAGGAGAGTTTACAGTAAAGCGCATTGCGAGCTGCAGATGTGACATTTGCAAAGAGGGAGATACCATTGTGAAAGGTATTGCGCAAGTTTCAGCATCTTTATAGTCCATCTCACAAAACCATAAACTACGCGTGCCAGAGAGGTCATTTGGAGTTTCTGAAAGTAATCCTTTCTTTTAAAAGGTCCTAACACATATTTTACTGCTTTCAAGACTCAATCTATATAGCAAAAAGAATTATAGTGATCAAGCTGCAACCGAGTTGCCTCAATGTTTTGACATGCATATCACACTGACAACCAAAATGTGTCTCTTCAAATCTAGACACGATGACCTAGAAAAACCTGTCGAATTTTCACTGTACCGTCGAAAAATTGGAGGAGGTGTAGATCACACGACATGGCTCCATCAACTGTGAAAAAAATCCATATTAACGACCATTCTGGGCAAAAACAAGCACGCTGGTAAAAGGAGGGGTGTTTACTGGAAGGAGGGCTCTTGATCCTGAGTTAGAACGGAAAAATATTCTGTGGTGATGCGAAAACCGGAAGTGACTGGACGGAAAATAAGCAATTATCCTGTACTGATTTCGTTGGTTTTAGTTTGATATATTTTTGAATAGCATATACCAAACAGTAGTTAACATTGAAGGCCCGTTCTAATTGGCAACAAAAACTCCGAAGAGCCTTTGCTACTCAACGAGTAATTGTTACAAGAATAAAGTTAAAATCATCCTTTTATAATCTCAGGGTTTTAGTATAAGAGAAAACAACTATTCACTTTTGTGTCGGTGGCTAACAGAGGATAATTGCTTCGCCGTGCCACAGCTCGGTATATATCACCACTAGCCACCTCCAATTTATTGAATATTTGTTAATTATCATGTACTAAATCCAGCACTTTTCCTTCTTCCTAACGCATGCAACACCGGCAATATTTCGAGAAGTGAAACGTGTTATAAAATACCAGTGCAGGTAGCAAATTGACATAATCATCATTTTATTTGAATATTGCAGGAGTTGTGGTAGGGGGACCAGATGAAACACCAGTGGAATATTGCGACATTCTGGTTAACGATACAGTTGTTACCTTCTCCGACTTCGACGGAACTTTTCAACTGACTGTGAACAAGACTACAAAGCGATTGGTGGCAACGTTTCGAGATTACACGGAGGAGTACGAGGAAACAACAGTTACGTTACCTTTCCAAAAGGGCACAACAACATTCCATAAAATTCATCTTCGCCTAGAAGCGAAACCCATTGAATTTGATCCCGAAGAAGAGAAGGTGGTACCTCTTGTGGGAGATGCAGCGGCAGAAGTTGTTATACCAGCCAATAGCTTAATTGACAAGGATGGAAACCCCCAAAAAGGCAAAGCGAAAGTGAAAGTTCAGTTTAGCGATCCCAGAAGTGAGCAAGACATTCTAGAATCACAAGGTGATTTTACTACTGTCGACGAAGATGGTGAAGAACAGTTACTCAGAACGTACGGCCTTTTCAAAATCAAGGTACAGGACGAAAATAACAACAACCTCGGCCTCACCAAGGATCTTCATATTAACATCGACATAGAACAAATAACTGGAGAGACCTTCAATGAATCTACACCCTTACCACATCTGTGGTGGCTGGACCAGAAAACTGGTCGATGGGTGGACGCTGGCCAACTTGAACAAAACAGCGAAAGTGCCAAGCGCAGAAAGAGAAACTTATGGTCCAGGGCATTTTCTGGAGCAATAAGCCCAGAGAATGTTCAAAATGCTTACAATCTCGATTCAAGCTATGACAGGTGTTTTGCAAAGGTTAGAGCAACTAGACGAGACGGATCAGGAATACCAAATGCGAAAGTCACCAGTATTTTCACGAATCCTCGTGGACAAGCGATTCAAGGGTATTTAATGAGGACAACTTACTCAAACGGCTACCGATGCATATCAACCCAGTGCAACAGCGATGGTTACATGGAGGTGGAGGAAGACGGAAAGCCTTTATTGCCTCATGAGCACGAAGTGCGTGCTCTCCCTCCTGAAACGAGAGCTTCCATAGTAGATACCCGAAGAATCAATTTTAATCCTGGTGCGCGACCACTCAACGGCCCCGTGTACCAAAAAGCTCAAGCTAGCTCTTGTTGGAGGGATGGTAGTGGGCAGAGTTACTTTTCATTTCATAGCCAAGGTGACGCACAAGTTTTCAACCAGGGGTACGTCCCGCAGCCGCCTTTCCAACGACGATTTGGACGTGGATGCTATTTAAAGATCTTGACATCGGGGACAACGAGTACCTTGGTAACGGCAGAAAGTTATTCTGAAGATGAGGGAACACTGTATGGGACAGCCACTAAACAAACCGAGAGAGTCAACAGTAATTTATATGCAGCTTGCATAGAGCACAGATGTCCTGAACGCGATGCAACATTGATTCGTTTCACAGTGTTGACCGGAGAATGCCGAAGAAGTCGAGTTCAAGATATTTTAGACGAGAATAGAAACAGTGGTCTAGCACCAAATGTGGCAAAGGCTTTGACTCCAACTGACGATGAATTGTCTGGTAATTCTCTCGGGATGTTCACGTGCCGACGATGCAACTCGGCTGGTCTTATAAGCGACTTCGAAACTGACTGCCTTAAAAAGCGAATAGTAGACGGGAGTAGAATAAAATTTTTCGCAGTAAAGTTTACTTGCAACTAGTAAAACACCAACTCATGGCTACGTCTAAATCTTTAACTAAAATTCAAATTCAAGGAAAGACTAGGAGAATTCCAGAAATAATTTTTTTTCCATTTAGTACTACTTCTAGCATCGTGTGCGGTTTTTTTTGTTGTTGTCAAAATTACTCTTTCAGTAGTATGTGACAACTCTTATCAGTCAACCATAGAAATTCTGGTGACTAATGGCAGCGTCAGTCCCTTCAGTTAAGCCAGTGAAGCAAACGAAGAGCCCGCCCCTAGAGATTCGCAAAGGGACTTCTTAACATAAGAAAGCATTGTTAAAAACTACTTAATTCTAGCTATTAATTCTGACAACATAGGCCTATGCATCAAACCTGCCAAATTCAATTTTTTCAAAATGCTAGAAACGAAGCACATCATTAAAATTCCTCTGGTTTTCCGCGAGCAGGAAAATTCAACACGACCTTATGTAACAAATCAATCAAATTTGCCCAAATCTAAAATGAAGCTTCACATATTTTACACTTCATTTACGTTTTGTAAGAGAGTGAGGTTGTAGGATGTGAAACGAATAACAATACCGTGAGTCGATAAATCTGAAAATAACGGCTTTCTCAGTTTTCCATGTTGAGTATTGTGGAGGTAAAACATTTACTTTTTTTAAGACGCTCAAGTCTGGTTTTACGATACTTTGGATCCAGTGTTTCTACAACTAGTAACCATTTTATATTGTGGACTGAAAAAATGTCTTAAGATGTCCACGGAAAATTGTGGCGCGACCTTGACGCAAAAGTATCGTTTTCACATCTTTTTTCCAAAGTGCTCACGAAGAATGAATCTGCAGTTAACAAAGCACACTTTTCAAATCCTCAATTCATCTCTTTTTAATTCAGAAATGTCGCAAATAGTGGTGAATTAGAACGGAGAAGCAGATGTGACTAGTACAATAATGAAAAATCTTGTACTACCTTTATAGGATATGGAAGATGGCTTGCGTGTTTAAACGTATCTCGCAACGTCTTATGGTAGGTGAAAAGTGAATGTAACAATGTTCTCTGGGGGCGAGCTAAAACTAAATCTTTTTTCAAAAGTCACGCAGACTTACAACTTCCAAGTCATTGGCAGGCTAAAATATGTGACAGCCTCCAAAATATTCTTACTGCTGCTGAGTAAAACCCCAAATTTAATAAGTATCAGAAACGTGTCTGACATCACGTATTTCTTTTCTTAGTTGAGTGATTGGTTTCGATTTATTGTGCACGTTTTTCCTCTTTGTATCAGTGGACTGTCAACTATAAGTTCGGCGGAATCACATAATTGAAATCTTTAAGCAAATTACCATAAAAATTAATTTCTATATCAAATGTGAACGAGTGACTGGTGGCGTAACCTTTCATTACAAAAATGCTGAGTGAACAGCGTACAATTGTAACGCACAAGAGATCCTTTAGAAGACCGTTTTCCTTCTTGATCTTCCTACTACTGTCCCGTATTTTGCAACACCTCATTGAGTAACTTTGCATGATTTCCAGCTTTGCTGATATTATCCGAACAATATATTCTTTTTCGCATTGACAACCAATGTTCTTTATATCTAACGCAACTAAGTAAACTATAATAAATAATAATTAAAATGGTTCTTTTTTTCATTTCATTAAATGAATGAAGACAACTGGAAGATAACCGCTCATTGAGGAGGAATTTCATGATAAACTACTTCAATGAAGGGATGGAGAAGTTTACGTATTCTTGACATAACAAAGTCTCTCTCTATTACAATGATATCCGTTTTAACGAAGATGGTTACTCCAATAAATATAATTAACATGAAGATGAAGACATAGGTCGTAAATCTGAAGGCAGTTGATAAAAATCTCCAACATACACTGGGTCTTTTGGATCTGGAAATGAAATAGACAAGTGAAACTTAAAGATTTGCTTTGAAACTCAAAACCTAATTCATGGCTATTTAAAAACAATGGATATCATTCCTGAAGAAACCAGAATTACGATACAAGAACTGAAAAACTTTGAATGATTCACGACTTTGATAATCCAAACAGAAGCCTCACTGTTTGATCATGACCTGATTTAATTTGTCAACGATCCAACCATTCTCGTTCAAGAGTGCCTGCCCCCTCTATATGGAGACCGCATGGAGAGTCTCTCCACAGATTTATAAATAAATGTAAGTGGGAAACACATTGAAGAACTGTACAGCGAGGCAGAAACAAGAGTTTATACTTACGTTTCATGCACTGAATTGACTTCTGAGTCAATTCCGCCACTTTCACTTTCGTTTTCACTAGAGTCTTTTATTTCGTCATCCTCTTCAGACTCTACCGGGTGATCGACAGGAACCACCTCGTCTTCATGTTCATGTTGTCTCCCTTCGGTTTCTTCCACGTTTATGTTGTCGTTTTTTCCTTCCGAGTCACTCACAACCACAGCTGGAGTGCCAGTGGATTCGGTTTCTGGCAGACTTTCTGTCGGTGACGAATCGATTTTCGTCGCTGACGGCTCTTCGGTTTGGCGCAAGGAGGCTCCAGAAGCCTCCCGTTCTTGTCTGCTGGCCTCCGTACGACGCCGGAAGCTTCGGAGGGCTTCTTTTGCTCGCATCGATGTAGTATGAAAAGCCATGACAAAATTGAGAAGGCTGTTCTGTTTAGTGCCATCGCCTCCTGCTTCAGACTATGAGAACAATCATATTTAATTTTGTTGAGGAATGTGACAGTTGGGAGGACAAAGAAAGATTGCTAACTTAAATCATTCAAGGGTAAGAGAGCAACAAAATAACAGAAGTATGAGTAAATTATCGAGTTAAGTATTAAGCACAACATAGAGAAGCACAAGCAAACGAAAACAATAAACGCATCAATTTGTATCACCTTCACCGAGAGAAAAAGGCAGAAAAAGAAGGCAGTGGTTAAAACAAAAATAACGTATATAAACGAAGGCAAAGATTTTGGTTAGAAAAATTCTTACTTGGTGAGGAAGTGGAGGTGAAGGACTGCCAACCCTTTGGGAATCTAAACCTTCAAAATCAAGCGAGGAAAAAAAAGTAAATGGAGAAATGAAGCATGAATAAACACAATAAATGAATAGAAAGCGAACAAGGATTTGAACAGAAATTTTTTTACACGAGCTACAGAAGAATGTAAATAACAGAGTAATGCAACTAACAAAAGGCATTTCAACGAAGTAATCAATAAATTCGTGAATACAATAGGAACAAATAACAGTGTTTCATACATAGCATGCAGCTATTTGTATTGATACCAGAGTCTTTGAATCTTCAAGTCTTGTGGTGCATGTCGTAAACAACGCAATAACTAGTTAAAAGTTTCATGATCGTAATTATGAAATCAGAATCTGAGTGTGAATGCAAACCAGTTTAAGGGTCTAGCTCCATTATTTATTACCAAGTCGTGTAGGACCATTTGCCAAAGTTCCGGGTGACGCACTTTCGTCAGCAGCCAGCCGTTCCTTCATACGTAGTTCGTTGAGGTCCTCTCGTACTCGCTCCATATGACGAGTCAAGTTCTCAGCATGACATATCATTACCTCCACTCCAGATGACATACGAGCCTCCTGCGTGTTCAATTGTAAAGCGATTGCAAACTCTGCTCTAAAAGTGACTGGAAACCAAGTATCATTTTGACCGCGAAAGAAAATAAGGGATTGTTACTATCAGAGCCCAAAAAACCTAAATTGTATGGAAATCAACTACTTTACGTATCATTTCGTTTACGTTTCTTCCAAATAGGATAAAGGAGATCTTAATCCTCTCTTCGTTTGATACGATCAGCACAGTGTCCTTCTTTAGCCAGGTCCAACCATAAAACGTTTAAGCACGACAAGCGTATTTCGATTCAGCGTCGTACAACCAAAATCGAGTAATCAGTACAACCAATCCGATAAAAGGAAATGAAAAAAGGAGGCAAGTTTCTAAAGAAACTGTACAGTTGCGACGGTGCGAGAGTATAACAGGGTAATTTAGTATTATCAACTGAGTTGATCAATGCGAATGTCATTCACTCTAACGAAGGGCTAACGCTCAAAACGTCAGCTCTTAAACTCTTTACAGTGGCCAATTTACGTTATTAATTCACATGATAATACTAAATTACCCTAATTCTGAAAGTGGTGCGAGTTTTTTTGGCCAATAATAGAGCAAATAAAGAAAAAATATAGCACTTTCGGATAACGTTCGACACCAAATTGAACATTGAGCTTTTACACGGACGAATGGTTCTTACCAATGGTAAGCGACCACGACTTACAAAACGAATTCAACCAAAATGGTGGAAGGCCACTAGCATGGTTTCAGTAACAAGGTGAGGAAGAATAACCAAATTGCCGTGCGTCGTCACTGACCTGTTTGACACAGCCATGTTGTTCTGTTTGAGTAATCATCCTTTGCGAAGATTTCTTTACAATCTCCAGGTGCGTCTTTAAAACTGACAACATATCCTGTTGAGGAATTTGCTAAAAATTCTGAGCATATATTCAAACTTGTGAGACCAATCATGGTTAGGTAAATGAAATCTGATAAATTCCACTCCGAATAAACATGCATCTACCATTTGCCTACTTTCACCGTACTACCACCTAAACTGGTGTTAAAATTAGACCGAACCCTACAAGCACTGCTTACGTTACCGATTGAGGCCGTTCAGGATAACTTGTATGTTTTTACCTCAAGGAGTGATCAACTTCTTTTTTCTCCTTTCACGTTCGAAACATTTTCAAACAGACAAGTAATACCACCCAAGAAAGTTATCACCTACAGGCCTCTGTCTTGATATGGCACCAAATTCTCAGCTTTGGTCCACTAATAAATGTATGGTCATCAGGTCGAAGAAGTGGCTTTCAGATCTTAAGATTCAGTTACAAAAAACATATTATGAAAGCCATCATACCTGCATATCCTTAGTGAAACACAGTTGCTCAAATTCCTGTTGTAAACAAAACAAAAACCAATTTCAAGTTAGAACAAGGATCATGTTAAAGTGACACATGCACCAAAGAATACGATTAATTTTGCTATTAAAATATCAAGAAAATCAGTTAAGATATCGAAGGAGAAAATAACAAACTGTAACAAAGGATATTAAAAAAGAAGGTAAAATTTTTAAGCTATAAAAGACAGGAAGCCATTAGAACATATTGCGGTTTTATTACCTTGAGTGTGTTGGACATGCTCTGCAGCTCTTTGTTCATGTTGCATTCTGCGATTTCTCTGGCACGCGCCTATGCAGATAAAAGCACTGGTTGTGTATTGTACATGCATAAGAAAGAATTGATACATTAACAGGCTTTTACTAATGTACTTTAGTATAACTGGTGAACCAAATCTGCTGAGACAACATTTCTCCCTTTCAATCCTTCGCCCACGCACCTCCGCCCACCCACGCACCTCAGCCCGCCCACGCACTTCCGCCAACCCCCTACCCCTCCAAGCTTATGAACTCCAATGAATGCCAAAAGAGGGAAGAAAAAAGCAGACTACATGTAGTCTGCTGCAAAAAGGAATGAAATACCATACATTATGACAAGAAAAAAAAATTTACCTGAACTTCCAGTCGTCTATTTAGGGTCTCTTGATCTGTTTGGAAAGCTAGCACCAGAGTCTTGAACTGTTTCTGATTACCAAAGAGTCACGTTAGCATACTTCCACTAATTAAATAAATACCATAAAGCCAACTACGAAATAATCAAACTAATGGTGCATTTTCATTGCTTCGTTCCGTTGTTTTTCGGTTCTAAATGAAAATGAAATACCTTGCACCCACTGCATGGCATTGGATACTATCTAATGTAGGAGGTTTTAAAATCCCATTTAATAATCAAGAGAGTAACTCACCTCAATTTCCTTATCATTGAGGGCTGGCCTGGTGACACAAAGTACAAAGAAAAAACACGCTGCGTGTCATCGTAAAAATACTAATAAATACAAGTCAGGTTATGGGAATGCGTTCTGACTTGATAACTAAGTAATAGATAGCGTTCATCTATTCACTTAAAAAAGTCAAGAACAAAAATACTTCATTTCGGTATACGTGGGATCCAGACGAGTCAACTTACCTCACGCGTAGAGACACTCCATCCACAAAATTATTACTTCCGACTGAGTTTTCGAGCGCCGCGCTTGTTGCACTTTCATAATCAAACTCTTCTGGGATTTTAAACGCAACAGACAGTTTCTTTCTCCATAAGTTTGTAGCTGTCTTGTCTTTCTCCACCGACAGAGTTTCTTTGCTAGAACTAGAATCCTCCATTGTGATTTTAGTAGAATTCTCTTCACTAGACTTAAGTGTTGTTCCTAATGTTCTTATTTCTGGACATGGAGATTCTATGATCCCTGATTTCCGTCGCCGCTGCTTCTCATTTTCAAAAATATCTTCCTCAGTACATGTTCCTTTATCAGCAACGCCAAGCTCCCCCTCCAACCTCTCAAGTTCTCTCAGAAGTTCTGTTTGGGAGCCTGTTGATACAAAATCCTTTATATCTGTCTGACAGCTCGTTGTTAATAATTCTCGATCGTCATTTTCGACTAGTTGTACGAATTTACCGCTGGGTGATTCAGAGGTATCCTCCGACTCATGTATATCAATTTGTGGGCTTAATGAGTCACTTGATGAAGACGACGATCGAAGCCTAAATAGGTCGTTATCCTGAAATTTTTCAAAAGCTTCTTCTTTTTGAAGAGTTTTGGCGGTCTCTTGATCTGGATAGTCGCTTCCAACACCCTAAAAGTGTAGGTGCAAAGGATATCAAATGTTACTATCAAATCATACATTAAATCCAAGCAGAGAGAGAACAAACAGAATAGAAAAACAATGAATAACAACAAGAAAACAAAACTGAACGAAAATGCACATGAACAACATGGAAAAAACATGTGAGCTTAGATCAGCAGACAAATAAGCAAGGTGTAAAAGCACATCGCAAAGACTTGTAATAGTGAAAGAAAAGCAAAACGAGAAACTGCAAAGATGGATATGTCCTTCAGGCTTCTTGCAGGCACAGTAGAAACGTAAAAGTTTAAAGCTCGCGCCTACCAAGAAGGTCCTACTAACCCTGTGCGGCTCTAACTCTATAGAGCGTACTTAAACAGATTTGTAGCAAAACCTAAAAAGCAACCGATCGGCTTGTGCAAGCTAACCGATAGGATTTTCGGGGAAAAAACACGACGTCTTCTGTCGCACAATCGTGACAAACCAAAGCCATTTGCTCTGACGGGGGAATAACGCTCGAAACGTCAGCTTCAGAAACTCTTTACGGAGGCTAATTTACATTAACAACTCAGTTGATAAAACCGAACTTGAAAACAGAGTGGAGTAGCCTGGAAATAAGAACGTCATTGAGTGGCGTAAGAGTGAAGACATTTTATATTGTAAATACTCATTGACCATGAAATACCTGCATCCGTTTGCTTCTATCACACTTTGAAACAAAATCGCACAGTCTTGTTCTCACCATGTAGCTGGTGATACACGGAGAAGAACAGCGAGGTGACTGAAAATATATAGCTACCATGAGTCGCGCATAAGAAAATAAATAAACAGGAAACAGGAAAAAAACTTATTAGACGATAGAAAACTTGGGTTAGGAAGTTATTTATGAGTTAGGCAATATTGGCTGTTAATGATACAAGTTATGGTTACCTGCCTACTTCTACTGAGAAGATCCGAATCCGAACTAGGTATTGTTTCAAAAATTTCTTTCAGCTCATCTGAGTGTCTTGAAATTGACATCTGAATGGATTCCTGTTTGGGAATGAAGAATTTCAAGATATTTAACAGATACGTTACTGACCCCCAAAAAAAAGGGCGAAGAAAGCAACGTGTCAAGCGAACTTAATTTTTCAGTGTCAGCATTCGCGAGTTTTGCTGGTAAAGAAAATGCATTATTAGACGCGCGCGGATAAAGAGATTCGCCGTCATTTTCATTAATATCGGGATAATAAAATGAAACGCGCACGCGCTTATGTTGAGCATTGCGACGCTGGGGTAAATTCCTATGATCCATGTAGACAGCATTTTCTATCGCTTTTCCAGCAAAATAACCCTTGGGGTTTTGGGGTGATCAGGAGAAAAGTTAGTCAATAACGAGCCGAAAGCTAGTGATCAACAAAACTTTGGTGTGTCCAACAAAAATCGCGCGTGGGTTATTATGCCGGTATACTGAGAGAAAGTGCGGTATTTTGTTTTAATGAAATCACCGTGGGTTTATCAGTGCAACAAACGATAAGTTATGTTAGCGTACGTAATGTCTCAGTAATTCCAAGTACAAAAAATTCTACGACAGTTATTTTGACAGTAGTAAAGATATGTACTATAGATTCCATCACCCAAAAACAAGACATGGGAACCAAAAATTGCTCAGACATTGTGGAAAATGGAAACCGGCCTTACGTGACTATTTTCCTTGCGAATTAAAATTTGAATACAGAACAAGACTAACCTCTAATGATGACGTTCTTCTTTTCTCCATGCTGAGCTGCGACGTTGCTTTCACCAATTCGCTTTCCAGCTCTTTGATTTGTACTAAAGAAATGAAAATACAGCAACACTTTAGAAAAAAATAATGACTGTTGCCACTATTTGAAAGAAAAAAAAACATCCTACCTAACAGAGTTGTTTGCTGGCTTTCCAACTCATCTTGATTTCTGTAAATACAAACCATGGCCACATGATATCCTCATACAAGATAAATAAACCAGTAAACCCTAACAGTGATTATTATCCAATTTCTCCTTTGTACCTAACATAAAGGTTATGAGAATAGAGAAAATGATCCCTAACTTAAAAAGTTTCTGATTGTTTAACTGTAAAATCTCTTCGTTTATACCAGAGGAAATGAGCGGAGGAAAGTGTGGAGAATATGCCTACTGATGTTAAGGTGTACTGAGTTAAGCAAACTAATATATTTCCTGCCTATACGATACCACTTAAATTTTGCCACCTGGACGCACAAGCTGTTATCATTAACCTCACAAACTCAATAAAACATTCTGTATGCTGACAACAAGAATCAAGACCTTACTTTTCAAGTTGCACAACTTTATCCTCAAGTCTTGTGGTTACACGTTTCTTAAAAAGAAAAAAAAAACACAAACAAAACAAGAAAATTATATGAAATAAAATCATTTGAATAAAAGAATTGCAGAAGTTTGCGGATTCCATCTTCTAACTGGGTTTCATAGTCGCCCGCCAACTTGTGGGAGTCAGCTTCAGTCATACTGGAAAACATAACATCTCCTCATAGTAAAATGTGTGCTGTGGTTTCAATTTTTCTTGGTTGAATATTTTAAAACCAGTAATTGGGTTTTTCATTGTTTAATATTCATTATCATGATCAAAGTAAAGAAAAAAAATCAAACTGGAACGAAAAATTTTAAACCTTGCAAAATTTGAACCACAACATGTAAAAAAAGGTAATGACTTATGAGTAATTTACCTCATTTTCAAGACATCTTGAGAGACTTTCCTTCTCAACCCTATGAATAGAAAATACCCTTAACATAGAAAAGTGATCCCTAACAGGGGGTTACAGTAGCAGCTTGTAATGCGCTAAATAACCGCTTCTAGCCTCTTCACAAATGTTATTGTATCCCTTATAGAATCCTCCTCAAATTTATTTAAATTAGTTGACTCCGTGGAACAACAAAGCAACAGAAATTGGAATAGACCACAAAAGGCTGAGAAATGTAACTGCAACAGTCTAGAGGCTTCAATGATTCCCAGGGGAGCCTGAACCTTCCTAGGAACACGAGGCTTGCCAGGCCTTTAAAACAACTCGCCTAATCTATTCTAAACTACCCATTTGAACCTTTTTTTAACCACTGCCCTCTGAATAAAAAAAAAACTTATATAAATTCTACCGGCTGATAAACGTGCATAGGTTGTACAGTATCATCCACTTTATTTAAGAATCTCCACGCTTTAAAACACAAAAACATAACCTACCTGGCCTTGAAAAAATCCAAGTTGACGGTTGATAGCTGTGGGGGAAATATTTAGGTAAGATAAACATGGTGTCAGCATTGGATTATATGCATCCGCACGAAGAAACTGCAAAACCGATGTTGCAGTGCAAGTCTTTAGAGAAATCGATTTGAACAAATCATGTCTTTAAAACTAAAAAAAGAAGTTATAAAAAAAAAAAAGTATACGAAACACACAGCATCGTGTACCTGCTGTTCAAGAGATTCCAGCTTTTCATTCTGTTCCACAACCGTCTTCATGTCCTCTTCATGTTTGCCCTCAAGTTCCAATAGCCTGTGATAAAAGTTGCAAACCGCTTAAGGATATATCTAAATTTGGCTCTGTACTATACATGTACATATGTATGCGACCACAGAATATAAATCTATCTAACTAAAGGTTGGTGGAGAAAACCAAGCTTTCTTAATTACTAAAGATAAATCTAAAATTCGCGATGGATGTACATGCAAACAGAGATCAATGAGCTCAGTCAGTATGTAAAAGTTACAAACTGACAACCAGGGGTAAAAGTTTCCTTTTAATTGTGGCGTAAAACTACGTCCCAAGTGATCAAGCCGGCCAATGAGAACAAAATAAAATTCCAGAGGACATACAGAGTGAACACATGTATTGAATTAAATGCGGGAAAACATGGGTGAGCAGGTCACGACTAGTATTAAAGTTTGGCAACTGGGGGGTTGAAAAGATGGAACGAGTTTTGTGGGCCAGTAATAGAGCGTTTGTGATGCAAAACTAATGCAAACTAAACTAATGCAACTCGGACTACTTTCGAACCGCCATTGGAAACTACTCCAAGAACAGAATACACTTACTTTGCACTGTTTTCGTCATTGAGTAGAGCCAACTGCCGCAGCTTTTGATTTGCCTCGTTACGTTCCTCGAGAAACTCTTTGTTCTCTTCTGTGGGATGAAAAACAGAAGCCATGTTAGATAACAAAAATCCAGGAAAGATGGTTAGAGTTGTGAATTAAGTTAACCAAGAATACAACCCCAGAAAAAAATTTCGGGACTTTTTTTCACATTTTCTATCACCTACGATGAAGAAGGCGGTTCCAAAGATAAACGTGAAAACGGTCACTCACTCTCAGTAATTCTTGCTTTGCTGTTATCAAATGTTATTTTCGGTCAGTTTTCACACCCGACACTATCCACACTCAAAATCTACAACTTTCAAGGCTTAAAAACTGTTAATGTAGAATTCCGAGAGTTACCAGGTTTTTCATGGCCTGTAAGAACCCTTAGTTGTGGACAAGGTTTTCCCTTATTTTGCTTCAATATTTTTTCTAAATTTTAGAATATAAAAATTAGATCTTCTATGATCTGCCTTTCACCAACGCAACTGAGCAAAATCTTAAAATATCACAAAATAGGTGACAACTCAATCAATTGACTTATATGGACAAATTACACAACAATATCACTCACTCTTGCTATTAAGTTTTTCCTTTCCTTTTCGAGTTAAAAAGTACTTTACATACCTTTCAGCTTTCTCACAATGGCAAGAAGTTTCACAGTCCTGAAGTTAAAAAGACAAGAAGAGTGTATATGGGTTTACAAGTGCAACAGTTGCTCCAGCAACAGTGTACTTAACTCTTCATGTAGAGACTTCCAAAGCTCCAGCAATGGAAAACAAAATGTTTTAGTCTACGAAAATAATAAATATTTAATCGAAATCCTTTCAGAAGATAAAGTCAAGAGATTGCGATGCTAAAAAAAAAAAAGATAAATTAAGATGGTAATTTGATGTGACGTGAAAACAATCTATTCAAGGAGGTACATTTATCTGCACTAAATATAAATTTTATTCGTCGAGTTCTAACTATCTAAACTGTACCTCTTCTCTGCAGCTTTTTTCTTCATATAAAGAGAAGACGCTTTTTCTGCAAATGTATCCATCTCTCGTGTAAGGTGCTCTCTAATAATCTAATAGTTTAAAAAGGAAAATGAAGTTGGACAAATATTATCATCATTGTTGGACAATATTGGATTTAAAAACAACAAAACTAAATTTCCTGATGAGGACTCAGAATTGTTTCTCTGTTCCATACTCGTGATAGAGCGAAAGATCATTTTATCTTTCTTTAAAACTTTTTAGTGTGAAAAGTGACCCTTTAAAAGTTCTAAAGAAGGTATCATTTTCGCAGTAGGAAATACATGTAAAGGAAATCACAGATCTCAGTGATTTATTTTGTCCATAACCACCATTACGCTAGCATTATGTAACTATACGCTCATTCATTTTGACTCGACTTCCGGCCTACGTCCAATAAACATAAACAAACCTAACTTTAAAGTTAGGTTTGTTTATGTTTATTTGTTACATCAAGAACTTAATGTTATTGCATACATTAAGTAGGGAGTGTATGTATATCATTCAAACTTCGCATTATCAAAGTTCAAACAAAATTTACTACAGTAACTGTAATACAGAAAGAGAGTTCGTTGTACTGGCATTTTTCAATTGAATAAAGATTCTGAATATGTACCTCCCGCTTATCTCTAACATCCACACTTCTGTTCAGCGCTGTCAGATCATCGAGATGTTTTAGGGTTTTTTCTTTCTTCTCATTGAATTCACTGGCCTTAAATCAATACAAAAAATATAATTCGAAAACGGAAAACATTTATTTACGGTAAGTTTTGCAATGTGCATGAAGCCACACATTTTGACACACGTACCAGCTGTCTTGCTGTGAGACTGTATTTCTCAAAAGAAGCAGTTGTTCCAGTAGAATCAAGAGATACTCCAGACATCCATGACTGACTCAAGTCAGTCAGAGACGTATCCATATCATCAATATCAAGGCTGTCATTTAAACTGAGTCCACCACTCACCATTGGAGAAGGAAGACCTATGGTTTCACTGGTCTACAATAAAAGCAAAAGATTACATGTCTACTGACTGGCTGAATAACAGCAACATTTTGTTTCTTTCCAAACCAACCACAGAGCCCAGTAAGGTAAAGTCAATGCAATCAAATACCGATTACTTTAGACACCAAATTGAAAATCATACTAAGTAACACAAAGTAATTTTGACCTGTGGATGACATCCAAGTAAAAGAAAGGAACCTCACATATGAGCTGCGATTACAAGACTTCAATGGAGAAAAGAGGCCAAAGATATTTGGCCTTCTAGCTCACCTGCTGTGACCATTTCCTTAATTGTAATATGATTAATATTTTCTTAATTACATCAAGTGTTGATGATTAGGACTTTTTGAACAGGTTACAATGTAACTATTAGTTATATACTGTATCATACATAAATCAGATTGCTCTAGGCATTCCTCATCACCCATAGGATAAGGCATGTTAAATAATACTCATACCTCCTGGTCCAGGATCTCCTGCTGCAAGGAGGACTGACGCACAAATGGTGTGCTGGTTGCTACTGGTCCATTTTGAACCAAATTATTCTTTTCTGCTGATAATTCACTCCTTTTTAGTCTGTAAAAAGGCAAAATAGTTCAAACAACATTATGTTTCAGCACTTCACTTCTATCAAAATAGGATGTGAGCTTTTAATTAAAAATGAAAAACAAATTTGTGTACAATTGGCTTAGAACTTGGGTCTGTGAAGAAGCCTCCTAGCACTCTGGCCAAAAAAAAAAAAAAAAAAATTGTCAAAGGCTCTTAAGAGTTGTTGTTGCACTTAATCAAGGTCATACCTGAGCAGGTTGTCCTCAAGTTCCAACACACGATGTTCTAATCTGCCTTTCTCCCTTTTTAAGGCCTGAAAAGAATGAAAAAATAAAAAATAAAATGCAGTTGTATATATCTGTTGCTTAAATTTAAGACTGGAAAAGTGGCCTTGATTTCCATATCAACAAAAGATCCTTGAGTACAATCTATCATTACTTCAAGTTCACACTGTATATTGATACCATACCTCATTTTGTGATGCAAAACCTGCCATCATTTGAGAATTTGTGGAAGATTCCTACAACAAGTGGAGAGATACAAGATAATATTCACTATGGGTGTACTGCTTCATTGCACTTGATGCTTGACGATAAGCTGCTGAATTTTTGTTCATATTTCAGGATCAGAGGTTTAATCAAGATGGGTGCATGTGTTTTTTCTTAACAACAAATTGACCATAATGGAAAGATTTGGTATCCTCCCCCATTTAGTTGTAGAAAGATGTAAGTGCATACTTATATGTATACATGTACAGCTGTAAGTGGCCAAATAGATACACCAACTGGTTCAAAGATCAATTCTGGAAATATACCTATCAACTGTTGTAAATTATCACTCAGAAATTCAGTTGGCCAATTTGTGGAGCCATCATCAGTGGATATATTAGACTAGCTCACCTTATACTTAAAATATTATCACCCTTGAGCAGATTATTTTATTTTAATTGCTTTAACAACAATAATTTCCCTCATTTGTTTTTTTTTTAGCACCAAAGCTGTATATTAACAGGGGAACTTGCTAAATTATCCATCCTTTTTAAATGTTCGGAAGGTATACAGTGTAATTACCACTGAGACTAAACATGTTTAACACAATGCAAAGTTCAACATAAAATCCTATGTCCAAAAAAGCCACATGCATACACTGTACATGTATTTACTTTAAGCAAAGAGCAAGAATAAATAACAAAATACCTTTGCAATCATGTCATTTTTAACTCCTTGAATCTCTTCAAGATCAGCACAATATTGCTATCAAGAGAAAAACAAAACATGTATGTAAATATACATCTAACAATTGTTTTTATAACCAGCATCATTTTAATCATCAGCAGAAGGGAGATTTGAAAGGTACGAAACCTATCAATATACTTATTATGTGAAAAGACATGTATACAGACTGAAGAGAAATTTCCCAACTTGAAAATGATCAATACACAAAAATGAACATGCTACCTTTTGCTCAGCTAGATCATTAATAAGTCTTTTTCTTTCTTCTTCAAGAAGTTCAACCTGTGCTTGAGTTTCAAGGAGCTAAGTAAAATAAATGGTAGTCATAATTACCCTCAAACTGAGCTCTGTTACATGTACAGATACAATGTATAATATCACGTTCAAGCACACTAATTAAGACTTTTAGTCAGGGGATATTGTTTTGCTTTACATTGCATTAGATTACTCCCATTCAACTTACAATGGCTTTCTTAATGAATGTGGCAGAAGTTTTGGTAGACACCCTTATGTTGTGTAACTAACAAATAAACACAAATTGAGACATGATGCACTAAAGTTGATTATATTTTGTTTGCAGTGTTTTCATTTGGTTGAAGCAGTGTCCCTTGTGAGCCACTGCAGGGTTGTATTTCATTCATAATGAGTGAAAGGATGAAACAAATCAAAACAAATTTTATTTCTTGGTACTCATTGGAGGTGAATGTTCCCAACATTTTAATTACAACCCAATAAGAAACTGCAAATTTTAGTGACCCAACAACAGGAAAAAAGCACAGTCACAATAAACAGCTAAAATAGAACCCAATATATGTTACCTTTTCATCTATGTTCTTTAGATTGCTTTCATATAAGGCGCGCTCTTTTTCCTGATGGAAATAAAGAGAGGGTGAGCTGGAATACCGCAATACTTCAGAAACTTGTTAATAAAAAGAAAGCAATTGGTAGTTAAAAAGCTTGTGGATATACCAACATCCTTCTTTGAAAACAAATTGGTGACTGAATATAAATTAGACATTCCTAGGACCCTTCAAAGAGATGTGCTGCACATTGTAACAGCTCTGAATTAATATAATAGAACTGTCCGTGTGGGTATTTGTGATGAATGTAAAAAATCCAGAGGCCAACCCTCATTTTCTCTCCAGACACCATAATGGTGAGGATGTCACTCAAATTACTGGCTTAGCACATGCAGTGCTGAACATTTTCTTAACATTGGCTGAGCTGGACAAACACACATACTAATGACTTAGACAGAACTCTAGTAAAGTACATGCATTTCTGTTTATATTAAAGAGATTAAGTCCTGGTTATAGTAGGAGGATTACACTAACCAGCTGTGTGATTTTTGTTTGCAGGCACTGATTTGCTTCCATAGCATCAGCAACTAGTGAGACAATATAAAAATGTATAGTGGGCCATTTTTTCATCATCCTGTACAAATTAAAACATTACAGCATGCAACAAACAGCAACACATAAACAATCAACACTGCTAGTCTTCACCAGGCGGTGAGGTCTGCTGTTTATGTGTCAGTATTTGTGAACCAACGTGCCACAAGTCTACTAGCCTTCATCAGGTGATGAGGTCCATTGTTGGCGTGTCGCTATTTGCAAACAAACGTGCTACAAATAGTAACATGTAAACAATCAACCTTATTGCCTGATGAAGACTAGCAGTGTTGCAGTTGAAACATCGCAATCAACATCCAAAGTGACATCATCGTGAGACACACAAACAAAGTTCATCTCCTGTAACATACCTGCTTGCCTCAACTCAGCATTTTCCTTCTCCTTCCCTCTACTCTTTTCAATGGTAAGCTGGGCACTAAAAAGACAATTCTACCATCACCATCGAATTTAACCACAACAATTAGTTACCTACATGCACTCACTATCAAGATGCCCAATAATTCACTGTACCTTCTCAGTTGCTTTCTTAGACTTTCAACTTCTGCAGTAAGTTGGTTGTTTGCTTCTTCTGTGCTCTCCATCTTGGAAAGAGTGGAAAGAGTGAAAAAAAAAATTATCTGATGATCACCTGGCACATTTTTTTTTCTTTTTTCTGGGGGCTGGCTGAAAGTAATGGGGGCCCTGGGTACTTCAATATCCTCTTAAAGTGAGACAGTAGGTTAACCATGATAAAAATATTTGAACACAACATATACAGAATAATTTATTATGCAAAATGGAAATTCAACAAGTCTAAAAAGTGGATTGAATATTTCTAGATTACCTGTGCCTGTATGGCACTTTGCTGTTCAATGAGACGCTTGTTATTGAGCTGAAGAGTTTCAATGGTGCTCATCAATTCACTATCCCTGCAAGAAAAAAAACACAAAAATGAAAACATTATCATTTTGAAAATGCCACTTATCATTACAGGCCTTGGAAAAATCCAAACATTACATGTACTAGCATATGGTGCCTTAACCAATTTTCTTACCAGTTTCAAATAATTAAGAAATCAGAGAACAGTCATGATAATGATCACACAATTGAAAAATATTCAATTATGCTTTGCCCAAATATGTGGCATTCCAAGACCCCTTGGCAACCAATTTAAACCATCAATTTAAAAATAATCTGTAACTATAATAAATATGCACTTGTGACCAAGCTCATCAAGTTCAGAAGGCTGGATATTTGCCAAGCTCTTTTTTTATATTTTCATCATTTTCACTATATAAAAAAAAAGTTTTTCCTTCAATAAGAATCAAGAATTATTTATTTATTTTCAAGCCCTAGGAAAGAAACCCAACTGTGTTTGTAGCACAATAAAGTCACTGATAGCATTTATGTTTTCTTTAATTTGACTGTCATCTGCTACTTTTTGTGACCTGTTTTCCAACAAAGTTGAAAAATTATGAACTTAATTTGTAAGTCCACACAATTTTTTCCATGAGCAGGATCAAAGTGAGCAATCCAGAGGAGGCAAGAAGGGCCCATCTTGCTGCTCGGGTAGACAATCAGAATACATGAGTTGTTTTATATTACTCACAGGTGCTGACAGTGATATGATAAAACCACATAAGAGCTTATTGAGTTTATAGATTCATTTAATGGTTAACAATCTGTATCAGTGAAAAGCGAGAACTAACCAGTCTTTGGTGGGAGATGATCCTCCTAGGCCCTCCACACTGTCTGAACTAGCATTTGGTATATCTGGTACTTTATTCAAATTTTGACAAAGTAAAAACATTAGTTACCATGAAAACTGGCCTAAAATGAAAATAAATTAAAATCCAGCTTGACCATAAGATTTAACTGAATTGTGCGTTTGTCTAGTACGTCCACCTCCGTGGGGCAGCCAGGGAGGAGAAAATTTGCCTGTCTAGCATGGACACCTACTTGTCCTGGTGGTCCAAAGGCTTTATTCTCCTCTTTTTTTGCTCTCTCTAAGGCTATTGTTAAAGATGATGACCTTACTTGCCATATAAACATGTACTAAACAAAAAGAGAGTAATTTCAGAGTGCAGAAAAAATGCTAATTTAAAACTGTACAAAGTTATGTACAGATCTAGGGTTGCCTGTTACGGATTTGCAGTGTTCCTTTTCAAGTACTATGGTATAATCTACAGTAGTAAGTTGTGATATAGCACTAACATTGCCCCCTAAAAATGTTTAGAGTTGAAAATCAAGCAGATGCTGTGCTATTGTAAATTTTAATTTTCAGAAAACTATACTATAACTACTCCCCTTGAGCTGAAAAGTAGAGAGAACACTAGATTCAGTGTAGGTTAGATTTAAAAATTGCCAGTATCAACACGAAGTAGGAACAACAGACAAAAATAACCCCACACTAGCACCTACCAAGATCAAATCTCTTAGGGCTGCCAAAAGATATTGCCTCTGGTGAATCCTTAGACATGAAAAAAAAAAAAAAAAACTTAATTTGCCACCTAATTAATAAGGGGTGACTAAATCTTCAGTGTCCTGTTTGCTTACATTGAAAGTTGTATCTCTGAGCCCGTAGAACCCAACAAAGCTGTATAATTATAAACCATTTGAGTTTTCCATCAAGCATCTACTCTGTTAGCAGTAAGTGGCCAAATAAAACAGAATACAGTCACCAAATGCGATGCAAATCTTGCAAAAGGTTGAATATACATTCCTATGTATTTTTCTATGTAGGATGAATGTTCTGAACTTTGAACAGGAAACCAAATCAAAAGCTATAAGTAAATTATTAACATAGTCTAAGATTTTTGACTTAGAGTGGAACAAGAAAAACTGACTTCAGAGACAGCCAGTTAAGACACATAGAGATGGATGAAATGGTCATGGCTCTAACAACAATAGAGTAACCCGCACTCAATGCAAAATAATTTGAAGTTCAGTTAACCTTCAAATCTTAAAAAAAACTACAAAATCTTGATGTAAAGTTTTGTTGTGACTTACCACACAGTTTACAGCAACAGGAGAGGGGCATTCATCATCAGTATTAACATAGCTGAGAAATATCATGGAAAGTAAAAATTCAATACTTCAAAACCTTAACATGCTGTAATTTATAATTATGTATTCCAAACAAAATGAAATGATCCCAAACTAATTTGATTTGTATTTCCATTCTTGTGTAAGGACTTAATATATGACATGCCTTGAAAAAGGAAATTACAGTAAATTTGACTTGTTTAAAATCATTCTGACCTGAAATCAATTGTGACAGAAAATTCTGCCGTGAGATATCAAGATTAAATGGTTGAATATCTCAAAAAGTTTTCATACATCTTTATGAAAACACCTTCTTGGGGTTTGTGTAAATTATGAAAGTTAAAAGGATTCATCTAATGGATTTTGTTTGTAATTTTTTTTTCCAAAGTTACAAAATTTTACAGCCTTTTGCACCCATACATATTTGTAGCGGTTGTCGACCTTATCAGCATGATGGGCATGACATAACAATCCAGGTGTAAATTCCCATTTTAATGGAATCTGAAACTTGCACTGCCAATGTATATGTCTGATACAGTGTAAATAGATTCATTAGAGGTAATGAGTGCCTAGTATATTTGAGCTGCATCACTTTCAATTGTCTCCTGTCTAGATTACAGTATCGTGTGCATCAAGTATATCTAAAAAAATCAAAGAATTTTTCAAACCTTTGTCTTCTAATCTCAGAAATCCACTCTTTGATACCTTCTTGGAAAGAAGTCAAACCAATTTCCAAATCTCTTCCATCTGGATCCAAAATTAGGGACAAATCATCCAGACTACCTGCAAACTATTAAAATAAATGAAAAATTCTCATTAAACAACAGTACCTCCTTAAAAAACCATCAGAGCATGTATAGAGAAATATTGATCAAGATATTATTTGTCAATAATGAAGCACAAATTAAAAAAAAAGAGACCACCTCATCATTTATATTACTTTTGTGTTCACAACATTTACAGCTTTTGTCGTGTGCATTCAGTTTGATTTGAGCTGTCTAGGATGCAACCAGGCAGAACGGTTGAACAGTCAATGAGGCATTTAACAATGTTGTGATCACGTAGATTAAGAGAACAATTAATTCAAAGAAATTGTTTTTAAAATATTCATAAACATAGTTGTAGCTTAGAGATGCCACCAAAACTTTGCCCTTTTTGGAAAATACATTCAGTAGTTAGATAATGACATTAAAGATTTTAATAAGAAAAACAAAGATGCCTGGCACTACAGTTTAGTTGCCCTTGGAAACTTAAATCTTGGAAAGAAGACTGCACTAGTCATCCTTCTTTCTTTGAATATATCAATATTGCCTTCAGCATCTGTTGCATGCATGGAGCCATCAAAAAGCTACAAGAACAGCTGAAATTCTTTCTCCTTTACTAGCAACTACTCCAGAGTATATATATCCATCTTCAAATATCATTTCGATAATAATTTAAATCAGATGGGAGCTTGCATTTGCTTCCATCTGCAGCACGAACCCTTGAAAAGCAATGCTTAGTTTTAAACGCCACATTACGATTAATAATACATTAGTGTTGCCATACAACTAAAGGACAATTCAAGAACACAAAAAGGTTTCCTACCAAAGATTTAAGGCATTGTGTCATGAGAAATGACAGCTGTATAAGATTCTAATGTTATAACAATCTACGTTCTCGAAAAAAATTAGGACTTGTAAAAACAACTTATCAACACAAAGTGCAATGATATTAGTAATTAGTCATCGGTAGCAGTTTCTTACATAAACAGATCCTCCACTTTTGAACATTTCGCTGACTTCTTTCCAGTTGAAATGTAAATAAATGCAACCTCGTACATATTTAGAAATTGAACACAGTAATTATTGATTTTGGATACAATAAGAACATATGTTTTAAAAACAGTGGCAAAATATTATTTTGCAGTTTCGAGAAGATTGTATTTTTCAGTTGGTTGCACAGTAATCTAATCTGCTTATCGCATGATTATTAAGCGACAGAAATATGCTAAATTAAATTTACTAAAGGTAAACAAACGGACGGTTAAATATAAGACGCACCTCCAAACTGGAACAACCTTTGAATTTGTAGGAAAACGTTTATCAAAACAAACACAATCAAGCTGTTCGTGTTCAGCTAGGTTTAAAAAAGACTTTTATAGAACAATTCAAACGCTGCCACCGAGGAATTTGCAACCCTTAAATGAAACTAAGATGGTAAGAATCAACGCAATTTGAAAAGCGGAAGACATTTTACGTGTAGGTGTAATAAGGAATCATGAGCATCGGGGTGTTTTTCAACTTTTAACTGAAATTTTCAAAACGTTGGACTCATCATCAGTATATAAATGACCGTAATTTGCGATAAAAGATAACGAAAATATTATCACAAAACGCTAAATACCTCTTCAGTGCCGCTGGAAATTGCGTTACGGAGATATTCGATAAGTTTCGATACGGAAACTCGACCCGAATTATCCTTGTCACAGTCGTAGAAAAGATTATCGAGAACAGCATCGGCATCGTCGGAAATCTTAGACGGGTCATCGTCCCTTTCTGGCCCCTGGAAATAGGAAACCGTAAAAAATAAACGGATTATTGCAACCAAGGGATACCGGCTGACCAAAGAGAAGCAAATACAACTGCGAAACGACCTACGGCGAGATAAGCGAGGTGGAAAAAATCAAGCTAAATTGCGGTCTTTTTTTTACCGCAACCCATGCAATATCTTACCGCTGAGTCCATCATGAATTGGTAAGCATTTGACAGATATTATTGGTTATATCACTGCTGTTGTTTATCTGTTCTTCGGTTATAAATAAAATTGGCTTTAAGCGATCTCTTCAATGCATGCAGTTACACTGCACTTGTGCCCAATCGCTGTGACGGTCAAGCCTTTCAATTCTAGTTTCTTGGTTCGAAGTATTTCTTGTTTTTGGTTTAAAAGGATATCTGTTAAACATTTCGAGAACCTTGACATTTTGGACCAAAAATATCACACTACTAATAACTCGTCCCCATAGGCAAACGGACAAAGACGAAAATTAAAGAAATCTAAATGAAAGCGCGCCATTTGTTGACTCGTCCCAAATTTGGCATTCCATTGTCTACATCACCAAATATGGTAACTATCTTGAGCGTAAAAAGCGCGCGAATAGATGTTTATCTTTCCAGCTCTCACTTTAGCCGCAGTTGACATTCAAACTTCATTTAAGCTGAGGTTCGTCCGCATCTCGAGCGCGATTAGGAGCTGGAGGCTGTGGATCATCTGCGGATCGCCTCGATCACATAGATGACGTCATGCTCAGGAAAAAATTTCAGCACCCTCCAGTAACACTAACATCTCATATGTACAAATGACTTCAATGTATTGCTGATTTTAACCAATATGCAAGTGGCGTCTTCTTGAAAGTATTTTTTAATTAGCCAAATATGTAAACTGGTATTATGAAGAATTATTTTATTTTCTGGAGTAAAATATTGTTGGTTGTAACTAACATGACAAAATTTAAAAAAAAAAAGAAAACTCATCACAGCTTTAGTTTTCTTGGAACAAGCTTTCTTGGAACAGGGTGATGTATATATATATATTTTTTTTTGGAGGGTATGTCTTAGCATGGGAATTTAGTTCCCCCCTACTACCGTCCTGTCAACCATTTTTGTACTTTTGTTCGATGTATGGTTACGAACTGTGATTAAAGATTAAAGATTAAAGATTGAACATCATGGACTCTGCATTCCTCATAAACAGTGTAAGAGGCTACGGATCTATTCTCTGCTCCTAGGATGGGCAAGACAGGTTCATCATGAAACCTAAAACAATTCTAACCTGAAACAATGTTAGTGAGGTAAACAAGATATTGCTTTTGAAAAATTTTGGCTTCTGTTCTGGAAATTAGGACTCTATTAGGTTTTTCCTTACTCTGGTTTGCAATGTTTTTTTGCCTTATTTTCATCTCTATTTTCATCATCTGCATTGGAACAAAACATTTTGAAAGTTTCCTTTTTGTTTTAAATTGATTATCTCCTCCTGTTCTGAGAAAGTGCTTGACTTAAATGGCATCAGTTTAGTTGAAACAAATTATTTCCAAAAAAAAGTAAGCTTTGGGTGCTTGTAAGGAAGTTAACCAAAGTCTGCAACACACTCTCCAACTTATCTTTAATCTTGTCTGTTTCCAAGAGGTATTTAGTCAAGTTAAATGTACACCTGTCAGCTTTCACACCTTGGGAGTACATATCACACCTGTTTATAAGAAGATATCACACATACTCATGTCTGTCGTCTAATTTCTCCTACCTGATGAAAATTATTATACTACTACCCTCATGAGTAGCACCTCACGTTTGTTTTCTTTTTTGAATTATTCCTGGTGATGGAAAGTGAAATAAGCTTGTGACAATCCTCAAAAGCACTTGGCTTTGTTGATAATCATCATTTCCCTGAAATCTCTAAGAGCGTAAGAGACAAGATTGTACTGAAAACTCTTCAAGAGTGTCTTTTGATTCTTTCATGGAGTTTTCAGAAACCTCAAGACATCCCGAAAGATGATCTAGTCATACAAAAAAAATGTTCACACCTTTGACTCAAAAATTGTTTGGCAGGTATAGAAATATGCTTAGAGAATCATTACTTTTCAAGAAGTAAGGGCACTCAGATTCTCAAGCTGACATCAAAGAATTTGAAAAGGGGCAACAAACAAAAAAGCAGAAATAATCTGTTGCCTATCAAATAAATGAGACTTGAACACAAGAAACTTCATGGACCTCAAATGAAATTTTATATTCATGTAATGGATATAAAAACCATTGCGATTCTGTTGATAATAGTCCTCACTCCATTTTGAGTAACCATGCAGCAAGCACATTTCAGCAAAATAGGATTTGGAAGGAAATTACAAGCCTAAGAGACTATCAGATTCCATAAATGTGAAAAAAAAAAAAAAAAAAAAAAAAAAAACACCTAAAGAGCAGGACACTCCTAAACGTGTCAAAACAACTTCCCCTGTAATATGACATTAACTACAATTGAATCAAATCAGAACTCAATTGAAATGGTTTAACGCCTGCTGAGGTACTCTTCAAAAGAGCTTTAGACCAAATTAATGCCAGATCTGGCTTTTCCTTGGAGGTCAGTTCCCATGCCAAGGTAAAATTTTCCTTACTAACAAAATTCTGGGTCACTGCTATACTAGTTTTTAAATTAAGCACAACATGCCACCATCCAGCAGGGACAAAAATAACATCACCAGGATACTGAAATGTAACCAATGGTTTGTATTCCTGGGGCCAGGAGTTACACTGTGTTTTGGGGTAGATATTTATGAACCAATCACCGGCTTCTTCCCAGCATGAATCATTTTGATTCCATTTAAGCATTTCAGCTGGTGTTTCTGGCGGAAAAAGAAGCCAAAGTTTCTCTCCAAACAACAGTCTGTTCCAGGCACTCGTCCCAAGGGGGTCAACATGAACTGCCGTTCCAGAATACTTCGGACCAATCAACAACCACTTCCACGGCGGGCGTTCTTCTTTCCTCAGGCACGCCAAATAATCCTGTTTGAAAAACCTGGGTGTCTGAAAGAACTTTTTGACTACAGTTTGTTTCCTTGCTGCGCCTTTCCAGTGGGGTATCCAAGCATCAAAAATGTATAACGGAAATCGGTCTTTGCATCGTCTCGTGTAGATCAAAAAATCTTTCAACTTGATCTCGATTGAATAACCATCGCTATCTTCCCCACACTCAAAGTATCTATCTTTAAATAGCTTGAAGAAGCTGCACAATCGCACCAAAGTATGATTATCATGACGTTCACTTACCACCACTGGAATTTTAGCTTTTTCGAAGCGATCCCGAAATTCTTTCAAAGAAACGTCGTTCGTGAAGGTGTTCTCCACATTGAACTTGTTAGCGCTTGAAATAACTCGTAATCCCTCCACCATAAAGGCTACTTCTTTCCTGTGTTGTGTAACTTCATAGCATTCTTTATTTTTTAAGTGAGGGCGCACTTTCACTTTAACACGGTCGAAATTTCGGAGCAAACGATGGAGTTTACGATACTGTCTCATGTTTGGTATGCTCCTCCGCCATTGCTGTGCAAGTATGCGAGGAGAGACTGGTAGCAATAACAGACTTTCCCAGGCTTTCCCGGTTGTTTCCCATCCAAAGCCGTCAAGGGAACCCTTTCCACTAAGCCGTCGCCATTCATCCATAAGCCGTAACCACTGAAAAGGTTTAACTGGCCGTCACTATTCATACAAAACCGTTTACAGACATCCATAAGGTAGGTGACGAATTCGCCCCTACCACTTTTGCAAGTTCGCCACCTAAAGAAAAACGAGTTGGCAAAGGGGAGGGCGAACTTGCAATGAAGCGAATTTACCATAAACCCTTACTTTGCAGGTGCTATGTGTTTGCCGAACAAAACCCGAAAGAGTATAAAATCAACCACATGATTTTAATAAAAAATTTCACCACGGTGGCGGACTTATTAGCCTCTATTTCCTCAGAGAAGCTGATTGGTTTGTTTTTTACATATTGAACATAATCTAAAATTCAACCGAATGAGTTTTCATTCCCTGATAGTACTCTTGAACACTTAATATCCGGCAATTTAATATTGGCATAATCTTTTGAGATCAATGTGTGTTTGCTAATTGGAAGTTTCCTGAATCGAGGCCAGGGCGACTTTACTTGATCGCTAGAAAAGTGAAATTCGCTTAACTACAAAAAATTAGTGTCTAATTATCGTCGTAAGTTGTCATGGATGTCTCTCTTGCACAAATTATCTATGGACCACTAAATTGGGCGCGTACTTAAAAATAACTTTGAATAAACAAAAAGCAATTTCTTGATTGTCTTAAATGTAATTGGGTGCCCCTTTAAGAGATGCGTTTTTCCGTATCTCGACACAAACTGAGGCGGAATCAAATTGATTGAATTACCTTCGTGTTAGGATTAAAACTGTTCCGTAGGGAAAAAAATAATGGCGTCAATATTCAACCATACTGACTTCTGGCACTTAAGCAGCAACGCTGCTGCAAACATACTTCTCGAAAATCAGCGGAATCTAGTGGTTCTTTTGGCCTGGATACAAGGTATCATTTTATGCGCATTATCGCCTCTGATCACCTTCGGGAATGCGTTCGTGGTTTATGCAGTATGGAGAGATCCACTGAAGAACTTGCGCTCATCACCTTCGAATTTCATTCTACAATCGATGGCAGTGGCCGATTTACTTGTTGGCGTGGTCTTGTCTCCGCTCAACGCATACTTGCTTTTGAAAATAGCCATTGACAAAAGGATCGCGCTTCCATTACATATTACATACTCTCTTGGCACTACCCTAGTAGGAGCATCGCTCGCACATCTTATGCTTTTGTCTATAGACAGATTTTGCGCAGTTGTAACGCCTCTGAGATACAAAGCCATCATTACCTATCGACGCGTTCACCAGGCACTTGTTTTAGTTTGGTGTTACTTCATCTGCTTTGGAATCGCAGCCTTCTTGTTTGAAAACAAAGTTTTGATAGTTGGCCTTGTATTTGGGATTCACACGGCCTTTCTTCTAGATCTCACTTTTGATCTTTACATTTTTATTCTGTATCGACTTCGAAAATACTACAAACTGTGGAAACGGAGAATCATGGGCAACAGTGTACGAGTCAGTTGTAGCAATTTCACCGATAAAGAAATGCATCTTGCGAAAAGATTGGCGATTGTAATCGCTGCATCTCTGTTCCTTATAACTCCATTTTTTGTGTTTAAAAGCTTGGTGTATTTCTGCATTCCTTGTTACTCTCGTCCAAAAGTGCTACTCGCGGCGACTGTACTAGAGGTGACATTTACTTACTTGAACTCTGTTATGAATCCGTTTATGTTCTGTTGGCGACTTCAGAAGTACAGACAAGTGTGGAAATATTTTGTTAAAAGGATTTTCCAGGGTTGCACCAGGATCAAGAAAAGATTCAGGCGGAGACAAAGCTTCGATACAAAACTGTAGCAAGGTGAAATAAGCAATCACTGACAAAAAGCTGGTCACTGTAATCCACTGAAATCAGGTGCACTATTCTGACATTTTATGAAACCACAAAAAATAGAGAAATGTAACGAAAATAATTTCAAAAGTAAAATGATAATGATAGTCATAGAATTAATAATTAGACGAGGCTCTTGCACACATTGATTAAGCGCATAGTTTCAAGCGCTCTAAAAATGTTTTATTACTGCTGATTTAGGTTCGTCATGCTTTAAAATTGGACAATTTGGCAATTCGCCAAATTGTAGTTCATTTACTAACAGCGCATTTTTTTTTTTTTTTTTATTACGCGCCTGTATGTCTGACAAAATTTATCGATACTGTAAGAAAACAACTGACAAAACGAAGATATTGACTGTTTCGTTTTGCATTCAGTTGTTGAATTACAAGACAGCGAAAACTAAAAACGCAAGAATTCTGACGTCTCCGGAAGATAAATGTTAAAGCAATAAAATATGAATCACAGCACCATACGTATCAATGTAAAATTGGCGAAAACGAAATTAATTCAAGTAAAAAAAGAGTGCTAAATTTCAGCTGCAGCGAACTAATGAGATTTTATGGCGCGCCTTTCCGGTCAATATTCAAACAACCTTAATATACGATACATCCATTACATTCCTTTGCCATATTTTTTATTTCCTTTATGTAGATATATTTTTTTCGCTACTTTATTTTTCAGTTTCCTTCTATATTTTTTAAATCTCTTACTATCAATTTAGATACACGTGTTTAACGCATCTATTTTCTATTTTTTCTCTTTATCTTATATGCGTTCTATATTTTTTATATTCATTCCATATGTTTTTTTCGTTCCGAGTGGGATTTTTTATTTTCTTTCTAATTAGTATGCAACACGTGATCACATGACCACGCTACACTTTTTGGGGCTGCCTGGTGTACCAGTTCACGGGAGAATTCCTATTGTTTTCATATCCATACATGGAGTTGTAACGCAGTTCGTCAATGTTTCGTTCCTTTGTGTACCGGTACACGAGGACACAACCCACTTTTTCCATTCCGCCATTTTGGCTTTCGGCTATATGGAGGAAGAGCTATCGATTGCTTGTCGTGCGGCCGCGGATGCTTTAGAGATTTTAAGTAATTTGAGACCTGGTTTTACGAGAAATGTAATACCTCGGATGAATTCAACGTCAGTCTCTGTCAGTCAGCCGAACAACGGGGATCGTAAGGTAAACAACGAGGAACTTCAGTCGAACGAACTTGCCATTCAGTCCTCGACGTCGCCAGCCTCTAACAGTTCTATTCAAGCTCGGCTTGCCACTCTCTTTCCGACAATTGGTTCGAACCGAGCTAGTGGGAAAAGCACTAGTAGAAGACCAGCAAGGTTAAAGCAGACCATTAAGTCGACCAAAGGCCGCCCACCCAAGACACTTGTTTACAAGGATCTAGTCCTTATTCCCAGTCCCAAGATCAACAAAGTGCCTACACATACAACCCGACTTCAGTTAGAAGAGAGAGAACTTGTCTGCCACGAGTTTCCCTTTGACAAGAGCTGGGATGCACATTCCCTCAAAGCTGCTATATTGAATCGATTTCCAAAGCTTTTGCTATTTGAATATGTCAAGGTGGGTAACTTTGCGTTGTGATATAAGTTTAAACATTGTTCTACGTTTAAAGCTTTAATGCTTTAATAATATCATTGCTGTTCAGTTTGTACATTTGTTGTGGCTGCACTATTTTTAAATACGCATTTATACTATTTTGCCAAAAATTTAACCACATAAGAGGATACCTGCAGTGACGCGAGTAATGGACTTCGAATTTTTGGCAGAATTTGTTGGGTTATTTTAGATTTCCTCTGGTACTGCCCCGCTCCCACCCCTTTCTCCTTCCTTGTGATATAAGTTTAACTTAACTACTCTTTCATTAGATTTACCCTTGACTTTTGCAAGAAGCGTGCAAGTAATGTGTGTTTTTCTTAACCTAGCCATGCTATGGAAAGCTAATAACTCCTAAGCTGGCAGAAGGCATAACTCTGGATACAGAAAGAGTGACCAGGATGGCTGGTCAAGGAGCTGTTTATGTTAGATCACTGGTGCCTTTGGAATCTGAAGATGAGGGTGAAACTGAAGAGGAGCTAGAGAATTCAGCATTAGATAACAGTCCAAGGTGAACTTTTTCTTGTGAATTTTTGCACTGAACAAGATAAAACCTGTATAGATTTCTTTTAGCTTTTTTGCCTCACTGCAAAGGTAGCTTCCCGTTGCAGTGGAATCATCTTATATATGATAGACTGGCATCCCAGATCATGCTACTAGGCATGACAATGGCTTTTTGTTGGAAATATTCTCTAGTTTGTCTCCAAACAGATTTGTGTATTTATTTATTTTATTGGTTATTTATTTATTTATTTGTTTGCTCAGATCTTTATTCAATTGTTTGGCTGGACAGGACATAAATTAATGTGGTTTATTGCAACTCCATGTGATTGTGGATATTTGTATAAAGATGAACCTTCATAGTCTGTTACATCATTGTCAATTAGTTCCCTTTTTTATGGTTTGTGACAAGTTGATATTTCCTTTTAGTGTTAGTGGAGCACAAAGAAGCTCTGTTGCTTTCATTTGGGGAGAGTGAAGGGAGGCCAGATGCAGTTGTGGTGTCCCACCCCTGCCAGGATGCTGTACAACCTTATTGTGTACCATTTCCAACTGAAGCAGAAACATCACATCAAAATACAGAGTTAAATGATGTAGAGACAGGCAGTAACTCTGATATTGTTCATGCATCATCTGAGCATGTACCTGTGTCTGTATCAGTACCTGTACCTCAACTGTTACCAAAACGTATCATCCAAGTGCACAGGCTAAATATTAAGAAGGATTTGATTGACTTATTCCGAGATCCATTAATTATGAGTCAGGACATAGAGATAATTGTTATTGATGCTAGGGGAGTTGAAGAAGTGGGCAGAGGTGTTGGGTTGCTCAGAGATGTTTTCTCTCTTTTTGGAAGAAACATATGATTCCCTTTTTGTTGGAGAAAATGAGCGTGTACCATTTGTAAGACATGATTATCAAAGGGATGAATGGGTTGCTGTTGGCAGAATCTTGGTGAAAGGATATTTAACCTTTTCCTTCTGTCTCAAACATTCCTTGCTTGTCTTTTTTGGGGGAATCTGTTGTAACTAGTGCTATGCTGATTCAATCCTTTAGAAATTACATTTCAGTTGATGAAAAATGTTTGATTGACAAGTGCCTTGCTGGTGATATGGAAGATGAAATGTCCCAGCTTTTAGAAAAAATTATGGTAAATTCTGAGAATATTATTCAAGTTATTGAAGAAATAGCCCATAAGGAGCTGCTGCAGAAGCCACAGTATATTGCAGACTGCTGGAAGGATATAGTTTCCACACTCCTTCCTAGTTTTCCTGATTTTGCAGCAATTTCCAAAAGGTATGAATTGTTAATACCATCCACAAGCAAAATCCTTAGTTGCCTATTTTAAGTTTCTCAAACGATATATTAAGGGCCTTGACACGCCTCAGAAATTGTCAAAGTTTGTAAGGTTTATCAGTGGGTCTGAGTTAATGCTTTTGATGCAGTCCAAGATTTTTGGGTCGCCGACCAATTGCCCAAAATTGTTTCCTGAACTTCATTTTATTGGGAAATGGATATTGTGTAATATGCCTTGTGACAAAAAAGAAGACCAACATGCTAACAGCGCATTTTTTTTGACTTTTTTTTGGGGAATCTGTTGCTATGCTGACTCAATCTTTAGAAATTACATTTCAGTTGATGAAAAATTTAATGTATTTTTCATTTTATTACGCGCCTGTATGTCTGACAAAATTTATCGATACTGTAAGAAAAAGTGAGCAACTTAGAACTTTATTGACAAAACGAAGATATTTTACGTTTTCAATCTGACTGTTTCGTTTTGCATTCAGTTGTTGAATTACAACGATAGGTCCATCTGGATCAAAATACTAAAATGTAGAATACTCTCAACTCAGAGTATCCAGCAAGGGTGATTGTTCCATTGACTAAAAGTTTTATCCTTGGTGACCCATGTCTCCATTCCACTAAAGATAAATGTTAATGCAATAAAATATTTTCCAACATGAATCAACATTTTCCAGTCCATGATCCAAGGTAAGCCAAACTACCCTTGATGAAGAGCTCCAACACTGTATCAATACCCATCAACACAGCAATGCACTACAAACCTGTACCTGGTAAGCTTGTGGTTTCCGTCTATGTGCCACAAAGCGTTTGGCGTTGGTACAGAGTACTTTCGACGGTAAACCGGAGTGAAGACAGTAACGAACCCTCCATCGCTGAAAATGAAATTAATTGAGTGAGATTCATTTATTTTACCCGAAACTATATCGCCCTTGTCCAAACACACTGATAAAAAAAATTACTGCGCACCTGACAATGCGGACCAGTTTTCGCTGTCATCATCCAAATTTAATTCCCGCTAAATTTCAAGCTTTCTTTCCTCGTACTTTGTCATTGCACACTATGCAATAGCAACTGTAAAGTTAAAATTGCATCTTCCAGACGCACGTTAGCTTGTTCAAAGTAATCAGCGAACTAATGGGTACGAAGATTTTCTTCCAGCCAAATTTTGCTTTTGAAATTGTCAAAAGTGCCTCATGCGGTCTTAGGGAATAAATATAAAAAATATAGTTAAGATAAAGAGTACAAAATAAAAAAAAAAGATGAGCTAAACACGTTATATAAAATTCATTTTAGGTGACAGCAGATGTATTGCTTATAAGATTTTCTTCCAGCAAACTTCTCAAACATTTTAGGTGACTTGACTGCAAAACTATGACGTGAAATGTTTTCGTCAAATTTAAAATGATTTTGTTTTGGTAATTGGCAAGGAGCGGGCAGCTCATAGGCCCGCACAAGGTAAAAAATAATGCTGTGTTTGTATGAGTCAAAGTTCCTGCATTCGGGGCGCTTTTATCTTTCTTTCCGGCTTGCGCGCATCAATTTTCCTTTTCCTTGTCACCTTCTTCGCCAAATTCTTTTTAAGCTTTCTACGAGCACTCTTTGCTGGATCGGCCACTGCCTAAAAAGCAAAAATATGAAGATTATAAATCAATAGATACGTATAGTTTATGACGTTATGAGACGGAGAAATGTTCAACTGTTTTGATGCTTTTTTACAATTTCACTATTTACATCCTAGCGTAAATTTCTTCACCACTTAAAAGAAAATTACCTAATATTTGAGAAATGTAGGAAGTTAAAGCGAATAGGAAGAAGATGACTCATCAAAATAATCAAAATAAATATGAGATGTTCTGAAAAAAGATAATTTCGTCTTTGTTTTTCACTACATCAATGCAACTATCATGCCAGTCTCGAATTCCAACACGTTTGTCGTTTGTCGTTTTTGGGACCTCAAACGGAAACGGGTCCATTAAAGTTGTTCACACTCGCCCGGACTTGGGAATTTTGGTGGTGTTCAGACACACGGTACCCAGTCTGAAGATATGTTCACATTCAATAAACAAACGGAAATTGGTTCATCCTGACTGAGGAAAAACAAAAGACGAAAACAAGTGGTTTGTGGGTGAAGTGCCAGGGCACCAACGAAAAATGTGTTCACACATTTATCTAAGTTTGCAAAGTAGTAATTTTCCTCGTCAAACACAAAATGCACAACTTACCTCTAGCGCAGTCTTTCTCTTTCTCGTTTCCCGCGCTTCGGTCGCGGTTTGCTGAAGATTGGCGTAGGCCCACGAGAATGTTTCCCGTTCGACAAGACTTTTGATGAGTTCCAGCACTTCCTGGGCAAGTTTCACCAAATCGGAATCTATAGAAAGAAGTGGGTTTGAAGTTATGCATCCAAATATTTAAGAAACTGGTGCGGGTTTTATGGACCAAACAAAGATCAAAGTAAAGCAAAACCACTACAATACTAGATTCCTTTTGGCCATCTACTGAAAAGTGCCGCCTCTAGAAAAGTTTGTGTCTGTGTCTCAGTGAAAGACCATTCCAACTCAGAATTCAGTGCAGGGGTGGTAAATTCCCATCAAGAAATCAGATTCCTCTTTGTTTCACGTTCTTAGATCGCATTGAACATCATTTTAAAGTTTTAAAAATGTTACCTTTATAACTAGAGGCTAATTCCAACTCTCTGTAAACTGGGCTTAGGATATCCACTAGATGCGGTTCAATGGCATCTTTTCCCAAATTAATAGACACTGCAGCGAGCCATCTTAACACACAGGATCTCTGAAAGATAATCAACAACATGACCGAATGGATAAGCACTTATCGGCTTCTCCTAACAGCTAAACAACACAATAACTCTTTCCTGAGTTCACGGTGGACACTTCCACCACTTTACCATAGTTTCAAAACTAATTTACCAAGGAAACAAAACAGAGACAACCAAAACTATGCTACTGCTTTACATCAATAAAAAAGAGCAAGCATTGTTGATACCGACCTTCTGTGTCTGTTTGGGGGTTTGAGAGGCCTCTTGAGTCGCTAGCTTGTTCATGTTGGCTAGAAGGATTGCCAGCGAGAAAGTCGTTCCATCACCGGCACTGATACATTCTTCGTTTTCTTGTCCATGTTTACCTCCCCCCTCGTTTTGAAGCTCCAAGAGTTGCAGTGTTTTGGCCAGGAATACCAAGTTTTTGACAATCTGTTGTGGCGAAACCAAAGCAAGAAATTTATTCTTCCATGTCTGAATAAAATGCATAAGGTGGAACAGAAAAAATGTAACAAGGCATTGGTCCTACCTGCTCTCCCAACTCGTTTTCCAAGAGCGGAGAGTGAAGTTGAGTGCAGAAGTCATCGCAAAGCTTGGATACCTACACGAGGTAAGGAACATAGTAACGTGATAATCACAAAAAACTGCCTAGAGTTACAAGATTTTTGTAAGTTCTAGAGTTCTAGTCACCTTTCCAGGTAGATCCTTTGTTAGATAAGAGTTTAATGAACTTCCCCTCTGATAACCAGAAACCAGGTCCTCGGGTTTCCACGCAGCAAAGAGAAGACCAAATAATCGGCTGGACACCAGTCGGACCCAGGAGTGCGGATGCAGCAAATGTGCTTCCACAGATTCTATCCAGGTAGACAAAAACAGACAGAAAAGGATATCATTAGACATCGATAAATAAGCAAATAAACTTTGGTAAGCTTGTGAGAGTTTTTACGTCGGTTGGTCGCCTGTTGAAAACGAATTTTTATTCAAAAGTCAGACCATTTGCCAACTTCTCCCTCAATTGTTCATATAGGAGCCTTGTCCAGGATGTACCTGAGTAAGATGCTTTGGTGAAAGAGGCACAACTACCCAAGTGCGGGAGAGTAGACAAAGACCAAGGGCAAATTCGTGGATGTAAATTTAAGGACTGCCTGTGATATTTCTTGAACAAAAGGCAAAAGGTTAAGGTTTGACAGGCAAACAGAAAAAAAAACGAATTTATTGCTGTCTACTTTCAGTCGTTTGTAAATAACAATGAATATAATTCCCTTAGTAATAATTATTTTTTTCGCTTTTTGTCTACAGGATTTATCTTAAGGATGTAGGAGAAGCGAGTCAAATCAGATTATTCCTATAACGTTTGTCGTTGCCATTGACCCAGTAATAATAGTGCCATACATTCTGTCTCGAGTCACTACTCACCCCAGATTTGCGCCATTTCCTGTTGTCGGCTTGGATTCTTAATAACTTGACAATGTTGAGTAATTTTTGTCAAAAACGAGAGAGTATTAAAAAGTAGGTGATCCTTTACCCGGTGGAGACCCTCAGAAATGTCAAGTTCACCACTTTCCTGGGCACGCCCCCTAAAAAGGAAAAAAAAATCATTCTACCAAGAAATTATCAAAAAACGTTTGGAATGTAATTTTAGGCGGAGGGGAAAAAGCTAAGATTAAATCTGGAGCTGCGACCTTTGGGCGGAAAGAGTTGCGCCTCTAGGAAAGAGAGTAAAGGTTGAAAAGCGTAACTTGGAAGATAATACACGTAAAGTAGGTTTTGTCCAAAAAATGTATTTACCTTTTCAAACTGATCTGGAACTATAAGAGAGCGTACAAGTGGTAATAAAGATCCAAGTCTTTTCTCGAAGCCCTTTTCTTCAACCTCAACGAAGAGACCACTAACTTGAGTAGCAAGGCGATGAAGAGCGATCTACGAAACAGAAAAACACTGCGGTTGGAGAAAGTCACATCAAACACGTGCTATGGAAAACATAAATGAGATTTCTTTACGTAAATAATCAATTAAAAAATAAATCTTGTCCATGATATCACAGCACCAAAAAATACTAAGAACGGCCGAGGTACATAAACGCATTTCAATTGCAATATTCACCTTTTTATCCTTGAACCATAAAAGAACGATGGAAAACAGCTTCTGTCGCTCATCGGCGTCAAGCTTCGGAAACAAAGTAAGAATGTCTCGTAAAGAGGCTTAGATTAAGTTTTCAAAGAACAGCATATTGCGGTAAGAATTCATTTATTCGAGAGATTATAGCTTGATTAGATAATCTTTCTGCTAACAAATCTATCCTTATCTAGAACTACACCGACATACTCTACGAACATTGTTTTCGGAACGGGTGAGTACCTTCCCAAGAAGTGACTTGATAACAAGTGCAGTCAGCTTACGGCAACTGGCTGAGTCATCGTTTACCAGGCGAGAGGACAGCGGTACAAAGAAAAAACCAGCGTAGTCAAACAACATTGACTGAAAAAAAAAAAAAAAGAGATGCTTCGTGAAACGGTATCATTCGTATAAGATTGAAAGTAAGGAAAATATAATGCTTAGGCCAAACAAACGAAAGTGTGAAGTAATTTATATTCGTGTTTGGAAAGTCGTTGTTCCCCACGGAGTGGAGCATTGTCTTTCTTGCTAACAACCATGATTGCAGGTTAGACTACCTTAACTAATTATTTGGCTGATGGAAGTTTCATCATCTCACCTTTGGAAAAGAAGAAAACATAGATTCCAACATCTCCAGCGCCGATTCCCGACCAGTTTCGTATTCATAGCTAGAGTGAGATTAGGAAAAATTCAGAAGTACACAATCAGCAGGGATCGTGCGTAGTGAACTAGCTCAGAGCAGAAACCTGGACTACTCACCTCAGCTGAGAAACATAAAACTCTAGATATCTTTGCAGTTTGGTCCCTAGTGGGTAATCAAGGAGAAACTGTAGCATAACCTGTAAAACAAAATTTAGGATTGTAAACACCTAGTGCAACACCTTCAACAACAACAACAACAACAATAAAAAGGACCACAGCCTAAGTGTCTACAAGAAGCTACACGCGAGAGGGTGCTGCCACCCAATTCAGGACACTCTGAGCTGCTACGATAAATAAACAATATTTATAATTTGTCACTAAAAAAAAGCAGTAATAATACATGGGTAGGCAGCCAATAACAAACTGGTTGAGTAAATATTCAGCAATTACCTGTCTTGACTGGAGCTGAACAGATGGTGAACTACCTGTGATTGACAGCTGCCCAACTTTCCACATGACATCGTGGATTTCAGGAACAACGAGTTTTCTAGAGAGAATTGCCTACGAAATTAACAAACAAATAAATAAACAAATAAACAAAAAAAACAAATCTTTCTAAGAAACCTCGTTTTAAATGTATTAAAGAATACCAGGTAGTGTTTATCTAGGTAATTCATTCACGATGTTACTGAGTACAGTGTTTGTACGTTTAAAGGAAGAAAACCCACAAAATAAGATAAAATACTTACCTTCAGAAGAGGAAAAGCTGTTCCTTGTTTGGTGTGATCATGAATGTCTTCCTCCACAAATCCCAGCAACACCTGCAGGTGTTTCTCAGCGACTGTGAATTGCTTGAAGTCCCTTATGACAACGGTCATGGCCTGCAAATGAAAACATACATGCGACTGTTAGAATGTGTAGAAAAAGACAACAAAGGCAACAATGATTTATTTGTATCAATTATGTTCCCTTGAAAGACTTCCAAAGTGCAAGTGATAATCAAACAAAATTTTGGGTGGGGCACCTCAAAGTCTAAAAGTTAAAGTACTCGGGAGAAAGGTTTTTACAACTTGAAGGTATCGTTTTCATGCATTTTCTGCACTTATAAAAATGCATTCCAAAAAAATTCGTGATTATAATAATTTTCGCCCTACAAAGTTTCTTTTTTCCTTGTTCAGTGTTGTGATACATCTGCCATCTAGTGGTAGACAATTCCGAGCACAGATTGCCCTAATAAGCAACGAAAAGAAACACAAATAAGGCTGTCTGTGGTCATCTTCGCTTTCGTAAGGCGCCCACACACATGCATATCCTGTTCATTGATGCTCGCTTTACCAAGCCACACCAGTATTTCAACCTACTCGCCTGCTACCAAAGTTACCACTGAGTACATTTTCCATAAGAAGGATTCTGAAACTTAATACACGCATTCTTACCTTAAAGGCCGAGAGGAGCATTTCAAAGTTCTCTCCAACTTTTGCACCGGCTTTTGCATAGTTTTTCAAAATGTTGAAGAGGAGTTTTCCCATTGTGGGAACATGCTTGTTCAACGACGGAAGTGGAAACTTAACTAGCCAGCTGACACAACGGAGAGAGATCGTCACAACCTGGAGATAAAATATAACTGATCAGGGCATTACAGCGAAAATTTGAGCCATTTTTAAGCAGTGGAAAGGGCCCGGAAACGGCCCTTCGAAGAGCAGATGAAGAGAGAGATGCCCGAAGGAAGGAAACAAGAACTGTCGTTCCTCTTGGAATCCGTAACGTAGACTTCGGAGAGAGAAGGGAAAGCAAAACAAATTTCTCCTTTATGGCCAAAACTCAAAGACAGTAGTAGGTGTTGTTGCTCATCCGTAAACTTTACATAGAAACTATCAGGACAAATCAGCATAAACATGTTTTCTGCGTCTTAGAGACAACAAACTGTACCTTGTTATATTTGGATTTGAGGCAGTCTGTAAGAAGCGCCACAAAGGGATCCAACATTCTTTGATGTTCCTGGTCTGAGGGCGAGAGTTTTCCGTGTTTAAGCAGCATATACAGCAACTAGAAAATTAAAAAGAGGCATGAGGGATCTTCCAATTTGGATTTTGTATTTATCAACACAATGAAACCAGTCAAAGTTATCACAGAATATTCTGCATTAAACAATAAATAACATCACGGTAAAGTTTCGCGTCACCAGCATAGAAGGTTCTGATCGCTGAGCTGGTAATGTTTAGAAATTGTAAACATGGAATTTTACAAACTTTAATCGCCTCTTTCGTTGACTGAGACAGTTTGCTTCACCCACCTGAAGACCAAACTCCACTAGAATGTGATGATTTGTCTTGTTGTTGTTCTGAGGGACATTACCTCCTCGTACAGGGTTGGGTGGTAGCAACAACGAGTTACTCGATTGGAGCCTGGGATCGGCTGGAGTCGAAATTGCTTTCTTTTCCCTGCATTTGAAAAATAAACAAATGAGCTTCATAGGAAAAACTTGCTACAGGATGTCTTTGTAAATTAGACATATTGAAATTTATCCTTAACTCAAGATAATACCATATAGCTGATAAGTTTCTCTACTCTCGTCATATTGTGAAGAAAAGTTAAAAGTGAAATTCTTCTTGGAGTTAAAGAGTTGAGCAAATGGTACATGCACAAAAGAAAAGAAAAACTAAACGGCTCCATGGCAATAATGAAAAGAGATCAAAACTGATTCCTTTACACGGCTTGAGGAGCATGCAAAATCTCTTTACGCGTATCAAGTTCATTTGAACAGGAACTCCACGAGGAAACTGCCAGTTTGACTCCTTCGGGTGACAGAGATTTGGATTTTTTTCCCCCTTCCCTCCACCCCCTCAAAAAAAGAGAAAAATACTTTCTCTTCTTTGGCTCCCTACATTAATACTGAATTGTTTATACCACTCACTCTTGCTTCATTTTCAGCATCCGCACATTTTCACCAGTTATTCCGTGGATAAACATAAGCAGTATCCGCGGAGTGATGCTTGCGTTCGCTTGTAGTCCAACACTAATTCTTCGGAGGACTTCTTCTACTCGACGAGCAGTTTTGTGAATTTGAGTGGAGTCAAGAACCTTAAAGAATTAACCATCAAGCATTTTAGTAAATGTATTTTTATTTTTTGGAAATTTTGGTAAAAGCTGTCACAATTCCTATCACCCTCAAAAAAAACAAAAAAAAATGAAGAAAGAAATAACGTCGAGGAAGTAAGAAAGATTATGGAGACTCTGGGCTCACATGATTAACTAACTAAGCTAAGTAACGACCAAAATTGAAACGTAAGCCAGACAGAGCCACAATAGTGGACTTCAAGTGAATAGAAACAAACGTATGTTCACTTTTCACTTTGCGTCCACTTTTGAAGTCGTTTGGGTGTCGCCTGGGGCGGAGGAACCACGTCACTGCTTGCGATTATACATATAATTTGGCTCATTTGCGCCTATAGACACAAATCAGCCAAAATATTTCCAAGTCCGTCAGGTTTCTCAATTAAAATCCGTTTTAATGTTCTTCTTTCGAAGATTTATCATTGCCTCTTTTTTGTCATTACATTTTTCAGAGCTTACTTTTTTAAGTAAAGATTATATTTTTGCACCGCAAACAAGAAGTCACTCAAAATATCGTTACGTAACTAATTTAAAAAAAACCAAACCAAAACCACAAAGGTTTGCTCCTGTATCGTAAATATAAGACCCACCTCCTTCAAGGGGGATATCAGAAGAGTCAGTGACCGCGTTCCGGCAAATTTTGCAAGAACTTCGAATGTGTCAAAGCTTTTGCATGTTTTTGCTTCATGAAGCTTGTTGACAATCTTTTCCACCTCACGCTCTTTAGCAACTTCTCCGAATAAATCCTCAACTAGCACCTTTGAAAAAAATAAAAAGATAAAAGAACTATTGGTAGCAGATCTAACGTGGATAAATTATTTGACTATTTGTACAGTTTTCCCCACTGGTTCGCAAAACTAAGCAAAAAATCTCGGTGACTAGCAAACCGTCGGGCTAAGTGACAGTTTGAGCTCCTTTGTGTCCAGAACTTCTTGAATTATTGTTTACCTCCTTGCATGCATTGCATACAAACGCAGGACAGTCTACAGTTCCCTACAGGCGTATTTCTACACCAAAGTCAAGTAGAATCGTGAGGTGAATAGAGCAGTTTTTAGTAATTGTGGAAAAACTAAATCCAAAGTAATAACTGCGACCAATTAAAACAAAGGTGAAAATTATGATTAGCCAATGAGAACTCAGAGTAAGAGCAGGCAAACTGCTTGAAACGCGGGAAACTCAAGTGACCAAGTCGCGATGAGCTTCAGCTTTTTAATATGACTGATTCAGAGGGCGGCGCGATTTTTCTAGACCAATCACAGAGCGCCAAAAAACAAATCCGGGCGGCGGTCTCAGACAATCAATAGACTTAGAGATTTCTTCATTTCTTTTTGAGTTTGATAATTGAAGGAGAAATAAATATTTCTCTGATAGCAAAATGCACAGGTTCACAATCAAAACCCGTATCACTCTCGATTGTGATTGTGTATTATTGCAGATTCCCATTTAAGTAAAGTATTCTTAACATCGAGTAAGGCAGGTGCATGAGCCACTCAGAGGGCGCTGATCTTAGGTCAATACTACAAGCAAACACTTCACATTTTCAAAGCAGGTAAACGCTCATGAGCCAAGTCTTGTAATATAACAAAACATTGACCAGCGATCCAACCTGCATGACTTATTTCCGTAAACATTAATCCTATGAATAAGATTTTAATTTCATTTTTTTTTCAAAGAGTGGTTGCTGGTACTCTCGAATTGATTATGATATCGCATAATACTATAGAAAAATTCACTGCCTGACGAGTGAATTCCACGTTAAATTCCAGGCAGTGAATTTTTCTTGATTCGCATAATTGAATAAAAATAAAAAAAAAAAGAAAACGGTAATTTTTTGTTTTTATCCTGAGCGCGCGCCCCAGAAAGCCATTTCAAAGTCAACTGTCAGAACTATCATGGCGTTAGCGAATAAGAGACAAGGTCGTACACGTTGAAATCTTCGACAACTTTATTTGTTTGTTTTCAAACTTTTTAAACAAGCTTCACACTATCTTAAGGATAATAGTGGTATTTTGAGTGTGAGGATTTCCTAATATTTTCCGAAAATTTAAATCTCAATATTTGGCAGACATTCATTTGCTGCAAATTTGTTCATTTCCGAAGTGATATTTTTCGTAGCACGAGTTGCATTTTTTTTTTCACGACAGCAACAATTTTTGCTCGCGACTCACGTCTGCAATATTCCTTCATGCATAAGTGCAATTCCACGCCAAATACCTTCCCTTCAATAGCCAATCAGACCGCAAGTTTACCTTTAGCTACGCGATTCTATCGCAAATTGCAATAAACATCGACGGAAGTGTAATGAGGTATTCAACGCAAAATTTAACAACTTTTGCCTTTTCAAGCAATCAGTCAGAAGAATATTGGTATAGATGGGGCTGAGGCGAGTCATCAGAAAAAATAAGACATCTGAGGAATAGTGATTGTACATATATGAAAATCATATATATGCACTGCGGTGAAGAAACGAATATAAGAGATCCTCGCAGCTATGAACACTACTGAACTATTAGTTGAAGTAAGAACAGAAAAAATTGAGTTCTCATTATTTTTATTGTTTTAAAAAACTGAGTATGGTCGTGCTAGCTTCTAATTTCTCCCTTATTATTTCTGTGCTTAGTTGAATTTCACAATGCAGTGAACGAAATATACAGATATCATTATCAATCTACATTTTATACGGTCAGGTTTCTAACTTACCACATAACTTTTTTACATAAGTACATTAGGTGTGTGTTCAACCCGAGAACTCTGATGAACCAAAGTTTTAAAATGAATCGTTTTTTGAGTCAGAATCCCAAAAATTATCGCTATAGATTATTTATTCTAATTGCCACCTTCCCTACGAAAAAAAAAAAAAAATCAACAGATTCAATGAGCGCTACAATGATAAATTACAACAAAAAGGCATCAATCCCTGAATCTGTCCGGATACAAAAACCTGTACTTTTACTGTGCCATTCACTTAAAAACCCTTTTTGGCCAAACGTAATTAAGTCGTGAAATTGATTTCGGATAACATTTATGTCCTTCAAAAGTTATTTTAATTTTTATCAGTGGACATTTCCTATGGACTTTTGTGTTTAACACTTCATTAACTTTTTGCTTTAGAGAAGTTATTGAATTTTGTTCTCAAAGGTGACGCTCTGAGTTTAATATTTCATTAAAATTTTGCGTTAGAACAGCTATTGAATTTTGTTTCCAAGACATTTCGTCACTTTGCCTTAAATGCTTTATTACATTCTACGTGAGCATTACATTTTGCGGCGATGCTTACGAAATTTTGCTTTTGTATTATATTTTTCCATTTTTAGGCGTGACTGTCCTTGACACAAAAGAGAACACTCGTCGATTTGATCGCACAGTAATACAGTCACAAGTGGAATTTAAAAACAACTAAGCGTAAAAAACAATTGGTAACATGTTTGATATATTTAGAGCCACGTCTACACAGAAAACGCGAACGGCTAAAGGTACCTCTGAATTCATTTGTTTTTCTTCTTATCATTAAAGAGATCCACAAACGAAATAAAAAATGTATCTCGTTTTTTCGGAAAACGAGAAATATTTCTCATTACTACAAAAGGGCTACAGGAATAATAGTAGGGGATGGTTATTGAAACGAATTCCAAATTTGGTTATTGAAACGAACTTGGGAGGCGGTTTAGACAAGTGATGAACTAAGAGATATATTCAGGAGTCGGACATTTTGGGAAAATAACTGTTTCTCCAGTGTGGGCCACGTGCCTTTTTGTTTCTGCTCTCTAAATCCAGCGCTTACCTACGACCTTTGGCTAACTCGGAGATGGCTTTCGCGCACTTTTTAGAGAAAAACAGCCAAACTCTGTTTAAAAAACTGGCCATAGAGGTGTAGCTTTATCAATTAAGTTAAAAAGTAGGTGCTGGAAGAACTTGGACTGTTCTTGGCCTCACGGTGCGCTCACAGTCCAGTGTACCAAGAGTAAGGCTCTCATTGTTACTGTCCCTGTGTCTCACAGTAAAATCTGTACAATCCTGTGTCACGACTGTCGAGTCCGGAATCACTTGGTTAAAGCACCTCCGACCAAGAGGAGTTAAAATCGCGCGGAAGCCGCGCCGATAATTTTCTATAAAAATCAAGTAGATACAGGGGTTAATTGCACTTGTGGCATGCCCCAGAAAGAACGCTGGGAACACTAACTTGCACACCTTTAAACCGTAACGATTTGAAAGTACTGGATAGAAGAAGTGGAGGCACCAGCCGAATGCAAAAACAAACACAATAGTAAACATCATGTTTATCACTTTACGTGTTCGTTTCAGACGATTTTTGTATCTTCTCTGTGTGTTGGTTAATTCTTCTCCCACCGGCTTTCGTTTCTTGAGAGACACAAGTATAGCACTGTAGAGCACAGTAAGAACAACCAATGGAATTACATAGAAGAGTACAAACGCGAACTTTAAGTACACGTCCGAGGCCGTTTGAGTTTCCAGTTGAAGTACACAGAAAGTTTTGCCGTCTTCAGTTTGCACAAGGCGTAAAGCGTAGAACATCGGCGAGCGAACGGCCGCGGCGATGATCCACACAAGCGCGATTGACGCATTCGCGACCAGGTTAGTAATGATTCGTTTTAACGGAAACAAAACTGCAAAGAACCGATCCACTGCCATCACAATGAGAGTTAAGACAGAAACTGATGCCGAAAGTTCTTGGGTTATTGGAGCAATTTTGCAAAGTAAATGCCCAAGGTTGCCGCTTATTCCCCATTCAGAGCCGAGCAAAATGCGCGAAATCATCCTGGGCATGTAGAACACCGTAATGAGAATGTCCGCAGCAGCCATATTAACGACAAAGAAATTTACCGGCGTTCGCATTTTACGGTTCTTCAAAACGACGGCGAAGATAAGGGAGTTTCCGATTAATGATACCAGCATTACTACGACATACAAAGACACTTTCACAACCAAAGACACTGTGGAAGTATCTGCACCACAGTAAAGATTTGTAGCGTTTGTTGCATTTGACATGTCCGTCATTTTGTTTTTATTTTCGAAAGAAAACCCAAACTTGTTTAGTAAAAAAGAGGTAAATATCTTCAGTCTAATACCTCAGTCCTTCTTGGATTCAAAGGTAGAATACGTCAGTAAGTGCACGTTCAAAAGCTGCCGGTGGAGGATAAATGTTGCCGGCCTCTTTCGACGACGCGGATCTGTTTTGCGCGAGAGGAACTGTAACTATGAAGTGAAGACTTAAAAAGAGCGCAAAACCGTACAGGACTGAAATTCTGAGCCTTCGAGTTTATAGTCACATCCGTTTTCCAATTGATTTAATTACAGCCGATTGTTACATGTATTCCTTCACACATCTAATAGAGCGTTCTCTAGTTTGGTCTTTATCACTTTAGTCACAGCAGGCCGGGTAAATATGGTGCACTAGTGGTAAATATCCGAAATTCTCCGAAACACTGAAAGCCAACTCGTGTAGAAATCCTGAATAAATTGCCTAGAAACCTCAGACTTGTTCAATCGTCTTCTTAACAGCTCTTCAAATAGGCAAGTTTCAAGACCTCTGGCGAAATAATATCGACAGAAATAGTTTCTTCTCTGTCTTTCGGCTTTAAACAGTAGTACCTTTGTGGAGGCGTAATTCGATTTGAACTCCGGAACGGGAAACGTCAAGTCGTGTGACTGTTAAACATTGTGGGCAGCTGTTAAGTATTTAGACAGGTGACGAAATTCTTTGAAAAGCATTCCAGAAACACAAATCAGCAGCGTTTTTTGTTGGAAATCACTGGAAATGTTTGAATTTTTAAGAAAAACAAAATTCTTCTCTTATGTGAGTAAACTACTTTTGACACCTAGTAAAAAAGATTTCGTTGTAAAAAGAAGATGATGAAAAGGTTTGTTGACTATCCATGACATTCAAAGCTCTTGAACAAACACGTCGCCGTGTGAATAAAGGATTTATGGTGTAAAATTGTACAATTCTTCCTCTAAAGTGCAATTACGGCTTCACATAAAGACAAATAAACTCCGGTAGCAGTTTGGAAAACTCTACCAACAATTGGCCAGCATAATTCGTTATCGGTTCTACTAGGCCACGCTAAACAATTTCTTTAAATAAGAATAGAATAACAATTGTCTCAAAGGATGCGTTATTAAGTTAAGCTGCAGCTGCAAACTTCGACATCATAGATGACTTTTCGTCAACGAATGTCTACTCACTACACTTCGCTCATTCTTCTCTGACATTACTATCATCTCGAAAACAGGCATAATCTCTAAATTTAGATGCAACCTACAAACAAGCTGCATGAATTGAATAAATAACGTTTTAAGATCCTTCAACAGGTAAACGCAAATGTGCAAAATTCAAACTGCAGCTCACAATATAGCATATCTCAGAACTGCGTGTACAAGATCCAAACACCAGTTATTTCTGTTCATTAGCGCTTTTTAGTTTACTATTGTTTTTCTTTAGTACGCTGTTTCGTTTAAAAATGTTGTTATTACTCGTTTTCGCTCGTGTGGAATTAATTCGTGAAAAATGTTATGAAATTTATTCGTATCAGTATTTGAAGCTAAAATTATTCGTTTCCAGTTCATAGAGTTAGTTTTTCAGTCATTTTGTTTGGCTTGTTGGAGGCCATCGTTCGTTCTCGCAGGTCACTGTTCAAAATCGCAGCACGAGCAGTAAAATGTGAAAAAAAATCAGCAATACATCTAAGTGATAATCGTTAAGTTCAATCTTTTCTTTTATTCTGCTTTATTTAAAATTTTTTTTTTTGTAACTTTCTGTTTCAGATTCAACCGCACTTTAAACGGAGTTACCACCAGTGCAGAATCTTGAAGAAAAGCGAGTTAAATTTCATTGCAGGAGGTTTCCCTCATGGAGAACACGGCATGTTTGAACCCGAAATGGAACAAAAATAACTCTGGAAAACGTCTCGTATATAAAGGTTTCAGTCAAACGCAATATTTAGTCCTCTCTCAAGAAAATCAGCCAACTTTCCACTGGAGATCTGATTTTTCAGCGAAGATACTCGTTTTAAGATTTAAATTAACTAAAATGTGAATCAGTTAGGGATTAAAATGAATGAATATGGAAATCAGTAAGTCACGCCGGTGTATTTCATACGATTTTCTTGGAATCGCAACAGTCCACGTTAACTGGAGATCGTACAACAGCGAAGTTACTTCGGCCTCACTCCACTACTTTGACTTCTATTACAAGATCTCAATGGCAAATTTCGTTACTGACTAACAGTGATTCTTGAGGAATTGTTCTACACTTGAGAAATTGATGTTTACTTGAAAGATATCTTGGCCATAATTTGATACTTCTTATTTTCTCACCACTTGCCTGTTCGACAATGTATTTATATCGTGGAGAGAAATTATTTATTGGTCACTACTGAGAGGTAAAGGATCGGTGGAAAAAAAAAAGGAAAAAAAAGCTGAGTACTCTAAATACTTCAGTCCGCCAAATCGGATTTTCTATCTGCACGCACTTGAGCAGCCGTAGTCTTTACACACACGTGACCAAAACCGGACCCTATAGGGAAACTAGCACTTGCACCCTCGATTTGAGCAGTTTTTAAGATAACACATAAACAAAAGTTAAATGTATGATAATAATCTGCAAAGGGAAAGCATCCTCAAAAATGAGTACCGAAGCTTCCTTGCGTTACCTCTACTAATCCTTGAAGACACGCATCCAGTTCCCCTGCGGCCAAATTGTCGCTCATTTTGTCCAATAATGTATGAATGGTGAAACCGAGCACGTGAAGCTAAAAAAAATCGTATAATTATATATTTTTTCTAAATTTCTATTTTTTTCTTTCTATAGAACAAAAACCAACAACAAAACAAACAAACAACAACAAAAGCAACGGCAACAATGGCGAAGTGGTGCTCACTGAGATCTGTTATCAATCCCCGTAACCAGTGCCGAGTTTGTAGGTTCTCTCCCAACGTTATCTCTAAGTTCTCCGGTTCTCCCATTACAATACGTATGCACGCATCTCCTCAAACAAGTTAATAATTTGACACCGAACCTGTGTATCAAGTCATGCCTTACCTGGTATCCTCTTGTTAGTGAACTCCTGAGCTCCTTTAGTACGAAAGGGAAGTACTGGGTTCCAAGGGAAATAGTGATCTTTGCGAGCGTATCCCGCGCTGCATCACGGACCTCCCGTGCTCTGCTCCTCAGTGTGTGACAAACACGGAGAAGAAGACTGCAAGAAAGACAGACAAAGAACTGGCTCAGATCTAAAATAACGCTCATAATTTCATAAATTAGAGAAGTAAAGAAAAAGCTGCAAGGTTACAAAAGAGCAAAGAATGAAAGGATTAGAGAGGAAAGAAAGGAAAAATGAGCATCGGCGGAATTGATGACACTATCGATCGAACGGACAAACACATGGATGACCGGCCGACCGGCCGACCGGAAGAAGAGGACGAACGATCGATGTGAGAGAATTATGAGCTTGAAAGCAAATTTTTTTATCAACTTACCCGGGTAGATGTAAGTGAAGCGCATGCTCAGGTAAGGATTGAAGCAGTTTAACAATGGCGAGAATGACAGGAACACGTAATATATCCTCTTCATCTTCGGCCTTCTGACGACTCAATCGGTGAAAATGAGCCGACTTGTTCTAAAAAACGAAACAAAATTATAGGGTTACGTTTATTGTAGACGAGAAAACGTGTTCTTCCTAGCAAACTCTTTTTGAAACTTTTTTGAACACCCTAAATAAATCAACAAAACCTCTTTCATTTCTTTTCCCAGGCTCGTGACAAGGAAAAAAAATACTTGTCAACACTACCGAGCAAATATCTTAACATCTTTCCTATTCTGTTTTCGCACGTGACGCTTCCCACCTTGTTAAACCTAGTAATACGAACCTTGTGATGGTCTGGCTCACCCTGGAGTCTCTGAGGCTCAGAAGGAATCCGAAAGTCTGAAGTTTGATTCCTCATGAAGAATGGGAATTTTTTACTTTGTCCCGAGGTCGTGTTTATAAGAATACAAAAATCTTCCTTAAAGTTCTCTTAAAAAGCACAGTATGCAGAGCACACAACCGATGAAGCAAGACTGGTTGAGTTCTAAACATTAAGGGAGACCAGGCTAGTTTAAGATGTTCAACATAGCACTCCAACTCCGTAAGGAAGAACGAAGTCATTCGTCAAAGTAATAAAAGCTCGTCAACCTCAACATACATAGAAAGGCTGGATGTACTTTTGCTATTCAATTAAACTACTTGTGGCCTAACGCGTGTATTATTGCGGGTTCTACACCCTCACCTTCTTAGTCACACATTTTTGCAATTGAGGTAAAATACTGGAGGTAATTGTGTTGTAGATACGCAAAGCAAGTTCATCTTTGTTAAGATCTGGTGTATCGTCCTTTCCAGTGTCTCCTGCTTGACCGCCATCATCGTCTTCCCCTTCTTTATCATTGTCATCATCATTGACAGCATTATCAGCATTATCTGCATCATCAGCTTCTTTCTTTCCATCAGGTCCAGTTTTTTCACCTTCGAGATTTGTTTGTAATCTTTCAGTGTCTTTGCTGCTTTCTACAGCCAAAAACATAAGATAAGAGCAGTTAGTAAATAAAAAAAGACAAAAGAATAAAAGAGGGTTATAAGAATAGAGCAATTTGAACTTATTGTCTTAAAAACCAAACCAAACCAAAGTTATCAGAAAGACCAACCAGAAGAAACGCTAATACTCTGAAGAGCCAATAAGAAATCGAAGTAAAACCAACCAAACTACCTAAAGCACGAAAAACGCGGGTAACAAAGTCGTGATTGGTTTAAGTTTTGCATGTGATTGTTTAAGAAAGTCTGGACCAACCAAAAAACGAAATAAAACCAAAACAGAGCAATTCTGGATCACTTTTGACACTCGATTGAAAATTACATTAACAGAAAGTGTACCAGCTCAGAAATTCAACGTATTCTACGTCATTGATGATGAGGGTCTCTAACGGCTGACGGGACAAAAAATTTAGCTTCTTGTTTTTAAGTTCTTCATTTATAATCTGCGTTACCCTCCATCATCCCCAGCCACGCTTGCTCCTCTTTTACTTTTACTTGTCTCTGGTGTTTTCTATCTCACCATACATTGTCAAGTATTCTCTTGTTTTAAGCAAATTTATGGTAATTTGCAAATCGACGAAAATATAAACAAAAGTACCATGAAGTTGCTTCCTTATGTTGTTGTATCAAATCCTTGTGAAGTACAAGGTTACCGAAAGCCAACGAAAGTGAGACCGTGGTTTTCGTGTTTTCAGTTCCTCGACCGCTGAACCTTTAAAAGTTGCTGTTTTTAAACTGTTACCGAGAAGCAAATTGGAAAAGTACGGAAAATTGAAGTGAGACCTTGGACAACTTCAGTTGACTTAACATTCTGCACACCTCTCGAAATTTCTGTCTCCAACTGTTTGGGAACACCGCTGAGGTCAAAGTGAAAATTGTTCAGAATGATCACCACAATCCTGAAAAAAAGAAAAGATTTAACATCAATTTTTTGATGTTCCCGTGGCAAATCAACTATTATCATCTTTGATGATACATTCCTGAGTTCTCTACCTTATCGATACAGGTTTGCATCCATGAAAATATACACAGCTTACCTGACGATCACTTTCTGGAAAGTTTTTTCAACTGGTAACAGTTTCAGATAGTGTCTTAGAAGGCTGCAATACTTGGACCAAGGTAAACTGGCCGATATTGTTCCAATAGTGGTGACAGCCTCGGTCACAAGATTATGTTCCCTCGCAGCGGTGTGATCAAAAACACAGTGTGTTACTAATGGCAACAAGAAAGCTGTAAGGGTTGTGGTTCTGAGGCTGCGCTGCTGACAATGTGCCTGTAGGCGACGCAGAGCACGTATACGACGATGAAGCTGGAAAAAGAGTAACATTGAAGTAATACACCTTAAAACTCAACCGATCAGATTATTCTCGCCTTAGAAATAAGCCTTTTCCCTAATTCTGTTAAGTTATAATCATGTTGGAATTTCAGTTTTCTACGCTTGACCACCTATTTTTCTCGAAGACAGAAATGTATAGTGATTTGTTTTGTGCCATGGCTGGATTCCTCAAATGCCAAAGACACAGTAACGAAGATGAGTTCTTAGCAATCATTAATGCTTAACCATCCTTTCAAAAATCAAAAATCACACTTTCTTCGTAGAACACCATTCATCGACAAACTTCAAAATGGAAGGTAAGCAAAAAGGTTTTGATACACCGTACACACGTCACAAAATTTAATTCAAAATGGTCTGTATTCCTTTGTTACCTTGCAATTAAGGACACGTAACGTAAACTAAACATTCCATAAACCCAAAAATATCTAAGGTTAAGAAAGCAGTTTGAAATATCGCACATTTCTCTTTGCATTTAGCCTTGCAAAATACACATAAAAGGGCTGACGATGACAATGTGACAGGTCAGTGCATTTAATCTTTGTTCAGTGCAAGCTGAGGACAGAAAAGAGGTTTCTTAAAAGAGAAGTCTCACTTTGTATTTTCCTCACCTGAATATGTTTGATGTTTTCAAAAAAATCTTTCTCGAGATCATCGTCCAAGAGAACCTTGAGGTCTGAGAGAGAATCGTGTTGAAATTGGCGGACCATAGTTGAGAGCACACCTAGAAATTCGTTTCTGGCAAGCTAAGGACAAAAATTGTAATTAATGCTTAGTTTGAACTTTCAAATGGATACTTTAATCGTTTTCCCTATTAAAATAAATAGGATTGATGAAAAAATGTTGCAGAGTTTGATCTCAAAAAGGAACTACATGTAAGTCTTTCATACAAGTCTAGTGCCCACACCCCGGAATTTATCATGGTTTCCATAGCAACTATGAGTACTAATACTGACAATGGAAGGGATCCAGGGTTCATTACCTTTCCCATCCACTCCTCTCCCCTCTTTATTGGATTCCTTCCCTTTTACTGACTATTCACTGATAACCCAACGTTCTTGAGCGTGGACAGAAACAGTGCGAGAGTAAAGGGTTTGGTCCAGAAATAGAATGAGAGCAATGACACCGTTGGCCGCTAAACATATGACCACTATGGTTCCCTTTTTTTTCCAAATAACAGTGAGAAATTTCAACACAAATACCTCTTTCTTTGAAGCAAGAACCCTCTTGAGAGCCGGTAGCAGACACTTGATGATAAGAACATGAAATCGCTCATCGTTGACTCCACTTCGCTGGACAATATTGTGCACGACACAGCTCATGCAGCTGCCAGCACTGTCTCGAATTGACATATCATCGCTGTTTAAAACAAAATAAATGCAGTTGCGTAGTATTGGTAGAATCTCCTCGGTTTTAAGGGCATCTTGTCCAATCAAACGCTTGGCATTTGCAAAGCCGGTGAGTCTTCTATCATAATTAGGTTCTTCGATGCGCTGAGGATTCCAGGAATTCAAATCAGCAAGAATGTCGCAACTCTCGGAAGAGAAAGTTGAATCGATATTCCCCATCTCAAGGAACACGTCACATAGACATTGCCTTGTACTACGAACGATTATCTGCGAGAAAAGCTTCGATAAAGACGAAACAAAGTTTCTGGGAGTTTCAACGTTCACCAGAAGACTTTTAACAGTTTTTAAAATATTGTTTGCCGTCTCTTCTTTTTGATAACTGCTCATGAATGGTAGCAGTACCTCTATAAGAGTAGAAGATTCATTGGCGTCTTTCACAAAGGGACTTAGTTTAGACAACACTGAAAGTTCTCGTTGGGGAAGCATATCTTTTCCTTTGTTCTTTCCTTTAGAACTGTCGATGGCTTGTTGTACGGATCGACTCAGATATTCCAAGAGCTGTGGGAGGTGCGGGAGAACCAACAATGTTCCGTAACTTGGTCTACTTTCGTGAAACTCGTAGCTCGAAAATATTCTGAAAGAAGGAAAAAAGGAAAGTTAAGAATATACTCAAACCACCCCTGGGTTTCCTGACCAGCACAAAGATTTAGTAGAAAGTTAGCTGCAGTAAGAAATGCTTGGAGTAATTTCCAGCGTAAAAAAGTAAAGTAGTTAATTTCTTTTCTTCATCCAATTGGTTAACTTCTTGTTGAAAATGATTCCGGCACTAAAAAAGCCATGGATTTATGGTAAAACCCACAAGAGAAATACTTTGCAAGATTGGGTTTAGCCTTCGTAGCAGTATTTTCTGTTTCCTTTTGGCTTAGCGAGAGTCACTCATGGGCACAAGGCGACAGGGAACCAAAGAAAAAAATTAGGAAGTGTTCCCTTCCGTCTTTTTCCTTCGCGTGAAACATGTTCAGCTAGCGCTTCGCGCGTGTGCTGAAACGAAAAAAGGGGTGTTCTGTAAGCTAGGATAGGTTGGTCATAAAGATGAAAATCATTAAACAGACTAGTAATATTTCTCTCACCCCAGTTCAGAGCCACAATCCATCAAATCATTTTCTTCATCATCCGCCTCTAATTGACTTGCATCAAGAAGATTGTCCGCCATTTCCATTACCATGGCAACTACTTCCGATGATATTGACGGAACGCGCAGACACTCGAACACACATGACATGATGGACAGGTTGGGCTTCTCGACTGGTTTTCTTGACAGCAAGGGAAACAAACGATAATTCTTTGACCAAGTGAACAGGAGCTTGAGCAATGGAGTTGGGTGTTGGATGCTCTCTTGATTTAATTTCTCTATCTGGAAGAGTAATCGATGTTGTAGACACAGTCACTATTTACAGTAAGTCCTATAGTCAGCTTGAAAACTTGCTGCATCAAGCTTAGATTTTATATAACTGACCTGTTTCTCAGGCCCTATCACGATAAATGAATAATGTGTATAGCGTCAAATCACGTACCTAAAGGCCGGTGAACATATAAAGGCCATATTAGGCTTTGCATTTCATATGCAGTCGCATGTGAGTTAGCAAAGCTCTAAACTTGCATGTTCATCGAACTTTCCCATAGTTTCACAATCAATTCGCATTTTGATAGAATAGATTTTTCTTCGTCAGAGAAGGAACATGCTTTATCATGTAGAAAGGAGTTGAAATAATTGGGGCGGTAAAGGTGGGAGTGAACGTGTTGTATTTGGTGGGGCGAAATTGTCGTGATGGGAGCGAACTTGTAACAGGATGAAAACTACCTGAGGCCATACGGCAGACGAGAACAAGGCGTCACAAATAGGTTTGAAGTCATAATCCGCCATGGACTCAAAAAATTCCGTCAAGCGCATGATAGCCATCTGTCGGATTGTCTTCAGCTGCGAGATCAGTGATGGTTGCACCTAAAAGCAAGAAAAAATAATTAAGAATATACATATAAACCTAATGCACTGTATTAGAAAAAGTTTTGAGGGTGCCGCCATGTACCACATATTCAGAAAGTGGCAGAGTGGAGAGGGAAGTTCGATTGAGGGTAAAGTGCTTCTTGTTAGTTTTGGAGTGGCTACCTCACTGAAAACTAATTACTTGACGTATCCTGAGTTATACTGGAATTAGTTTTTCTATAAACTTAAAAATTAGCACGTTAAAAATGGGCTTCAAAGTTCGGCTGGCAACACGATATCAAATTGTCAAGTAAAGAGTGGTTAGAGTACCTACTGCTAAAGAGCAACGTACGTGTAGTTTAACGTTGGTAAACCACTTTTTAAGAACGACTTTAGCACTTAAAGTCAAAATGGACGATTCGATCGAGGTCCTGGGGTTAGGAGCAGTGGCTAAAGACTTCAATCAAAGGAAAACTTTGAACGTTTAATAAAGGGCATCTTATATGCTAGAAACTACAAAGTGTTCATTATTCTCTGAAGGCAACAAACCTTTTCCCGATGTTCTAGAGCAAATACACATGTCGAGAGCAAAGACAGAATAATTTGCAGAATGGAAGGAAGAAACGACCTCGCCAGGTTGCCCAGCTTATCCAGGATTTGAGACACCATTCCCAGAAATCCTTGCTGTTTCTTAAGAGGGACAACACGGGAGAGGTCTGTTGCCACGGTAACAATCGCACTTGCATCATCTGCTGAAATAAGAAATCAAAAGTCAAACAGTGATTGCCAGAGCAAATTTTTTTCACTTTAGTGCGACGAAGGGATCGGGCCAATATGCTTATCTTGAGAAAAAGAAAACTTGCGACTTGAGCAGGCCTGGTAGATACAGAGAGCCACCTACATGAAAACCTATGATGAAGAGGAGATCCTTTTTACCTCTACAAAGGTGTTTAAATGGCGCAAAAATCAGGTCCATGAAAATTTGTATCTCTTTCTGAGGAAAAGAGGCCAGGAACCTCAACACGACAGCTCGCCTCACTCCCACGCCTGCTCGTCCTCCACTTCCTGTACCGGTCAGTCTTTGCATCTTGCCGTACAAGAGCCTGGGTATCAGAAACAAAACAGCGTGTGTCACATACATTCAAAGTGAATCTGTAAATGCTATGTACAAGTCAAGCGTTTGCTGAACGAGCGCGTAAAAATTAGAACGATTCGTAGAAAACATGAAACATACATGTAGTAACTGCTTCTTAAGCTGTCGTGCTGCTTCAGTTGGAAGGTATAGCACTTGTTTTATTATCAACGTGGCATTCATAAAAATAAATGGATCTATCAACGTCAGTACCTTAGAAACTGCGCACTTACCCCTTCCCTAACCCAAAAAGTCAACTGATAAGAAGTTACGGTTAGTGTTGGGTCAGGGTAGGGGCAGGTGCGCACTTGCTCAGATACCGACATTGAAATAAATAAATTTACCGTAACCGGAAATATTGGTAGAGTTGAAGTTCCGAACGTTGGCTCTTCGGCAGAGAAAAAGGAGCAAAATTTACATCAGGCGGTCAAATATACCTCATTAACGAAAAGCAAAACATTGAGCAGTTTGCTACGAAAGTATTCAGCAACTAACCTTATGAGCACTGGCATTAGTCCATCTCGATGACTCATCGTCACAATGCCGCTATCCTCGTCAACTGAAAAGTGTGCCATCTCATCTCGAAAGTTCTCATCGCCTAACAAGCGCTCAATAGCCTCTTTGTACGGCTCTAGATAATCAAACTTGTAAGTCCACAGGCACTGTACTGCAAGCTTTTGTACTTCAGCCTCTCTATGAGTTACAAATCTCAAGTATAACTCCCTTAACTGGGGTTCTTTAAAGAGAGCTTTCGGGTTCTTGAAAGCTGCAAAGAGGCTCAGATGAGTACAAAGAGACTTTGTGGCCGCCTTATGTCTCTTCTTGTGCAAATTCTCTTGTGGTTTGGAATTGATGTGATCCACTTCCGTCTCCATGGAGTCTGACTGATCGACCTCTGCCAGGGATCCTTGTGGTTCAGAAAGCTGTTTGACTCGGATGTCTTGCGAGGGAGCAACGTTTTCCATTGCCACAAAGTATTCGTTGCTGTAATAAAGCGAAAATAAACGTACTTAATACATTTATATTGCAGCACACGATCCAAAAACGGACACTTGCATGATGGACTACATGTGCTGTTAGGTTGAACTTGGGGCGTTTTTCATGTTCTGAAAATCTGAAATACAAGACCGCCTAAAGTATCGTGGAGACTGGAAAACTTGATGAGATGCCACCCTCTAAATTCATCTTACATTCTTCTCTGCACAAAGTAGTATTCACCTCACAAATCGAATAAACAGCGGTACCACATCACGTGATTTCTGCTCGGCAACTTCCGGAAAAGAAGCCATCGCTTTCCACAGCAGATGCCGGAAGTTAACAGGATCTTCTCTGGTCTCATCTCGTGAACCCAGTGAAGCCTTGTTGTACTTCTCAAATATTTCATCAAGGCACTTCTTAGAATTACAACAGTTTTGTTCACTATTCTCCATTTCTGGTTGTTCGCTGCTGCTCGTATCCATTTCTTCTCCGAGTTTCTTTTCTGAAACGTACATGATTTAGCAGTTATCAGCTGTTACAATGTGGATGCATAGAGGAAACTAAGGGGAACGTACAGAGAGACTGTTGAGTCGAGGGAAAAATACATAATTTCCCTCTAAACACCTCAATGAGTGTCACTTAACATTTTTCAACACATTGGAAATCATTCCTTATCGTCAGACAACAATCGCCGTCATTAGACATTCTTTACAGTCATCATATACCACTCTCACAAGAACTCACCTTTACATCACTCCAAGTCATAGGACATCATTCACCACCAGCAGTTAACATTCACCATCACTATACATCATTCATCGTCACTTGACATGATTCACCATAACTGTACAACTGTCACCCTCGCCACACATTATTTACCTTCCTTAGATATCGTTCACCGTCATTAAACATTACAGACCGTCATAATAATTCATCCATTTTTAATGAACATCACTGAATGTCACTAAACATCATCCACCTTCATTAGAAATAATCCACTTTCATTAACCATTATTCCATACCATTCATTATACATGTTTCATCATCAAGACACAATTCACCGTTAGTAAACATCAATAACCATCATTAGCCATCATCCTTCGTCACCAGACTTAATTCACCGTCTTAATATAATGCTCTTGCCATAAGAATAAGATTACAACTTCATAAAGAGTTAATGGTTGAAAAAACGCACCTACAATTCTACACTGTACGTCAAACACGCACCTGTTTTGTCAGAAGTTGTGTTGAGTAGCTCACTGAATATCCTCCAAAAGTTCTTGACATTCGAGCCTCGAGCAAAACTTGAAACAATATCAATCACTGGATCCCAGAGGGGACTGAAGTTCACACAAAGCATTCCGCACAAGTAAAGCACAGCAGCATCTCTGTAGAGATCTGCCAGATCGTCGTAAAACGTTGAAGAGAAGCGGATTTTCTGTAGACACACCAGCTTGTCTCTGTACGACTCTAAACGTGTTGGAAGTTCCTCAGAGGCGAGACACGTTTGAAACAACGAGGGCCTTAAGGAGTCAGAGGGCTGCAGAAAAAAAGAGAAGTTTTCTCAAGTACACATTAATTGCGGTTAAAAGTTTTTTCAAGTTCGCCATGTGCAATCATTGTTAACCGTCTCCATTGTCAAACACCCTTTGTCCTTTATCGTATGCGTCTACCTTATTGATGTTTACCCTACTTACTTTGCTATTGTTTCACGATTTCCTCGTAATTTGAGGCAATCATTTATTCCATGTAAAAATGACTCAACATATTTTGAGATTACGTTTTCAACTCAGCCATTAGGAGTACACTTGTATTCCTACTTTCCCTAGATTACATGCTCTTCCGTCTATCAAAAGCTTACCCGCCCCAATCCCTTCCCAATCACAGTCGCAGCACGCTACTGATGGGAGCTTTCAACAGTTAAAGTACAACAGCAAGCTGTACATGTAGGTACTAGAACAATAATTCATCAAAGGTTAATATGGCACTGCACCTTGTTGTTTGATGAACTCCTTCCAAGCTGCTCAAAACTTGCCAAAATTTTAAGAGTGAGAAGACGCACAAAGTGACTTGAAGAACACAAATTGAGACGGAGGTAGGGAAATATCTGCTGAAGGTTTTCCTCAACAAGGACATTTCCCATGACTTGCTGCCTCGAGGCTGCCGTAAGTTTATGACAAGCTTGAAGAATATGGACATTGTCTGGCCAGGATCTGGACAAAGAGCCACAGGTTAGAAGGTACACTATAGTCTTATAATTTAAAACATACCGAGGACCAACAAATATGCATGCCAGGAATTGGAATATCCCAGAGAAAATACAATTTAAAACACCCTACTGAATGTGGTAAATGTTGGGCCCACAATCTCCTTCAAATTACACGTATAAGTACATGGATGTACTACAGCACAAGACCACAGTATAGCAGGGATTTGGAAAGGACAAGTGACTTTTCACCTGAGTAGTGATACTATGAACTTGAAGTCCAAATTCTTGCCAATGTCCTCTGCGTCAGCCACGATTAAAATGTAAGACTGAATTGCCTGACCTAAAACACTCAAGCACTGGGCACTGCCCCCAGCACTTGTATTTGCCAGCAGGTGTTCACTGAAGATGCCAATAAAACTCAAGAGCTTGTCACAACACTGAGGAACATCTAAAGGACTAAACACCAAGAACAAAGTAGTCAGCTGTACAAAGCATATGAGCATGAGTGCCTTAGTAAATTAAATTTATTACCTTTACAATATCATTGGGAAATTCATGATTTAGTATTCTTTTTTAAAATGTTTGAAGAATTTATGTGATTTAGATATTTTGGGCTTTGTATTGTTTTGCTCTTGCAACAAGCCTTTGAGAAATGTTGATTATCTAACACTTGATGTCCCTTTTAGTTAAACAGGGACTTAAGATAATTCCTTTTTTATTCTAGGGTTTGTTGCTCATGGAATGAACTACCTCCTAACATCCTAGGGAGTCTGACTCCTTGTCAGTCCTTTGCAAGAAAATATTTACTCATTTTTATTATAAGTTCAGTGCTAATTTTTGAACTTGATTATCTTATTTTTGTCATGAGTTTAGAGTAATTAGTCTTTGACACTGATTTTCTTAACTAGGTAATCAATTAACAATAACTTTCACTAAGGCAGCTTACATTAAGAAATCTTGTATTGTGTTTTAAGCTGTCCTCGATTTGATTGGATTCACTTGTTCAACATAATAATTTGGGATTTGTATTAAACAATTAAGACTAAAGAATATCAAATTGAATTCACCTCTACAGGACAAGGGACTGACAATTAAAATGCTTACAAACCCACATTGTATTTCTAAAAGAATCCTTGGCTTAGAGAAGGAAAGTCTGACCTCAACCATTTTGTTTGATTGTTTTTGGACATTTTAAGTAAAGGAGGAGGTACATTGTACATAGTACATAGTAAAGAAGAACCCTTACCCACTTCCCACTCCTTTGCATTCAAATTCATAATTATGTGCCTTTAACTCTTATTTCATTCACCCACTCAAGCATTAGCATTTTGTCCCAGCAAAGAAAACCCAATTAACATTGACCAGGGGCTAGTCTGTAAAACATCAATTTGTTTAAAATCTACCATGGTTGTTACATGTAAGTCAACTTTATAACACTGATAAAGAAACCTGGTAAAAGTACCTAAATCAATATAAACATACCTTATACAGGGAATGCATACAAGAGAACTCCATGTTAGGGAAAGCTTGCTTTTATCCAAGACAGCTTTGTTTTCTATTGTTACAGCATCAAGGAACACTTTTAAAATCTTTGCACCTTGCCTGGTGCCACATTTTGGGAAAAAAAGCAACCCTTTCAAGCGTGCCAAATCAAGTCCACCGCTATCTGCAGATGCAGTTTGAAAGATGACTTCTGTCAGAATAAGAATAATATCTTGAATTTTAGATGAACCTTTGAGCAGCTCTTCTTGGCAAAAGTTCAACAAAGAAGGTAAAGCATCTCTCTGGAAATGTTCCCACTTTAACAAACGTTTACAAAACATAAACAACTGCTCTTGACTCTCTATTGTCTTAAATACTTTCGAAGTCAATTGTTTCTGGTGTCTCTCCCTGGAGAGTTCTGTGGAGGATGTTTGCAGGAGTGTTGATATAAGTTCAAACAAGGAAGAGGCAATGTCATCTGACACGAAATCCTGGACAATCATCACCTGAACAACCTTAAAAAAATAATTGAAAATAATCATTATTGCCTGGACAACCTGAAATTAAAAACATAAAAACAAAACAAAAAATGTGGTCATGCTCCACAAGAAAGTGGAAGGGCAATTCATAAAGCAAGCTTCTTTACATGGAAGGGTATTAACACAAACAGTAGTTCCCCGCTTCTCTAGAAATCTCAGTTTTTTACTAAAAGTGCAATGTGCATTAACAGCATTAAGGACCATTCCACAAAAGAGAAAACAATTGGCTGACTCATACACACTAATGACAGGTGTGAGCACACATGTGAACATCTTATTTATGTGTCTAGGTGCACACTGTATGACAATATCAGTACGCACAAGGTATTTTGCTTGAGCTTTATGACTTACTTATCTTTGAGCTGCATTGTAAGCAACAAGTCTGGTGCTATTCCCCTTGCATGGGATAGCCTTAGCCATCTCAGGTAACCATCTTATGAGGTTTGCCCAAACAATTTGCTGATAAACTGTAATTATGTAAATTCTGGATGGTTTGCCTAGCAACAAAACAAAATGACATGGCCAATATATACATGTACTTACATCACATATCTTTATTGGGTCTGAAATCAAGCTACCAGACTTGTAGGAAACCCAAACATTAGTCAGCTGTAGAGTGAAACCTATCTGACTCTGCAGAGAACCTGCTTGATCAAAGTCATGCTGTTTTTTATTCCAAATGCTCCATAACCTCTCCAATTCCATAACCAAAGTTTTTTCCACCACTGAGCAATGTTCCTTGACTGTGTATTTTGCCATACTGTTGAGCATGTGCACAAGTGACTGGTAAACCTTTCAAGGTGAAAAAGAAGAGAGAGAAAAAAAGAATTAATCAATTCTGATGATTCACTTCAAGATAAGATGCTTTCAGTGAGTTTGATCCTTCTAAAGGCAAACTTTGCTATTTAAGGTTAGAAGAGAGTTGACAGTATTTGAATTTCTCTCACACAAAGACTTAACAATCTCTATCTTATTCAGTATTTAACCTTTTACTCTATAACATCAGTATGCATATTCTCCATACTACTCCCTCAACATTTCCTAGGGTTCTGACAGGGAGGATTTGTTCAACGATCAAGAACTTCTTTAGTTGGTGATCATCTTTATTCTCATGACCTTAATGTCTGATTCAAGGATGATGTTGTAAGGAGAAATAAGATGTTAGTCACTCTTAGGGGTTAAAAGGTAAATAAGCTGTACATACCATTTCCCATTTCAAACTAGTGGCTACTGACTTGCTTTGAAAGGCTCCAGTTTTTGAAAACAAGACAGGTAAAACAGAATCTGTGGCCGAGTGAAACTGCTTTTTGACTCCTTTTATCATTTCAAAACACAAGAATCCAAGTCCCTGACACAAGTCTGGTTGTGCTTCAAGTGTGCTGAAAATTATGTCGAAGAGTTTGCTACAGTCTTTGCTTTTCCTCATGAGGAATGAAAAACTCTCAGCTGCAAACTGCTGGATGTAGTATTTTTGTTCACCCATAAGTAGCGGACTGTACAAACTGAAAAATAAATTAAAATTATCCATAATAATTGTAGGTGTAGGGTCACTGATATGGATAACATGCACACAGAATCAAAATGCAAAATGACAAGCATCATTAATTGCTGAATGCAAAATTATAATAGCAAGAGTAAAAATGACTGGTAAAAACTTGCTGGCTGTCCATTTGCAAATTTTAATCAGCGACACATATTGCTTTATATTTCTCATCTAATCACTGTTTCTGTTAGCAAGCTAATAATCTGGCTGGTGATTTCTTATATGATACTCTAACCCACATAGACATATAGGAATGAAACTGGAATTGTGTCACTGATTATAATTAATTGAAACCAGGTTCAAATTAAAGAACAGACAAAAAAATTTCCACAAACTAAGCCTAGACCAACTTAGATTCAAAACAGTGTTCCTGAATTCTATATAAGTCCACCAACAAGAATGGTTCATATATCCCAAAGGTTAACAGATTTTCAGGGGGCAGAAACCCACATTCACCTACCTGAAGATATGTTGGATGTCTTTCAACATATATCTCCAGAGAAACTTAAAAAGATAGCTCAGAGTTGCAAATATACACTCCAGAGTATGAGTATCTTGCCAAGAGCGGTTCAGTAGTGATATAAATATATTAAAGAAGCTACTGAAGTAAGGATAGAAGTCGCTTTGCAAGTCTCTGGCCAGCTGAACGACCAGATCCAACAGGGGCTCCAAAGCGAGACTTCCATTCACTTGTAGATTAGTTTTTAATCGCTCTATGACTTCGTTCTTGTGGTGAACAAGCTGGGCTAGACTTTGAACATATTTTCTGACTTCTGAGGAAAATTCTTGAAAGTGTAGAGTGCAATTCAGCTCCGTCCATTTGGCAAGTGCTTCACAAAAGAACGTGTCTTCATCCTCTGGTGTCTCAGTGCTTCTTTGGATTCTGTGAGTCACATCGATTTTAATAGCTGAAATGCGCTCGAAAAATCCTTTAAACCTGTGTGTATTTGTTTCTTTTCTCTTCACCATGATTTTTTATGTGTTTTAAGACCAAGAAACACCCTTTGAAATGAATAAACCTTTAAGAAATAGTCACCATGTGACTCCGACACTGAACGGCCGCCATGTTGACTTTTTTTTCCGATAGCGACTGGATTCGAATTATCAAATTGGAACCCAGTCTTCGTGTTTTTCTTTCTCTCTATTATACCGCTGGCCACTTTGCCGACAGCCGGCTTAGAGCAAAAAATATTACTGTGCTGAATCGATCTACCTCCTTCTAGGGGCTGAGGCGATAATGCTTAGCCTGATGATTCTGATGATAGTCGGAAACTAAGCTCTGGGCTTCTCCATAGTAATCGTAGGAGGTAAGTTTATGAAGAAACTGTTGTGCTGCGTCGGTGGGAGAATATAACAGAATAATTTAGTACCATCAATTGAGTTGATAACGTAAATAGGCATCAATTTAGTTTCGATAACGTCAAAACTAGGCCTTTACGTAAAAACTTTAAAAGCCCTGACGTTTCCGAGGATCGTTCCGTCGGGTTCTCTTTTTTGAACTTTTGTGGTCGTTTTTCAAGTATTGCACATTTACAGTTCATGGAGCCCGAAAGAGACAGCACAATCCCAATCCATAATCCTGATGGTATTCTAGGGTCGATTATAATCGGAATAATTTGAAATATGCCCCAACCCTAAGGGCACAAACAAAATTCACAGAGATGCACTGAAAAGCCTAACGGACAGTCTTTGCATCGGGCTTCAGAGGTCTTGATAAAGGTTGAATTGGAAAATAAAGAAACATTTTTAGTAAAATGTACATAGTTACTTTCAGAATGGAATATTCCTCGATTAGCTGAAAGCTCTGATTGGAACACGACAAGCCTAAAAGGAAGAGTAGGAAAGGATAAAAACAAGGAATGGGTCTTTAAAAAGGGATGGGTGTGAGAGAAAGGCAAATCTGACCGTTATATCATCGCGAGAAAAGCGCAAACGTGTGGCTACCGCTTTCTGTACTGAGATAAAAGGAGAAAGCTGCTCTACGTGAACTTTTTATAAAAGTTTTAATTCCACCGCAAGTCCAAAATGATCAGAAACCGACGAGTTTCTTTTCGTCCTAAGTTTTATAATTTCTTTCTTCACTACTGCGACATTGGAGCTGGTGAAAATTGCATCAAAGTTTCCATGTTCGATGCTAGTTTCCATTCTAACTTGAAATACAGACTGTAGGCCAACCACGCGCATGGTTTCTAGGAGCTTTTTATACTCCTCACTACTGTTACTAGTAGTGGCATGATGATTGTCAATATTGAAGTCTCCAGCCACAACGATGTGTGAGCCTGTACTGAAGTTTTGGACGGCCTCGGCGATTTCCTTCGCTTGTAGGACTCTGGCATCAACTCCATGCGGATCTAAGTGGGTATTGATGACATAGAGATGCTGATGTTGGAATAAAAACTCGCCTATGACAAATCCCCTAAAGTCTGCCACTTGGGGAACCGAATAGTGACGGTAACGAGTTGAAAATGTGTTTATGAGCTGGATCCGACTAAATATGACAATACCACCACTTTGTCCGAAATAAGGCGCTGAAAAATCTGCAATTGATGTCCTGTAATGAAATCCACGCTTTTCCATTGCTTTAACCAGAAGTGATGCACATTTTGAGACAACAGCCACTCCTGTATTCAAGATGTAAGCCTCCTGAATGAGTGCAACGTCAAAATCTTTAACGCCTTCTGCAAGACCTTCAATCCTTTCGGAGACGTCCCACATCACATGAGGCTTCAAAAAGTCACACCATAAATTATGAGAAATGAGGCGCAGGGACTTTTCCTCGCTGAAAGATCTATTTTTACTTTTTGTAATATTGCCCTGGATAATCTGATGAAGCAAAAGCCGTGTTTCATCATCCAGTCCTCCAGTCATAATATTTGAAACAAACAAAAATGTCATGACAGCACAAACTAAGAAGGCACAGAAAGACTTGATATTTGACATTTGTGATTTCCTGCAACTGTAGAAAAAAAAAAAAAAACTCACCATCAATCCACGATTGGAACAACGTTACGACAACACCGATTACTGGAACTAAGTTGAGGTATCTTGGGTCTTTTTTCTTTAACAAGCTAAATTTCCTTCAAATTGAGGGAATCCTTATAATGTTATTTGGGCAAGGGTGGGGTATGATCGAAAATTTGCATATAACAGTTGACTAGCTCCCAAGGTCTCTCTCGCCATGGGAACGAGATTGACTCGTAAACAAGGCAACTATTAATCTCTTCGTAAGTACATCGTGATACCTTAGGCGAGACCTAAAAGTCTAAGCGAGAAAGTTTCGGTGAAAATTTCGCTATACACAGATCTAAATAAGAAGCAAGTACAATTGACTGATTTAAATTTCGATATTGACAACCGGTATTCGAATGATAGGTGGAATACACACAGCAAATTTCCAAGCACCACGTTGTTAGTGCTATATATATATAAATATATCTAAAAACAAGATATATGCCAGTTGTGAAAAGCTACAAACCTTCGTTTGCCGAAAGAATCTTTAGTGGACCAAACCGTGAACCGACTAGTTACGTTCATTAATTTAAGTGTATTTTGTTGTTGTTATGTTGGGTTATATATGTTTTTATTGTTTTTTTAGAGGGCACGGTAACGAATCTTGCAATCTGATTGGTTCTTTACCCGGTCAGTATTTTCCTATCTCTGCCCACGGGCTACGGTAACGCTTTCGTGAGTCGCCGAGTACATCCCAACTTTCGTTGTCATTTTTCATAAATATACCTCGTTTTCCGGCTGGGCAGTATTTTTAAGCAAACACGTCGGTCACTACCTCAAGCCGATAAATAACTTATGAATCCTCTCTTTTCTCTCTATCAAATCACTTTGGTTGCCAAAAAAATATTGGTTTCAGAATGAATTTGTATAAACAATATTGTCATTACGTTGGTTGACAAGCGGCCTAAAAACCGTCTGCAATTAATTTTAATCGTTCACAAAAAGTACCCAGAAAGTTGAAACGTGAGGTATTTGGTTACAGTTAAACTGAACGATGGAACTTTCATTCATTTAATATCTGAATTTTCTCGAGCAATTTGTTCATAGTGAAATAGCGAGCGAAGTTTTAATTTAAGTTCTACAACAAATATACGCTCCCGGAGAGTCTTTCCAATTCCGTTCAATTTGGACATTTGTACCGTAAATTGCACAACAGAATTTGAAGGATGTTTTTTGAGAAAAGGCCGCATTAAATTCCCTTGTGTCTCGTTGGAGTGTGCCGTTCGAATTTAGTTTTTGTGAAGGAAAGACCAGAGTTAAACACGCCATTTCAGCAAACAAACGAGCAAACTCTCACAACTTCAAAATAAAAAAATTGAATTTACTCACAATTACTTTCCTCGCCGTTTACTTAATGAACAGAGGTAAATCTTCGTACATGAATGAATGGTCGATGAGAGTGAATAATACTTTCCGTTAGATCATTGACTGATTTTGAAGAAAATATTGTCGTGACAGTCCTTGCCAAACTAGTTCTGTTGGTTTTCAAATGTTCCTACGCTTTTTTTTTCTTGCGCGCTCTCTAATTGACAGGTGTCAGATTGTGACAGATACTTGTAAAAATAATGTTTCAAAGTTTGTTTGGAAGCCTTTTAAATCACCTTTATCGTTACGAAAATGAAAATGTTCGCTGAGGCATCTCTCTTAAATTTGCATCACCTCTATTTCAACTACCATTTACTCACTCAAAAATTGTTCAGTTTATGGAAGATCTTGCCGTATTTACGGCCATAAATTATTCGCGTTCTTTCGGAAAGAATTTCGTCAAGTTTAAAAACAATAAATATGTTATTTACCGGCTAAGGGTCGGTCCGTATGGTGAAAAACTGTGACCTCGGTCTTGAAAATGCTGCCCTCGGCCTACGGCCTCGGACAGTATTTTCAAGACCTCGGTCACAGTTTTTCACCATACGGACCTCCCAGCCGGCAAATAACATATATATCTCATGAATTCATTTAACATTGTAAAACTGAAGTTTCGTGCGTCACCGGTCACAAACGTATATCAATTTACTTCTAGTCCCGTCTTGCTTTGGGAAAAAAATAAGCAGATTATTGAGATCTTGTGATAACACAGCTAAAATTACAAATAATGTTCATACATAATTTATATCACCGATGAAGCGATGCCAAGTCAGAAGTTGAGGAGATTAAGTTAAAGTTTTCGTGTGAGTATATGGGGAGCGAATTTTGATTCAGCTACATAGTCCTTACAAGGCTGAATTGTCTAATGCCTGTAAATTTACCGTTGGCGAAAGATTTTCCAATAATAATAGTGTTTGTGAACGTCGGACAATACCGGCTCGGTGCTTGAATATTATAAACACAGATTTACCGCACTGCTTAAAATGCGATTCAAGACACTCAATTCGACCGTCTAAACGGAAAATGAAAGAACCAGCCGAACTCGAAAAATGCCTTACTAGAATGCCTACACTGCAGTGAAAATTTAGATCTAATGAAATATACCATGGCGGAAAATTACCATAAAGATTTACCGTACTTACTGCGATTTCATTCAGTCCCTTAAGATTTAAAGATCTTTGTTACGAGTAAAGAAGGTTATAGTTTGAAGTGAGGTTCTCTGTGAAAGCAAGTAGAAGTGCTTTTAAAGTTAAAGATGCCAGTAACATCGCCAAAGGCCAGAAGATCCAAGAAACAGGGAAACAGTGGCACGATTTTCCGAAATGAATGTTGACATGGACATCCAGCGGTCATGAATATGGCGTTATTTTGAGTGGCGAGTCAATCACTGCTTTGTTATTTGCCGATAGAACAAAGGACGACGTATGAGGGCGCGATATAGCATTACATTATTTTAATGATTGTGTCGGTTCTTAAAAAAAGGTTTTTGTTTGTTTGTTTGTTTGTTTTTTTTAATAAAGATTAGGAAATGGTTTTGGCATAAAATGTCTTGAATGTTTGTTTGTATTGGCAGGTGTTACTTTGAAAGTCGAATTCTGTTCGAGTTCTGTTTGGATGTACATGTCAGGCGGGGAAATCGGCTGCTTGGGACAAAGCAGGTTTCAAAAGTTTTGATTTTACTGGTCAAATCTGCATTATTCTCAAGCGTGACATATCAATCACTCGAATTGCGTTACCTTCCTTTCCATGGAAGTTCTGCTCATGATGATTTCTGAATTTTCCAACATCTGAGATATTCATTTTTTTCTGCCAAGTTTTTACCGCTTTCAAGGTTATAAAATTCGAGGACTGATCCGTTCCGAAAAACGCTCGTCACCTTTTAGTGTGGGCTTACCACGAAAGGCTCATGTGTATGTCTATCCGTGAGAGGAGCGTACAAGCAGATATGGCAATTTTCTCTACCAAGCTTTCTAAACAAAAGACAATATTCTGCTCTTCTCAGGGGATCAGTAACACTGAGAACACCAGGGACCATGATGCAGAGTTGGCGACCAAATAAGAAGAAAAGAAATGAAAGGCTACCGAGAGAAACCAACTCATTTTTAAATATGTGCCCAAGTGACGAAAAAAATTTAACTGCGTGTTAAAATTCTGACTGCTGTTATAAGATTCCACAGCCGAACCAGGAGCGAAGTAGCTCACAAGGCAATTGCGTAACGAAAAGAAAGGTCAAATCCGTAAAACTTCAAAAGATGATAAATCAGCTGCTTAATATGGGTACAAAATAGCCAAATGGCAGCCCAACGGAATTGTGAAATTCAACTTGATGAAAAGAATTAAAAAATTGCTTACGCGGCGCCAGAAAATATTTCCATATCCGACTAACGTGGGTTGTAGCGTAAACGAAGACCCCCGAAAACAAAGACCCAAGACACAAACACAAAGACCTACGACCCGAAAACGAAGACTCCTTTATCTTTATTTGACATGATCTTGTTGCGGTTTCTCGCCGGAGATTAAATCTTTCTAAGAGCTATGAAGTATGCAATCAAACACCAGTTTTTTATAAAAAGATTCCGAACTGCGAAGACCCAAAATGAAGACCCTTAAGAACCGTGTTTATCTATTGGATTATTCCTAATGCTCACTTCAAGTTACCTTTCCAGTCAGCACAAGTTCGTTCAAATGCTAAATTGACGGCTTCTCAATCGATTCACTGACTTCAAAGGGCGCTATAATTAGTTTCTCCTTCTTCTCCTTCTGCCAAAGGCCAAATTCTTTGGTGATATACTAATTTGTAATTTCGCTTTTTTTTTTAATTAAACTGGTGAATGATCACGTTGCGAGCAGAGGAGTTGCCAAGCTTTTGACTGGTTTTCATTGGTGAAGCCATAGAGCCTGACGCTCACTTCCCTTATCAAAATCATGAAAGGGTCTTCGTTTTCGGGTTTTAGGTTCGTTTGTAAGGTCTGCAGGGTGTATTCTGATCAAGGATGGGGCTAAAAGAAGATAAAACATACCATTTTAGCCTACGGCATGCGCCGACAGACGCCATTTTTAAACTACTTTGATAACTCTATGTACTCAGGCAAAAATTTCGCCCTCAGTTGTATTGTAAGACAATAGAATGACTTTGGGGACAGAGGCAAAGTGAGTAGTGGAGGCTCTGAAACAACATGGACATGAATGCATTAAAAATTAGTTGATTTTTATCAGAAATCTACTAGCGACTGACGAAAGAATTTTCTTTTGCTAGTCAGTATTAAACTACACTGCAATCAATAAATAATAGTTTGAAAAATATATAGACTACATAAGTATTAATTTGGGTTTTTCTCTTGCTGGTAATTTGTAATATAAATTCTGGAGTCTTAAGAATCATATCATAAAACGTAACCTGACACTTCTTACTAACCCCCCCCCCCCATCCCCCCCCCAAAAAAAAAAAAAAAAAAAACTGAAAAAAACATTTGATATTGCGCGGCTTACCTTGCCGAGATTCGAATTCGCACAGGGCATCTCAAACTCTTCGCTCTCAAGTGAAGAGTTGTTCCCTCTACATGTGAACCTGTTAAAAACAAGTTTTATTCTAATGAACTGGCATATTGTTCCCCTGGTGAGACCGTCACCATGACTCTAAAGCCAGGGACCAGGAACTCAAAAGAAAGTAAGGCGTTATGATCTACTGGGAAAGCATCCTATCCGTTCACCACAAGTAGGAAAAAAGAGGCAGGTCAGGAAACTGTTTAAACCATTCCGGTCAATCCGGATTCTAAACAAGGTATGAGTTGTCGATAAGAGAACAGACCACGCTAAACCACTGTCGATTCGTTTTTTTTTTTTACCACAATATCGACGTCAAATAAAATGATTCTTTCAGTGTGTGACCAGGATCGTGACAAGTTGACGGCAGCGTTGTCTGTACTCTTATCGACAACGGAAATTGGCGAATCAGATTACGTAATTTACTTTCGAACACCGACTACCTGATTAGAGCAATTTCCAACCTAGAGCCTTTTAATATCACTGGAAGCGGACAAGAAATAGGACAAGCCAAAGATTCCCGTAAGAGCCAATGGGCGATAGACCTTACGCAAGGTTTATCTTGTCAACCTTATATTCATCCACTTATAAAACTGCGGCGAAAAAGCCATAATCCCTAACCAAAGTCATTTTTTTTGGACGTCCTAACAACTTTTTACCATACATTCCTTTCTGGCGAGTTGCAATGTTTGCCCCATGGCGATCCCAGAAACCTGTGCGTAAACGCAAGGATCCGATTACTAAAAACTCATTCATCAGATCTAAAAAAGGCATTTTTACTTAATATTTTCAACGGTTATACACTTCAAAACAAAATTCCGTGTTTGCTTATCAAAAACAAGTAAACAGCTTTCTTTACTCTAAGCATAATCAGAAAACAAATTGATCACAAGCCGGGGATACCTTATTGCTTTAATTTTTATGTGAGTATTTGCTATAACTGAATTCTACTTCAGGGACTTGACATGATCAATTTACAATTTTTTTTACGATTTTTTTGCTGCTCTCACTTAGAAACACCTTTAAAGCTTTTCAAACTAGTTCCTTTTTTCAGTACGTGAGTGACTTGTCTAAGAGTTTTGGCCAGGGAAAGGTTTACAAATGCGCTATTCTTATCATTTAAATCCATGTTTGACTTTACATGCAGGATAGACTTTTTAGTTTGTTAATCAAAGTTCACGTCTCACCTAACTATCATTTTTGGATTTTTTCCGTGACCAGTGCAACACAACAGGTATGGAAAACACTTTCAAACCAACGAGAACAGGTACAATTGAATTAAGCATTATATGAAGTAACTCGTCGACACGATGGCGTTTGTTTCATAATAGTAATTCATTTGGAGATATCATTTGCATCTTTAAAACATTTTCCCTCTTTCAAGGCAGGAACAAGTTATTCACAACTAGTTGTACCTGGTAAGGGCAACTGCAATAGCTGTTTTGTTTCGTCTCATCTGAAGTTGGGGTTCAGATGTTGTCTTTGTAAGAACCATGCATGTCAAAGATGTAAATAACCTGCCTTACAAGAAGCATTAACTAATCAAGGTGAGTTTTTGAAAGGAGGTCGATAAGTCCTTTGATTAATTGTTTGGGATTAACACCAGGGGAGGAACAAGGAGGTTGAATTTGGCTCACACTCAAGCGGTATACAAAGAGAAATTGGAGATACCTGGGGAGAGTTAATTTACGGCGCTTCCGTAAGAGCAAACAGATTGCCTTCCTTAACACATAATCGACTAATCTACGGATTGAGATTGCCGAATGTAAGAGCCCATTTGTAAAGTATATGGCATTGCAGTTCTCAGAAATCCGATTGTAGATAGTAAATTGCCTTTGTCAACGCAAATTCATGAATATGATGCCCTCACCTCCGCTTATCCGAGCCTGTAGAATGGTAAACGCTAGACATTGTCTGTTTAAAGTGATTGCATCTTCCGTTTCCTTGTCATTTCCGTTAAATTGAAAAGAGTTCGCTGCTTTTCAGCATAGATTACATAAACGGAGAACGATTCAGAATTTCTTATCAAATTTGAGCCAATTGTCAAATTAAGGTAGTAGCAAAATAATTGAAATGAACATCACTCTGCATTTGCATGTGTGTTTAATTATCTTATCTGCATATTTCATAACAGGAAATAATTAGTTTTACACCCAACTGGAGATTGCATGTTTAAGCGAGCAACGCAAACAGCATCAAAAATGCTAGGTGAAGCCAACCGAGTGAAAGCAAGACCGCCGACGAGCTGGGAGAGACCCAGAAGAAAACTTGCATGCGTTGCTTTCAACCCCTAATATTTAATCCATACTCGTTGGATTTCCTGGTTTCAAATTGAGGTTTATATAGGTAAGGTGTCTGGTCTAGTGTGTATAAACTAGCGATCGTTAGCTTCATTTTCTAAATGATGACCTGACAAAATTGGCAATTTCAGATTGTATATAAGTACAAAAATAACCATGCAAGATGATGTTCTTTTGACATTTTTTAAAGGGCCTTAACTGCTGTGTTTTAAGAATGAAGGAAACTCGAAAAGGTTCTTCCAAAGACTGTTTTAAAAGCTTAACTGAATTGCGTTTCATCTTGATTGTGTTACAAAGCAAGATTTTTAAAGTTTGAAACAGAGCTGTTAAGAATTTTTTTGCCGGCGAAAATGATTATTTTGTAGCGTAATTTTTTTCCAGCGTAAACGCGAATCGTTTTTTCTAAGAGACAACATCAAAAACACCTGTCTCTCTTTATCAACCTTGCTCAAATTTGTCTTCATGTCGGTGCTTTTTTGTTCGCCTTTGAATTTTAT